AAAAAATCTGTATCGCAATCACGCATCGGGCCATCTGCATAAAAGGCAAGCAAAAGGTTCATGACTCACAGCCAGCTAGCCAGCCAGCCAGCCGACCAGCCGTGTGTGTGCCAGCTCGCTCGCCTGTGGCTGCCCGGTGCCCCGGCTTGTGGCTTCCGTTTTTCGCTTTACCCACCGCGTTCCGACCCGGCCGAATCACAGGCCTCGCAACACCCACTTTGCACCTGATGCTCATCACACCTCGTCTCTCTCTCTCCCTCCCGCTGCTATTTCCTCCTCCCCTCGGCCGAGGCCCCTCCGCTCCGCACCCAGCTTCCAAATCTTCACGCTGCTGCATCGAAGCTAGTTACCCTGTGCATTGCCCATCCATCTCTCGCTCCATCAAACCCCCGACCCTCATGCCCACGTGTGAGTGTGTGTGCCAGGCCAGTTGCCAGCGTCGATCGATCATCGCTGTCCTCCTCCTGTCTGAATGTAGTAGTACTACGTAGACTTCAAGTCATGTCAAAAATGCAAACACACTGCTAGGTACAAAGGGGAAAAAAAGAAATAAATAAAAAAAGAAAGAAGAAATATTAAATTTAATTTGCATCAACTCTCCACCAACCAAAATCATTGCTCCGACAAAACACAAACCGGCCACGACTAACCCACACCCCTCGCCAGACAGACACGCGCACGCCCCAATTCAACCACACCCATCTAGCCAGCGGCAGAACAGAACAGAACAGAACAGAGACGCACCTAGACCGGCCTCCCCTCCCCTCTCCCCTCACCACTCCTCCCTCCTCTCCATTCCACCACCGACCGCACCCGCACCCACACCCACACCCACACACAACTCGCTCGCTACCCCCTGCGCAAGCCGCCCCTCGCTCGCGCCCATCGCTCGCTCGCTCCCTTCCGTCCCGACACCCCGTCACAACTAACAGCCCACGCACCCATAACACGCCACGCGCGCACGCAGTACGGATTAGTGTCGCCGAACAGCGGCAGCGGCAACACACTCCCCTCCCCCAGTCCATAACACCCGCCCATTAAGAACGACGCGTGCGTCGAGGAGGTGGAGTCGAGTTAAGGCCCCGCCCCTTTCTTAGCTCCGCCGCCGCGGTACGGCGCGCGGAATATCGATGGCGATGTACGAAGTATCGACGTCGATTAACTAGGTACGGAGTATATCGAAGATTGCGCGCGGGCGCGGGCGCGGGCGGGCAGACATAACTAGCTAGCTGTTGTCTAGGTGCTCGCAATCATATCAGATCATATCATATCATAGCATAGGTAGGTAGTGCGCGTGCCTGCTGCCGCTGCTGCGGGGCGGTATGTACGTACCTGACCTACCTACCTACCCATTGCAGCGTAGGTAGGTAGGACCAAAAGATCGACGGCAGCGCTCGCTCGCTCGCGCCCGCCGCCGCCGCCGCCGCTGCCGCTGCCTAGGTAGGTGCTTGCTTGCTTGCGTGCCAGCCTGCCTTGCCTGCTGCTAGCTGCCAGCTGCCCGCCCGTCCGCATGCGCGCATGCGGACGTGCGTGCGTACGTCTGTACGTATGTATGTAGGCAGGTACATAGGTAGGTAGCGCGGGCGGGCGCGCTCGCAGCCCGCATGCCCTGCCCTGCTCTGTACGTCTGTCGCTCGCATGTTGCACGCCCGCCGCAGCTGCACGCGCGCGCGTGCTTCCGTGCGTCGTTCGAGAAGCTAGGTGCTTTGGAAAAAAAAATAAAAAAGCTTGAGGGGGTGGGGGCGGTGCCGTGGCAGCCCTATAGGGTGCTTATGTGTGTGGGTGTGTCAGTATGCGCGCGCGTCGAGCCGTCGAGCGCTGCCTGCGAGGTAGGTAAGCCAAGGCAAGGAGGAGTGAGGGTTTTCGCTGCGGCCGGCTGGGCATGGGTGCTTTGTGTTGACGTGCTACCTACTGTTGTGCTCCTGGGTAGGCCAGCTATGGATATGTAGGTGTTGTATCTGATTGAGTAGCTATGGAAGAAAGGGGGCCTCGTTGCAAGCTGTTCCTGACCAGCAAACCCAGAGATCCCAGAGCCTCATTCTCTAGCCTCGACGCAGCCGTTTTCGAGGTCCATGCGTGCTTTGATGGTCGGTCGTACGCAAGGGCACACGCCAAGTCACGCAAGCCATGCGCCGGCGGCGCCAGTCACCACGGGAACACATTATGCGCTTGGAATGATACTGCTTTTTATAGCTATCTAAGCTTTCTCGCTACAGATCCCTGATGTTTCTTTTCCCCCCGCGCGCCCCTCTCCGTCATCGGCGAGCGCTGCGACTAGCGCTGCAAAGCTCCCTGCGACGACGAAACCCCTGCGCCGGCGAAAGAATGTTCCCCCACGAAGAGCAGCAACACCTGCTGAGAAGAGAAGAGAAAAGGTAAGGTTGAAGGTGGGTTTGTGAAGAGGAAGAATAAGAAGAATAAGACAATATGTGTTAGAATGAAAAAGGATAATGGGAATGATAAGAAGGGGAAGTAGAAGTAGAGGAAGGACTCCGAAAGCAATAGAAAAAAGCAGAACACGCTTCGCACAAACTACCAAACAGAGAGAAATCACCGAGAACAAAAAAAGGACAGAAGCCTCTGGAGAGAACCGAATGTTGTACAAGGCGCAGGTAAATTGGCGAGAAGGAAAAATAAAGTAAACTGCAGCCTGGGTAAAATGGGGGCGGTAGAAACGAAAAATAGGTGTTTGTGTATGTTTGTGGGGGTGGGCGTTCCAGGCCCGTCAGTGGATGGATGGTCGCTTGACCTGAGCGCAGTTGCGCATCTGGGACCTTGTCGATGGTCCCATTGTTTTGTCAATTCGGTGCCTCTCTGAATTTTGAGGACCGGTAAGGAATCAGCCTAGCGTCGTTCAAGGCCGCAGACGTTGTTCGTTCGTTGTGTTGATCGTACAGTGGGCATTTTCAGACCCCAATTTTGTTTTTTTCTTTTTGATTTGCTTTTTATTTCTCTTGCTTTTTTCGGCGCGCGTGTCTCGCCTTGATTAATCAAAATCAAGGACTAGAGTGACGAAACGCTACCTAGTATTGCTGCATTTGGACGTCGTTCCCGCTGCTGCTGTCGTTCTGCCGGGTTGGGCTGTGAACCTCTCCGATGACAGAGCCCATGGGAGGATATTGCTCGGCCTGTCCCGAGTCGTGGCGTAAATAGTTGCTGTTGAAAGAGGAAACTTGGTGTGGAGCGCTCATCATCGACGTGTTGTAGGGTCCAGGCGCGCTAAGCGGCGACGTCTGGTAGGTAGGGAAAGTGGCAGAGTGCGGGTTGGTGTTGCTTCGAGGCGGCGCGTTGTAGTGAGCGCTGTGTTGGCTCAGTTCGATCCTCCGGGGAACAGTGCTAGAAAAGGAGCGCATCCTCGTTGCCGCGCCGGATTGGAAGCCGGGCATCTGGGGGTCTAAGATTGGTCAGTCTCTCGAGCATTTCCACGCGATTGCTCCAACTTACAAGAATAACCCAGGCTGTAGGGCATGCCACTGCGGGGCAGGTGCTGGTCGCTGATGGCAGAGCCCTCCATGCTTTGAGTCGAGTAAGGGGAAGATTGGCTCAACGTCCCATCGTTGCTATATGACATGCTGGTCCTGAGCGGAGAACAGATGGTTTCCGCGCGCGTGCGGCCACCAATCATGTCGTGGAGCTGGAGTCGTGGGATTTGGGGGTTTGAAGTGAAACCGGAAGTCGTCGGCACAGAAGTTGCGAAAGGGTTCGCCCGCTGGGGGCTTTGGTTCAAAGGTTGCGAAGAATAGCTGTAGGGGCTCGGTTCACCGGAGGCCGACACCGGTGACGAAGTATCAGTCGCTGACTGAGGTGGAGTGAAAGAAAATCCCCCAAAGCTCGAGGTGATGCCGCTGGGGGATATCTGCGGCGCCTCTGGTAGGCGACGAAGGGTGTCCAAGCTGAGTGGCCGAATCATGTTTCCCTCAGGGAAACTGGGTTGGAAAGATGCCGGCGATGCCAGAGGCGTTCCGACGCCATGGCTCGAACCAAACGGAGAATGGAGTGCTTGGGTCATGTCGAAATCGTCCGGAAGGGCCCTCGACTTCATCACGCGCTCGCGGTCGTCGCTTGTGAGACGCTTCAGCTTAGCTCTCCTGCGTAGCGATTGATCAGCAAAGTTTCGCAGATATTGTCTGAGCTTTGCTCATCTTACCTGTTCTGGAACCAGACCTGCACCTGGCGCGGAGTCAGGCCAGGAATTTCTCTGGCAAGACGTTCCCTGTGAGCCGCGTCAGGATGCGCCTGGCGCGCAAACTCGCTCATCAAGAAACGAGTTTGGTTGTGGGTGAGCCTTGAATTGGGTCAGCACTGCTCCCGTGTAGCGCCAACATGGAGGAACTGTTTTCATGAAAAACTCACCTGAAGCGCTTCATCTTCCGCTTTTGTGCCCGGAGTTCAGCTGCGGTCATGGGTCTCTGCTCGTCACCTTCGTCGTTGCTTCCAACGATCTCCCCATCATCGTGATGCTCATCACCATCAGCCCTCTCGCCACTTGGGGAAGGCGTAAGCCGGGAGACCGGGCTCGCCGGCGCCGAACCACCGAAAGTAACATTGCTAGGCTCAATGCCTTCAATGTTGCTGATGGTGATCCGTTCCCGGTTAGGGGCTGGTGACATGATCGGATGGCTTGAAGGAGCGTTGGCTTGCTGAGTAAATTCCTGCCTCAGCGGGTAGGGAACGCTTCTGTGGGTCCGCAGCAGAGGTCGCTTCTGGGCGTCAAGCGGCAACCCAGAGACATCGGAATGCATAAGCGTCATGTTGCTGTCGGGTTGACCACAAAATCCTCCTTCCAGCCTGGCTCTTTGGCTATGCCACTCGGATTCTGCGTGGGGGTTGGTGAACGCAGACATTCGCGGCGAGCTAGGCGGTGAAAGCGGCACAGAATGATTTCCGTTAACCATTGGCAATATCGGTTTCGACTTGTAGGAGAGGTATGAGGAATAAGAAGTAGAAGAACTGAGGAAAAGGACACTGGCGTCAGTGGTGTGCAGCTCGAGCATATCAGGATTGACCTACATGTTATCTCAAGCAGGATTCTGGGGCCAGCGAGATCGAATGACCGGAGGGCAAGGATTCCAGACGGGAGCGGCTACAGAGGACCTTGGCAGCGCATGTAGGTCGCAGACAGCGTGCAGTGTGCTAGTGACGGCGGTCCGAGGCTTGCCTTGTTACAAGACTGCAGAACAAACCTAGCAGTGCAGACAAAAGCAAAATGATGGCCCAATGCGGGGTACCCTTCTGGAAGAGATGGTCCTTCGGGTGAGGTTGGTGTAACGAGGGTGGCGTTGAGGGATGGTCCAGCTCCAAGAGGTCGGTATGTTTCTGATGAGGCGCTGCCTCGGGAAGAAGAAGTCGTGGTTACGGCGTCTATTTGGATGGGCTCGGCCCTGTTGCCCTATCGCAGGGAAAGATGAAGCGAGATTCCCTGCAAGATGAGGTGTCAAGGCTTTCGAAGCAAAAGTGTCAAGTTGACAACCCCGGGTGGAGGATGGACTTCGGCGTAATCTTCACTGAAGGGAGCGTGCAAAGGCGTCTCTAAGACCAGATATCTTAATCGCGCAAGAGCAAGGCTGACCAGCAAGGGCCTACGCAAGAATAGTCTGGAGCAAGCGCGGAGGAGCATCAGCAATTACTAGCAAGGAAGCGGGAGGACAGGCCATACAGAGAGACTAACGGTGCCGTTGAGCGGTGATCCGGATAAATCCACGTGGAGAGAGGTCGAAAGTCAGATCAGCGATTTCAACCACTCCGACCTAAAAGAAGAAGAAGAAGAAGAAGAAGAAGAAAAAAAAAAATGTTTCTGAGAGAGCGCTAAAGGCAACGTTTTACATTGGGCATAGCGCGGCCGGTCTCAAGTCGCTAACACAATGGCAAAGGATGACGGCGCCAGCATGCGGTACCTCGGGACGATATCCTAGGGGGAAAGGAGGAGTGACGCAGAAGGAGTCCACGAATAGTAGGCCTTTGAAATTGGAAGATGCGTGGAGGGCAAGCACATCGCTCTCGAAGCGGATGGGTCCAACTACATGGGACGGTCCATCAGAGACAGGGAGCCGAACGGGTTGCGCCGAAGAGCACAGGTGATCCGTGGCGTGCAGCGCAGGACTCGATGCCCATGGTCCGTCATTGGTGAGAACGAGGCACGGGAGCTTCAAGGACCCGCTGGGGTGAAGCAGGGCTCGGCAACGCTTGTTGCGGGGTCTTTCGCAACGGCGGGCATGACAGCTTGAACCCGGTCATCGCTAGGGAGCATCCATGATCCGGGCGGCTGTTCGTGTCCTGCCTGATTTGGTGCCCGAGTCGGTACACACCCTTCAAGTCATGGCGCTTCGCAAGCAGCACGGCCTGGGAGATTGCGTCAGGAACAAGAAATACGTGCGTCAGCCCTGAGCCTCCCAGACGCCCAAATGCTGCATGAATTTACGCCTCTCATCTGCGACTGTGAATGGCGCGGAGCGCGGTGGCCAAGCTGGGTTGACGGGAACCCCTGCTGATGCGCACGCACGATCGTTCAGACTCACCACGCGTGGCAGGCCTAGCCTGCCGTCGCGACCGGTACATCAAATTAGCGGCTCACAGATCTTTGACGGCGAGATCTTGCGTTTTGGGCAGTCTCCGGCCGTGACTACGTGAGAGCGACGGCGGTGGTGCGGAGGGAGGCGTCGAGGGGGAGGGGCCCTCTGGCAGGGCCAAAACGGCCGGAGCTCCACTCCCACGCTCACGGTCCTTACGCCATGGGGCATCGGCGGACGGCCTCGTGGCCTTGGACAAAAAAAAAGATAAAAAAAACAAAAAATAGAAGGGCTGGCAGAGGCGGTCTTGGCGGCCACGACGCCCGCGGTGCTGAGGCCAGCCGGATAGGCTGGCCCTGGGCCGTGACGCAGGGGCCGATCCACTGTTTGCTATGATCGCTGCAGATGATGGCGGCAACGGAGCCTGGGGCGGGCGTTTTGAGGCCGTTTCTCGCAGCGATCCACGGCCGGGTATGCAGCGGCCTGAGGGCAAGCCGTGCTGTCGTGTGTCAGGAGAAAAAGGCGGGAGCGGTAGGGAGGCTACGGACGAGAGCTTCAGAAGGCGTCCAGCGCGGGTCGGGAGGCAGCACACGGCGACATATGACGACGATATGGATGGTGGTGGTGCGCGGGACGAACGGGGCGTGGGGGGCACCCAGCGCGTTCGCGCGTAGCCTCGCCCATGGACGCGGGCCGAGCGAACGAGCTCGACTGATGCGCAGGGGAAATGAAGGAGTCGCTTCTCCGCCCGCGGAAATTATCGTAGGGTCCAGCGCAGAGGCGTCGCGAGGTTGGCGGCGGTTTGATGCGCTCCGGGGTAGGGCTCGCTTGGGCTGGGCGGGAGCGTGAGACTGAGAAGCGGTCCGTTTCATCTCGGGTGCTTGCAGCTGCGGATGCTTACGCCAGCCCAGTGCGTGCTGCGACGCAATCATGGATCACCGCAGCGCAGCTTGGCGCGTCGCAGAGGGTGGCACCGGAAATTCGTGGCCGCCCGTGTGCGTTGCACCTAGAGTCGCGGCCGCCCCCCGTCCCATTTGTTTCCATCTTCGCTTAAATGTTTCAACTGCTATTTATGCGCTAGGGCACCAGCCCGATCTGGGGAACAAACGCATCACGCCGTTTGCGCCATCCTCTCCTCCAGCTGATCCGTCATAGCTCCTTCGCCCATGACACCACCCACCTATGATCGACGTCCTTGGGCTATTGTCGTATTCTCGGCCGGCCCTGGGCCGATCACCCTCGCCTCGCCCTCGCCTCGGCTGCCGTTGCGCTGCCCTGTTCGGCCCGTTGTTCCTCTGCTTGCTCGCCCGCGGATCCGTCGACCCTGGTCTCCGCCGCCTCGTTGCCCGCCTCCTCGCCGGCCGCCGGCCGGAAGAGCTGCTCCAGCTGCCTGCCGTCGTCAATCCGGTCAAACAAGCTTAGCTTGTCCTGCGCCGCGATCCGCAGCGCCCTCCACGTCTTGCTGGCCTTGGCCTCCGTGAGCCCTTGCTTTTCCTCGTCCGTCATGGCCATCTCCAGGTCCAGCTCGTCGCCCTTGATGCTGTTCACAAATGATTCCGCGCTCGGGACCTTGTACCTGTGTGCCTCTCGCGTCAGCTCCGCCTCCCGCTGCGCCTCCCTCTGCGCCACTCGTCTGGCTTACCTCTCTGTGCTCTTCAGGCCTTCCAGCCCGCTGTTGCTCGCCGAGTCCGACAGGAACGATAGGTTCAGCGAACCCATGGGTGCTGCCCGAAGCCGCTTGTTGGCGCATGCTCGCTGCGCGCTCGTCTTGGCGTCTTGGAAGTCTTGTGGCGGCACGGGCGGTTGCGCAATCGGCGGGCAGTTCTCCATCTTCCACCGCACCCAGTTCTTATCTCTCGAAAGAACCGTGTCCACCATGCGGTGGTAGAACTTGCCATCGGGAAGCTCCTGCAAGTAATTTGCAACATCGTTCTTGATTCCCAAAGCCCACTCGGCCTACACATCAAATTAGCACCTTGCTGTCTCTCGTGCCGCACAAGAGTGTACTGACATCTTCCGCGCTGAGTGTGTAGCCGTATTGCACCGCCCGGTTCTGGCTGTTCACTTGTGCCAACCACTTTTGCGTTGTGTCCTTGGATCTTTCGGTTAGAGAGAGCAAGAAATCAAGAAGTATAAGTGCCTGCACGAGAATGTGTCTTTGAAAAGCTAGGTCGCTCAGCTAAAAAGTGATCAGTACAGGTATGTATGAGGTTCCTCACAAAAGTTCGTACCTCGAGTTTGAATAAATCCCTGCTCGTAAGGTACTTAGGGTTGTAAGTGCTGGCAAACTGGTCCTCTTGTTCATCCTGTTTGCGCTTTACGCCCCGATTCTCCCCAGCCTTGGCCTGAACAACCTTCGGCACGGCTCGGAATTTGTTCAGAGTGAGCTTGACCCCACGTTTGAACTCAAGGAGGCGTTCGTCGTTGAAAAGTCGTGGTGGGTTAGAAAACGATTGTTGCAGAGTCCAAAAGATAGGGTATAAAACTTCGGAATCGAGGGTTGTGTTGTCTTTAGTTGGGTCGTACTTTGTTCCTTCAGGGACTGGCGTTTCTTCGATGTTGACGGTTGGCGGCTGTGACTTCGATTCGGAATCGACTTCCATTTCATCGGCGTTTTCTCCCTTAGCAGGAGGGTTTTCTTCGAAGACGGTTGCATTTTCGACATGAAACTCGCCGCGAGAGTTGACTGAGCTCTTATCGCCCAAAGGAAAGGTCTGGAATAAGAAGATGAACACTCGTCCGCAGAACACAGCATCTTCAGCACGAGACAGTCGGCGCAACAACTCGTTACAAAAGCGCAAAACTACTATGCGTTTGCTTGCCCCAGTGGCCTGAAGGAAGTCTCCCTGGTAACGATGGTTAGCTTTGGTTGTCTGGCGGAATTCTCAATGCCAGCTTACTGCCACGAGACGTTCTCTCCGAGACTCAAGATAGTCAAAGACTCTGCGGCATCCATCTATGCTTTGGCTGTCTAGCAGGTCCTCGGCCAGGTAAAATATAAGCAGCCCATCACATTGACCTGCGGACCCATTTAGTCTAACGGTAACATGAAGCGAAGATGTGGATAAACGAACCGCGCTCGGAGCAAATCAGCACAATATCGAGAAGGTTCCAGACCTGAACAAATTCTGAGTTGTCGATAGTGGTAGTGGCCTGCGCATCAATCAGTGCTTGCAACCGGCGTTTGTTGCCTAAAGCACGTACCACGAAGTGATGCAGAAGTCTTTTCGCAGCCGTCTCAGCAACGGTGTTGTGGGTGGTTTGATTCTGGATGTTATCGCTAAGAAGCGGAGTGTCATCACTGAGCAACTCTGTGATCGATATTGAAGGCTCTATGGAGGCGCTCGACTTGATCCTCTGCGCCTTCTCCAGAAGCTGTTTGAAGCGAAGTGTCACAGCTTCGATCGAGTCTACTGGCGGTAGAGCCATCTCCAGCACTGTGGAACTCGGCGAGTTCAGGGCGGGGAAGGGCTCAGCTAGCCGCGTCGCAGCACTTCAGAGCGAAGCCTTTTGACACAAGCTAGGATCGCTAGGAGAGGTGCGAAGCAAACCCAGCACCTGGAAGTCGATCAAAATAGACCACAGCGCTGGATCCTAGTCAGCCTTTCGCGATAGGCTTCGATATGTGCGCTGGTAGAAGTCTTTGTTGGTCGTGCTTAGGACGGAGGCTCTTCATGCACAAGCTCACGTTCTCTGATCGCCGCCAAGCTTCAACAAAAACGCGCTAGTCAGCACTAGTCTACAAACGCGTCATCCGGAGATCCAGCGCGTCTTCCCGCGTCTGGCGACAAGTTTCTCCAAGTCAACAAACGCAACACCCAACTCAAGCCGATAGTCACAAGAAGCATATCCCAGTATTAGCCAAGCGACTGGTTCCTGTTATAGTTTACCATGTCATCCCCAGCGCCAAGGCTGCAGGACGCGCCTGATGATGATTTGGACAACCTGTTCAACTACGATGCCTCAATGGACGACGCCTTCAGAGACTTAGATCAACCGGGAGTCAGCGAGGAACGCTCAGGACAACAAAACAAGGAGAACACAGCAGGGCTTGGTATTGATGAGGAAGTCAAAGTAGCGAAGAAAAGGCAGCCGGCGCCTAAGTTGGATGAATCACGGTTGGTTCTGTCACGTTGTACGAGGAGATATTGCTTGAGCATATCACTGATTTTGGATGTAGATTATTGTCTGCGGCTGGCATACCGAAGCTGCGAAAAATATCAAAGGAAAGGTTGAGATTCAAAGGCAAAGGTCACGAAGTAAGTTTGCTTTGAACTGATTTCTCTATCATCGTCTCACAAATCTAGTTCTCAGATGTTGTACGGCTCTTGAACATGTATCAGTTGTGGCTCGATGATCTCTACCCTAGAGCAAAGTTCGCAGACGGATTGGCCATCATCGAAAAGCTGGGCCACACGAAGCGCATTCAGATAATGAGGAAGGAATGGATCAATGAAGGGAAGCCGAAGCCAACTGTCGAGGAGGAATTCGAAGCACCCACTCCGGAAGAGCCGGTCGAGTCAGTAGAGGACATTCAGGATAAGTCTCAGGGAGGCGAGCCGGACGGGGACACCGAAATGCCCCAGGAGTTGTCCGCCCCCGAACACACCGCCCCCGAAGACTCCGCCTCACCGAGTCGGCAATATAATATACCTGAGGAAGATGACTTGGAGGCGTTGTTAGCCGAAGAGGAGATGAGCGGTGGGCCCGCAAAGGATTCTCCGTCCGGAGCAGGATCGATGCTCGAGCGTTCGAAACCCCTGCAAGGGCAGGATGATGAATTCGCGGATGAGATGGAGGCCATGGAAGGCCTGGAGGACTTTTAGCTCCCGAGCTCGTTTCATAATGCATAGCGAGACGGCGTTCAGGTCATTGCGGAGCTCGGGCTTTCGGAACACAGTATCAGACTATCTTCTATCAACTGCCGATAATGGCGGTCGCCATTCGGCATTTGCATGTGGAAGACGCCAGAAGGACCCGGACCCGGATGGAATAAGCTTAAGGCTCATGTCTAACGGCCGAATGCACATTTGCCGGGTAAGGGAGGGGATCGACTTAAGGGGCAGGGGGGGGCCTCGTGGAGGAGGGCGGTAAGAAGCCATCTTATCTTATCGGCGAGGCGTAGGAAGGTACCTTAGGTAAGCGAGCACGGTCGTGCGTCATTACGCCCAGCAACAACATTCGACGCGGAAAACAGCCATCGCGCGTTCCCAGCCCCATCATCCGGTAACGGCGCATCGAGATGGACGACCTTGTCCGCGCTTTCGAGAAGGCTCATCTTGCTGCCGGTTCGGCCGGCAGTAATGACAGCGACTGGCTGGATTCCATACTGAATGAGCAGCGGCCACGGAAGCGTACCCGCCGTACCAAGGATGAGCTGAAGCAGAACCTAGAGAAGGAGTTTTTGACTCCTTCGACTTCATTCAATTCGCAATGGCTCAACGAGTTACAACAGCGATGGGATGCGCCCACCAATTACCCTGACATCTTCGCGATCGCGCCCACGCAAACACGCACCATCATACGTTTCACTCGCGAAGGCCTCGAAGGTCGCGTGACAGGGTACAAAGAGGTTACTGTGCCAGCAAGTAGTGCCACGGCTAAGAATTCGACGTCTCTTCTACGGAAACCAGCCAAACGAGCCGATTTTGTTCGCGGAGCCGCTGGCTACTTCCCTTTCGCACCAGGCGGATTAGACGGCGTAGAAGCCATAGCAGCGGCTGAAGATGACTACATACAAAGACAGGGGTCTGAGAAAGCAAAGAAACAAAGCGGGCTTGATCGCGTCATAAATTTTGGCGTCGAAGGTGGACTTCTTGAGGTGCCTCCTGGCTTCGCGAGGGGCATGGATCTATCTAAGAAAGCCACTGTCGACAATCAGAGCGCTGAGGAAGTAGAGAAAGCTTTGGAAGAGGAACCAGCGCCTGCTGAAGCCGCCGATGGCCTAATAGAACATGACGCTGCCCAAGCTGCTGAGACATCGGATGGGGAAGAACAGGAAGGCGAAGATGAGATTGATGCACTCTTGCCAGTAGAGTTCCCAGCTTTGGCTCCGCATGGTGCTCTCACGATGGCCTCGAACAAAAGAGGTGGCAAAGAGTGGGCGCATATGGTTGATGTCAATCGCGAGATCCCTAACTTCAGAGAGCTCGTTCCAGACATGGCAAGAGAATGGCCTTTTGAGCCGGATACTTTCCAAAAGGAAGCTATCTATCACCTCGAAAATGGAGATTCTGTATTTGTTGCAGCACACACGTCTGCAGGCAAGACAGTAGTAGCTGAATACGCCATTGCGCTTGCGGCGAAGCATATGACGAAGGCCATCTATACGTCACCAATTAAAGCTCTCAGCAACCAGAAGTTCAGAGACTTTAGAAACGAATTCGACGATGTTGGCATTCTCACGGGCGATGTTCAGATCCGTCCGGAAGCAAGCTGTCTGATCATGACCACAGAGATTCTCCGAAGCATGCTTTACCGTGGTGCAGACTTAATCCGTGACGTAGAATTCGTCATATTTGACGAGGTTCACTACGTCAATGATCTCGAACGTGGTGTCGTTTGGGAAGAGGTTATCATTATGCTGCCGGAGCATGTAACTCTCATCCTTCTCTCAGCGACGGTGCCGAATACATACGAATTCGCCTCCTGGGTCGGCAGGACCAAAAAGAAGGACATTTATGTCATTTCCACACCCAAGCGACCTGTTCCACTGGAGCACTATCTATGGTCTAACAAGGTCATGCATAAAATTGTTGATTCTGACAAGCACTTCTTGGAGAAAGGCTGGAAGGAAGCCAATGATATTCTTTCCGGCAAGGACAAAATCAAGGCTGCAGCGGGCAAAGAAGACTCGAGCTCCTCCCGGGGCGGCGGGAATCAAAGAGGCCGCGGGCAAGACCAGCGTGGTGGCAGGGGCGGAGCACAGCAGCGCGGGGGTGCGCAACAGCGCGGTAGAGGCGGACCGCCTGCCCAACGCGGACGTGGAAATATCGCTCGTACCGGTCGTGGTGGTGGCAGGACCACTGCTGCCCAAGACAGGAATATCTGGGTCCACCTCGTCCAACACCTACGGAAGGAAAACTTGCTCCCGGCTTGTATTTTCGTTTTCTCCAAGAAACGTTGCGAAGAAAACGCCGACGCGCTGGCGAACCTTGACTTTTGCACGGCTGCTGAGAAGAGCGCTATTCACATGATCATCGAGAAGTCAATCGCCCGCCTCAAATCAGAGGACAGACAGCTGCCTCAGATCAGGCGTCTTAGGGAGCTGCTGAGTCGTGGTATCGCCGTCCACCATGGTGGTATGCTGCCAATTGTCAAGGAAGTCGTGGAGATCCTTTTCGCAAGGACGCTTGTGAAAATTCTTTTTGCCACCGAAACTTTTGCCATGGGTCTCAACCTGCCTACTAGGACAGTCGTTTTTTCAGGTTACCGCAAGCACGATGGCCGCCAATTCCGGGATCTCCTGCCGGGAGAGTACACGCAGATGGCTGGACGTGCAGGCCGACGTGGTCTGGATCCTGTTGGCTCAGTTATCATCGTCACCCCGGGTGCTGAGGAAGCACCTCCGGTAGGGAGGCTGCGGACGATGATACTGGGAGATCCAACGAAGTTGAGGTCACAATTCAGGCTCACATATAACATGATCCTCAATCTTCTTAGAGTAGAGGCATTGAAGATTGAGGAAATGATCAAGCGGAGCTTCAGCGAAAATGCGACGCAGGCTCTGCTTCCCGAGCATGAGAAGGCAGTCAAGTTGTCCGAGGAAGACCTTGCAAAGATCAAGCGCGAGCCCTGCGATATCTGCGATGTTGACTTGGAGCTTTGTCACGATGCATGCATGAAATATCAACGACTGACGAACGAACTTCATCTAGCAATTCTAGCAACTCCTGTTGGTAGACAGGTATTTGACACCCGGCGTCTAATTGTTTACAAGAAGGTAAGACGGTCAATGATCACTAATAGTTTCGTGAAAACCCATCTGATTATTTGTTTTAGGATGGTGTGCGTACAGCTGGCATGCTTCTCCGGAGCGGTATCAGTAAAGGGCATGAACCTACTGTCTCTGTGCTGGAAATCAGTACAAATGCCAAGAGGCAACCAAGCGACCTTCTGCCATACCTTCCCGAATTTGCTCACTTGTTCGGTTCTTTGCCAAACAATCCAAACGACATGAGGCTTAAGACAACAACGGTACCTCTCAGCGACGTCGAGTGCATTACGGTAGCACACATCAAGGTTAACCAGCCCTTCTCTCATTCGACTTTTTTACAATCTATGAAAAACAGGAAAGGTAGTGTTAACTTTTACTCAGATTGATTTAGCGGAGGTGTTGAAGAATGATCCAGAGGCGCTTAAGCTCGCCCGAGGAGAGTTCCAGCCGCTCTGCCAGTCGTGGAATTACGAAGACTGGAGCGAATTGAACATATCGAAATTTGTCAAGGATCTTTCCTACAGGAATGTGCTCGATGAACGCAAGAAGCAGGCGGAATATACCCAAACCCGCGCCTGCTTGAAGTGTCCAAAATTTCTCCAACATGTAAGTGGACACTAGTCTCTGATACGATCCGCGTTTCGTGTTTTCTCCCGCCCTATACTGACCGATCCGTGTACGTAGTTTGCCATGCAGCATGATGAGTGGCTGATCAAGGAAAACATTGCACAACTCCGTCAGCTTATGTCAGACCAGAACCTCCAGCTACTACCTGACTACGAGCAACGGATATCGGTACTAAAGGACCTAGGCTTTGTCGATGATAAGGCGAGGGTCGAGCTGAAGGGCAAGGTGGCCTGTGAGGTAAGCTTCTTCGGACAATCTGGCGATTGACCAAGGCTGACATTATCGTCGCAGATTCACTCGGCCGATGAACTTGTCCTCACTGAACTGATCCTGGAGAATGTGCTTGCTGACTATGAGCCGGAGGAGATTGCAGCACTGCTCTCGGCATTTGTGTTCCAGGAGAAGACGGACGCAGCGCCAACGTTGACGCCAAGGCTGGAGCAGGGCCAGGCGAAGATTGTGGAGATATCCGAAAAGGTCAACCACATGCAGACGCTGCACCAGGTGATTTTGTCAGCGGAAGACTCGAACGACTTCGTCAGTCGGCCCCGGTTCGGTATGGTGGAGGTTGTGTACGAGTGGGCCAGGGGCATGTCTTTCAACCGTATCACGGACCTGACAGACGTCATGGAAGGGACGATCGTGCGAGTTATCACGCGGCTGGACGAGACGTGTAGGGAGGTCAAGAATGCGGCCCGGATCATCGGAGATCCCACGCTGTACACCAAGATGCAGACATGCCAGGAGTTGATCAAGCGCGACATTTGCAACGCGGCCAGTCTGTACCTATAAGGGAGGAGGGCGGACACGCGCTGACTTGGCCGGGGACGGGCGCGAGTCGGGGGGAGCACGTTTTTTCTTAGCATGTGGCAAAGGATAGATAGCCGGTAGCTCTGCGTGCCAAATTTCACTACTTCCCCAAGAATCCGCGGGCGTGGGATATTCCTGGGCGGGCGTCAGCAAGGGAGGCGTCGGCGGTCTGGCGCAGCGATCTTCCGACCAATCACCGCCGACAAGGGTCTTTTGTTGCCGATACCTGCGATTTCGTTCCGCGGCGCACCAGGTCTTGACAGCCCCTCTGCCACAACGTCGAGACGCGGTGCTCACCCTCGGAACACCCCCCGCGGCCCTTACTGTCGTCGCTGCTTGCGTGCACACACCGTGCTTTTCTTGTACCCGAAGGCCCAGCGAGGTCCTTCCAGTCGCACGCCGTGGACCGTCCCATTACACCACCAACTCTCGAGTCCGGACCACCACCACAAGAATTTCAACCATGGACCCAGCGGCCCTAAGAAGTCGCATCCAGGCCACGCTTGACACCAACGCTGATGCGCGCCGTCAAGCCGAACTGGACCTGAAATATGTACGCTCATGCTCCAACCGGTCCCCGCTGAAAAATTCTTGATTAACATTTCCTAGGCGGAAGATCAGCCTGGTTTCCCCGACGCGCTGCTGAATATTCTCGAGGCCGAGCAAGAAGCTGGCGTTCGCCTTTCAAGTACCCACCGCCCCGTCCTCCTCGCTGAAGCCCTTTCTAACTAACCCTCCCACAGCTGTCGTCTACCTGAAGAACCGCGTAACGAAGGGATGGTCGCCTGCCGAGGACTACTCCCAGGCAAAGCCGATACCTGAGGAGGAGAAGGCAAACTTCCGGAATCGTCTCGTTCCCGTCCTTGCCGCGTCCACACCTCCCATCCGCGCCCAGCTCATTCCCACCCTTCAGAAAATCCTGGCTTACGACTTCCCTGCCAAGTGGCCCGAATTCCTCACCATTACGCAGGCGCTTCTCAACGCTGGTGATGCGAACTCGGTTTTCGCTGGTGTTCAGTGTCTCCTCGCAATATGCAAGATCTACAGGTTTAAGGGTACCGAGGAGAGATCGGAATTCGACGGAATCGTTCAGGTTACCTTCCCGCAGCTCTTGAACATCGGCACGCGGTTGGTTAATGAGGAGAGCTTGGAGGCTGGCGAGATGCTGAGGACGATCCTCAAGGTCTACAAGCACGCGATCTACGTGAGTCCACTTGGATGGAGATCATCATGGGAGGAGAAGCGCACTGACACGAATAGTTCGAACTGCCTGCACCGCTTCGCGACCAACAGACCATGGTTGGCTGGTGCACTCTTTTCCTGAACGTCGTCGCCAAGGACCCTCCGGCAAGCTCCATGGTCGAGGATGTGGAGGATAGGGAAACGAACCACTGGTGGAAGGCGAAGAAGTGGGCTTATGCCAACCTCAACCGACTGTTCGTCAGATACGGCAATCCCCAGACTCTCGGCAAGAGCAGCGAGATCGACTACTCCCAGGTCGCCAAGACCTTCCTTGAGAACTTCGCGCCGGAAATCTTGAAGGGATATCTTCAGCAGATCGAGAAGTGGGTCGCCAAGACGACATGGTTAAGCAAGGCGTGCCTGTCGTACACGCTCGCTTTCTTGGATGAATGCGTCAGGCCCAAGTCCATGTGGAACCACCTTAAGCCTCACATGGAGGGCTTGATCTCCCACCTCATCTTCCCGGTTCTGTGCCAGTCGGACGAGGATATTGAGCTGTTTGAAACGGATCCCCAGGAGTACCTTCACCGGAAGCTGAACTTCTACGAGGAAGTCTCTTCGCCCGATGTCTCTGCCACCAACTTCCTCGTTACCCTCACCAAGGCACGCAGGAAGCAAACTTTCGTCGTTCTCAACTACATCAACGGCATTGTCAGTGCTTATGAGTCTGCGCCGGATGACCAGAAGAACCCGCGGGAGAAGGAGGGTGCTCTGCGCATGATCGGCACCCTTGCACCAGTTATCCTGGGCAAGAAGAGCCCAATTGTGGACCAGGTCGAATACTTTTTCGTTCGTCACATCTTCCCTGAGTTCCGCAGTCCCCATGGCTTCCTCCGCGCGCGTGCTTGCGACACACTGGAGAAATTCGAGCAGCTCGACTTCAAGGACCAGAACAACCTTATTACCATTTACCGTAACATCCTGGAGTCCATGGCTGACCCGGCACTGCCTGTCCGTGTTGAAGCTGCGCTCGCTCTTCAACCTCTCATCCGTCATGAGGTCATTCGTACATCCATGCAACAGAACATTCCCCAGGTTATGCAGCAACTGCTCAAGCTCGCCAACGAGGTTGATGTCGACGCGCTTGCGAACGTGATGGAGGATTTCGTCGAAGTTTTCGCGGCTGAGCTCACACCTTTTGCGGTGGCCTTGAGCGAACAGCTGAGGGACACCTACCTCCGTATTGTGCGCGAGTTACTCGAGCGTAACCAGCAAAAGGACGACGACGACACGTATGGTGATTATCTGGATGACAAGAGCATTACTGCCCTTGGTGTCTTGCAAACTATCGGCACTCTTATCTTAACCCTTGAGAGCACGCCCGAGCTCTTGTTGCACCTTGAGACTATTCTCATGCCGGTAATCTCCATTACTCTTGAGAACAAGCTTTACGGTAAGTCATTTTTCGCACGTCACCGTAGATAAAACTGACCCCAAACTCTAGATCTGTACAACGAGGTCTTCGAGATTATCGATAGCTGCACCTTTGCCGCCAAGAGCATTTCTGGCACTATGTGGCAGGCTTTCGAGCTTATTCACAGGACATTCAAGGCCGGTGCTGAACTGTACCTTGAAGGTATGTTTTCTGGGGTCGACAACCCTACGCCAGACTCGCCATTTATATACTCATACATCAAAGATATGCTTCCCGCCCTCGAAAACTTCGTCACCTACGGCTACGACACCTTGATGGTACAGCGCGCTTACCTTGAGGCGATCATCGATATGATCCGCACCATCTTTAAGGATGACAAGGTTGGTGGTGTCGACCGTATCTGTGGCTGCAAGCTGGGCGAAATCCTTATGCTCACCATGCGCGGTCACATCGATGAATATATTCCGGAGTTTATCCAGCTCTCCATGATGGTGTTGACCAACGAGGAGCCCAAGGTTAAATCATATAGGATACACCTGATGGAGATGGTGATTAACTGCATCTACTACAACCCGCGTCTGGCCCTCCACGTCATGGAGAGCAACGGATGGACCAACACCTTCTTCAGCCTCTGGTTCTCCAGCATCGACAGTTTCACGCGTGTTCACGACAAGAAGCTCTCGATCGCTGCTATTACTTCTCTGTTGACTCTCAACGCTTCCGAGGTGCCTGCCAGCGTGCAGCAAGGATGGCCTCGTTTGTTGACCGGAATCGTTCGTCTGTTCCAGACGCTTCCTGCGGCTATGAAGAGTAAGTTGGAATATTCACTTTTTTACTCGCCAACATTTCAACTAACATGATTTCTTAGACCGTGAAGAAGCCAAGCGCGAAGAAGACTTTGGCTTCTCGCAGGATTACGATGATGAGGAAGAGGAGGAGGAGTGGGAAGGCGACGGTGATTGGAACAATGAGGGCGACGAGGTCGAAGACATCAAGGATGAAAGCACCGCATACCTCGAGTTCCTCAACGAGGAGGCCCAGAAGTTCACCGCCATCGACGACGAGGATGACGACGAGCTTGAGGAGGAGAGCCTTCTCGAGACTCCTCTCGACAAGCTTGAGCCTTATGGTCTCTTCAAGCACGCCCTGTTTGCGCTTCAGTCCGAGCAGCCTCAGCTCTACCAGAGCTTGACGAAGGAGCTCAACCCCGAGGAGCAGCAGGTTGTCGAAGGCGCCGTCCACCAGGCCGATGTCATTGCCCAGCAGCTCCAGGAGATTGCCAACGGTCAACCGCCCACTCTTGCATAGACTTGTCTAGGCAGTGTCTGTTCGATAACTGGCTTGGAATTTCTGAGTAGCGTCGATTGCGGCGGCAGCTCTTCTTCACACCCCCTTTTTCAGCGATGCATTTGGACCACAAACTGGCGTTTGTTTTTTTTTTTTTTTTTTTTTTTTTTTTTTAAACAAAAAAAAAAAAAAATAAACAGCAGTTGAGGCTGTTTGTTTTTTGAAGTTTTGTCACTCTTGAAGTTCCCACTTTTGCTTTTTTCCACAACGGCGCGGCGGCAGACAGAAACGCAGGTACATCATCATGTTCATTGCGAACACACTGGGGGGCTCAAAACGGAACACGCGACGACAGAGCGGAGAGAGATGAGAGAGCAGCAAGAAAAGCGAAAAAAACGGGCCTCGCGCAAGACGAGGTGCAGCGACGGACGATTGATTAGGTCAATGCTTATGTAGTTTAGGTAGCTATTCCCCCTCGAAACTCACCACAACCCCTCTTGAATTCCTATTAGCAGCCGGCAGAAAATCCCATGCTTGATTGGGCCAACGTCATCCATTCCTATCTCTCAAATACCCTCTCTCTTTCCTCTATCCCTACCTACCTACTTCCTAGATGGTTCTTTTTCGAAAGAGAGCGGAGGGGAGGCGGGTCTCGATCTTATTTTGTTTTCTTTTATCCTTTGCTTTTGGCTTTGCAGTCTGCACGCCGCTGTGGCGAAGGGGAACGCAGGGCGTGCGTGCCAGCGTGGGGCTGCTGAGATGGCGATATAGACACGAATGGATTCATTTTTCCCCATGATGCTTCTACATGTTACTTTGTTGCTGGCAATGTGGTTTGCTTGTTGGATGATACAAATAGCTATCACCGTAAATTGTTTTTTGTCTTACAGTTTGAGAAATGAGGAAGAATAGGTATGTATGCTTTATTGTTGTTATTGTTGTTACAAGTATGGAAGGCACATACATGGTAGATGAGAATCAACAACTAGCTGTGCAGCTTCTTTGTAATCAAGAGACATGTAGAGCATAGGCACGCCAGAGTGGCGCGATACATCCATCCAACCAGCCATTCATCCATCCACGGTCTAGCATGTCTGACGGGATGCCTGAGGCGCTGGTAAATGCAACGGTGGCAGCAAGAAAGAGAACCAAGCGCCTCCTTCTTTCTCGCACGCCTCAACATCTGGCAGCAGGCCTACAGGAGGAGCAAAAAAAAAAAAAAAAAAAAAAAACGCCACGGCAAACGCCTTGCCTCCATACCACACAGGTAGGTAGTCCCTAGTAGGAACCTAACAGGTGTCGTTTGCGGTTTGATCCAACCAAACCCAACGCTTACATCTACCTCCACCGCCACACACAGACATCAGCAAGCCCCCCATCACCAACACCGCCCCCGTCAGCCTCACTCCCACGCAGCAGCCCACCCACTATCAATCAATTCAAAATCAACCAACCAAACATCCTATACCCACACTGCACACACACAGTACACAGTACACAACGCGCCCTCGGGCTCCGGCTCCGCCCCCAAAATCCCTCTCTCGTAAGTATTACAACCCCCAAATCCAACCCAGGGCGCGCGCGTGCCCGGCGGAGATGGGAGTGGGAGCCCCCACGTTGCTGCTGCTGATGCCCCTCCGTCTGTCCCACAGCCCACAGCCCACTTCTCCTCCCCGCCGGCGGGTGGAGCACTTTGCTCGCTCGGTCGGCATCGGCACGCATCGGCGAGTCGGACACGGGCGGTGCACGCGTCTTTCTGCTCCCCCCTCGATGTCGTTCGCCTTCTACAATATTATACAATATTGCTCGCAGAAGTGAGGCGCGCGGAAAAAAGTGTGCACGGCGGCGTCGCGGGCCTGAACGCTTTGCATGCGCTTGGGCCGCGGGGAGGGGAAGATGCCGTTTGCGCTGCTGATGCTGCCCGGTATTATCGTCGTATGCATGGGTTACGGCAGGTGTATCGTAATCGTTTTCATTTTTTCTTTACTCCAGCAAGACAAAAGCAGGCAAAACAACCCACCCAACTCACCTGCACCTGCCTGGGTTCAGCATCCTCCTTCCTCCTCCTCTCTCGGAGATAAACCAGGCCGCGGAGCGAATTTGGGCCGCGCGAGCGCGCGTGCGCCGCGAATTTTAGAGAGGCAGTAGACTTGTGGCTTTTCCGCCAGCGCGGCACCACGACTTGCCGCCAGCCAGCAAGACGGGACAGCCAGCCAGGCGAGCAGGAATGAAGGAAGCGAGGCAAAGCAAGCGTGCAAAGGGACGTGGGACCCCAAGGAAGGGGAAGGGGTGGGCACGCACGCCGCACGCTCGCGTGGTGGCCCGCCCGGCTACGGTGCCGGTCGGTGGGTGGGGCGCGCGGGCGTAGGGCTTCCCGGGCGAAAGGCCGCGAATGTCAAGAATGGGTTGCCAGCCCAAGGCAGCGACAGGGAGGAGGAGCGACGATGGATTCGTAGGGAAGGAATGGGAGCACAGAGGGTGTTCGTGCCTGAATATCGGACGGCGGCGGCGCACGTGACGCGGATATGGCAGCAGCGGCTCTGCTTTGTGGTGGTGGTGGTGGTGATTAGCAGTCACGTGCAAGTGAGGGGCGCCCTCTCAGCTCTCTTTCCGTCCCCTGAGGTGTGAAAGGTCGTCGATGATCGGCGCGGGGCCTGAGAAGTGCCACGGCCACACGACCCACGCCCACCACCAGAGTGCTGCCCGCTGCCCCTCTCTCTGACGAACGTGGCTCGCGGCGGGCTGGCGGCGCCATCGCGCCTTGCCCTTGCGCAGCAGCGCCAGCAGCAGCGCCAGCAGCGACGCCAGCAACAGCACCACGGACGCGTCGTCGTCTTCGTTGTCGTGGCGGTTGATGCGCGCGCTTCCTTCCTTCTCTTCCCTGATGACTGATGGCTTATTGCGCACCGCTGACTGGCATTGTTGGTTGCGCCCAGCCAAAAAACAGCCCACCTCGCGCGCGTCGTTTGCGTCAGCAGTCAGCAGCACAGCAAAAGGACGGAGATCCAAGACCAAGAAGCGCGGCGGCAAGCGACGGCGGAGCGTGCGCGCTCGCTGGCTCTCAACAAATCGAACCAGGGAAGCGCCAGCCGCTGCCGCCGTTCGCTGGAGAGGCGCGGCTGCCGACGGCGTGGTGCCTGGCTCCCAGGGCAGGGCAGCAGGGCTCATCAGGGCTCGGCAGGGCTCAAGGCAGGGCCGGACATGGAAGAGAAAAGGGTGCTTAGGGCAGCAGCAGGGCTGGCTAGCAGCGGAACGCAGGCACTCGGGGCGGCGATGACATCGCGCTTTTTCGGCACTCGATCGCGCCTAGCGAGCGGGCTGTTCGGCCTCCACTCATCGTTCGATTGCGCCCGCCAAGTTTACTCGAATGGGCCGAAGCTGCTGCTCACCGCCGGGCTTGCTGCCTGTTTTTGCAGAAACGAAGAGGGGTTCGCTCGCGGTCGGTGTTGGGTGTTGGGCGGAGGGGTAGGTACGTAGTTACCGAGGATCGAAACGATTCGAACTCGTCGTGAGGGGGGGACATCATGCGTTCGCGCGTTCGTTGTTGGGGATTAACTTTTTAGATTCTCTATCGGTCATAAGATCTATCGTGAAAAAGACGCCAGCTGTCATGTAGGCGTCACCTGTTCTACGGCTGTCAATCACCCCGCGATCATCATCGTACCGCGCTCTTTTTCAGGCGCGGTAGCTCCCCCCTTCAAAGAGGGGTAAACTGCCTTTCGATGCCACCGCCATCAGAAGCTTCACCAGGAAGCTTCTTTCCGTAATTTTAGCTGAGCCAAGAAAACGCCGTTTATGTAACTCGTGTGTGATTGTGGTGCTTGTTGCTTAAGCAACAGAGGTGCCGGCCTCGACCGACTCCTCGGGCCAGACGTTGTAGCCAAAGGTGTCCTTCATGTTGACGAAACGAGTGTGGCGGCCCTTGGCGACGGCGTTGACAGCCTCGAAGTCCTCGTCCGAGAGGTTGGGGATCTTGAAGTTGCTCTCGATGCGCGAGGGAGTGGAGCTCTTGGGCAGGACGACGTAGCCGCGGCGGAGACCCCAGGCCAGCAGAACCTGGGCGAGGTCGTTGCCGCTGCGCTGGGCGACCTCGTTGAGGGTCTTGTTGGTGCGGACCTTCTCGCCCGTGTTGGGGACCTGGTCCTGCGAACCAAGAGGCGAGTAGGCCGCGGGGAGGACGTCGTTCTCCTGGCAGAACTTGATGAGGGCTTCGTTGGGAAGGAAGGGGTGGATCTCGATCTGGTTGACGGTAGGCTTGACCTTGGCGATCTTGAAGAGCTTCTCAAGACCGGGGATGGTCCAGTTGGAGACACCAATGGCCTTGGCCTTGCCCGAGTTGTAGAGCTCCTCCATGGCGCGCCACGTGGGCTCGGGGTTCTCGGTGAGGTCCTTCTTGATGATGTACTTGCCGTCGGCGCCAATCTTGGGCATGTGGTTGTCATCACTCTCGGCAGCAATGGGCCAGTGGACGAGGAAGAGGTCGATGTAGTCGACGCCGAACCTCTTCAGCGAGCTCTCGAACGACCACTTGACCTCCTCGGGCTCGTGCAGGTGGTTCCACACCTTGGTGCAGATGAAGAGATCCTCACGCTTGACGTTGGTGTTCTCCTTGAGGAAGTCACGGATGGCCTCGCCAACCTCCTCCTCGTTCTGGTAGAACCAGGCGCAGTCGAGGTGCCTGTAGCCGGTCTTGAGGGCGGCGGTGACGGCCTTGTAGGTCTCGCCCTTGGCGCCCTCGCTGGCGAAGGTGCCGAAACCGACACCAGGGATCTTCACGCCATTGTTGAGGGTGAAGGTGGTGGAGTTGCTGACCTCCTTGAGGGGACCGAAAGGCATTCTGGCGGTGTGGTGAAGACGGTAAGGATGTAAGTAGGGGTATGGGTATCGAGTGCAACGTGCAGGAAGAGAGCAGGCAAGTTTGATGAGGTGCGAGGAAGACTTCAGAGTGCGCGGCAGCGACATGGTTGCTTAATATCGGTAGAGTCACATTAACAAACGAGGGTAAACCATGGCTGCGGCAGGCCGGCGAAAGCGACGGAATCGCCAACACCAGCAATGACCCCACCTAGTATGCGTGATGTCACGGTGGAGACTTATTGGGAGCTCGGGAGGGGGGACGAGTGTCGGGCGGCGGATCGATGCCCGCTTTTCGTGACGTTAAGAACGAGCCCCGTTCGGAAATGTTTCAGTGCTGCTTGGATACCGATATGGCCCGGGGTGACCGAGGCGGTGGGCGGAAGGCGGTGGCAGTAATTTTTTTTTTTTTCCTCTTTTTTTTTTTCTGCCGTGTCTGCCTTTGCCTCGAGCTCTCCCCTCCATCCACTCCCACCCCGGCGCTTCTCTCGGTCATACTGGTTGCAGCGCGCCCGAGGGCTACGTCACAGCGAAGTATCGGATGAAACACCCACTTGGCCACTTGCGGCGAACACGTCGAGAAAGTGCTGCAAGGACCCTCGCCGTCGGTTCGCCCAGCAGCGGCGGTGCGCCACTCAGGGACGCGGAGCCAGTCAAGCCCGCTGTTTGGCTCCGCTTTTCCCTCCCCGTCAAGGCTATCTTGAGGCCTCCCGGCAAAGGACCCTTTATTTGTGATACGGCACGATGATGACATCGGTGGAGCTCCGAGCAGCAGCCCCCCGGAGAGGGACGGAATGTTGCTTGACCATGGACTCTCAGATACCGACGCCTTCAAATATATACCACCCTGCTCGTCACGTTGTAGAGATCCACTTCTCATCCTCTTCCTCTCTCTCTTCCTGTTCCGACGTAGACACTTTCATCCTTTCCATCCTTACCATCCAAGATGCCTACCTACGACGAGAACGACCTTGCTACCCAGGCGCCCACTGAGGCTCCCAGGACCGAGAGCGTCAGCCAGAACACTCTGCCTATCCCCGGCGAGTCTGACGATGGCCCCATTGAGGTTCCTGCCACCAGGTCCTCCATCTCTGAGGCGCACAAGTACATGCACAACCTGAGCGTCTCCCCCTCCATGAAGGAGAGGAGGGGTTCCCGCAACTCTTTCGGTACCGCCCTTCCCATCCCCAGGTCCAAGAGGCAGTCCCGCCTCTCCTCCGTCGCCTATGCCGATGGCCGTCCCTCGCGCCCGGGCATGCCCCCCATCCAGCCCACCCGTGAGCTGCTGGCCTCCCAGATTCAGGACATGTCCGCCGAGAAGGTCACCAAGGCCAAGGACATGGCCTTCGTCTTCGACATTGACGGTGTCCTGGTCCACGGTGACCGTCTGATCCCCGAGGGCAAGCGTACCCTTGAGATCCTCAACGGTGACAACGAGCTCGGCATCAAGATCCCTCACATTTTCCTGACCAACGGCTCTGGTAAGCCCGAGGCGCCCCGTTGCGAGCAGCTCTCCAAGATTCTGGGCAACCCCATCTCCACCGAGCAGTTCATCCAATCCCACACTCCCATGAGTGCCCTGGCTGAGTACTACAAGACTGTCCTCATTGTCGGTGGTGAGGGCTACCGCTGCCGTGAGGTCGCCGAGCAGTACGGCTTCAAGGACATTGTCGTCCCCAACGACATTGTCGCGTGGGACCCCACCATCGCGCCCTACCGCGTCTTCACCGCCGAGGAACGTGCCAGCTCCAGGCCCCGTGACTTCAGCCAGACCAACATTGAGGCTATCATGGTCTTCTCCGACTCCCGCGACTACGCCACCGACATGCAGATCATCATGGATTTGCTCCGTTCTGAGAACGGCCGCCTCGGCACGATGGCCAAGGACCCTGTCTCCCAGCGCATCCCCATCTACTTCTCCCAGGGTGATCTTCTGTGCCCCAGCGAGCACTGGACTCCCCGTATGTCCCAGGGTGCCTTCCGCATCGGTCTTGAGGCCATGTACCGTGCTCTGACCGGCGTCGACCTCGAGCGTGTCGTCTACGGCAAGCCTGAGTTGGCCACCTACAAGTACGCCGACGAGGTCATCGCCTCCTGGATGGAGGTCATCCACAACGAGGAGAAGCTGCCCAAGAACATCTACATGATCGGTGACAACCCGGCCTCCGACATCGTCGGTGGTAACATGTACGGCTGGAACACCTGCCTGGTCCGCACTGGTGTCTACCAGGGCGAGGGCAACGACGACGATAACCCCGCTTCCGTTGGTGTCTTCCCCAACGTCCTCGAGGCCATCAAGACCGCCATCAAGCGTGAGCTTGGCGAGGAGTTCAAGTTCGAGTTCGACGAGAAGATCAACCCCGTCCTGCACGGCGACCGCTCTTCCGCCGCTGCCATTGAGTAAAGTGCTTAATCCGGCCCTGCTCTTCGGCTTCGTACGACCGTCAATCATGCCAGGCTGAGCCCGGTGTTATTTTCACTTCTCACATGCGATAAGACAAAAAAGTTCCATATGGGCACTGGGAACAAACCACTATAGACAGCGAAGGCGTTTCTCTATTTTTCCTTTTTCAAGTTGTTTCCTTGGCATCGATAAGTTATACCACATCACGTAGATGGATAGACCTTCAGGATTTTGGGTTTTTGCAAACAAGTTGGTCTACCACCAGGACATGAAGAATGAATTGAAAGGACTTCAAACCTCATCTCTGCTGCTGCACTCTGCTATTGCTCGCTTGTGACACCGTGCTTTCTTGCCCTTTCTTACCTTCCTGCTTCTCCCGCCTTGGTCCCTGAAAACCCACACCACAACCCGCCCACCCCACCTACCTGCTACCATGGGTCCCACGCTTCTCCACGCTTCTCCTCCCAAACCTCCACCCAAATTGCAACCCCTTATCAACACGCCGTTACACCTACGTAGTACCTACTCACGTTCTCCCGCCCTCTCCTGCTAATCCTCATCCCGGCATTCGCCTCATCGCATACACCAAGGCAAAATAAATCCCGCACCCCCGTCGCCGATCCATACTCTGAAGGCGGTGACGCCCCTCGGTCGTCAAGCGCGCGCGCACACGCGCCCACGCTGCCCGAGACGCAGGGCCGTGCTGCAGATCTTAGGGTAGGTTCGGGCCGCGCGAGCAAGCGCTCGGGGCGGCAGGGCGGCAGGGCGGCAAGGCGGGCAGGTCGACACGGGCGAGCACACCCATCCAGGGCCCAGAGAGTGAGGCGGTATGTATGTATGTATGTACGCCGTATGATGTATCGTTACCTGCGGCCGTATGTACGGGCGCTGTATGGGCGGCGCGCGACCCCTGCTTCTTGGGCGCGAGGGCTTGACCGGTCGAACGTCGTCGTCGTGAGTTACGGACTTGGCGGCTTGGATCGGGAGGTGTGGGATTGGGATGTTGGATGGATGGGGTGGTGAGTGGATATGGGTCGGCGAGTGGGTGGGTTGATGTCTGTGTTTTTTGTTTGAACAGCGCTGATGCTGTGGAGAGCGTGGTAGGGATGCGGTTGTCGGATTTGCACGTGATTATCGGCTCTTGATGCTCGCCCCTGCACAGATAGGCGCGATGCCGCGAGGCGAGCAGAAAAAACGCAGCCAGCTGTGCAGAGTGCAGGAGACGAAAGATGTATGTGTCAAAGGACGCATGTATGCCGCCGTCTCACCGCTGGTGTGCTTCCGAGGCTGTGGCGCGCATTTCATCACCTATCGCTCTGCAACAGACCGGGGTGACGTTCAGCGTCTCGGGCCGGCCTGCCTGGTGTTGGCTCAGACGTCAGGGATTGGCGCTGCCGATATGCGCCCTCTCAAGGAAGAGGCATATGGTGTGACTTCAGTGTGAAGGATCCGTGGACGGTAGCGTTTGCTTTTTCTTGAGGTGTTGAAGTCACAGCTGAGGGATCAGCATGGGTGGTCTGGCGGGATAGGAAGGTTGGCCTGGAGTGCTGCTGTGGGAGGTTGGTATCGTGCTATGAAGGGCATGTTTGCCGGGACAGCAGGGTAGATGATAGATGCGCAGGAGATTTGCTGGCACTCGTACGAGCTTGCATGCTTGAAGGTGGCAACTAAAGCTGTATGATGCCTGAGATAGAAAATGTTGGTAGTTCCATTATGGTGGTTGTTCATCACATGACCGCATGCCTAAAATCACGTGCTTGAACATACATACCTAGAGTTTTGAATCGTAATTTCTGTACCTCTTTTCTCGTCAGCAGCATTCAATTCAGTGCCCGGATCCCTGCAAAGCCCTGTCGGCTAGCATGTAATTGTAAACAGGTTAACAGTGGTGTGTGTGACAGGCGCGTCAGCACAAGCGAGCCTAACCTACGCGTCTTTCGACTTCATCAGAGAGCACCAAAAACTCCGTTGCGACCAAAACCATGAAAACTCATGGATTTACTTTAGAACCTTCTCGATCATGTAGCGGAATTGTTTCTGGGACGTGTCGTCTGTAGCAGATGGCAGTTTTTGTGACAATCAATCACCTAGCCTACGGTCTGAATCCACTGGCGTCTTGTTCTGCACTTGTCCGTTATGTCGCTACCTCACCATTCTTGGGCCAAACAAACACGTAGCTGCATACAGTATGTCTAGCTTTCTGTCCGGATGGCCGCATGGGCGGTGTTAGGATATGAAATCAATTCTCTCTAGAGCCATTGAGGTACGGCAAAGCAGACTGCTTCGCGATGTTACGCGTCGCCGACTAGACAACACGGCAAGAGTCCTATCATTATGCATTGCTGAGGTAGGCAGTTAAGAGTTTTCTTAATTATGTCCTGCAATGACGCTGACATTAGGTTGTCAGCAAACGCTGCACTTCTCTGTGTAGAGTAACCCTCTAGTTGCTTTCCGTTTGTATGATGTCACCGACTTCTCCAAGCACACCGACCTTTCTTATTGGTAAATGTCTTTGCTGGTGCCCTTATATTGAGTTTGCACTGGAGTTCGTTAGTAGTATAAGCTCAGAGATATGAGCTTGGGGCGTGGTTCAGCCATGTAAGGTTTGTTTTGTTGCAGACGTGGACAGAGACAGTGTCGCATGCTTTCTCATACCTGTGAGATAAGGTTATCGTGGGGATCTGTGGGGTAACTTCACTTCATTTGCGACCCAAAGTCGTTCGCTCCAGCCACACTTGCCTACTTCTTTTTTTCTTTTTTCTCCTTTTCCCACCGTCCAACACAAAACCTCGCTCACTCAGCCCACACAAACTTTCGACCACCCATCTTAGCAACTTCCCGATTACTCAAGTTACTAGGAGACCTTGGTCACTCAATCTCCACAGAACGTCGCTCACTCAACCCGCTCAGACCTTGTTCGCCTAACCCACACAAACATCTGCTCACTCAACTCACACGGAGCTTTGTCAGCTCAACTTACAAAAACCTCAATCACTCAACTCAGATGAACTTCGCGACCTCTCAACCTATGCAAAGCCTCTAGTCACCGCTGTCCACCCAGCATGGCACCTCACAATGTGTCTGTGGGTGAAGCGAGGGAGCACATCGCTTCCATTAGGCGGGCGAGAGGCTTGGACACCAATTCCGAGAATAACATGAACGCCGAAGACCTTCATGCCGCTCTGGCAATGTATGCTATTTCACTAAAGCCATCACTAGAGAAGAGACTAATTGGCTCTAGGCTCTCCGAACAGCTCTATCAGAAGCCTACTCGCTTTATTATGGAACTAATACGAAATGCCGATGACAATGAGTACGGCAATAAAGTACCTCGGCTCACTATCACCCTTCGCGATCGGCAGCTGATCATCGAGTGCAACGAAGTGGGTTTCAGCAAGCGTAATGTTGAAGCCATCTGCAGAATCAACCATAGCACGAAGGGCAAAAACAAGGACACCGATGGCTACGTTGGCGAGAAAGGCATCGGCTTCAAGTCTGTGTTCAAAGTAGCCGATGTTGTGTGGATTTCGTCGGGTAACTACAGCTTCAAATTCGACAAGAGGGCAGTCCTGGGCATGGCAACGCCCATATGGGAATCATTCCCTCACCCGACGAAGCCTGGATACACACATTTCTGTCTTCAGCTTTGCGATGAAACTGACGTTGACGGCATCCGCGAGGAGCTCCTTGCACTTCAGCCAAGCCTGTTACTTTTCCTCCGTCGGCTTCGCCAGCTCACAGTCAACGTGCCTAGCCTTGGCAAGAAACTCACACTTACGAGTAGTGAGGCCAGAAACTCTTCATTCTACGAACGTTCGCTGAGCAGAGATCGTACAACCATAAGGTATCTGGTTCAGGAACATGTCGTAGACGATATGCCTCTCGAAGAACGTCGACCAGGCATTAGCAACACCAAGATTCTCCTTGCTTTCCCTATGAGCGAGGCAAATGAACCACTATTGGAAGAACAAGAAGTTTTTGCCTTTCTTCCCATACGTTCATACGGCTTCAAGGTAGGTACGGTCCATTTTAGTCAGTGCAATTCACTTCTGACACAGCGAACAGTTCCTCATTCAGGCATACTTTCTCTTAGTTGCTAGTCGAGAAGATATTGATCGATCCAAAAAATGGAATAATCGATTGCTAGCCGGCATTGTGGATGCCTTTGTTCAGGCCGTTGGATCGTTTCATGGCACTCACCTTCGATATCTATGGCCACGTTTCTTGCCCCAATCCATACACCCGGGATCTTTCCTACGAATCGTGGAGCAGCGAACGTTGGACAAACTTGGTCAGCTACCAATCCTTGAATCAGAAAACGGAACCCTTGCAGAACCGGAAACGATACGATACGTTCCCGAGGGGTTTCGCGACGAAGAAGGCGAATTGATGCTTCCCGGTAGCAAGTACAGCCCTCTGTCGCACAGGTATTCGAACTCCGACATCCCACACATTACTCGTCTCGGAGTGGAAAGCTTGAGATGTGGAGAGTTTCTCAACGAATTGAAGAACATGGTCAACTTCCAAGAGAAGCAATTCCAAAACAAACCGGAAAAATGGCACAACAGCCTGGCAAAGACCCTTGTGACGGAACTTTCGTGGGACAATCCAAGGCAGCTACCACTGCTCAGGCTCATTCCACTTGAAAATGGCCTGTGGAGCGCCGCAAAGAACGAGGTCATATTCTTCCAGAATGACAAAGCTGAAATCACAATCCCGCCCGGACTGGAAGTTAAGGTTGCGAGTGTTGGGGCATGCCGCAACCCATTCAGACGCAACTTGTTTGTTAAGCTTGGTTTCAGGGTGTGTGACACAAAGCAGATATGCCAGGCCATTCTAGAGAAACACGCTTCTCTAATACGTTCAGTCCGTACTCTTGCCTCGGTCCCTTCCTTAGATGAAGCGGTCAAGCAAGTATATTTTCTGTATTCCTCACAGCGCCTCGGTCAGGCCCCCAGGATACAAGAAAATAGCATCCAGTTCCATGCCGAGAACAACACTCTCCATTACGGATCAAATCTCTACCTATCCGAAAATGAGATTTGCCCACTGAAAAAGTTTCTTGGAGGATTCCCGCAAGGCACTAACTTCCTTTCTTCCTCCTACCTCGAACAGGTTCCATCCTTAGAGCGGAAGAGCTGGTTCAAATGGCTCCGCGACACATTTGGCATGTCATCCATCCCACGACTTGCCAACAGAAAGAACGCGTTCGCGTCTATTTCGTTGACACCCCAGTTCGAACACATTATTGCCACTTGTGCTTCGCAAGAGGTTTTAACCCTTGTCAGAGATCACTGGAATGATTACGCTCCTGAGTTTAAATACTCTGAGATTACAAGCAAGTTAGAGTCGATGAAAGTAGCCTGTAAAGGGGGATCTACTAGACCGTTACGAGAGACATACCTACCCACAAAACATCTGCTTTCGAAAGTTCCGCCAGGACACGCCATACCTTTTCTGGACATTGAAACCCCCGAGGAGACCAGTTGGCTGAAATTCAGCCGTTTCGGGGTTCGTACTACAGACAATGTGTCTTTCTACCTCAGCTGCTTGCAGGGCTTGCGCACTGTCTCCGGACCACTGGAGCTGCGTCGTGTAGTCGACATTTATGAACGAATACAAGTACGCCTTTTGGATTATGATCAACTTGCTCAGTATGTGACCGGTCCATCATCAGAGTTAAATGTTAGACGCTAACTTCCAACCAGAAAAGAGTTCCGCTCCGAACGTCTTATCTATCTCCCCCCCAAAAAGGGATCATCCAATGTTGGCTCGTGGGCCAAATCTACCGAATGTCGCTGGGACACACCGGCATGTATCAAGTCATTCCGCTTAGCCGCCTATACCCTAATCTCAGCACCCTCTTCAAGAGCTACCTAGAAATTCCCAATGCGGATATTCACGACGTCATCAATGAATTAAAAGGAATTAAGCCAATCCCCAAGGAAGTCCAATATGTCCGCAGTCTCTTTACCGAACTCAACACCATGCTTAAGACATGCAAGCTTAATCTCGCGGATGTATCATGCTTGAAGAGTCTTAAAATCTTTCCAGTCAAGCGCCCTGGAGACTCTTCAAGCATACTGGTTAGCGGTCTCGAGGATTGGTTTGTTGCCGACAGATCTTATTTCAGAGCTAGCTTCGATGCTGCCCTCATGCTCCTAGACTTCCCTCCTGAAGCGGCAGAAGCAATGGCACCACTTTTCAAATTTCTTGGCTTGGGTCACAAAATTCTTTCTGGGGCAGCGGCACAGGAGGTCCGTTACATTGGTGACATTACTCTCGACGAGGCTCATACTACATATCTGCGGAGTAAAGCAGAGCACCTGATTAGACTTACGCCGGTATCGCAGAAAAATTTGGTGACGGTTCAACTTGCCGGCATGAGAGTTTATGCCGCCACAAATGTCACACTTGAACGCCATGTCAAAAGCCAAATCAATCACGGCTCAGCCAAACCACAAACTGTATACGGCAAGCCCGAAGAGGGAAGGGTGGTTTTCGAGTTGAACTCAGGGAAGGCCGATGAAAAGGCTTCCTATCAGAACCAAGACCTTAGCATCTTTATTGCTGTGGAAGACTTGAAGGATGAAACCTTCCCACCATACCAGCTTGCGGATGAGTTTATTAAGCTCTTCTGTATCGAAAACTCCGGTTACAAGGCTTTGGTACCGCATGTTATCTCTACAAAAGACCCGACTCGGACTTACGAGATGCTCGAGAGGCATGAGGTTGACTCTATTCAAGCCACCCCAACTGTATCAGAGGACAAGGGGCCCGACAAAGAGGATGTGGTCAACAGCAACCCAAAGCCCCAGAGAGATCGGGTAAGTCCAAAGACCAACAGCAACGACCGTTCCAACAGGCTTTCGGGCACGCAAAGCTCAATCCATGCACAAACCTTCGGTCAACTTCACAGTAGGCCAAGGAGTCAACGTGGTACAGACTCTTTAACTATTTCGAGCTCTGTGCAAGTACGTACTGAAGGAAACGAAGAAGACAAGCGCACAGGGTTTGAAGGAGAGAAGTTCGTAAGTTAAATAACACTTGCCAGTCTTGTTACAGTGTGGGGAACTAACTGCAATGCGCAGATGTACCAACTGCTCAAAAATTGGGACGACAGCCTGACTCCGTCTGTTTGGACAAGCCATTTCCGTGAAAGAGACGGACATGCACCATTCTCAGAGGACAGCAATAGTGCTGATTTTACGATATGCGCCGAGGACAAGCTTAAAAAGCGGCTGGTAGCGGAAATTGCGGAGCAGCTGTCCACTGGTACTGCAGAGCGCTTAGTGGCCAGTAGTGACTCAGCTACTTTCCATATCGAGGTAAAGGGTACAAAGGGGCCTTGCGAGTTAGAGTTCTTTTTGAGCGACTTGCAGTGGAAGATGGTATATATTCCTCCCCTCCTTTCTTGCTATATTTTTCACTGACCACGCCCACAGGCTCGAGAATACACCTGTCGAGGCGACGGAACGGTACCGGAGGACATCTACATCCTCGTAAGGGTGTTCAACATTGACTCGACGCCACAATATCGTTTCTACGTTGACCCCTGGAACATGTACATGCAAGGCGAGCTGAGTCTGAGACCGCAGGGCGAGTACATCGTCTCAATCGAGGAGTAGTTGATAATGCTCAGGAAGTTTGGAAGAAGGAAAAGTTCCTGGGTAGTTTGATCTCCTAGCCTCTCAATTAGATCGAACTTTGTATGTAGTCACATACTCAGAGGCTTGAGTATACGAATCAACGTATTGCCGTATTCTGTTAAATCTCTTGGTGATACATGTAACACTTTCTTGTGTAGAGCTTCGACTTCCTTACTTTCCCTACCGATTTATCCTCTTATGCCCTTATATGCTATAGTCGCGATCTTGTATATTCGTGTCTTCGTGTCCTTTCGAATACATTCGTTCCCTCATATGATTTTTGATTACATACCTTTGTAGTGTACCTTCATTCTTCGTATATCTCTATATTTATATTTCTAAAACTGCTGTTATGTTCTCGCGTCTTTTGTGTTACGTGGCGATTGTCCAATCTCATGACCGGTAGTTTGTCTTTGGGCGTATATTTCAGTATAACACGCGTACACTTCAGAACGCATTCTGTCATCAAAAACACCATCCTCCGCATCGTGAACCACGCATCAGCAAAATAACTAGAAGTTCATGGACACAAACACGTCCGCAACATAAGCCATCCGACCGTGCTACTCCCACGAGACAGCCGGTTCAACGTCAACAAAATGTCCAGCTCCGCGCTCTCAGCCTCGGCAAAAGGGGCAACCTTTCTCATTTTACAACAAGTCGCCTCTCGCGCTCTCACATTCGCCGTCAATCAAGTTCTCCTTCGTTTCCTATCTCCCGAGCTCCTGGGCGTCTCAGCGCAGCTCGAGCTCTTTTCCATATCCGTCCTGTACTTTTCGCGCGAGAGCCTGCGCGTCGCGCTGCAGCGCCAGGCCAATGGCGTGCAGGCCGTGGTCAACATGTCGTACATAGCGATCTACGCGGGCGCGGCACTGGCACACATTCTGCCGTGGCTGTGGCTGCGCGCCGACGTCCCCGACGTGGCCTACTTCCGGCAGTCGCTGTGGATGTACGCCTACGCGGCCATCTTGGAGCTGGCCACCGAGCCGGCGTTCGTCGCGACGCAGCAGCTGATGCTGTATAAGATCCGCGCGTCGGCCGAGTCGACGGCCACTGTCGTGCGCTGCTTCGCTACGTGTGGGTTCGCCATCTTCGCTAGTAGGCTGGGCTTCGATCCAGGAGCTTCACCGTTCGCTGTAGGACAGCTGGCGTACGCGGTGGTGCTGCTGGCGGTCTACTTATGGAAGACGGTGCCGGTGACCAGAGAGCACAAGTTCAAGCTGTCGCTTGGGCCGATACCGAACAGGTAGGCCAGGCCGCGCAAGATCCCTTTACCACCAGACAAGCAATTAACCAACAAACGCAGTAACTCCGCCGACTACTTCCTCAACACCTTCTCGCGCCCCCTCTCCAAACTAAGCCTCAGCCTCTTCCTCCAATCCAGCATCAAATACGTCCTCACGCAAGGCGACGCCATCCTCATCACGTCGCTCGCCTCACTGCGCGACCAGGGTGCCTACGCCCTCGCATCCAACTACGGCGGTCTCATCGCGCGCATGCTCTTCCAGCCCATCGAAGAAAGCAGCCGCAACCTCTTCGCCAAGCTCTGCGCACCGGAGAAGCCCCCCTCCTCTTCCCCCGCAAAACCGTCTCTCCGCCAAGCCCGCACCATCCTGACGCTCATCCTGCGCCTGTACCATCTCATCTCGCTGGCAGCCTGCGCGGTCGGCCCCACCCTCGCGCCGCTGCTCCTGCGCCTTGTCGCGGGCGCCCGCTGGGCCGACACAGAGGCCGGCGATACCCTCGCCACGTACTGCTTCTACGTGCCGCTTCTGGCGCTGAACGGCGTGACCGAGGCGTTTGTGGCATCGGTGGCAGGAAACGCGGAGCTGGCGGCGCAGTCCGTGTACATGGGCGGCTTCTTCGCGGGGTTCGCAGGCGCTGCGTGGCTGTTTCTGCAGGTACTGCAGCTGGGAGCGAGGGGGTTGGTGTTTGCGAACTGCGTTAATATGCTGATGCGGATTGTTTGGGGGTTGGGTTTTATCAAGCGCTACTTTGCGCGCAATGGTGAGGTGAGTTTTGCGCCTTCAATTCCTTTTTCTTCTTCTTCTTCTTCTTCTTCTTCTTCTTCTTCTTCCTTTTGTGGTGGGTACGACGACTGACATAGTTCGCCCGCGCCCAGCATTTCGACTACCTCGCCACACTGCCCAAAGGCATGAGCATCGCTGCGGCAGTCACAGTGCCCGGCGTGTTGAAGCTAACAGAAGGCGCGCTGGCGCGGTACGGCCTCCTCGGGGAACTAGTCCGCGCGGGTGGTGTTGCCGCCGTCTTTGCCGTCGTGATGTAAGTAGTCCTGCTCTGCTTTCTAATCCCACCGCTACTATAGAGCCATCAAGTGCGTTACTGACACCCTATGTGTAGTCTTTTCCTCGAGCAGGAGTACTTGAAGCAGTGCTACCAGATGCTGCGGCCGAAGAGGGAGGCGCCAGTGGAGAAAAAAGAGGACTGATGCTGGGCTTTGTATGTTTCGGAGCATGTAAGTGTATACTGGCATATGTGCACAGATAAAAGAAGTGGAGATACTCGCCTGTGAGTATAGGTCTTGGCCGAGCAAGCACAGATACCCGGCCTACGCATGTAAACGTGTGGTCTACGCCACACCACTCCAACACAGCAGCTACACATCAATCTGCATTTCGAGGAGTTGGCCATATTAGAAAACGCGTTTAAGGTATACGAAATCAAATCCGACAATTACTCTGCTCCCAACCGCTCATTATGGTATCATGCAATCATGAAACACCCCACAAACGCCCTAATTACCATAACTTTCCCCCAATACTTTCCCTCTTACTACCACCTAAAAAGCTAAACCGTCTTACGCTGTTGCAGCGCATCCAACTCCGCCGTCTCGTCCAGCAGCTGGCATGTCTCAGTCGGGTTCGCGATCCAGGCCGTCGTGCACGCCAGTCGGGCCTTGAAATCGTTGGCCCCGGCCGAGAGGAATTGGTCCCCTACGTGCAGTGTCTTGCTGCCGTCGATGCCGCCGAAGAAGCGCTGGCAGGACAGCACGCCCCAGGACTTGTCGCCGATGTCGACGAAGACGTCGTTGCCGCCTGCGGGGTTGATGCGTTAGTGCGTTGTTTGTGTAATAGGTGGTGAGTAAAAATAAGGTGGCTTACCGTTGAAGGCGCAGAAGGGAAGCCGCTGGCCGACGTCCGACATTTCAAGGATCTTCTGCGTTACCAATACCGTCTCTTCGAGCTGCTCTCGTGTGAACCGGCCACCAGGGGCAGGAATAATACCCACGGCACGCTCTTTCCGGATCAGCTGGGCCGGGAGACGCAGGTTGTTTACGCATTCCTTCAAGGCCGCCTCCGCTACGTTGAGCAGAGCGGTGACGTCTTCCTCGGTCCAGGATTGCATCTCTTCCAGGATCCACTCCTTGCGTGGGACGAACTTGAGCAGATTCGGCGCATCATCGGAGTACTTGAAGAGGTAGCTGCTCTCGCCTCCGAGCACGATGATGTTTTGCTTGAGGTGCGCGGGCAGGTCTGAGGAGTGGATCGCGTCTAGAAGACCATACAGGCGCTCGTAGTATCGCCGGCTTTCGGTGTAGCCGGCTGCAGTCACTATGCCGATGCTCGTGCCGTTGCGCATGAGGCCGAGGATCCGCGGGATGATGGGGTTGTCTGGAGTCAGTGATTGGCCGTCATCGTAAAGCGTTACATCTCCATCGAATGTGACAAGCTGCAAGGGACCAGCGCGGACCAGAGACATGACTTGGGCAGTGTTGAGAATGATCCGGATATCGTTGAACGAAGGGGCCACAAAGCGGCGGTGACTGATGAAGCGGCGAGCATCTTGGTAGACGAAGGCATCATGGAGGAGCAATGGCGTGAAGAATTTGGACACGGCGGGGACGAGGAGCCTGAGCTTCGAGTGGTTCTCGGTGCCCGCTCTTTGGTGGGCAACTGCATCACCTTAGACGCGCTTCCTTCACGTGGTTCATAGTGGAGAGGTAGAGACGGACTGTGGTCGTTGATAAGTTCTTCTACATCACGCAAGATTTCGGCATATCTGCGGTGGGCAATCGAGGCCATTTCCTCGGTGCTCCCATGGCGAGGCTCAAACACGGCGGTCGGCTGCGAGTGTAGCACGAATGGCACGGCCAGCAGCCCCTAGTGCGGGGAAAGGGATCAGCTTCGAGCGGGGCTATGATGAAGCGTTAAAGTGTACCTTGATCCATTCGATCTGCAGAACAAATTAGCTGGAGCGCCTACGGCGGCGGAGCTTCAGTGTCTCATACCAGTTGATCGCGACGGTGAGTCTTCCCGAGATGTTAGCATGGCGGGCGTCATGAGAAGCACGAGCTAGCGCACCTTGAGTGCATCTGGAAAGGAGATAGATCAGCGATTCGAGGTCCAATCGAAGGGGAAAGCTGGGGAAACGTACATTCAACTCTGTATCTGGTCGTCATAGTGATTGAAGCGAATGCGTGCAAAGTAGCAAGGTGGCAGAAAGGGAGAGAGGGAATAGGAAGCTGACAGCCGTGAGAGCTTGAGCTGTCGGCGGGCTCCGACCAGGGGCCCAGAAGGGGCAATCCTTATCGATAAAGCTCGGGTGCACGGCTACACCCGCCGTTAGCTTCGGCTTCATCGACATTCCAACTCTTTCCTACCTATCTACGCCAACATGACCGACCCCTCCTCCTCCTCCGCGCCAAACTCACCTTTTCCGCTCTCTCTGCGACCATGGCCCAACCAAGGCGAAAAAGACGAGCCGCTGATCATCCAATTGGCGCGCATATCGCATCAGTTTGGCCAGTACAGACATGTCACCGAGGAAAAACTCCAGGGCATGATTATCGATGAGGAGGCCGGCATTGTGCAGACTGCCGAGGGCCAGGATGAAGAAGAGGAAGAGACTGCCGACGACGTGAAGAAGCGCGTCGAGGAACTGGCCAAGGCCAAGGGCGAGATGTTTAGACACATCAAGTAGGCTTTGGACGAGCTCGATGCGGCGCCAAGAGCTAATCCTATGCAGTGACGCCCAACAAGAAGTTCTCTACGCGATCGATTTCCTAGGCCTGCTTTTGTCAAAAGACAGCGCACGAGCCAAAGACCAAATGTCGCCTGCTTTGAAGACCAGCGGAATACCGGAAGGCTCTTTTGGGTACGACAAATGGCCTGTGAAGCAGCCCGATGCACGACAGAAAAAACAAGAGGATCTCGTCGCCAAAGGCTGGACCATGGACAGTTTGGGCACCTCGGCGGATAACCTGCTACAAGCCGCGACCAGATTGGAGAAGGAGGTTCGCAAGGAAACACAATATTGGGGACAGATTTTGTCTATCACAAAGAAAGGATGGTCGCTCCGCCGCGTGCCCCGCGAACCCGGTACCTTGGGTGTTTCGTTCGGTTTTGCAGAAGCTAGCGATCAGTTCAAGGCTCGTGGTTTTGCGCCCCTGCGCACCAGAGACGACGGGAGCATCATTTTGGACCAAACCCTTGTGCAGCAGCCTAAATCTGTTCGTGTGCGCATTGTCCAGGACGGCAAGGTTGTGGGCTCTTCCCACCAAGGCAGCCTGGCGTTTGCTCCCCACAGCGACCAAGAAATCGAAGACCTCATCCGGCGCGCACGCGACTCCCTTTTCGAACAGGAACTGTTTCATGAGATGGCTATGGAAACACGAGGCCTTCTCTCCAACAATGTTCGCTTCCGTGACAACGTCATCATAATACCGACAGGCCTGGCTCACGAGTCCGAGGACGAAGTCCGAAGGGAAATTCACGTGGACTTGATACTTTTAGAAGAAGCAGAAGAGCTATTACCAGATCACACTGATGACCAACTAGCCAGGGACATTGCTGTGGCGCTCCGCATGCTGCTTTCTCATGCTCACAGACAAAGGCTGAAGCGGCGCTCTATGCCACCAGCCCCTCTAACGGAACGTAAGAGGGTGGATCAGCCGCCGCCTATGATTCGGACACTTCTGAACTATATCCACCACTATGCTGCTACGAATCATCTAAGGAGCTATCTTGAAGCCCATAGTCGTGCGCTCACTAAAGCGGGCCTTCAGCTCTCGTTCGACCTCGAGCGGACACAGTCCAACATCAAGGATCTCATGGATGAGAAACGCTCCGCCATTTCGCGTGTTACCTTTATCGACATGATAATGTCGGCCTTGACTCACCCTTTGCAAGCTACTTTCAGTATTACCCTTCCCTCCTCCGCAAGCGATTCAAAACCGCAGCAAATCAATATTGTTCTGCGCACGCTCGTGCAGCCACCTATTCAAGGGACTGAAATTATGGTGTCGTTACCCGCGACACTGACCCGCCTCCTCTACCTAGACGCTCCGGGCGCCACAAACAGCCAAAAGCGTCTCACATTCGACACCATGAACGATCTCACCTCGTACCTGGATGTCGGACTCGCCATCGACATTGTGCATAATCTGCTCAAGTCCGAGCTTTCCGGCTTTAGAGCTATTGAACGGGAGCCGGAGCTCGAGACCTTGTTCAAGGTGGAAGCCCCGTCGGTAGAGTCGAAACCTCCGAAAAAGACGTTGAGGATCGGATTGCAGCTCTCTGGCCCCGGCGTATTGAAGGCGAAGGCGTGTCCTGCGGATGGGGAGAGTGCTGATGAGGAGATTGTGTGGAGCGGGAATAAGGATGAGGTCAGGCCTTTGAGGGAAGTCATTAAGAAGCTGGCTGGGACGGGAAATTGATTGGATTTTGAGGCACAAATGGTATAATATATCCAGAGAAAACGTAGGTAGCTAAGAACCTAGTGCAACGGCTACGGACCAAGTAGTCTCTTCAGTAGTTGAATTTGAAATAACCGACGTTGATGTTGTGCAGTATGCAATGGTGCATAATATTCTGCGAAGGATTGCGGCACGACAGGGCCTCGGTTCATAATAAGCCCCCAACGCCGAGAGCCGACGCCTGAATTGCCTTGATTTTGATTGCTGGAAGGCAAAATAGCATGATCGTTCGAGGTGGTCACAAGACCGGTGACTGCCCTTTTGATAGTCGTGCATATTACGGGAGCCAGACCTGAGGATATGCATACGGCACTTATAGTTCTAAAGGGAAATGGGCACACGTACCGTAGTACTGTAAATGCATGCGGCTGTTGGCTTTCCACTTTCCAGCGACAAAAAGCCGGCAGGGCCCGGGCGCCACAAACGGGCGGCGGCGCGCCCAAGCCACACGCGACGACGATGGCGGGGCAACGCGGGGCAGGAAAGCTGGGAATCAAGCTCGTGAGCGAACGCAACCATTTGATGTCACGTCAACCGATTTACTCGAGGATCCACTTTGTGTCTCTCCACAATCTCACTTCCCCGGCCTAACACCTGCTTACAAGACTCTCTCTCCGCGCTCCTCTGCCCTTCCCCAGCTTCCCTTCGTCCTCGTGCCTGCACATCGTCAATCGTGAAACAGTCGCTCGAAGAGTCGAAGCTCGTTATTTCCATCCATTGCCCCACCTTCATCATGGCGGTTCCCACGGCGACCTCTCTCAAGGACATATACCCTGAGGATGCGATTGCGCACCAGCAGAAGCGCTGGGAGCACCTGCTCGCCTCGTTCAAAGAGAAATACGGCAAGCCCGCCGACTTCGTGTCGCGGAGCCCTGGTCGCGTGAACATCATCGGCGAAGTAAGCCAGCCATCAGCAGCAGCGACGGATAAACCAGACCAAAGACGGCGAGATGCTAATGAAGCGCAAATATAGCACATCGACTACTCGCTGTACGAAGTGCTCCCCATGGCTGTAACGACCGACGTGCTCATCGCCGTCGCCGTACGCCCCACCACCGAAGAACCACGCATCCGGATCGCGAACGTCAACCCCGAGAAATTCCCTACACGCGAGTTTGAAATCCCGAAGCAGGGCGAGATTCCGATTGACGCGACGTCGCACGAGTGGACAAACTACTTTAAGTCCGGGCTACGCGGCGCGTCGAAGCTGTTGACACAGAAGCGCGGCGATGGGAAAGACTTCGTCTCGGTGGGCATGGACCTCTTGCTGGATGGCACGGTGCCGGCTGGCGGTGGACTGTCCAGCAGTGCAGCATTTGTGTGCGCTAGCGCTTTGGCTGTCATGAAGGCAAATGGCGAGGAGAGCGTGGACAAGAAGGAGCTTGTGGAGCTCGCTGTCGTCTCTGAGCGTGCTGTGGGTGTGAACTCCGGCGGGTAAGTTGTGCGTTCGCCTTGAAATGAGTGTGTTGCTAACAGTTGACTAGCATGGACCAGTCTGCCTCTGTCTTCTCTGACCGCGGAAGTGCACTCTACGTCTCCTTCAAGCCCACACTTTCTGCCAAGCCTATTTCATTCCCTCACACTGACCCTGAACTCACCTTTGTCATCGCTCAGTCGTTCGTAGCAGCAGACAAGCACGTCACGGCGCCCGTCTGCTACAATCTGCGTGTAGTGGAGTGCTCAGTGGCGGCCGTTTACCTCGCCAAGGTCTTCAACCTGAAGAAGCCTCTCCCGGAGGACTCTTCTCCTCTAAAAGTCAGTCTGCGTGGCTTCCACGATGCCTTTTGTGAGGAACGCGAAGGCAAGACGGAAAACAGCAAAACCTCGCTTGAAGAATTCCAAGCGCAGCTGCAACGGCTTGTCCAGCTCACCGAAGACTACCTCATTCAAGAAGAAGGCTACACACGCGAAGAGATTTGCGACCTGCTCGGCATCAGTATCGATGAGTTCAACCAGCGCTTCACGTCGCAATTCCCGGTACGGGCGGAGCGGTTCAAGCTGCGCCAGCGTGCCCTGCACGTTTTCAATGAAGCGATCCGTGTCGGGAAGTTCCTGACGCTGCTGACCTCTCCGCCTGCCGAGTCTGGCCCTACCACGCAGCTGCTGCAAGACCTGGGCGAGCTCATGAACGCGACCCAGACGTCCTGCCGCGACGTATATGAGTGCAGCTGCCCGGAGCTGGACGAGCTGTGCGGGCTCGCGCTCGGCGCGGGAGCGCTAGGCAGCCGCCTTACGGGTGCCGGGTGGGGCGGATGCAGCGTCCATCTTGTGCCGAAGGATAAGGTGGACGCGGTGAAGCAAGCTTGGGTGGACGGTTACTACAAGAAGAAGTGGCCAGAGATTACGCAGGAGAGGCTGGAAGAGGCGATTGTGGTGTCGAAGCCTGGGTCCGGAAGCTCGGTTTTTAAGGTCGTGGGGGATAAGGTCGTTTGAATGCCGGAGGTGATGATTGATTGCTGCCTGGAACGGTGAGGCATTTTGGTATAATGGTGGATCTCTGCGTAGCCAGATAGACGGTACTAGTAAACGCTCTCGTATGTGAAAGACCGAGTTCCATGATATATGACATTGATTGGTACGGTTGCATGATCCCTGACAATTGTGGCTGACCAAGCAGACCTCCGGGCTCTACGTATGCGCTTCCAAAAAAAAGTAACATGCCACAACACCCATCCATCATCCTTGCCCGTGAGCCGCCGATCTTCTCGTACCACACAGCCCACACGCATGTACCTACGTCAAGCTCTGACACCGCATCCTCAGGCTTCAGGCCCTGTAACAACCAACCATTACCACCACGCCGGTTGTGGCTGTGACATTGGCGTGCCGGCCAGCTGGGCTCCGGAGGATGTGTTTCAGCTCCACGCTGGTAGTTACGCAATATGTAGTCGGCGCGTGCGCTCGTACGGGGAGTGGAGATCTCTGGGGCGCAGCCGACTGGGGTCGTGATCCTGCGCTGGGAAAGTGCGTGGTTGGGACGTGGGTTGTGGGCTGGGGGTCAAAATGTTGCTGCCTGGAGGTTGGTTGTTTATGTAGTAAGAAAGAAGAGCTGTGAGGCAGAGTAGGCTTATGCGTTACGTCCCTTCGTTCAGTCGAGATACAAGAGACTGAACTCTATCTATCCCATCTCCTCTCAATCCACCTCCCTCCCTCCGAACCCACGAACCCACAACCACCGCCACCATGCCAGCCCTCCACGCCAGCACCGACACCATCGGCGCCGCCGGCACCCTCAACCCTTCCTCCCCCGCCAGCAGCGCAAAGCAGACGCAGCGCCTGCTGCGTCGCCTGCCCCTCTTCGCCTTCCCTCCGGCCTTCGCCCTCCTCCTCGCCCACGGCATCGTCAGCAGGCGCGTTTTCCCCGCCCTCGGCCTCGCACCTCTTGGCTACTCCGCCTTGCTGAGCGCTGTGCTGCTGTGGTGCGGGTTGACGTATTCGCCTGCGTTGGGCTCGCCCACCAGCTCCGTTGGCGCGGCCCTCGTCGTGTTCATCCTGGACGCCGTGCTCGCGGGCATGAACCTGGCGTTCTTGATCGTGAGCTGGGTTGACATGCCCAATGACTGGAGGTGGGGGCGGAAGGACCTGATTGTGTTGGGAACATATGGAACTGTGTTTATGATACTGGATTGGTATGTTTTCCCTCTTGGGTTATGTTCGCCTCTTCTTCCTTCTACTACATTTGCTGGCGGCCGAAGGGGGCGACCCTTGCTAATGCGAGTGCAGTGCCATCCATGTGTACTTTGTGGTCCGCTACGGTCTGCAGGTCATCTACGCGCAGATGCCGAAGTGCCCGCACTGCCATTCGAGATTGAAGATAGCGCATAATGAGTTTGGCGAGCATGCGTCGGTCTACGCGTCTTTGGCGGAGTACGATGAAGAGGATGATTGTTATAAGGACGTGGCGAGCGCCAGGGAGTCGACTGAGTCGACTGAGCTGAGGAAGTAGATTGGCCAAGTGAAGAGGCGACCTCTTGACTCTTGAAAGACCTGAGGTGCTTTGGGATTTGAAAAATACATCAAGAGAAGGGGTTGGTCAGGTTGCCAGTTATAAAGAGACAAGAACGTAACAAGGACGTGAATTTGGTCATCATTCCTTCTGGCATTGAGGCATTGAAGACAGTCGCATCTTACAGGATATCAATCCTGGATATAGACGTTGGAAGACATCAGCATTCATCGTATGGACAATATATCTGATTCGGCAAAACGCAAAGAAATGGTCAGTATAGTACTCTCACTGGCGCTTGGCCTTGATATACCGCATGTTCCTCAAAAGCCAATCAAAATATGGACTGCCGTCAAAATACTTGACACTAAGCCAGAGCAAACCAGACTCTTGGCACACTCGACGATCTCGTCACCGCCTAGCTTGCTCTTTCCGTACTGGGTGTAGGCACATCGGATTGGAACGGGGCCGCTGTGGAGTAAGAAATATGGTTGCCGCAAACAGCACATGTGTTTGTACTCGTGGAGGCAACGAATTACGACTCAGGAACTCAGATGCAGACGCCTAATTCCAGTCCGATGCGCCTGTACAGGGTACAGGCGGTCCACAAAGACGATGGACACCTCGGCGATCGAGAAACCCATGGCCTTAGCTCTCACCGCGATCTCCATCTGAAAAGTATAACCCTTACCCTCGGTGCCGGTGATGGCCTTGGCAAGGGCTTTTTCTTGTATAGCCTACCGCTGCCAGCCACGTCGCTATCGCCAGGGCGCAACAGGGTGTTGACGAAGTTGTTGGCACCGCGACTGAGGGCAGGAGAACGGAGTACTTGCCGTCGGCCATTGTAGAAATAGTATGGAGGGCTCCGTTGACGGGCTAAGGAGCGATTGGGGTTGAAGAGCTTGTAAAGTTAACTTGGTGTTTTCCCCGACCCTAAGACGTTAGTGTTGAGTCACATGAGAGATAAGATAATCTAAATCTATTGACGACCGGTAGGCTTCAACCTTGGCTTCTTCAAAGCCAAACAACCTCCAGCACTCATACTATCATGCCGACCCTAGCAGGTACTCTCATAGCGGGTGCGAGCATCCGAAGGATGCCTTCTACCTCTTCGCAGCACGTTGCCCCGGTGGACGCCCCAACTCGCCGAATCCCGGGGTGGGGATCTTAGCATCGCAAACTCGAGGATATTCTTTGGCACCGCAAAAATGTGCACCGCCTACGAAACACACCGCTACCTGCGGCTTCCGAGGAAATACTCAGGCCTATTGTACAATACGTTTTGACCCCAGAGGACGCGGGCCCCTGTATGCGCATACGGGACAAAGACATCGCAGACACCGTTGAGCCCCGCCGCGGCCCGCCAGCTCCATCCGTATGGGGCGGACGAACAGCAAGCAGACAGAGCGTCAAGACATCCCGCAACAATGCGTTGAAGAAGGGGAAAGCGGAAGGTGCAGCGAATGCACCCGTACGCCCGAAGTTCCATAAGCCGCCAAGCCCGGATGCTGAACCAATGAACGCCAAGAACCAAACCGATGGTAAGCGGGCACGGCGGGTCAAACGAGAAACCCACGGAACATCCTGCCAGCAAAGCGCCTGTTGCTGAAGAAACCAGGAGGCCTCGGCAGACGAAAAGCTTCAATGCAAGAAAAAAAAAAGTAAAAGAGGAAGTGGAGTGATGGGTCTGATGGAGAAAAGGAAACGCTCAAGGGGAAATTGGGGTGGGCACCGCGGTTATATCGAGGGCGTGCTATTTGTCGGGTGCTCGTGGGACATGGTGCGGTGTCCGAAAAGATTGGAGCGTTGAGGGGCGGTCTGTGTGATTTCACCAGGCGTACAGCAGGGGGCGTGATTAATATTCAGCAGGTTTGTTGGAGGTTCCGCATGAAGCCAGGGACAAGTGCGGGTGTCTTCGCGGGGTAAGTTTGCACCAACTTATGGTGGAATATGGGGTAGCGACAGCATGGGGATGCTTCCCCTCAAATTGCGAGCAGGATGAGGTGAGTGTCAGTCGATACAAGTCGCCAAACGTCCTGATCTTTGGCCATCAAGGTCCGAGTTGCGTGCGGGGATCTGCGGTGGGCCTTCCGTTAGTCGGAATAGCTGCCGAAAAGTGAGCGATAAGCGTTCCCTGTCGTCACCATGATCGTGCACCTTGATGGACCCTTTTTGGACACGACCTTGGGATTCCGTCTGTCATGATGGCGGTCGAGGCTTTGCTGATCCCCTTCGCGCGCTTTCTCAGCGGGCGGGTCTTGAGCAAAGAGGAGTCATCTCTCGTCCCCTCCGCTATCAAAGACATCATCCTCCTCGACTCTTGCGATTTTACCCGTTGCTCCGTTCGACCGCGCCTCGACTTTAAGCTGCCGCGGAGCTGCCACGGTGGACGCAACTGTAACAGCATCGACTGTCTATCCCATACCTAATTTCGCCATGGACGCAACTATGCAAGCGGAGACCTCTCCACTACTCCGACTGCCTACGGAGCTTCGTCTAATTATCTACGAACACCTTCTACTTCCTTTTGTTTCAACCAATGCCGCCGGCGAGATCAACACGCCTAAACGCGGCCCTAGAATTACGGCGTCGGAGTACCATGAGTATGAGATGGGTAGCAATAGCAACGCCTTCGCCTCGGGTCCACGCACCCTGCGAATCCGCACCATGGACCCAACCTCATTACCCCCTACCAGGCGGACAAAATACCACATCCGGAGCGACCGTTTCCGAACCCGCACGACGATGACAACGTACGCTCTGCAACAAAATCCAGGCCTCCACACGGCCATACTGCAGACTTGTCGTCAGTGCCACGCTGAGGCAGCCGAGCTGCTATATTCATCTTACACCTTTGACTTCGACACTCACGTCGAAGCCGTGATACCTTTCCTGGCGGACCTGACTCCCATAGCACGCGCCAGCATCTCCAGCGTGGCGCTCATCAAACGCGCACTGCCGTACGTCAAGGAGTTTGACCGCGCAGAGTGGCATTCGGCATGCGAGTACATGGCGACAGAGCTCACCATCCCCACACTGCGGCTAAGCCTGGGCGTCGTGGCGGGGAAACCCGGACCCAACGGGTGGGTCGACGTGCCCGAGCTGACGGTCGACCATTTCCGGCTCGTGCAGCCGCGCTCGGTGAGGAGCAGGGTGTCATCGGGCTCGAGCTCGCGGGCCTCCACGCCGTCGTCATCGTCATCGGCGAGCGATGACGAGAGCGAGATCACCGTCCCTGGCTTGGGTCTCAAGGCTATTGCGGGCGTCGAGTTCGAGTGGGCAGAGCAGCTCATGTGGATGCGTGGCTTGAGGGCCATGCATGTCAGAGCTATCATCGAGCATTGCCCGCCGCCCGAGAGCGAGACGATGGCGTTCTGGGTGAGCTTTTCGAAGAGCATCGAGGGCGCTTTTAGCGATTGGATCAGGGGCATTATGCTTGCATAGGCTCTATTGTTGGTGTTTTGTCGCGGCGTCGGTACGGTTTGGATTGAATCAACCCTTTTCCAAGTTTACTATTCGGTTGCCTCTTTTATGGACCATAGACACGGGATTCGAGAGGAAAATGGGGGCGTTGTTAGCAACGGGCAATTTGGTTATGAGATTCTTGTTGAAAGCTGTGTTAAAGATACGTCTTTACCTATGCAGTTTAGCCCGTAATATCATACTTCAACTTAAACTCTTTGTAGGCTGTGTCTTCTGAGAATCTTCAATCCATGTAACCTTCCTGGGCCGGCACAGCAAATACGCTCCGCAGGGGAGAGCGCCACAGCGTGCAGCCACGGGGGTCGCTACCTGTCGCTAGGTACTTACAGGAGCCCCATGAGTCTCAGTGAGGTCGCCTGCCTCGGGCAGGTAGGAATGCTCCACCATCAACATGCCTTCCCTTCTAGTCCGTCTATGTCTGTCGGCCTCCGCCCTCGGAAGTATAAACCCCCCCCCCCCCCTCGTTTCCTCCTCTTCTTTCTTCCTCTCCACTCTTCTACCGTCTACTCAGACAGCCTGCGGACTTGAAGCTGAGCCCCAAATGCTCGAGGTGTGGCACTCGTAATGCGAAACGTCCACTGCCTCTGCAGTCACGTGTTATGACACTCTACAAGGGTAAGGTCTTTGGCCCCCACGACACTATCTCTTGCCAAATTTGGTAGGTCTTGACAGAATGGTAATGGCTTGCGCGTCTGATGTGTGCAGTTTCGTTCAATGTCCTCGTTTAAAGCCCTCTCGCCTTTCGTTACCAAATGAACACTGCGAGAGTGGATAAAATGTAGAACTAGGTCAGCTGTGGACTCCACTTGTGGTATCTCCATGAGAGCGGCGAGAAGAATTGCATAGGTTTTTTCTGTTTGGTGTAAAATGAATGGTGTTCTCCTCCCTCCCTTCGGCTACAGGACCGCACGGAGTGCAACGTGCCCGAGACTCCCAGTGTTTGCTTTTTCTGTCGGATATCATCAGCCGATCATGGCATGGTACCTGGTTATTTCTCCTTTTCATGTTTATCTGTTTCCACCCTCTCGGAGAATTTTACAGATTTATGTGCTTCTCCGCCAACCGTCACTGACAACCTCGCGCACGGCCCATAGACACCGAGGATTCTGCCACCTTTCGTCACTCGAAGACAGTTCGGTAGAATTGAGGAGACATAACATATAAAGGCGTGTCCCCTTAAAGGGGTGTTGGAATCTAGGATCCATGTTGGATAGGTAGTGAGAGCCCAGCGTAGATATAAGAGTCCGTCCGGTGATGGCGTGAAATGTCGAGGGGTAGAAATAGGTTAATGTGGGGATGAGAGATGATCTATTCCCTACTTGATCAAGTAGGTAGGCGGTTTGAGAGAAGACAGGGAGTTTGTAATTGAAACGGAATGGCCCGTTCTCTGAGGCCCTTGTAAGTATGCGTTTCTCGTGGGGGCTATGCTGCACATCGTTCGATGCTGTCCAGCTTCCTTGCTCCTTCGTCGCATTCCAACATAATATTTGTCCTTCCTTCGATTCCCCATACACCAATCATAACACAGTAACTGTCTTTATTAGGTAGACCTTTCCCCGACAAGCCGAAGCGACACAACAACAATGTCCGGCCTCGAAGCCGCCGCCAATATCCTCGCCTTAATAGGCGCAGCTCAAGACGTCAGTCGACTAACAGTGAGGCTACTCAAGCGCCTCAAACATGCTCCAGTGGAGTTCAGAGCTCTGCTTGAAGAAGTCGAGAATATGCAGCTCGTGCTAGCCAGAGTGGAACAGACCCACGAGGCATTGGAGAAAAGCCCTTCAGATCTCAAGAGACTTATCGAAGCTGCAGAGAGGAAAATGCTTGTGGTCAACAGAATGATACAAGACAAACTCATCAAACCTGGAAAAGCAAATAAAGTGGACCGTTTTTCCTGGGTGAGGCATTCCAGTAAAGCGAAACAGCTGGTTCTGGAGCTTAGCAGTCTTCGACAGAGTATTGTAGATGTACTGTCGGCTTTGAATTGGTGGGTAATTTCGCGTTTGTTCACCGTCGGGACTTGCACTGTGATCTTTACAGTATCAGATCAAGACCGCCTAAACGACTTTTATTTCAAGGGATAGTAGTTCGTGGACTATCATCTTTCGTGTTTTTGTATATTGTAGAATGTTTCTTGAAAGTCTTTGCTTTCAGAACTCTTAACTAACTATCATCCAGTATGAACTCGGTTTCGTTGTGTTTGGAGATACAAAGGCTTTCTTTATCGCAAAGCACAGCCTTTTCCGAGGTCCTTCATCAACAAGAGCAATTCATGAGCTTGTTTCTGCAGAAGCTTGAGAAACCACCAGCCACCAAATGTCGGCTCCAAGAGGTGGTAGAAAAACATGTTGATCAAGACCGGAGAGCCCGATTTTCTCCATTACCAAGGCCTGGGAGGAGTGGGTGTTCAAAAACATGCCGCTGCGCCTGCCATAAGAAGCGACAGTTTTGCTCACCTTCCTCCGTTCGCTCCTTGGTTGGACGGATTTTTGTTTCCCACTCGAATTTGGCATGGTTTCGACCTCGGTGCACGATCAACACTTGCAGAGGTAGCACTGAGACTTCAGTAGCTGTGCAGTACAATCTTCCCACATGGTTAGCCAACACCATGTTCATGTGCTACTTGAAGTCAACTCCTTTGAGCGGCCCGGAACTCCTTCTTAAAGTCGGAAGGACAACTGACTCCCAGATCTTCGACCGTGTCATGGAAGGAGATATCGAGAGTGTTCGCTCGATTTATCTCTCTGGGGCAGTCTCCATCCATGACGTTGATCCAATTTTTCATCAAAATGCGTTGATCGTATGTTTTTTGCTTCACAAATAAACAGGTAGTACATGCTAATGGCCTATAACCCAAACAGTGGGCGTTCAGGTATGCACGGTATGATTTAGTACGACTTCTCTGGGAGTATGGAGCAGATCTAAGCCAAACAGACATCTACAAGATGTAAGCCATTTGTTTTTATCGTGGAATAGTAACTAGGTACTAACATATAAGGTCCGGAAATGATTACGCCTTCATGAAGATCATATCCAAGCGTCTTCCGGATGACATGAATTCTATGTTCGACATCGACGGGATTTTGCTTGAGACGGAGTTGACAACCCTGCATCAAAGCATAATTGGCCTCACACCGCACAGTGTGGAGGAAGAGTTCGAAGAACATCCGGAACTGGTTGATACCTTTGACGCAAAAGGGCGCACTGCCCTCTTCTGGGCAATATTGAGTGACAATTTCGAGGCCGCAAAAACACTAATGATCAAACAGATGGCAGACACCACCGCGGTGGCGTCTGACGGTGGATCGGGTTTTGGTGTATGCGCAGAGTTTGCGTCCCCCAAAATGGCACGTCTTTTGGTCTCTGGACAGGAAAGCTTGCCGGACAAGGAAAAAGACATGCGTCGCTGGGGCACCAATGCGCATGACCACACTGGAAGATCGCCGTGGATAGTCGCAATTCAGGACTCTAGCGATGAATTCTTCAAAATATGCATGAGATGGAAAGACCAATGGGACACAAAGGACACTGTGGGCCGTAGTCTCTTGCATCACGCCGTAACGTTTGGGTACTGGCACATTGTAGAAATGTTCATGGTGCCAGAATTTTGCATCATCGACCCTCGGGCAAAAGACACCTTTGGCATCACAGCGTATGATGTATTTTGGTGGCGATTCCCTGACTACATTCCACCACCGGAGTGCGGTGCGGAGGACCCAGAAACCTTCAGAACCGCCAGCGATGACTGGGGGGTTGATTCAAGAGATGGAAGAAACAACAGTCTCAACAGTGACTCTCAAACTTCAGACATCACCGACGATGATATCGACGATGATACCCGCGACTCCATGTTCACACTTGTCGGAGGTTTGGACATATACGAACTGGAAGGAAGCGATGAGAAATTCTGCGGCAGTGAAGATGGTCTCGACGAAGTTGTTAGCGCCGACGACTTCCGCGACCGTACTTACATGTACAGTTCCGAGGCACGCAAGGACGCGAATGCGATCTGGAAGCTCCTGAAGTACGTAGAACGTACCCAGGCTGAGCGGGGTGCGGATATGAATGTCAAGACCAACATTCCTGGGGCATGGGTAGATGACGAGAATGAAGAAGGGGAACACACCGATGCCATTGACAATGAGCAGATTAGAAGCGGTGAAGGTAACAGGATGAATGCCACAACAAAGGATGAGTATAGTTAGGTGCAAAGGCATTATGTACGATTTTACCCGTTTGTCCAAGATAGATATAAATGTACGCTCCCCTTGCGGATGTCGCTTTAACCGCGGTGTGGGTCGAGAGGCGTCTAGCTGGAAGTGGAGTTTTGCGAAGTGTTGGTGAAGTGGACAGTTCTCTTTGTTTAGTGAAGGAAAGGTGAGTGAAGCGCGTGGAAAAAGACAGATATATCGCGTAGCTGCGAGCTATTGCCTAAGTGCCTTGAACTGAGGGACAAAGAATACCAAGGCTTGAATCATCCGCATTGAAAACAAGGTGCAATAGAAGTTTGTGAGCATACTCCCCTAGGGTCATTAAAGTAATTAGTCCAATCCAATTATGAGAATCCAATGCATGCTGATTAGAGTGTACGAAGCAGGATCGTACACTGAAAGGAAATTAAAGCGCCACAAACCGGGGAAACTACTAGTTAGCGCCAAACGCCGCGAGAATGTGGGGAAGTAGTTTCACCATAGGCCCTGAGATCCAACGTCTTTCCAATATCATGTCTCTAATGCGGTCCCGGCTGCTGGTAGTACTGCCGCTGGTGGTACTGCTGCTGGTGTTGCTGGTATTGATGCTGGTTCTGCTGCTGCATTCCCAGGTCGTACATACCCATGTCCTGCTTGGCGGGCACAGCGTATGTCAGAACGGGTGTCTCCAAGAGTCCTGTCGGGAGGTATGCGACAGGCTGCTGGCCGGGCTTCATTTGCGGTGTGCCGCCAGGAGTCGTCATCTGCGAGTACGAACGCCGCATTTGCTGCTTGGGAGAGCCATAGATCGCTGGACCAACAGGAACGTTGTCAGGACTGTAGGCGTTGGGCATGGCATACGTGGGCTGGGGCGACAACTGATTGACGGGCTGGTAGGTGTTTGGGTAACTGGCACCACGGAGCTGTTGTCCGTAGACAGCCTGCTGAGGATACATCGTAGAGCCCGCTTGCTGAACATGGTTAACAGTGGATACAAAAGGAGTGAAGGGCGCCATGGTCGGTGAAAGCGGGAGCGCGGCCGGCGGAAGCATCTGCTGCTGCGTGTACATCATCGGGTACTGTTGAGAAGCTTGAGGAGACTGGGAGGCAATAGCAACTACCTGCTGGGAGGGTTGGGGGCGCGATGGAGGAAAGTTGCCAGTGGGGTTGTTCGTTGCCGACCTCTTTCCCTCAGGATCGTAGTGATGCGCCATCTCACCACGCGCGGCGCGCTCCTTGTTCACGCCAGCAAACGTGTTCTGACCATAGCCCTTGGACTTGGAGAAGGTGTTCTTGACAATCTCATCCCTGCGCTTCGCCTGGCTCTCGACGTCAAGCGCACGAAAGGCCCGCGCGATCTCATCTTCTTGGATCGTGAACTCGGTGCGCTGGGTTGGGTCGCTCGGCATGGGGTCCCAGGCGGGTGCGGCGCGATCCTGTGGATATGGCTCCAGCATCACCGGGCCCTCGTCGCGCATGTTTGAAGGGATGACCGGGTTACCGTCCGCGTCGTAGATGTACCGCCCATGCGCCATCCAATAGCGCGCCGAGTCGATTGGGACAGGGCGCGGCTCACGCTCGACGAGAATGATAGGGCTAGACGGACTGGTGGTCTTGTTGGGGTCGGCTGCCTTGACGGGGCTCGTGGCCTTAACAGGGCTCGATGTCTTGACGGAGCTCGCGAGGCTCGCATCGTCGTCACCAGGGGAGTGAGTGGATGAGTTAGGAGGCACCATGGTGCCTGTGGCACTTGTATACGGCGATGCTGAAAAGACCGTGAAAGAGAAAGCCGTCGGGGCGTCGAGGGCGGGCGACCCAAAAGATAACGAAGGACAATAGCCGCAATGACGAGCGCGGGCGAGAGCTGTGAAAGCGGCTCTGTTGGCAAGGTTTCGCCGAACTCTGAGAAAGATTTGATCGGAACGAGTGTGTTAAGAGGTAGGAAGACGGCGCTTATAAGGGCCGTGGGCCGCAAGGCTGGGTGACTGGGCAAGAGAACGCCGAGGACGGAACCTTGATTCTGACAAACATGCTAGGGAGTAGCACTTGTGAAAGGGCTTAGAGGGGAATAAACAAAAAGCCACAGAAGACGGACTAGGCTTCGAAAAAATGTTTGCGGTTAGAGCGACGTGGTCCTGTTTGGGTAACATGGCTGTTGACTGTGACTGAGCCACGTGCAGGAGTATGACGTGACATGGTCAAAATGCGCAGACTTGGAAAGAGATTTGCCGCGGCGGAGGTGAAGGCAACAAAAGGCATCACTTGGAACGGGATTTTGGCGCGTCAAACGACTTGCAGTGCAAGCACTGTCACTGTCGGCTGGCGGATAGCGCATTCTGATCTTTTATATCTTGAAAAATGCGTTGCTCGCTCTCCACACGCTGGATACTGGTTGGCCTTTGCTGGTATTTAACGTTGACTTGTTGTGTGGTGTTTGGTCCGAGTCGGATTTTGAATGGCTTTCGAGACCGGTTACTGCTTTTGGACGTACTTGTTACGTTAAGTGTGGGATAGTTAGTATAGTTTTCTTCTTTTGCGAGGTCTTCGGAACCAGTATGCTGTAGGATTGTTTATGAGGTTACACATTTCCAGCATATATTAATCAGTGAAGACCAGAGCTGGGATGTGCCAGGGTCTACATTCACGAACCCACTCATGGCAAAACATACCATAGCAGTTACTTGTAAATTATTTAGACCGCTGAAGAGGCCTTACACGAAGGTGTCTATGCTAATAATTCTCAAAGCTTGAAAGAACACGCCCAAGGTCCTGTCGCTCAGCCCTTTCCAAAAATCCACCTTACAAGAGAATCAAGAACCTCAACCGATCGACCTTGATCTCACCGTTAGTTCCTCCTCCACTACCGGCCTTGCAAATGTCATCCTCGATACAACAATGGACCCAACCCTTTGACGCTTTCACGTTTACCGAAATGACAAACCACCACGCCCTCAGACGTGGCCCAGAAACCTAACACCAAAGATCAAAGACCCTTTTCATCATCATCATCATTCAACAGCCCTCAGAACGGGAATCGACAGTAAACCGATGGTAGCGGAGCACGAGTCACGCTTGCGGGGAGAGGGGCACCAGGATGAGCGCGGCCAGTATGGTTGTTGTTGCTGGTCTGCTGGGTAGCACCGCCGCGGGGGGCTTGATACTGGACGTTAGGGCGATGAGCCTGAGTCTGTAGACCGTACGCGAACTGCCGAGCTTGTGGTTGAGCGGGGTGAGAAGCACGAGGCTGCGCGTACACAGGCTGAGGATCGTAGGAGGCGAACGGGACCATGTTCTGTGGGGGCGGAAACTGACGCTGAGGCTGTTGCACCTGCTGTTGCATCTGCTGTTGCTGTTGCGGGTACTGGTAGGGGTGGTAAGGCTGGAATTGATGGCGGTTCGCGTCCATGTTCGTGCCGGATTGCTGGAAGGAGGCCGCATTGTTATGGAACTGATACTGATACCCAGGACGAGTCTGGTACGACGGGACCATACGAATCTGGGTACCAGCGTAGCTCCAACCGGGCTGCTGTGTCTGCATCTGAGGAAAGCAGTACCGCCTCTCTGGCGCGAAGCCCTGCTGATGCTGTTGCGTCGCAATCACTGGCGGCATCGGCTCAACGACAACATATCCCCCATTACCAGCGCGCTGCTGCTGGAGACGCGACGCTCCGCCGCCAACCCCCGGGTCCGCGCCATTGCGCAACGCGCGCCGCGAAAGTGCGCCTCTAGCATCTTCATGTGCAGCCGTTAGCTCTTCGACCCTGTTCCCGCGCTTCGCTTCCAGCTTCAACAGCGCCTTGACGCCATTCAGCTCGTCGTACTTTGGCACGAAGCCGACGCGGAAGCGCACGTCCGCGGGATCCCACACGGGCGGGTGGTGCGGATCGTGGGAGGGAATGAGAGTGTTGTCCGCGGCGGGATGGAGGGAGCGAGGGACTGCGGGCGCGGTTGGACCGGTGTACAAGTAGCGCCCTGTGGCAAACCAAGCGCGAGCGTGTTGCAACGGCTGGGGATTGTGGACGCCGCTGATGTAGATTTTTTGCGGGTTGCCAGGGAGGGTGCTTGGCTTTGGTGCGCTGTAGGTGGGTTGAGGAGCACCGTTCAGTGCTGCTGGTGTGGGTGCGAAGAATCGCATGTTGGGTGGTTGATGGCCAGGGAGCATGGTGAGATGCTGGTGCTGAACGAACGTGGGTGGAGAGAATGAATTGTAGCAGGAACGCCGCTAGAGTGTCGGAGGTGGGTATTTATAAAGTTGACAGGATAAGACAAGGGATAAGAAATATATATTTGGGGGTTAGTGCCTTTCACGTTGTTCACACGACGAAAGCACTGGTAAATTCTTCAACCACACGCAGTCACTGATCCCTTAGGGCGCAATAGGGTGACTAACTCTAATCCACAACTATCAAAGATGTAAACACGCGGATTTGTAAACTATGTAAACGTGGAGAAAACATTTTTTTCGGTTTAATGTACTTGAAAATTGAAAATGTCAGCCCATTTCTCAGCATTTCATGTTCCCACAGTAAGCGGTACTTCGTAGAAGCGGGATTATGTCACGTCTTTTTGACATGCTCCTGTAATTAGAGGACGTTCCCTATAGATAACCTCTTTTAAAGACCTAGGACTTGCATTGGTTTACTGTGCCCATGCCCAAATGCTCCTGTATGTAGATGGGAACATTTGTTATGGATCACCTCTTACGTAGGCCAAGAGCTTGCACCTGTATCTAGTTACATTGCCCATGAGGGTATGTAGATTGTAAAAATATCTGACCTTCCAACTGTGATAATTCAAGGCGCGCTGGGGCTCGGATCTTTAGCACAGGAACAGACACACGTATTGACTTGAGTCATTTTATGTATTTTCAAGAAGCCACTACACTGAGCACCATGCACCCAAGTCGGATTAATGTGAAGACGTAGGACTTCTTTATGCCTATGGGATCGAGCATGAGGGAAAATAATTCTGCATTCGCGCGTGCTGAGAGAATGCGAACCACACCAGCCCTGCCGGCTTAAAAATCAACCAATCCGTAAGTACGCAGGAGCTTCAACCTCTTATTCTCCAAACCCTTGGGGATCGACTCAGGTTCCACAAACAAATGGTCTAAGAGCTCATCAATCTGCTCCTCCGAGAGTGTGTAGATGTCGGCAACCATTTTAGGGCTGTACGAAATATCTTCATCGGTAAATTCAAACTTAACCGGTCTAAGTTCTTTCTTCAGATAGTCCTCTGCAAAGTTGTGCCCGGCGAGGTTGCTAGAAACGAGAAATATTAATCAGTTAAGTATTCATTAGGCCTCGGATTAGGTGTCTGGACTCACGTAGATTTCTCGGGCTTAAGATGATTGAGAATCTCTATGCTTAGGTCCTTGAGCTCCTTGCGAAGAATCTCGGCATTGTTGAGTCCATTCCAGGTGTTGCCACGCAAGTCAGCGTCTTCGATTAGGTCTACGCATTTGTCTTGCAGGTTCTGTAGGCCCTTAAAATCGTCATGAATGTCCTCGCGAAGGGTGGACAATCCGTCTTGTGTTTCCTTGCCTAGGTCTCTGATACCATTGCTTAGACCACTGACATCATCACGAATGTGCTCGCGGAGGTTGAATAACTTGTCCTCCAGGTCGTTTTGCAGGCTCTTCTTGATATTGTCGCCTAAACCCTTGACCTCGCCACGAATGTCGGCGCGGAGACTGGAAAATCCGCCGTGTGTTTCCTTGTCTAGCTCTTTGATATCGTCATGAATGCCCTCACGGAGGGTGGAGAATCCGCATTTCAGTTCGTTGCGTAGGTTTTTGACACTGCTGTTCTGGCCCTTGATATCGTCATGAATGTCCTTGCGAATGTTGGAGGATTCGTCGCGGATATCATAGCGCAGACTTCTGATGTCGTTGCTTAGGCCCTTGGTGTCATTGCTCACACCCTTCACTTCGATGTTCAAGCCCTTAACTTCATTGCTCAGACCCTTTACGTCGTCACTCAGGCCAGCGAACCCGCTGCTCATGGTGTCCTGCATGCTGTTGACAGCAGCAAGGATGGCTTCAGTACTCGTGTCATGGTGTCTAGTTGTCTGGAACACTGGCGTCCAGCCAGAGTCAGGAGTCATGACTCCGTCCGAGCCGGACATCGACATGTTGGGTTTGTTGTTGATTGCTGGTCACTGATTGCGTCGAGTTCAAGACGAGTCGATAGTGAGGAGGGTGGAGGAGACGGTGCAGCAGGGCTAGGAACTTGACTGTTTCTTAGCGCCGTTTTTGGCAGGACTTCGGGACAGGCTCTTTCACACATTAGGCTATCGACAATAGTAACCGTTGCCATTATTACATCATTACGTCATTCCAAAAAAGTCCAAGTGAAGGTGAATGAATGACTCCGGCACCAACTTACGATCTTGACTCGAGCTAGAAGCTACGTCATCCCAACCTAAACAGACCCGAAAGCCTTACTCCCCCATTGCTATCAAGCGCTATGAGGGGCTGATTTGAAATCTCTAAGGTTCGCTGCGCAGTGTCGCTTCGGTTGTTGCAGCTGCATCTCAAACAGACACTGAATAAGCATCGAAAATGTATTGAGCTCGTGGCACTTAAAGCTATTCTAACTCGCACGAATAAGAATTTTTTACTATCTATGCACTACTTGGGCAGGTAAAAGTGTTTGGTGGACTATAATGTTGAAGTGTTACCCTTAGAGAGACCGAGCTGGAACCATGCCAATAATTAAAACATCAACGAAACTTCTGGCTTCACAACTACTGTAACGTTCAGAAGAAATATAGAGCTGTTGCATGTTTCATAAGTCTTTCTGTCTCCAGAATGTGGCTGTTATATTCGCCATCTGAGTCTCTATGATGATGCTGTGGAGGGGTAGGCAACGAGAGCACAAGGGCCCAAGTAAAATGCTCTACGTCAGCCCCGTGCCAAAGTGCTCTATCAACCTGTCGCTGCCGCCGTTGTCATCTTTCCCATTCGCAAAACTAGTTGCATGGATGAAAGCCGCAGGACTGACCTTGGGCGTAGTCTTTTCTTGAGAGGAGACTTGGTGATTTTGGTAGAGACTCTACATCTTGGATCGAATACAGCCAAACTTGGTTACAACATTTGGGATGATCAGCAACTTAAGGCTTTTAATATCAGAGTTGACTGTTTGCAACGTTTCTTCTCGCTACAATGGTAAAGGTATGCGAAAGGTTACGCAACCTCTGGCTGGATATACCAATGAACTACTTTTTGAGGAGTGGGGTTTGTTAACCAGTTCAAATGTTGCAGCCAGGTTTGATTGAACAATTGTTTTGTACAAAGCACATTCTAGGAACAAAGGTCCTAAAGCCACTCAAATCACTACAAGCAAGCACGACGAGACATGATAGTTTGCTCCAAAGTTGGCGTCAAGAGCCAACAATGGATTTTTTGCATTCGGAGAGTTGTACCTAAACTTCTTTAAGCTTCTTTAGCCATGCAGGCAGAGCAAGCGGAACTCAAGTCGTGAAGTTGTGAAGAGACCTTTCCAAAACCCCAGGTGATCCAACCCATATCATGCATGTCATGCATGCATAGCCGCAATTGAAGAAAGCAGAGAGTTCACTAAAGAGTGAAAGCTAGAAAGAAAAACCAATCTACCACCCGCGCAACCATGTCGGGTATCCATCAAACCGCACCAAAACTCTTGCGAAAGTGAGTTGCCAAAGAGGGAATTGCCAAAGGGAAACTGTCAAAGGGAATACCGTCGAAAGAAGTGCTGGAGGTTCCATTGTGGGATCAGAAGCCGTTTTCATAGCCATTGCGGTCGCCACGAAGGCCACCACGAGAACCACCACAAAAGCCACGACCGTTGCGGCCGTTGCGACCGTTGTGTCCATCATCAAAGTCGTGATCATCGTCACGGCCACGTGCACCGGGCTGCTGGACAAGGCCATTGTTCTCGAACCTAGGCATCATGCCTTGTCCGACATTGTTGTCGGGAGGGAGGACAGGAGAGAACAGGTTGCCCGGGATCATGTTATCCGCAGAGGGGAAGTCGCCTTCAGTTCCCACAGAGTATGAAGTGCCGTGCTGGAAGGATGGAGCCTGTGTCTGTTGCATGACGGGCTGAGGGGTCATACCAAGCTGGCCGTTCATGCCAGGCTGGAAATTCATACCAGGCTGAAAGTGCGTGCCAGACTGGAAGGTCATGCCAGGCTGCAAGGTCAAGCCAGACGGAGTGTTGAAGCCAGACTGAGGAGCCATACCGAGCTGAGGTTCGATGTCGGGGTGGCCTTGACCAACAAGGTGAGCCTTCTTGTCGGGAGATGGAGTGCGGGATGGTGTAAACACCGGAGCGTCGGGGCGGAAGCTGAAGTTGGCATGGGCACGTTCGCCTTGAACGCCGGTGTACGGGCCTTTGCCGTATCTGCTGGATCCCTTGAAGGTGCGCTGGCGTACCCATTCTTTATACTTCTCGATCTCTTCCTGACGTTGCGTCGGACCCTGCTGAGCCAGTTGAGCTTCGAATTGCTGCATGGCGGTCGCATGGAGCGCAACGTTGACATTCTCCAGCTGCCACTCCAGACCCCACTGGGTGAAGGCGGCTTTTCCACCAGGGCCAGGAAGCGTTTCATAGTAGACAGGATGGGCAGGATCGGTAGTCGGCTCCAAGATCGTGGGAGCGTTAGGATCGATCGACATCGGGCGCACAGGGCGCCTCTCAGAGTCGTAGATGTAATGGGCCATCTTGCCAAACCAGTAACTGGCAGAGCTGATGGGCTGAGGACCGAGGATACCGGAAACGTATATCCATTGAGTACCAGATGTAGTTGATCCAAGAGGGCGGGTGTTCGAAGCAGGAGCGGACATCTTGAAAGACTAGAGGAGGATCCTGTGGGAAGAGAAGATGCGGACACCCGAGTAGAGTGTCGCTGAGTGTGGGGGGTAAACAAAGGAAGAGGTGAGCGTTCGGGTAGGGTAGGCAGTTGCTGGGGGTGGGACGCGTTTATAAAGACCAAGACACCTTCTGCTGAGCATGTTAAGTGCAAGCTCTGGCCAAAAGCATATTAATAAACAGTGACTGTAGCAGGGTGTGACTTAGTGCGAGCAGGGTAACAGAAGGGTAGGTGCATGTAAAGGTGCGGAACAAGCCGTGGTTTAACAATGGGATGTGTCCTTAATTGGTGCTTGAAGGTGCCATATACGGAAAAAGAGCCGAGTTTCCGGGAAAGATAAAAAGGATAATCAAACTCTCCCGTGACTTAAGAGAGTCGATGCTTTGAAAAAAAACTTGAATGAATGAAAGCAGATTCTTTTGAAAGGAAAGATCGAAGACACTTACAGATGCGGGATGGCCATTGAGCCAACAAGTCCTCTCCCGACTCTCAACCCATCCTTCCTTTGGCCCATTTATAGCACTCTCTCTTAGAGCAGAACCGTCTTTCCGCTGCTTGCTCTAATGCCGCGCCCATCGATATTCGATAATATGCATTAATGAAGTCCGGAGACAGATATAGGCCAAGCTGTTGGTGTTGGATGAGTATGCAGCTACCCTCACCAGCCGCTACATGTTCCTGCGTATATAACGTCCGTCACCGTCAAGCGGAATTCGCCGCCCAACGAGATAGATGCGTGTACGGAGCGGAAATGAAACACAGCCAAGATGTTTGTAGGTATGTATCCGACTAAGGGTCTCTTCACTTATACCCAGGGCTCAGACATGTAGCTAGAGATTGTTTGTATCCTTCCCTATCTCACCATACGTTAGATCTTGCTCGATGGTGACGGAAGTTAGTTGGCGCCGGTGAATATGCTCCTTCGTGTTGTATTTGATTCGCTGGTAAGATTATGAAAACCCAAAGTCGTACCGTGAGCGTGTTGGCATTGTAATGAAGACGGTGATGGTCTAGGGCTGACAGTCTTGTCAGGCTCGATGACGTGATCTTGCTCTCCGTGTCTGACTTCCAACCGTCTAAAGTTGAAGAGGCTGCCAAGTAAATCGACCATGATACAATAGACCTCATTGTAGTAGTTGTTTGGACCTAGAATAGGTGTGGTGTAGCTTCGACAGCTTCTTGTCAAACGTCCCTGTCTGACAACGGCAGGCTGGATACTGGTGTTAGGAGTGAAGTGAGGGATATTATGTCCCGGTCTAGGGTAGACTTACCTTCTGAGGCTCTTGAAATGCTGTGATCAGTTGTGGAAGACGCGCCTTCCATTGAAGCCCCCAAAGCGATAGGAACCGAACAGTGAAGCGAGCGGTGAAGGTACGATGATACTGAATCACTGGTGCCTGATCTTGGGAGTTTAATAGAGCGAAAAGATGGTTGAGGATTGTTAGCGGCTAGGTCGCGAATGGTAAAGTTTCGCGAATGGCAATCGATCCCAGAGAAGGTGTCCATGGTAAGGAAGTCAGATGTAATGTAAGGACGAGTTTTGACGGTAAGCTCGTGGACTTAAGGAGAGAACAGCTTAATGGAAGAGGTAAGTCTTGTGGGAAAGAAGTAGGTTTCGTAAGAGAAGTAATAACATCGGTAAAAGGGTAAGAGCTTCATGAGAGGCAAGAGCCTGCGGAAGGGGCTCCTTCCAAATGCAGAAAAACTCAAAGGCCATTGCCTTGATAAGGTAGGCACGAGCGCTTAACCTCCTCTAAGGTCTGAGATATCTCGCTCTGTCGTGGAAAAGCAATCAAATTACCAACACAAAATAAAGCGATCTCAATAGGAAAGATTTAGAACATGAAATGAGCCCACGTGGTTCGAAACTCAGTTTTGACGGAAGCTTGCATACAAGAGCCCGTCTGGCTACCTACCTATGAGCATATGACCTGGCCACGACGGAGGTGGCGAATCAAGCAAACGGTAGAAAGCCACATGTAACCATACAACACCGCCCAAAAGGGGGCAGCTCAAGAGCAAACAAGCAGGTGCAGTCAGACACGTGAACTCAAACATGCGTAGCGATTTGTAGATCAAGAATAAAGCGTTTATCATTTCCGTGTACTAAAAACTCAACATGAAGAGACGCATCAGTCATGAACCATGCCACATACCTGAGCGCCCAAGCGCGCCCTCGTGACCAGAAGGAGTAGTGTAGTGCCCAGTACTACGAATAGGTACTAGCAATTCAGCATAAGACTAGGTATCATTTTATGAGGGTTTCCTTTTCGGATCCCCGTGTGCGTTCGGAGCGTGCTTAAACCGTAGGCCTGCCGCTGAGCGTGTCGATGAGGCCCTTGTAGGCCATCCAGAACTCGTTCTTGGGACGACGGTGCTTCCAGTCCGTCTCCTCGGCCTCGACCTTCTCCATACCAGAGAACTGCACCGAGGCGCCTCGGATACCGATGACGGCCGCGCTGAGCGGGTCGTTGGCAATGTCGTCCTTGCTCTTGCCTGTAAAGGGTTAGCATACCTGCTTTAGATAATGAGAAGATAGACTGGATGTTCTTACCTGCAAAGGCCTCAATGTGCTGCAAACTCCTGACACCGAACCTGGTACCCCTCATCCTGTCCATGGGCGAGGGCTTGCCACCCTGTTGGAAGTGGCCGGGGACACCATGACGGGACTCGAAGCGACCGCCGGCCTCGGCACGGATGATATCGGCGATCAGCTCGGTGGTGTAGACGGACGAGGCCTTCTCGTTACGTAGGATAATCTTTCCGGAGTGACCCATGCCCTTGTCCTTGCCAAACGTCTCGCGAAGGTAATCAATGTCACGAGAAAGCATCTTGATGTCAATGCCCTCTTCAGGGGTGTAGACAGCAAGGGCACCAATGGAAACACCGGCAATGGTGGCGATGTAGCCGGAGGCACCACCCTGGGTCTCGATGACGAAGACACGGCGGCGAGAAGAAGAAGCAGACTGCCTCATGACATCGCAGTACTGGATAAGAGAGTTGAGGCAAGTGTCGCTACCAAGGGAGTATTCGGTACCGGGAACGTTGTTGGAGACGGTAGCGGGGAGGACGGTCATGGGGATCTTGAAGGCATCGTATTGGGCCCGGCCCTTCCTAAGCTGGCTGACAGCAGTAAAGGCCTCGAAACCACCAACAACGAACAGAGCCTGGAGGTTGTACTGCTCAAAGACCTTCGCGACGGCCTCGAGACCGCCCTCCTCGTCGGCGGGCAGACCACGGTTGGTACCGATCTCGGAACCACCCTTGCTGATCCAGGATTCGGCATCAAGCCACTTGATCTCACGCACAGAGCCAAGAGGCTTGTCGCCGTGATGCCTGACGAGGCCGGGGAAACCGTTGTAGAGGGCAAGCGGGGTGTGACCACGAGCCAAACAGTATGCTACAGCGGCACGGGTGGCAGCGTTCATACCACCGGCAGGAGCACCGACGTGAATGAGACCGACACGCATGCGCTTCTCCTCAGGGAGGGTAAGGCCGGGAAGCTTGGCAGCGGTGGTGATGGTGTACGCAGAGTGGTATTCAGCAAACTCGGCATCTCTCAAGCTCATGGCGCGGCCGAAGTCCTTAGCAGCAATGGCTTCGGCAACCTCGTGAGTCTGCTTGACAGCTTCCATGAGAGACTCGCGGACAATCTTGTTCTCACGGATACAAATGACAGGGCTAGGAGTTTCGGGAGTGGATTCCAACACGGCATTGACGGCCTCAGCGCCCTGGATGGTCGAAAGCAGACGGTCATATGCGCAGGCCTCGCCACCTCTTTGGACGTGGCCCAGAGTGGTGATTCTGGTATCAAGCTTGAGCTTGTTGGCGAGGACGTCCTTGACAGTCGCGGGGGTGACAGGGGTCAGGTTGCTGTCGTGCGCACCCTCGGCGACAATGACCATGGTCTTTCTCTTGCCCTCGGAACGGTGCTTGGTGATAATCTTGGACATTTCCTCCTGCCAGTTCTCCGAAGGCGGCTTCTCGGGGAGGAACACGTAGTCGGCGCCGCTGGCCACACCAGCCATAAGGGCCAACCAACCGCAATGCCTGCCCATGACTTCGATGACGAAAGCTCTCTGGTGAGAGGAAGCGGTAGAGTCGAGCTTGTCGATGGCATCGCAAATAACACCGAGCGAGGAGTAAGCGCCAATGGTCGCGTCGGTACCAGCAAGGTCGTTGTCAATGGAGCCAACCAGACCGACGATGTTCAGGTGCCTGAAGGGCTCGACCTGCTCCTTGGTCATGATCTTCTTCTCGACAAGCTCCTCGACCAAGCTAGGCCACTCGGACCGGAAGAGGTCGGCACCCGTCAAACTGCCATCACCACCGCAGATGACGAGAGCGTCAATGCCCTTAGTGACCATGTTCTTGGCGGCTTGCAAACGGCCTGGCCTTTCCCTGAAGGTCATGCAACGTGCAGTACCGATGAGAGTACCGCCCTCGGAGAGCCAGCCCCGGACGTCCTCCCAGCCCATCGATCTGATCATATCACCGCCCTGAACAAGGCCTTCGTAACCTTCGTAAACGGCGTAAGCCTCGCAGCCCTTGGCGAGGGCCATGCGGACAACAGCGCGGACGGCACCGTTCATACCCGGGGCATCACCACCCGAGGTCATGACGGCGACACGTCGCTTCTTCCCCTCGAGGGGAGGAGGAGCCTGAGCGGGCATCGTGGAGGAGGGGTGGTTCGATCCGTCAACGGGAGATGGGAGAAGGTGTGTCGGAGAATGGGGGGATTGCTCGCCGACAGCAAGAGGAGCGAAGCAAAGGAAGAGGGATTGAGAGGTGAGAGAGAGCTGCTCGCAGCGGGAGGTAAGAGAAGCGGTGTTGGGTTCGGTGTTCTGATGTTGTTGAAAGCGCCGGATAGCTCGCGCCTGACTGCAGCTAGCTCAGTTTTTTGAAAGGCCTGCCCCACGTAACGTCATCAGGCGGGAGGGTCCGACTGGCCTTTATCAACGATCGCAGTCGGGCAGTCAGTCACCAGTCAGCACCTGATCCGCTGTATCACCGTCTGCGGCTGCGCGCAAAAAAATTCAATTCCCAATAAAATCCCTCGATCGCAACCCTCGTCCACGCCGTTGCCCGGTAGACGCGTTGCGTTCCCGCGTGCACGCAAACACAAACCCAATCGACGTGTTGGGCCAGGCGGGAGCTCTTCGGACCTTTTTCACTCCACCCAAGTGCCCCTCGATTCCCTCGCCTCGCCTTTCCACTGTGAAGTCAGTTATGACGCCAATACCGACGAGGATCATCCGGCAATCGCTCCAGCTCCCGCATTCTGCTTTCCATCCCATTCGTCGTGACTGGCAGCGGGTGTTGTACCTGCGGCCCTTCGGCACAATCCGAAGTCGAGAGAACACCATCTCTCCTGATGGCCTTATGTATCCGCCTCCCACAAGAGTCACGCTGTTGTGCGACGCCGCCTTGCCACCGCATGCTGCCACATCGTACGAAAAGCTCCTGATGCTAATAACAACGGCTGGGGGCGTGTTTCAGCCCGACCCATCTCCGCTCCCGTGCCTGCTTAAATCTTATCAAAAGAACGCCGCGCCCGAAACTTTGTGCGTTCAGCGCGTGAGCTACCCGTCTTCAACGTTTCGTTTCCCCTCATCTGTGTTGTCCGTCGACTGTTCATCGAAGGCAATGGCCCGCTTGCCACGTAGGAGCACCTGAGAGCTTCCGAGTGCTTGAGCTCGACCCGCGACCATGACTAGCCACTCGAGAAGATGTAAAAGAGCCGTGCTCTACCGGTCTGCGTGCCTTCAATTCAATAGGGGTCTCGTCTCATTCACCAGGGTCACGGAAGTTAGGGAGCAGAGGTAAATTGCAATCTGCCGGCGACTTGCAGGGATTCAACATGCTCTTCTCAAGGTCAAAAGGCGGCTTCTGTTTCGTCCCCCTAGCAAGAGCTAACCTCTCAAAACGTATTGACCTAAAAATCAGTGGTCAGTTTGTTATGGATGGGGGGATGCATTCACAAGAAGAGATGCAGCGTACTGCCACTGCATCCGCAAAGAAAAGAGCATGGTCGGACAAAATACCGAAAGCTGAAGGTCGAGTTACCTGTCTCGGGCACCCCCTGCGTTCACTGGGTACGCGTGCATTGATTGGTCTTCAAGTTTGCCAGCATGTGAGTATGCTCTTATACTCTTTATTTGTGATATACAAGGCAATTTTTCTGCCCAAGAAAAAACATCTTTGGACACATGTTGACGTGTTGCAGTGTCGCGGTACTCACGGCTAGGTGCAGCGATAATTGATGAGTTGTGCAACAGCTGAACAGCGAGACAAGTTCGTTGCACAACCGGTCAAAAAGCTCACTCTTTATTGATGCATCTGATGAACAGCCAATTCTACCGGGCTCCAATCCAATAGCCAGAATTGAGCGATCGTACGCTGGCTGCTGCAACGCCTAAGGGTTCTCGGGATTTGAGCGATTGAATCTCTTCCTAAGGCCATATTAACCGACGATGGTTTACATCTTATTCCCGGGCGCGCCATCTTTTTTTTTCAATACCTTTAATATCCGCCGGAGAGTTGATCTTTTCGAAAACGAGCTTTTTTTACGCCATTCACCAAATCCTGTCGCGACCGCTACGATCGGACAGAATAACACAGCTGGTGCTGGTACGAGGATCCAACAAACCAGGTTTAATACACTTTACGGACACCACTTAAGAATAATGTTGATTCAAGAATAAGTCAAAGTTGGAGACATTGTGTTAACCGCGTCGCAAGATGGTAATTGATAGAAGCGCCACGGCATAAAAGCTCTAGGATACCGACTGGCAACACTTGGGCGTGGAGAGTTGGAAATCTTACCTAAGCAGGAGCCACCAAGACGACTAACATCCTTGCCATCAAGAGAGATTCACCGTTTAGCGAGATGGGGAAGGATACAATCAGTCCTATGGAACGCTCCTTGTCTAGCTACAAGCCCTAATCCTGGATATGGATGAAAAGGTTTTAGGGCGTACACATACTACAAACATCTTAACTGGATTTCGTTTCTACTCCGTACAAACCTCATTATCTCAGGCGATGAATCTCGCATAACGGTGACGGACGTTAATTGTTTTCTCTGCTTATTTGTTTCTTGGCGGCGGTGGAAGCAGACCGCATGCCTTCTTTTCCTTGCAACTTTCTGTTGGTTGCATTCATGTCTGCCTGTTAGCTCTGACCTGTGCCATCACTTTCAAGTGCCTTCAACCACTGTCAACCCCCCGCTCCATCCGCACCAACGTCCATACAAACTTGCTCTCAGCACCTTTCGACTCGGCGCTTTCGAGCGTCTGCGCCAACTTCGCACTACTTGCAGCAGGTCTGCCGCTTTGTCATCAACAGCGCTTGTTGTTTGGTCGACGACTTTCGCCTTAGGTCCAACAGGCAATCAACATGTCCAACGCGACACACCTACGCCTTTAAGCTCAGAGCTACCGAGCCGTATTCTAAGCACCTCCTTGTTCCTTTGCGACTGTATAGACACTTGGGTTGCTGTCACTCGTCCTCTACTCAGATCATCAGCGAGTACTCGCTGCGTTCAAACCGTCATCCCAAACCGTCCGGCCTCGATCGAAACCACCTTGTCCTATTCTTGCGGCTACATACGCCACATTCCCAACACGCAACGTCTGTCGTTGTGTCCTTGAAACCCGTCATTCGTAAGTCGCACCAATCCACTCCACACCAGCACCTCTTGCTCGGTTAAGTTTCGTCAAACATAAATAAGAACTAGTAGTACCTGATAGTTTGACAAAGAATCTTTGCAACCATTTGCCATGTCCGACCATCGCGACTCTGTCAACGAAGAGCATGCTGCTGCTCTGAGCGATCTGCGACAGAGGCTTGCTGCAGCCGCGCCGGCCCCCTCTTCCTCAATCTCTAGAGACGAATACATTCATCCTCGCCCTAGTACCCCAGAAGGAACTTTCATTGCTGTCAGTGGCATGCCTGAGCCCCAAGAGGCTCAAGATGGTGTGCTCTGGATGATGGCTGGACACTACATCTACAACGATCAAGCTCAGGCTATCGAGCCAGCAACCTATACGCCCGACGCTGACATGAACTTCATTCCGGTTCGCTCCAACCCGGCGTACGTCTTGCCGATGCATCATAATCTTCACGACCACGCCGATCCGGCCGCTTTCGCCAACCAGCTTGCCCAGGTGCGCCGTCTCGAGCTTGGAAAGGATGCTCAGATGGGTACTTCTGTCTGGAAGGAAGGAGCCCAGAAAGTGAAGCGCTTGGATAACAACGAGACTGTTCCTCTCTCAAACCGTGCGCAAACTGTCGGCGATTTCCCAGCCATTGCCACTGGTTCAGGCGCCTCTGTACCCGGTAAGCATATTGTGCCACTAAGCTTGTAATGTAAAACATCGTCAAGCTAATGATTCACAGACTGGGCCTCTATGGTCGCTGAAATGGCCGACACCACGCTTGCCAACCGTGTCCAAGGACGCATCGCACAGTCTCGTGATATCGAAGACGTGCCACACCCAATCAGAGAGGACGACTCCGGCACCAGTTCCCCATCTCCACGCTCAGGTATCCCGCAGACGACGCATCTGGCCGCTGTCAGTGGTTACTACACTGACCTCGAATCAGAACCATCGATTCTGGATAGCGAGGTTGTCTCCCCGACCGGCAGCCGCCGCGGCAGCAACACAGGCATAAGTGGCAAGCAGCAGAAGCACTTCCAAAAGAGTTCCAAGCGGCACTTCAAGCGCAATCGCGCCCGCACCAACACCTCTCACGCATCATGGGACGCATCTTCCGCCGGCGGCAGCGCCGCTCCTAATTCCGTGGTTTCGACTGGCTCCGTGTCCGTCTACGGCACTGCGCGCGAGGAGCCGGCTTCTACGACGCCGTCCAACGCCTCGGCGTGCCTCACGCCCGTCGCGAGATCTCGGGCTTCATCCGTTCTCGGGTCTGGCAGCTCCGCTGCTGCTGGTGTTGACACCATGCCGGCTATCCCGGAGACGCCGACCAAGACCCCGGCTGCTGCTGTGCGTGCTCGTGGCCAGCATAAGCACTCGTGGTCGGCCTCGTCGTTGGAGTCCATCAAGTCGATCTGGGAGGGACCGTCGCCGCCCCAGCGTAAGCGTGGCTAAGGCAGCTTCAAGGATGACATGAGGCTTTCTCTCTTTGTTGGCTTTGGTTTATGAAATGCCGAAGGGTGGATGGCAGTTGGTGGATGATATGTGTTTTGCTTGAGCGAGACTCTGCTGGATAGACACAACAATGCCACCAACTGTTACGATTGCGAAGCCCAATATTTGGATCTATTGCTTGTGATTGGGTTCATTCGATCAAGGCGAGACGCAGTGATGGCGGTCGACCGTAGGAGCGACGAAGACGAAGTGGCTCGAGAGTAATGACAGGAAAAGCGGATAGCGCATCACTGAGATATGTCTACAGCGCCACTATGACTGTCTATCTTATCGCATGTCTGGCAGTGTCAAAGACATCCAGAACCCACTCTACAGTACATAAGCCTGGACGGTTTTGCCTGTTGTGACGCATGCATCTCCTTCAATAGATACTTAGCATTTACCCATTGTTCCACAGAATAAACCGCGACTCTGGTTTTAAGAGCTTAGAATGCAATGCGCATTTTTTGCTCGTGTAGGGCACAGTGATGACCATGCATCTACCCCGATATAAGGATGAGTCCTGAAAATACAGAGTGGAAAAGGCTTACAAATATGTTCCTTAGCAGGACATGGCCGTTGATTGTTCGACATTAAGACACCTGAAAAATGTCCAATACGGGAGTCGATGTTGTTTCTAGAAAATGTCCGGCCAGCGATGTCGTCTCTGGGAGCTTTCCGACGCCTCTCGCTAGGCTCGTTTCGGATTCGCGGTGGCTGACAGATGACAGACCTCATCTTCAACACCATCGACCGACAAGACCAGTACTAGTTCATACTTAACCTTTCTACTTTGAGACAGATGAACTTCTAATGATCGGGCTCCGAGCTCCTTGCATGTTCAGGTGGTCAACCAGGCACCAGCGATCCGCCGTAGCAACAGGGTACCAACAGCCGTCTCAATTGCCTTCCATCACTGCCGCCTCGGATAATTGCTAATAATGTGGGACAGTGACAAAATGACGCGTTCATGTAAAGCGAGGAAAGCTACCTACTCTAAACTCCGCCGATAACCACCCCTCGATGTGATAGGCGGCGTTTAGGTATGCTAACCCCGCCGTGGGGTCGACTTATGGTGTCATTTATAAGGGCGCGAACACCACAAGCACATCATCTTTGTTCTCCATCACCAAGACTTTTCACATAGATTTTCAAAGACATAGAGCCTTCAATCCCTAGTCCAAGTACTTCTCAAAACTTCAGATCACAATGACTCGCGTTCTGCTCACTGGAGGAAGTGGCTTCATTGCCGCCCATGTGCTGGATGTATTGCTCAAGCGCGGGTAAGCTATCACAACATCTCAAGGCAAACATCGCTTTCTGACGAGCTTCCAGCCACTCTGTCGTGACCACCGTTCGCAGCCAGCAGAAGGCCGACAAGATCAAGGAAGCGCACTCCAGCTACGGAAAGGACAAACTTGACTTCTCGATCGTCGAGGACATAGCAAAGGAAAATGCATTCGACGAGGCTGTCAAGTCGAACCCACCATTCGAAGCCGTCATCCACACCGCCAGCCCCTTCCACTTCAACGTCACCGATGTGCAGAAGCAGCTGCTTGACCCTGCGATCATTGGCACGACAGGCATCCTCAAGTCGATCAAGAAGAGCGCGCCCACTGTGAAGAAGGTCGTCATCACCTCCTCCTTTGCCGCCATTGTCAACCCCTTCAAGGGCACCTGGCCTGACCACACATACTCCGAGGCGGATTGGAACCCATTGACGCACGAGGAGGCGCTGAAGGACCCCGCCAACGGCTACCGGGGTAAGCGACCCCACTTTTGACTTATCTTGAAGCAGAGATAAGTGGCTAACTCTCGGCCTCAACAGCTAGCAAGACGTTCGCAGAGCGCGCTGCATGGGAGTTCCTGGAGAAGGAGAAGCCCAACTTCACGGTCGCGACGATAAACCCGCCCTTCGTCTTCGGGCCCATCGTGCACTACCTGAACTCACTCGACGCGCTCAACACCTCGAACCAGCGCATCGGGAACTTCGTCCTCGGCAAGTTCAAGGACGAAATCCCGCCTACTGGCACCTACATCTGGATTGATGTGCGCGATTTGGCGCTGGGACACGTCTTGGCTATGGAGAAGCCGGAGGCGGATAACAAGCGCTTCTTCTTTACTTCTGGCTACTTCAACAACAAGGAGCTGCTTGAGATCATCAGGAAGAACTTCCCTGAGTACAAGGACAAGCTTCCTGGCCCAGAGCTCCAGGGCGGCGAGTACCCCAAGGAGGGCGTCTACAAGATTAACAACGACAGGACGAAGGAGCTTCTGGGCACCGAGTTCACGCCTTTTGAGAAGTGTGTTGTCGACACTGTGAACTCGCTCAAGGCTGTCGGTGCGTAGATGGATCACCAGAACGAAGACGACCGAGAGTTTAGAGTAGACTTTATTAATGAATGACATGTTCTGACACCTATTCCAAGCGTTTGATTTTCGTTGCTTCCCAATTGAATACACATCGGAGCAGGATGAATATAAACCAAGCCCCAATTATCCAAAGAAACGATTCCGCAGTAGGGTGGAAAAGCCTGTGCAAATCTTTGGCAATGTTAGCTGAAGGATTCTTCCAAAAAGTAACAAAGCATGTAGCAAGTTGTTTGACTTGTCAGACTGTTGAGCTTGAATTGATTGAAAATATCATGGATGACTCAAAAGTTATCGTTTGAAGAAGGATCATCATTGAAGGGATTGGTGAAGGTGCATATGCGACTGGGGGTTTGTGGCTTACCTGGAGTCCTGCAGCTGTTCAAGCGCTGTTGAGTTAGCAAAGCGGTCGTATCATGTCCCGCAGTTGGTCTTTCACAGGCCCTTGGACAAACATCAGTCCTTTGTGCGCGCCAGACGCAAACTTGTGAAGAGCGGAAAGTCTTCGAAGCTCGGCGTCGGAGAAGAAAACCTAATCGGTGATTGGTTTCTCCGGCACCGGGGACTTGGCGTTCTCACGCCCGCCGCCCGGTGCCCCACCAAGCAGTAACCCCCACGACAACAGCAGATTCGGGCAGCAACCACCACTCTCACACACACTTCACTACCTCCGTCATCCGCTCTCGCTACCCCCGCGCCACTATATACCCAGTCAAATCCGACTCAATCAGACGCCATGGCCGGTGAGTCTCGCGCGAATAGCGGGGTGCCCGAGGCGAGGCTTGACTGTTTACTGACCTGATCCTGCTAGACTTCCAGAACGTCGCGAGTACGTATCCACCGACAGCCGCAAGCGTCATAGCTTTCTGCGACGTCCCGAACAGAGTCGAGCGGACGGATTGCTGATATTTGAACAGCTCAGTTCGTCCAGTTTTACTACAAGACCTTCGATGAGAACAGGCAGGGTCTTTTCGCGCTCTACGTATGTCCAAAGATCGGCCTAGAAACCGTACCAACAAGAGAGGATATCATACTGATGCGCCCCGTTTCTAGCGCGACCAATCCATGTTGACCTTCGAGTCCAACGCCACCCAGGGCGCCACCGGCATTATGGAGCGTCTGGGCGTAAGCAATCATAATCTGTTGCGCTTGTTGGGATATGGTTGGAGCTGACGATGATTGCAGAACCTTCCCTTCCAGAAGGTCCAGCACCAGGTTGCGACCCTTGACGCGCAGCCCGCTAGTGAGGACGGCTCTATCCTCGTCCAGGTCACCGGTGCTCTGCTGGTATGCACCCTTGTAGTTGCGTTTAGTATGTGCGGAGAAATAACAGGTTTTACAGGTCGACGAGGAGCAGCGCCCCATGAGCTACACTCAAACCTTCCAGCTCCGCCCCGATGGCGCTGGTAGCTACTTCGTCTTCAACGACATCTTCCGTCTTGTCTACGCTGCGTAGATTAATGCATCGGAGGGGCACTCTTAGAGGAGCAGTTGGCAAGCGCAGGTAGTTAGGTGCGCTTTGGACCGTTGACGGAACAATGCGGTACATTTTTGAATGCGAGCATCCGGCGGTGATTATAGTCAGGCGCGGAGCTATGAAGCAGTCTTTGATATCCCAAGTGCAATACGCGAGAAACTGAAACAGGCATGCGAGACTAAGTGATCTTCGACAAAGGGGCCGGGTTGGGGGCATCTGGCTGGGGCTCGATGCTGATCTTGCCCAAATGTTGGTGCTGTGGAGCAGGTGGAAAGCTGGACCCTTATGACGGCGTCTGCTCCTCGAGCTCGCGCGCGCCGAGGCGCATGCGGTTGTATTGTACAATAAAGCGACATTATCGAACACGGGGATGGTACGAGGCCGGATGCGCACGGCGGCGGAGGTGAGACGATTAAAGATCCCTGTCGGGTGGGTGACCGGGACGCGCCTGCCGTGGCTGAGTTGCGGCAGGGTCTCGCCCGAAACACCATTGATTCGCATCCTCGACCAGGCCACAACATCATCTTCTCAGGAACTCTCGCAATTGTCCTACAAACATCCACTGCGCCAGACCCCCTAGCCGTCGACTCGACCGCGCACACGCGCCCGCAAACATACTCTCGTCCTCTCCGCAACCGTCTTCTCTGCGCCTGAGCGATCCACATTGCACGGAGCTCCCGAGCTGAAGATCATCGTCTGCCTGTTCACCTGCGAAACTCACCTCGCCTCTTTGCCCCCCCAAACCACACACAGCCGAAAGCGCACCTGATCCGCCACGATGACTTTCAGAGAAGAGCTAAAGTCCAGGAACTTCAGTGAGTCTTGGAGCGCCGCCCTAGTTGAGCGAGGGATTGCTGACACGTCGACCCAGGCATTTACGGACAATGGTCAGTACAGCCCTTTTCGCGCACAACACCTCGTATCGCCAGTCGCTTGCGCAGGTGTGTCCCGCGCGACTGCGCTCAAATAACATAAGTCGTATGAGTTTGAGCGCACCACCGCGCCGCTTCGCTGGCAGTTCGCTCGAGTGCGCGAAGCTCCAAGGAGAGCAGGCACACCTGCGCAGAACGGCTCGAGTGCACAATATTATTAGATTCTAGGGCAAAATATCTGACCATGCGCTTTAGGACCGGCATACTTTGCGTCATCCTTTGCTTCGCCATGGGTATCGCCAACCTCTTTGAGGGCTGGAAGCATCTCATTTTCAGTGTGATTTGCCTGTAAGTGCATGACGCAACCTAACTGTCATAATTCCTCCGAGCATTGATCACTGACTGTTGACAGGATCTGTTCGCCTATCATCTTCTTTGTCGAAGTCGCTTTCCTTTTGAAGCTGCCCATCTGGTCTGAGGGCTTCCGCTCCTTCTTCCGCCGCCTCCAGGAGAACTGGCCCCGCATCATCATGTACCTCATCATGAGCATCGTTCAGTGGATCAGCATTGCGGTTGGACCTAGCAGCTTGATTGTGCCGGCCATTTTCCTGCTGTTCGCTGGCCTGTTCTACTTGATCGCAGAGCTCAAGCACCAAGATTTCCAGAGCAGCAAGATGCTGGGTGGACAGGGTATTGCGCAGATGATCGTCTAGGTCTATAATTACAAGACCCATGGCGTCATAGGGTCTAGGATGGGGTGGAGTGAATGCAAGTGCGGTTTCAAGTGCAGTTGGCGCTTTATTTGATTGCGGGTTTCATTTTTTTTTTTTTTTTTATGGAGCTGTCCAACAGCTCTTTATATTGAATTGGGAGTAGAGCAAAGCAAAGCTGGCTTGGTGCTTGTTGATACTCGGTGCTGTATGAATAGGCGTTTCCGGACACAGCTGGGTGAGCGACCAGGGTGAAAGCGATTCACGGCTCATAAGGCATGATATCTGGGGTGTAATGTTGACTTGGTTGTTTGTTTGTTTGCATTTGCTGGACGGGAGCACGTGTGTCAGTCGAGGCCAGGTCGTGAAATGCGCGCAGGCAGCCTACGGAACTACGCCACGCTGCGTGTTCTCGTACTACTGTGTAAGCTCTGGAAGGATCCATTGATGCTGCGGTGGCCAAGCGGAGGTGTACACATTATGTAGTTCGCAGCGCTAGCTCGACTGGATGGCAGCTGGCTAAGACGCGGACTGGGTCGCGGGGGTGGCGGGTGACTGTGCAGAGACTTGGCATGACCATGACGGGAGATGCAGCGGGCAGGGTGCGGAAGATGGGGAAGCGATGGTGATGGGGGAAGACAAGGGACAAGAAGTAAAAAGCACGCAAGCCACCGCAGCTCAAAGACGGCTTCTCGGCTCCGCAAAAGGGCGTGAGAGCGAATGAATTGCTCTGGTGCCTGTCTGCTCTGGAAGCCAAAATGCCGCAGGCACGATGAACCAATGACGAATGCTGTAATCCACGTTGCTTTCGGTGCCCCAGTCGTCACTACCTTGCGACTGTCTTCTACTTTTACTTAAAGGCGCCAAGTGCCCTGGTCCTGCTCTTCTTTCAAAGCTCCCCGCAATACTTACATTTTGACATTTCCACTTCTGACGCGCCATTGGGCTATTCTGTCACAACCGGTGAGTTGTCCGCCGCCGAGCTACTGCTCCTGCGCTCGAGCAGCCATCTGCTAGCACGTCCCAACGCCTATGCTCCCCGCCGTCTTTGACCTTCCATGATCCTGCTGGAGCTGACACCTTCCTCCCCAGTACTTTAGCTCTCTTCTTCTATCACAGGCTCATACTTAGTCTCACGCAATGGCTACCCCTCCGTCGATACCAACGCGTCCTTCTCGCTCTACTCAGAACCCGACCATCTCAGAACCCGCCGATGCCCCAAAGGTCCCTCCTCGCCCGTCGCGCAGCATCGAGCGCTCCGTCTCTCCCCACCGGGACACCTTTGCTCGTTCCCCGCTGAACGACCCCACCTTTATCAATGGCTCCAACAACAACAAGAGGCTCTCGGCCTCTGACCTGCCTCAGCGCCCTCCCTCGGTCTCGCTACCTTCGATCGGACAAGAGGGGAGTGAGTACGACAGCATAGCTACCCCCGGTGACGAGAGCTCCCCCAGGGAGACTAGAGATGCCGAGGGGCTGCAACTGCACGCTCCTCGCGCTCAAGTCCCTCAGTCAACTGCGAAGTCGAGGATACAAGGGGTCACCCGCACCGATTCCAGCCAGGCTGCGGCCGCTGGTTTTGGAAAGACAGCATCGTCGGACACAGACAGGAAGCTGTCTCACTCCAGGAGCCCTTCGGCAGCGGCGCGCATGTCGCGCCCTCAGTCTATACATGATGATTCCGAGCATGGCATTCCCTCAATAGGTCTGCAGGTGCCCATGTATCCCAACGCGGGTGACGTGCAAGCTCCCACGCCGTCACAGTACAGCAACGCGCCCTCGACCGGCATCGGCTTCTTCAACAACGGTGGCCAGTCAGCGGAAAGGCACCATACCAGATCCAAGAGTGGCAGAGAGAACTTCTACGCGCCGCCTGGTAGCTATGGTCGTCATGGTCACGGAGTCGTCCCCCAAGACGTCTTCGAGAAGGACTGGTACGCGAAGCACCCCGAGGATGCTGCCAGAGAGGCACAGGGAGAGTATGGCCCGGCCATCTCGGAGAATAGAAAGGAATGGGCTCTCAGCAGCGACCAGTTGAACAGGCTTGTTCAAGACAGTGCCAACAGCGGTGTTGGAATGGGTAAGCTACGACTGGAGCTCGGCTCGAGTCCGTCGCTTGCACAGCTAATTCAAACTTAGGGACGTCTCCTGCAGCCGTCGGCACCCCTGCCGAAGAGATTGGTTACCTGGCTTCAGAAGAGTACGCTTCCCGCATGGCATCGCCGGCGACGGGCCACAAGGAAGGCCCCAAGTCTCGGCCCGTCTCTCAGACTTATTATGAGTCGCCCCTGCGTAAGGCAAGCTTCCCCGCCGAAGAAGCTCAGAGGCCATCGGGCACCGCCATTGAGGGCGAGAGCGAGGAAGTCATTCACATTGATCCTCCGGCAAACGCGAGGAGCCACATTCACGGCGGTGGCCCCGAGGCCGCTGACCTTGGACCCGAGGGTGGCAACACCCACGAGCATGGAGGATTTTTCACAGAGGAAGGTGATGGCGCGCCAATTTTGGCTTCTGACGAGCTGGAGAGACACAAGACTCCGGGCGCAGAATTCATGCAGCCAGCTGTACCGCCAGAGTTGGAGCGGGAGCGTAGAGATGCCGATGAGGCCGAGACCAACGGTCACCGCAGGAGCAGCAGCCGTGGTAGCCGTCCCACGAGCCGCCCTCCGAGTGGTGTTGGGCTGCCCCATTGGAAGAGCTATGGTGAGGAGGATCGCTCCGGCACCCCTCTCGATGACGTCAAGGAATACGAGCCTTTATTTCCCGAGGATGACGAGAAGAAGCCTACCGAAAAGCCGATCAATATGGCTGAAAAGCTCAAGCGCCCGGATCTTGCTCGCCATCACTTCCCCAGTCAAGATGTCTGGGAGGATACGCCTAGCAGTTTGCAGTTGCAGACGGAGGTTGAGACACCTCAGCTGCCAGATGAGCCCGACTCAGCCCATACCTCCTCGATGCAGGGTTCTATGACTTTTGAGAAGCCTGAAGACGAAGAGGCACGCAAGTCGATCACCCCGAGCGACCAGGAGAGTTTCCTTTCGGATCACACCAAGCGTTTTGCCAAGTCTCACCTCAACCGTGATGTCGCGGCGGAGCTTCCGGGAAGGCCGGGCATGCAACAAAGATTCCCTAGCCAGGATGTTTGGGAAGACACGCCTGATACCTTGCAGCTGGTCACTGAAGTCAGCGCTCCACAGGAACCGGAGGACCAGATTTTCAGCCCCGAAGAGCAGAAGGCACCTGCTCCTGCAGCTGAAGAGAAGAAGGCTCCTGCGGTTGAAGAGAAGAAGACCGAAGAGCAAAAGGCTCCTGCACCTGGAGCACCGCATGTTCCTGCTAGACCGCAGGTCCCATCCCGGCCGGCACGTGCGGCTCAGGATGAGTCCAAGCCCGCGTCCCCCGCCAATGACCGCAAGCCACCTGTTCTTCCAGGGCGCCCGAAGCCACAGATTCCGGTTCGTCCAGCGAAGAAGGACTCTTCTGAAAATGTTCCGCTGTCCAAGACGTCTTCTGTCGGAAGCACTGGAAGCGAAAATGCGCCAGCACCAGCCGCCAAGCCCAAGCCCCCTGTTCCCGGCCGCCCCGGTGGCAGCAAGATTGCAGCTCTCAAGGCTGGCTTCCTGAGCGACCTCAACAGCCGTCTGCAGCTCGGCCCGCAGGGCCCTCCCAAACCTCCCAAGGAGCCTGAGAAGGAAGAGGCTGCGCCCGAAGAGCCCAAGGCTCCTCTGGCCGATGCGCGCAAGGGTCGTGCCCGCGGCCCGGCTCGTAGGAAGCCTGCCGCAGCTACCGCTGCTGCAACTGCCGAGCCAGCAGCGAAATCCGCAGCCGCCGCGCCTAAGCTGGATATCGCGACACCTTGGACTATCTGGCAGATCTCGGATGAGGGCGACCTCGACATCCCGAGCGCAGACGGTGCCGCTGGCGCTGCTGCCGTGCCTAAGGAGGCCGAGGCCAGCATCGCCACACAGGTTCCTGCGGACCCGAAGCCTGCGCCTGAAGACAGCCCTTCGGCCGAGAAGGAGCTGAACCCTCACCCGGATATGGTGATTAAGGGCGAGGCGGCGACGACGGGCGCTACTGAGGAAGCACAGCCCGAGAGCGCGGCCGCCGCACCGGCGGAAGAGACTCCCGCGGCTGTTGCGAAGCCCGTGACGGAAGAAGCGCCGGCGGAGGAGAAGAAGAGGGATCAGAGCCCGCAAGTGGACGCGCCGGTTGAGGCCGAGGCCGAGAAGCCGGCTTCCACTTCCACGGCAGCCGCTGCGGAGGAGGCAAAGGAAGCTCCCACTACGGCTGAGATGACGGACGAGGCGGTGCAGACCGGGCAACAGGACATGGTGATCCAGTGCTCGACGGAGGGCGACGGCGCCGCCAACACGGAGAAGCTGACGGCGTATCTAGGCGGGCGGGCGCCCGAGGAAGGCAGCGTCGTCGTCAAGGGCGACGGGGAGGAGGTGGTCGGCGAGCCGGACGAGAGGGGCAGCATTGAGAAGACGGGCGGTGGCATGTGAGGTGTGAGGTGTGAGGTGTTAGTGCGTAGTGAGTAGTGGGTAGTGGGTTTTATGATGAGCATTGATGGATGCAATGCGTTGCGTTGCGTTGCGTTGCGATGCATGATTAGGGAGCGGGGGTTTTTAGGGCATTCATTGCTTGCTTGCTTGATTACCTTCTTGATTGATTGATGGATTGGTCGATTAGCTCGGGCAGCATAACTAGATGATGGCTTGCCGTCTGTCTTTTTCTGGTTGTCTGGTTCGCCGCCGTTTTTCTGCTGTTGTGTTCCTTTGCAGTTGAGGGTGAGTGTGAGGATGAGTTTACTGTGCCAGCAACTCCATCCATATGTACATACACACCCATCCATCCATCCCCATGCATAGAGGCACATAACATACATACACGCATACACAACAACGGCATCACCATAGCAGCAGCAGTAGCACATACACTTATCCCAACAGCGCGCATTTACATATACACCACCATCACCATCACCACCGGGAAAACGAAAAAAGGGACAGCCTCAACGGCCCCCAAGCGAAGTGAAGTGGCTTGACTTTGATTTTGAAAACGCACAACAACAGCAACAAAAGGCCAACAAAAGGCCGACGCCTTCCACATACACACCACACCACATACATACATACAGCATACACACACGCAGCCATTCATTTCCCCTAGACCTTTATTTCCCGCCTTTCCCCTTTCCCCTCCATTTCCCATCCATCCATCCGTCCAAAGAAAGACCACCATCACCCCTCCTCTCTCAATAGGAATCTATACGACACACACACAACAAATCAGCCGCACCCCCGGCGTGTCTGGCAAGCAAGGCAAGCAAGCAAGGCAGGCAGGCAAGCAAGACTAGACAAGCACGGGAGCAGACAGACAGAGAGACAGACACAAGACTGCGCAAAAGGGGGGCTTAGATACCGAGGGTGAACTCGACGCCGACGTCAATCTCGCGCGCCATCTTCACAACCTTGGAGAACTGGACCGACTTCTCGGCCGCGCTCTGCAGGTCGTCGATGCTGAAGATCTTGAGGCCCGACTCGTTGATGAGCTTGTGCGCCGCCTCCATGTTGGTGCCCTGTAACCGGGCAATGATGGGGATGCGCAGGTTCATCGACTCAACCACCGAGATCAGGCCCTTGGCGATGGCGTCGCAGCGCACAATGCCACCGAAGATATTGACGAAGATGGCCGTGACCTTGGGGTCCGAGGTGATGAGCTCAAAGGCCTGGCGGATGGCCTCGGGCGTGGCTCCGCCACCAACGTCCAGGAAGTTGGCCGGCTGGCCGCCGTTCAGCTTGATAATGTCCATGGTGGCCATGGCGAGACCCGCGCCGTTAACCAGGCAGCCAATGTCGCCGTCCAGCTTGATGAAGTTGAGCCCGGACTCGCCGGCCTTGACCTCATCGGGGTCCTCCTGCGTCACGTCGCGCCACTGGAAGACCTCCTTCTGGCGGAAGTCGGCGTTGTCGTCGAAGTTGAGCTTGGCGTCCATGGCCAGCACCTGGTGATCAGTCGTCTCGGAGAGGGGGTTGATCTCGATCTGCGTGGCGTCACGCTCCATGAAGACCTTGTACAGCTTCTGGATAGTGTCCTTGGCGTCCTCGATGCACTGCTCAGAGAAGCCAAGCTGGGTCGCAATGTTGCGGGCCACCTCGTCCGTCACGCCCTTGTGGATGTCGACCTTGGTGGTGATGATGGCCTCGGGGTGCTCCTTAGCAACGGCCTCAATGTCCATGCCGCCCTGGGACGAGGCGACGATGACGGGGCCCTGCGACGCGCGGTCCATCAGGACGGCGAGGTAGAACTCGCGGCGCGCAAATTTGCGCTCGACAATGTAGACGGCGTTGCACAGACGGCCGGCGGCGCCCGTCTGCTTGGTGATGAGCTTGTGGCCGATCATCTGGTCGGCAAGGATGCGGGCCTCGGTGGGGCTGGGGGAACGGGATATCAGCATTCACACCCACAAACACACATGTCCAACAAGGTTCTGCGGGAGCGGGAGTGGGGCCTTACGAGTAGATAACGCGGACACCGCCCTTGAAGCCGTTGTCAAAGGTACCCTTTCCTCTGCCGCCGGCAAGGACCTGGGCCTTGATGACCATGTCGTCACCCTCTGGCACAGCTGTTAGCACGCCCAAGTGGGACAAAAAGGGAAGCACGAGGCAGACATACTAATGCTCTTCGCAACATCCTCGGCCTCCTTCGCCGACTGGGCAACGTTGCCCTTGGGGACGCCAATGCCGTACTGGGCGCGGATATGTTAGCGGTGGGGAGCGGTGACGGGTCGGAAAAGGGCCGCGTACGGATTCCAGCAGAGCCGCAGAGCGGTACTCGTGGATGGAGAGGTTGCGGGTCTGCTGGATGGCGGACCTCTTCAGAGGAGTGCCCTGCGACAGGGGTTAGCATGGGTTGTTGCGGTCGACGAAGAAGTTGCGGCATCAAGCTGCAGGGCGGAGGGAAGGAACAGCTGCCGCGAGCTCGGTAGCGGGCACAACGTACGGTAGCGGCCTTGAAGGCACCGGCCATGGGCCGACTCGCGCGCGCCAACTTGTACATGATGAGGTCGAGATGGAGGGAGGGCGAGGATGGGCGGAAAAGTGAGATTGATGGCCTTGAGCAAGCTCGGAGGTGTTGATGGAGGTGCGGGTGCAAGCGGGTTTTGCGTTTTCTTGGCTCGAGCGCGAAGCGGTTGGCGTCGGCGGCGGACATTTACTACAATGATTTACTGCTAGCTATTCCATACTACCTAACTATCTTACAATGCCGCCTGCTGCTGCTGCGCGCCCTGACGAAATCGCCTTCAATCGCGCCAGCGTTGCCCTGGCCCGCAGTCAGGCCCTCATCGCATCATGGCTGCCGCCGCGCACGACTGAAGAAGCCGCCAGCGCGAAATCCGACGACGACGTGCAGAAAGAAGACAAGGCTCTCTTCACCCCCTCCGCAGAAGTGTATGCTCGCGTCCGCCCACTCGCCCGTCCCTTCTTTGCGCCGCATGCTAACTTTCCTCCCTCCAGCCTGGGCGTCGGAGCTGAGCCGCCCAAAGATGTCCTTGAAGGCAGCTTCCGGCGCAATCAGCTATCCTCAAACGAGCGCCTGCGCCAGCAGCTACTGGGCAAGAATGCCAAACCGGGCCCCAAGTCCGCGCAGCAGAGTGGCCCGCTACATGCGCCGGTGAAGAAACCTGCGCCGAAGCCTGCGGCGCGCCGGCAGGCCGACAGCGACGACGACGAAGAGGAAGGTCGCGCTGCTGCGTTCAAGTCGAAGAGGCAGAAGACCCAGGCTGCCACGACAGACCCGATCGCCAATGCAAGGAGGCCGCGAGAGGAGGATGCCAGTGACTCGGACGAGCGGGAAGAGCGGCCAAAGGCGGCGCTGAAGCAGGCGCCTGCTCCTGCGACGTCGTCGGTGCCTGAGCGGCCGAAGAAGAAGGCTAATAGTTTTCTGGACGAGTTGCTGGAGGAGCGGTCGAAGAAGAAAAAGAAGAAGCGCAACAAGAACAAGGGCGAGGCGGCTGGGCAGGAGTAGTGAGTGGATGATGGCCAGGGAGTCGATACCCACCGAGTACTCTAGTGAACCCAAAATCTATCTTGATGATTTGCTCTTGTACCTTTTTCTCGCGAATGATCAAACACGGAGGGCCAACGTACGGCGTGCAACAGCTGGTCAGGACGATCACTTGCCCCAAATAGTAATATAGCAGTCCATCGCCAACCCAAATAGGCAAGTCAACTGCCTTCAGTCGCATTTTCACATCAAATACACCTGGATTAATACTCCATTGACTCCTGAGACTTCGTGAATCTTCCATTGCTACGTTATATACAGAGCGCTCAAAAAGCAATCATGCAGGCCTCGCTCTCTTATTCCCTAACAAACAAACTGGCCATGCCCATACCAGTACCCACACAAAGCGACACAACACCGAGCTCCTTGCCCTGGCGCTCCAGCTCAGGCATCAGCGTCGCCAACTGCCTGCCACCAGTGGCGCCGAGCGGGTGACCCAGCGCAATAGCACCGCCCTTCGGGTTAACCTTGTCCATATCAAGTCCCAGCTCGCGGATACAGTGGATCGACTGGGAAGCAAACGCCTCGTTGATCTCCCAGATGCCAATCTCTTCCTTGGACAGGCCGGTGTAGTCGAGCAGCTTGGGGATGGCAAGAGCGGGGCCAATGCCCATCTCGTCGGGCTTGCAGCCAACAACCTGCGTACCGGCCCATTTGCCGATGATGGAGCCGGACAGGCCCAGCGCCTGCGCGGTGCTGCGGCGCATCATCAGCGCGGCCGACGCGCCGTCTGACACTTGAGAGCTGTTGCCGGCGGTGCTGCGGCCGTCGGGCTTGAAAGCGGGCTTCATGGTGCCGAGCTTCTCGACGGTGGTCGTGGGCCGGATGCCGTCGTCCTTGGTGACGGTAATCGTCTCCTCGTTCTCGGGCACCTCGGGGTCTGGCCGGAACCGCGTCGTCACGGGGATGATCTCCTTGTCGAACAGGCCCTCCTGCTGTGCCTTTGCGGCTTTGTAGTGCGACCGCATAGCGAATTCGTCTTGATCCGCTCGGCTGACGTTGTACCGCTCCGCTACGTTCTCCGACGTGATTCCCATGCTCATAATGCAGTCCCGCGCGTCCTTGACCGGAGACTCTTTCAGCTCAGGCCAGAGGACCGTTGGGATCGCGCGCGAGCCGTAGTTGCGCGTCATGCTCTCCATGCCTCCGCCGACACCAACGTCAATGGCTCCCACGGCTATGCTTTGCGCGATCCCGGTGATGGCAGACAGAGAGGAACTGCACGCCCGGTTGACAGTTTGGAAAGAGGTGGTGCTCGGGTAGCCGACGTGGTTCATAGCCATGCGTCCGGCCTTGGAGCCACCGAGCTCGGCGAGGACAGTGCCAATGTGCACATCCTGGATCTTCGCGGGGTCGAGGTTGGGGTTCTTGTCCAAAGTGGCTTTGAGGACCTGCGCGGCAATTAGTCGATGCATGAGAGCAAGACCGTGGTAATGGTACGTACAGCCGCGAGCATCTCATGGTCGTATGCATCCTTGAGACCACCCTTCTTCGCCCTCGTGACCGGCGTCCTCAGTACAGACAGAAAGACGACGTCATTGGGGTTCTTCTGGAGAATGTTCTTGGCGCCCTTCTGGATGAAGCCAGACATGATGGATTGCCGAATTGAAAAGAGGGGAGGGATTGAACAAATTATACGCTTAGGGAGGGAAAAGAGAGGCGCTGGGGAGGATTGCCACAGGCACGGAGGGGCTCATGGCTAGTTACATGCAGCGTGTTTGGGCCGGGGAAAGCTGTCGGGAGCTGTTGCGGAGAAGGGTTCGGCAGTGCGCGCGCGGAGCATCGGCTGGAACAACGTCAGCGCTGCGTCCTCTCCCGCGTCCCTCGGTCCATTGGCGTGCTTGCCGGCATGGCAGAGGCCGTTACCGACGTTGGCGAGCTCCTCGTTGCGCTTTTTGTACCGTGTCTCTCTCGAAATTTTGCTGAAGCTGCTCGGATGGCAACGGGCCTCTGCCGACGTCGTGGAGGCCTATCCGGCCCGCCGACAGACGCATCGGAAGCGCCCTTGAAGAGCACCAACCCACTGGCCTCGAAGTCGGAGGGCAGAATCAGGTGATGCAAGGCCTTGTCTCGGACAAAACATGGACGAAGAAGTCAAGGTGGCTGTCTAAGAAGGCAATTATCAACGCGGAGGGCTCCTGACAAACCACCTACAGTGCTTGTTTTTCTTCTCCTGCTTGCTTTGGTACCTAAACCGGCTTGAACATATGGCGTGTTTTTATCCACGTATGTATATACAGAGATAAACAAGTAACTGCAAAGTCCAGTAGCCATAGCTTTTTACTACCTAGCCAGCGCACCTAATCACTACCACCAAGAATATGACGAACGCAGCAGCAAACCAGAGCATAGTACACGGGTTCCGCTCAAACCACGCCACCCGACACACATCCTAGAGAGGAGAGCAAATAGAAGCAAAATCCACTCAGTAAAAAGCATTCAAAGGACACTAGAGTACACGTATCGATTTCGTTATGTACATACAACGCGTCTATCAAGATACCCGGGAGACGAAGACACGGGCAGAAAGGAAGAAAGATGGACCCAACAGACTTAAGTCATGTAGTACTTGGGTCCGTCACCACCCGTGGGGCATACCCAGTTAATGTCCTGACCCGGGACCTTGATGTCGCACGTCTTGCAGTGAACGCAGCTGTAGCAGAACGTTAGCCATGTTCATAGATCATGCACACAATAGCGAACGAGAGAGCGGGTGGGGGATATCGAAAAAGAAATGGAAAGGAGGCCTGGAGCATTACTTACTTCTGTGCATTAATCTGGAAGCGCACGCCCAGGTCCTTCGACTCGTCCTCAACATACTCATACACGCCCGCAGGGCAGAAGCGGTTCTCGACGCCCTGGAAGCGCGGCCAGTGCTTCTTGGCGTGCAAGTCCCAGTCCCTGACCTGCAAGTGCACGGGCTGGTCCTCCTCGTGGTTGGTGCCCGAGCGGCTTACGCTCGTCAGGATGTCAAAACTGATCTTGCCGTCCGGCTTGGGGTACTCGATCTTCGGGCATGAGGCGGCCTCGCGCGTCGCCGCGTGGTCTGGTGCACCGTGCTTGAAAGTCCACGGCTCCTTGCCCTTCAGCAAGAAGGCTGCCAAACCGGAGTACATCACGCCGCCGTACAGGCCCAGCGGCGTGTGGAATGATGGCCGCATGTTCCGCACTTCCTTGAGCTCGCGCCAAATGCTCGACTTGCGCAGTTTGTCCTCGTAGTCGTAGAGGAAGATGCTGCTTTCATTGTCGGTGTTAGTCTTGAGGGCGTCGAAAGCTGCTTCTGCCGCAAGCATGCCTGACCGCATAGCCGAATGCGTGCCCTTGATCTTAGGCAGGTTGAGGAAGCCGGCTGTGTCGCCGATCAGGGCTCCGCCAGGGAAAGCGCACTTGGGTATCGACTGGAATCCGCCTTCATTCAACGTGCGGGCACCGTATGAAATGCACTTGCCGCCTTCAAGGTACTTCTTATAGAACGGATGGTGCTTCATCCTCTGGAACTCGCCAAAGGGCGATGTCCAAGGGTTAGGGTAGTCCAGACCAACCACCAAGCCGATGCTGACCAGGTTGTCGCCGAAGTGGTACATCCAACCGCCACCATAGGTGTCCTTGGACAAAGGCCATCCCAGGGAGTGTGCGATGAAACCAGACTCGAACTTCGCCGGGTCGATTTCCCAAATCTCTTTAACGCCTAGCCCGTAGGTTTGGTGTTGCGAGTCGCGCCGCAAATCAAACTTCCTGATAATCTGCTTCGTCAAACTGCCGTGGCACCCCTCGGCCATGAGAGTGCACTTGGCATGGAACTCCATGCCGCGCTCAAATGTGTCCTTGGGCTTATAGTCACGCCCGACACCCATGTCATTTGTCGCCACACCCTTGACAGATCCATCCGGGTGGTATAGGACCTCAGACGCCGAGAATCCGGGGTATATCTCCACGCCAAGTTCCTCTGCACGCTCGGCTAACCACTTGACGAACTGATTCAGGCTCACAATGTAGTTGCCCTTGTTGTGCATTTGTGGCGGCACCGGCAACCAGACAGATGTGTTCTTGAGGAGGAACCGCATCGACTCCCTTCCGGCGGGGGTGGCGTTTGCAAAGCGGTTGGGGTTGTCTTCCGAGATCCAGTCTGGTATCAGATCGTTGATCGCAGACGGCTCCAGCACGTTGCCTGAGACGATGTGGTCCCCCATCTCGCCAGCCTTCTCCAGCAACAGGACGCGGAAGTCTTCGTTGCCCGCGTCGTTGGCTAATTGCTTCAGCCGAATGGCAGCGCTGAGACCTGCCGGCCCGCCACCCACTATACAGACATCGACCTGGTCGCTTTCGCGCTCGACCTCGGTAGGGTCGAAGGAGTCGTCGACGGCTGCGAGCCTGGTGCGCGCGGTGCTCGAGATGGCTCGTCGCTGGCCTGCAACGCGCAGGGCGGGCCGGTAGGCGGAGAGGACATTTCTTCGGACAGTGCAAGCAGCGGCAGATCTGGTTGCGAATCGGAGGGCGGTTGACGAGGGAACGAGCGAACGGCGCATGGCCGCCGGTGATATTATCCTAGACGCCATAATGAGAGCAATCGAACGGCACCCAGCAGGAGCATTTGGGGTGGCGGGCTATTATCAGTGTAGATCTACCACGGTTCAGTCATGACAAGCTGGACCGAGGCCAAGGCGCGCCACATCCCTGTGGCCCTCCGTACCCCTCTCGACCAAACAAATTCAATGCGATTGTCATCGATCAACCTTCTTTCAACATCAGCCCATGCTGAAACGTGCCTGATCACGTCGTCTGGAGACATCAGGCGAAGTCGTCGTCGCGCCGAAGCCGAAGTCGGATTTCATGAACACTCTGGCAGGCACCCCGTCAGGCCATGGGCTGGACCGATAGCGCTACGACTGCGGGGCTTCAATATATCGTCTACTTGGATGTCACGACCGTTTGCAACCTCCTGGCTTCTGAGTCTCGTTGCAACCAGCAAATTCGAATCAAAGACTACCTAACACTTGTCTGTGCCTGTTCGACGGCCGAAGTGTTAGTGAATGGAGGGATGCAAAGAAAACTGTAAGGCAAGTGGAGTGCAGCGAAGATCAGGGTGAAGTTGGTGCTCTTGCGGCTTCCAGCTTGTGCGAAGGGAACCGTCGCTTCTTTTCAGTTTGTGATGGACATCATGGGAGCAGGCACGTAGGTAGGTAGGAAAGGTTGATGCTTACTTAGCTTGGGTGAGTTCACGAGGGGCGAGAGGGATGATGGAAAGAGCTTGGGGGTGGAAAGTGGAAAGAGGGGAATCAGATGTCCCTTCCTCATTCGTGGATGCCAGTATTATCATTGCATTGACACAGCTTGTCCAACTGTCTGTTTACTCGGTCACCATCCTGCATCATGTTTACTCACCCCGAAGCGTACAAGTTCGAAATTGTCCGTGCCAAATGGGAGGGCCAGCAGAATGTTAACAGGCAACCAAGCAAACTCCGACGCTTCAGTTCGTTTGCCTCTTTCACTAGCCCGCTCAATCCATTTTCGCGTCGTGACCGCCGTCAGCATGTCCTCAACTCGTCCATGAACTCTCTTTCAGAGATGACCGAGCCGCTACGTCAACAAACCTCCAACGACATGGCTAGCAGGCCACAGACACCGTACGAGCCGGCAGAGGCCGACCGGCGCACCGCCTTCGGCCGCAGTCAGACTTTCAGCAACATTCCTTTGCCAGTAAAAAGCCAAGGTCGGACTGCAAGCTCATCGCCTAGGAAGTTTTCCACCACATCGCAAGCCTCTTTGCACAATGAGTCCTCGGCTTTGCAGTCCACAACGAGCGTTCCACGTAGCAGACTGCCTACTCCTGTCTCAGCAAGAGACTCCAAGCACATAGCAGCGAGCAAGATGTTCGCAGGTCTGGCAAAGGGGCCGAGAGCTGCGCGTTCTTACACCCAACCCAACCTTCTAAGCCCGATGAAGCAGAACAGACCTTCGGCCCACTTCATGATTCCGCGCAAAGCCGTTCACAAAGATGACCTGAATTCGAAGACACTCAGGCAAGCACCAAAAGAGAATACAAAGCCACCAGGGCTTCCATCTTTTACCGAAGACTGGGTTGGTGAGAAACAGAGCGAAGAGTTGCAGACACCGCGGCGCGCGCAACCTAGACGCAACACGCTTATGGGCGACGTCGAAGTCTGGGGAAGTCCTAAGATGACCACGCATGAAGCGCTACAAGCAGAGATGGTAACGCCACTAACACCTATCACCGTGGTAAAGAGTGGCATGGTAAAGAGCCACACGATGGCACATATCCCGCGACTGCCGTCTTCACACGAAATTCCTCAGCACCAACTCATGCAGCCTTTAAGAGCTCCAACTCCAAAAACACCTAGTACTGTAGGACCACCAAGCACCTTCACGACAGTACGGAAGATAAACAACTCGATCAGGCACCTCCGCAAACCCTCTGAACTGAGTCCCTTGGCTGAGCGCGATACGCCCTTGGGGCCATCCAACACGATGACCCGCCAGGTTTGTCTGCAACCTCTCATCTCGGGCCTTCCCGCATATTCCATAAAAATTCGAGTTCTTAACAATGACTTGTGCACACTACAGGTAACTGAAGCGCAGCCCTACGCATGGTGGGCCGGTCGGTTCCAGAGCATCTCGGATCGCATCCGCATAGAGGAGTTCGACGTAGACCTGCGCATCATCGCGGGCTCCACGCAACGTATTTCGAACCTCCTCCAAGCTGACGACGAGGGAAGGATCAGAAGAGTGTTCGAAGAGCTGCAGTCGTGCTGCCTGACTGACGAAGCACGGAACAGACTGCGGGTAAGACAGCTCATCCTTTACTGCGAGGTGAACAAAAAACTGACACTAAGCAGGAGTTCCAGTTCGAGTTCGCCAAGATCAACAAGATGCCGTTCATCGTTCCGCCGCCCTTGCCAGTGACGCCGCGCCGTAGAGCCCATACGATCGAGTCGCAGACGTCGCTGGCAGCTGGCCGGAAGATGTCGTTCATGGAGAAGCTGAAGGGTATTGCGAGGAAGTCCAGCAACTGACCGAATACTTGTGTTGCATGGATAGATCAGAGCAGCATGGTATAGTGTGGGCCTTGGCGATGGAGAACCTTTGTCTATTGTAGGATAATGAGCGGCGCGGGTGTTTGTTCGAGAACCATGGTAGGGTTTAAACTGGTATGGTGTTAAGCTCCTTGTAAGCCAATAATGGATCAAAAGGCTATCGTCAGCAGGAGTCTCGAATTCATCTCGCCTACAAAGCTCAAGCTTAAAGGTAGACGATAAGTCATTAATGATAATTATATACCAATATTCATTCCAAGAAAGCTCGATACACTGGATTCTTCGTCCTGGCAATAGGATACGGATTATATAGGCTTAGGTGACTTCTAACGTCCGTTACCGCGAATCGAGATCCGCCGTCTAGCGAGATAAAGGACGATATAAACAGTCCCTATAGAGTACCCCTTAACTAGCTCCCAGCCCGAGTCCCAGGTATGAGTGGAAAAATCTTAGAGAACACACAGACTCTACATATCTTAAGCTAGGTCTCTTCTTCTACTCCGTACACGTATCGCCATCTCGCTTCATGATGGACGTTACATAGTATATATATCTGTAAATCTGTATGTCTCTACCATCCAGTACATCCTGTACCAAATATGCAATCTCGGAGCGACATCATAAGCCTCTGCTCTTTCAGCACAACAGCGCAACAGAACAAGCACGCACAACACTCGCGACCACACCAAATCAAAGCAAAGCAAAGCCCAGTCTGAGCATGCATAGAATTCAGGACCCAGCGTATACCGTCCCACCCCAGAAAACAGTAAACAAGACACTAACAAAAAAACAAGCACAACCCAAAACCTGTATATACTCCTCTTGCAAGCCAGCCCAAGAAGCAGCTCTGGGGAATCCGTATCATGAGCAACCCATCCCTATTCGTAGCGACAGTATCCGTAACCCAAACCCTCGGCCTCAGCGAAGAAGCGAAGAAGCAAAGAAGAAGAAGTAGAAGAAGAAGAAGGTGAAGGTGAAGAGGCAACCGCTGGAGAATTACAAATAATGAGTGTCCCTTGCACACACATCACATACGGACGACAACTGCTGTGAGAACTTAGCAGTTTTGCAGGTAGTTGCTCGGCACCAGGCCAACGCGGCCCGGCTTGCCCGCCACCTCGGCCTCCCACCAGCCGTCGTCCTGCTCGCGCGTGATGGCCAGAATGTCGCCCTTGGCGAAGCTGAGCTCCTCTGGGATCTGCGCTTGGTACATGTACATGGCACGAGCTGTTGCATCGAACCGTTAGTTTATACAGACCACTGGTGACAGCAACAATGGAACAATCAAACTTACAGTAATGCATAATCGGCCGTCCATCCTTCGTGAACTGCCTCGCGTCCGCAACACTCCTGCTCCGAGCCCGCGTGCTCAGCGCTCCGCCGCCACCAGCACCGTTGCCCACGTAGCCCATGTCATTGGGCGCGGCCCCGCCGTAGTACGCGCTTATCGGCCTTCCGTGGCTCGTTCCTGGCCGGCCGCCTCTTTGGCTGCCGCCGTAGACACTCCCTGCGTCGCTCCCTCCAGGAGCAAGAACCATGGCGCCACCCTGGCTGCTGGCCGGGCGGCCGCCGGCAAAGTGCGGCGCAGGCGATGTGGCGCCCGCCCTCGTTGCTGGACGCTGGAACTGCGGTTGCGGCGATACCGCACGCGGCATACTGGTTGGGGGATGCTGGCGCGACGTCCAGCTGCCGTACTCGCGCTTCACTGGGCTCGTGGATTGGGCGCGAGGCCGGCCGCCGCCATTTGGTGGGGCGTATGGGTTCGGTGAGGGTGCACGGTATGCCTGCGGCCTGGGTGCTTGATCGTACGTATCAAATCTAGGGCTTGCAGCCCGGGTTGGCTGAGGACTGGGTGCACGAGCAACTTCTGAGCTGCCTCTGGTTCCAGGTCGGGAAGACGTCGTACCCGCACGAGCATTAAACATGTTCTGCGCCTTGTTGACGTATTGTTGTGTCGTTTGCTGCATCTGCCTAGCAGTATGGGCAGGTTGTGGAGCACCTAGGCGACTCATGGGCTGATCGTACGAAGGAGGTGGTGTCCCGCGCTGGGCTGCGCTTACTGCGCTACCAGCCGCAGTACGTGCGCGGCCAGGAGTACCTGGTGGTGGACCCGGCGTTGGAATGTTAGCATAACTGTCGGCCGACTGGCGCAACGACGTTTGCTTGGTCACTCCCTTGAGTTCCGCAAGAGCTGCAGCGATGGGATCAGCATCCTCGTTGGCCGCCTTCTCTGGAGGCGGCTTCTTGTCTGGAGAGGCGACGTCGAACACGTTGTTGCCGACGTTCAACTGGAAGTTAGCTCTAGGATCAACAGGCTCGGGTTCCGGACCCAGATCCGGCCTTTCGCCTCCCACAATGCTTCTACGAGCTTGACGACCATATGGCGGCCGCGAGTTGGGAGTACCGGGATCATTACGGGCCGATGCTGCGGAGAAAGAGTTGCGGCCTGTGGGCGTGGCTGATTGTGCCCCGGCCTCTTCTTGTCTACTCTTTCTTTGGAACGGACTCCGACTTTGGAAATGGGTGCTTCTCTTCTTTTGCAGCGCATGTTCTTCGACAGCCGATTGGGGCTCATCGGGCATCGTCTTGACAGGAGAATGCGCAGCGCTTGTGGGGTCGGCGCTTGTTAAGGATGAAAAATCGCTGCGGGAGTCACTGCTGGCTGGCCGGATTGGACTGGCGACTGAGCTCTGGGATCGGCAGAACTGCGTCATACCATCTGTGGGATATGGGTTATGTGGTACTTTGGGTATCTCTCCATATTGGTTTTGGTAGTGTTCTTGCAAAGCCTGTGTGACTGCACGAGGATCAGACCGAGCTTGTCTGGACGTGTCTGGGTAGGGCGGCTGAGCCGGGGGTATGACAGGGGGTTGTATTTGTTGACCATCCTTGTGGCCCAACTCTCGCGCCAAAGGACTGTTTGGGTCATGATGAGATTCAAACATGGACGGCTGTGGCGAAGAACTCCGGAACGCTGGGTTCATTGCCCGTTGAAACTGAGCGACGGAATAATTGACCTCCTCCGAAACCTCGGACACATCATCAGGAGCATCCCCCCTGCAGAAGTCGATGAACTTGGGTGGGTCGGGTATCTCTTGGCCGGTGCCGTTCTCGTTGATGAAGCCAACGATATCTTTTTCGACTTCACAGTCTTCCAGAGAAAGCCGAATTTTTTCGAGCGACTGCAACAGTTAGCGGCCATTGCCTTACTTGAAAGTGATGTGTCCAAACCCACCGCATCATCGCTGACGCAGACTGTCGAGGCTATGTTCGCAAACGTCCAGAGGCTGCTCTTCATGAAGTCGATGCGTTCCTCCTCGAGGTCTTGGAAGCTCTATCGACTAGTTAGTAGCGGCACGGTTAGAAACAGCGTGGAGACTCTTACGTCGCAAGCCTTTTTCCACTCCCTATTCCAACGACCCGTAGTCTCCTCCAGAATTTTGACAGCCTGCTCATATTCTTGGCTGGTGTTTGAGAGCTGGATCTGCGTCTTCTCCAGCTTGGCTTTGTTCTTTCGTTCCTCGTGGCCCATGACCATGTGTCCCTGCGCAAGATAGCCCTTGATCTTCAGACAATCCTGCTCGTAGCGATCGCGCGCTTTGTTCACCGAGCTCGTCTGTTGCATTTTGATCTTCAACAGCTTCTCTATGCCAGTCTGTACGATCTTCCGCCGCTCCTTCATGCCGCCATGGAACGCAGCGAGTTGATCCTCCAACTCGGACTTCATCTGTGCTGCGATATTCTGGTGTGCCTTTCCCATCGACTCGATCTCGGCGCGTACGACGTCGAGCGACATTCGCAGAGTGCCGGCCTCTGACGATCCGAGCGGCTTCCGGGCCAGGTTCAGCATCTTCCTGGAGTATTCCTCTTCGATTGCGGCGCGAGCTGCAAGCTCCGTGTTAGCGCGTGCGATGATGGGCGAGACGAGAAGGACATACAGGTGTAAAACGACTTCAGCTCATCGCCAGTGACCTTGGCGTTGTGCATGCGCTCAAGGAGCGGGCCGACGCCAGCATCATCCTTCCCCCAGAAATTGTTCGCGACTGTGGCGGGAGTCAGTAGGCAGAGGATTCGAGGGGCAACTTGGGCACTCACAAGAAAGCGCCACCGAGGGCGGGTCGGACAGCGCGGTGCCAGGCATCTTGCCGGGCGGTGACGGACGCGTCTTCAGCGGTTCAGCCCGTGGAGTAGCGGGGGTGTAGGTATGGCAAGCAGGAGGAAGGAACGAGGCAGGCCAGTGTAACAGAGGGCTTGCAGGTATAAATGAGGGAGCAGGGTTGGGACTAGTAGACTAGTAGAAGCGGCGCAGACTGGGGAAGGGCGGTCGGGACGGCGTCGCTCGATCTTGGACACGGGAGGCCGTAAACACGTCCCGCCTGTCCCGGCAACCCAGCCACAGGTTCGACCAATTAATTCAGCCACACGTCATCGGGCGCACGTGAGAAAATGCTTCAGAGGAGGGTAGCAGCGCGCAAATGGGTGGTCGAGGGCGGTTACTGGGTTGCAGTACTCGTAATTGACGAGCTGGCGGGTGCGTTGACGGCTTGGCGGCAAGCGGTTGGGCGCAGCGGACATGCCTGTTGCTGCTGCCGCCGCCTCGCACAACCTCGAAGTCCTTCCTGCGACCTGCTCCTCCTCCCTGCCTGAATGCCTTAGAGCGCACGGACCCCCATGTCCTTCGGCGGCGGCCAACTTGACCTTCACTTCTTCGACGGCCCATTCACCACTGCAACCCTCCCCCACCACCGACCATCCCGCTCCACCCCACTGCGCCCACGCCACTCTTCCCCTGTCGCTCTTGCGAGTCCGATGGAATAGCTGTCTAGATGAGCCAGCAATTCCCCTGGGGCTCTTCAAGTCAGCAACCCAGCGGACGGCGCGGCCTACCTCCCATCTCGACCACCTTCAACCCCGTCTCTAGGTCCAACTCCGCGGCCAACAGCCCCTCCCGCGCATCCTTCTCCCCCGTTAACTCGTCGCTCCCGCCCGCTTCGTCGCGGCGCATCATCAGCCGGACCTCGTCCGCTTCGTCCACGTCGACACCATTCTCGCCATCGCAATCCGCTTTGCTGCAGCACCAGTCCGCCCAGCTGCTGCCGTCCGCGCGCCCTAGAGCCATAGTTTCCTCGGGCGTCCCGCACTTTGCTTCCTCCGCCGCAGCTTTGGGTTCTGCTTCGGAACGTGGTGGAGGTGTCTTAGGCGTCAGCGGCGGGGGGAGCTCAAAGGTTGCCCGTGCCTCACCCTCTCTCTCGCAGTCGGGCAACATCGCTTCGCCAAGCAGCGCCACAAGCTCGTCTACCCCTTCGGGTCAGTCGCTCGCCAAAATCGTCATCGCCCAAGTCTTCCTGCTGCTCAGCTCGCTGAAGGAGGACAAGGATAAGACCAAGTGGGAGCAGCAAACTGAACAAATCCGCAAGGTCAGTGGCACACGCCCAATTTCACCCGCCCATGGTCACTGACTTTGCTCATAGTTGATCGACTCCAACGGAATGGAGGTCTTCTCAAAGTACTTCCGTCGCTTGCTGCAGAGCAATGCGTCGCAAATATTCCCCGGCGCGGCGAAGGGTGGTGACAACTCTGGGACTTACCCATTGCTTGTCGGCGAAATGCAGAAGATAACGCAGGACCCTCAGCAAGCATACAAGATTGCCGAATCGATCGACACAACTGAGGGTGACTTGTTCCGAGACTTTGATCTGTCCACCTTCATGGAGCATTTCAAACTTGACGCTGTCGCCAAGACGACGTTAGCTTTGGCGTGCAAGACTGCCTCAAAGCCCGATCTAAGAACCAAAGGTAACGCGCCGATTCCTCGTTGCTCCTCTGCCTTTCACATGCTAAGTAGTTACAGCCGATGCGATCCTTTCGAATAACTACCAGGCATTCCTCATGTCCTTGATCAACAGCAATCCCGACGGGCCAGGCGATCTTAGGTCGGACGTTTTAGCCTCCGTGGTCGATCGGCTAGCCCAAGATCCTCCGCGGAATTGGAGTGACGACGGCAAAGCCAATTTGTTCATTGCGATACGAGCGAAATTCGAAAAGTCAACCGGAATCATTCCTCTAGACGTTGGCGCTGCTCTATACATGTTCGATTTACTCGAAAACCCGAATCCGTTGATTCGCCTTGCCCAGCGCGCCGGCCCGCGAGGCACATCGAGCGTGGACGCATGCAAGGAGCTTCTCGCTTCTGCAGAGACGCGCGACATTAGCTATCAGCAGGTCGCCAACGTCCTGCTCTACATGGCAATCACCCAGAATGGGCAAGCATACAACCTGAGCAACTTTGTGGCAGCATTGAGAGAACATCGCGCTGGACAGCGCTTGGACTGGCAGGACGTTGTTCATTCTTTTGATCGGGAGGGACTCAAAATCGTCTCGCATCAATTTGTCGCACTGTTCAATGCGCTTTTGCCAGTTGCGCGGGATTCCGAGACCTTTGACATTCAGACATTATGGGGCGGGCGTTGGAGCCACCAGGATACGCAGCTGTCTTTTGTCGTTGCTTTTCTGCAGATGAAGCTCGAAGATGCCGACATCACTCAAACTCCCCGTCTCCGAAAGGCCTTTACCCTTGAACAGTTCGAGGATGCTCCTACCGGTGTCAAAGATCGCGCCAAGGAAGTCATCAAGCACCCTCTTGTTTCTTTGGACGCCACGGCGGCACTGTTCAACATAATTTTCCAGGCGCAAGAGTTTTACAACATTGCTCAGCGTTCTGGAATCCCACAGTCCGTCATCAACCAAAATACCGACATATTCGTTGTTGCCGCTGCAGCAGTCCCCAAACCATGGGTAGGCTTGCAAGATATGGCTATGCGACAACTGTTCGGTCCCTTCTTTGAGAAACGCGTAACACATTACAGCTTCGCACTTCACGGCCTATACAAGCAGGATTCCATCTGGGTTGCAAGCAGGTTCCTCGACTTTTACACCAGTCAACCTCTCCTGCTACCTCTTATACTAGAGCATGCGGCGGAGCATGGCTGGGTCCACGACCTTGCCCGCTTGAACACCGACCTGAGCATTGATCTGGCCGCTCTCGCCCACAGTGAAGGACTGTTTGAACTAGATCCATGGGCGCAAGAGACCATGGCCCAAATTCCGGTATTCCCGAGGATCCTCGCCAACTTCCTTAGCACCAAGGCGGAAACCGATCTGCAGGCCCAACGTGACGGCCAAGGACCAACCAACGTTCCGCTTGCTGTGAAGACCGTCCATCCATTGCTCGGTTTGCTTCAGGGCAACATCCCTGACGACGAACTGGTCGCCTTGCAGCGCGCCTGCATACAGGCGTACCCTAGGCTAATAAATTACGGAGAAGGCTTCGATGAAATCATAGACGTGAACGGAAAGGATGGCAACGCTATCTCTTCTGACGCCGACCGCAAGATGCAGGAACATTACAAGAAAATGTACAGCGGTGAGAGCGGCGTTCGTGACGTTATCGAGGAGCTCCAACGGTACAAGACTTCCGAGGATCCCGCGGACCAAGATCTTTTCTCCTGTATGATCCATGGTTTGTTCGATGAGTACAACTGTTTTAGCGAGTACCCCTTGGAAGCACTGGCAACCACTGCCGTCTTGTTCGGTGGCATCATCCAATACAACCTTCTCTCGCGGATTCCGCTACAAGCAGGTCTCGCGATGGTTCTTGAAGCCGTACAAGATTACCCGCCAGAGGCTTCTATGTACAAGTTTGGTCTCCAGGCACTTTTGAACTTCTCCGGTCGCTTGCAGGAATGGCCAAGCTTCTGTGACCGCCTCCTTCGTGTCCCTGGCCTGCAAGGAACTGAGGTTTGGAATAACGCGGAAGAGATAGTCAGGCGGCAACGCGCTGGCGAAATGAACGGCGACACCAACGGCGACACCAACGGTGATCTCACCAACGGAGTGGCCCGCAATGACGACTATCTGCCAGAGCAGAGTGTGCGCAACTTCAGCTGTATCCATGCGGATCCGCCTCTCCGTCCGGAGCTGTACGAGGAACCCGACGAGGATGTGCAAGACAAAGTGTTGTTCGTCCTGAACAACGTCTCCGAGCGCAACCTTAAGGATAAGCTCAATGACCTCAAGGAAGCGCTTGAAGAGAAGCACCACCAGTGGTTTGCTGGTTATCTTGTGGAAGAGCGTGCGAAGATGCAGCCCAACTTCCAACAACTATACCTGGACATGCTGGCTCTGTTTAACGACAAGGTCCTCTGGGCTGAAGTTCTTCGCGAAACGTATGTCTCTGTCATCCGCATGCTGAATGCAGAGTCCACCATGAACTCTTCAACCGAGCGGACGCATTTGAAGAACCTTGGTGGATGGCTAGGCCAGCTCACCATTGCGCGTAATAAGCCGATCAAGTTCAAGAACATTTCTTTCAAGGACCTGTTGATTGAGGGTCACGACACCCAGCGCCTCTTGATTGTCATTCCCTTCACTTGCAAGGTATTGATTCAAGCAAGCAAGTCGACGGTGTTCAAGCCTCCAAACCCATGGCTCATGGAGATCATACATCTGCTCATGGAACTCTACCACTTCGCTGAGCTCAAGCTTAACCTCAAGTTCGAAATTGAGGTTCTTTGCAAGGGCTTGGATCTTGACTACAAGAACATCGAGCCTTCAAACAGCATCAGGTCTCGCCCGGTACCAGAGGAGGAGTTGCTGGCGGCCATACCAGACGGTCTTGATGGATTCAACGACCTGTCGTTAATGAACCTAAACCGCAGAGGCCTCAACGAACGTTTCTCTCCTGCGGCGATAACGGCTGCTCTGCCCGATCTTAGTTCCGCCCTTGTCTATCCGCCCGCCTCTGGAAACCTTGTCGCCGCAAACCGCCTTCGTCAAATCTTCCATACGGCGGCACAGTCCGCTATCGCCGAGATTATTGCGCCCGTTGTTGAGCGTTCTGTTACAATTGCGGCCATTTCAACCTCTCAGTTGGTCGCCAAGGACTTCGCCATGGAGCCGGATGAGAACAAACTTCGCGAGGCCGCTCACACAATGGTTAAGTCACTTTCTGGAAGCCTTGCCCTAGTTACTTGCAAGGAGCCTCTGCGCATGAGCATAATGAACAACATCCGCATTCTGGCTAGGGATCTTCCGGAGCAAGCATTGCCTGAAGGGCTCATCCTCATGTTTGTAAATGACAATCTCGACACCGTTTGTGGCATGGTTGAGCAAGCAGCAGAGAACCAGTCGGTCGCGGAAATTGACATGCAAATTAGCGCAGGTGTGCAGGCTCGTCGCTATCATCGCAGCTTGCAGACCCGTGAGCCTTTCAACGATCCACCTGTCAAACACTGGGCGACGTTCATTCCAGAACCCTACCGACAAAATCCAGGCGGTCTCAACGCGGAGCAACTGGCTATTTACGAAGACTTTGGTCGCCAAGCTCGCGGCATGTCTCAAATCAACAACACGCATGACGCTGGTCGCATCACCGACGTGCTGCAAGATCAGTATCCACAGGTGCCAAACCTGCCAACCCCAGCAGAGCCGCCTGCCATTCCTCGTCAAGGCTCGCAGCCACCTTCCCGACTTCAGACCGCTCCGCCCATGTCTGCTACAGTGCCACAAACGCAGTTGAACGGCTATATGGATACTCACAACCTTGGAGAACGTACGCAGAGCTTGCTTCTTGAGCTGCAACGTGCTTCCAAGGAGGCAACCGAAGAGCATATCGAGGAACTTGGACCAACCGCGCCGACAAGAGATGCTTTTGAACAACTCATACACCTCATCGACAATGCCGGCAGCCAGCGTGAACACCTTTGCTTGGGGGCTGCTGGTAAGGTTACTCACTCACTGTTCGCTGATGTCGAGCGCCGCCTTGAGATTGAGGTCTTTGTGCAGCTTCTGCTGCAACTCTGTCAGCTGTCTGTCAGCACCTCTCGGCAGGTCCTTGTCTGGCTGGCAAACATTGAGGATGAGCGCTTGTTGAATCCTCCAGTTGTCGTCTGTCTGCTTGCAGCGGGCCTCCTGGACCTTCAACGCGTTGATCTGGTTGCTTACAAGGCCATTCAAAGCCGCGATCAGGCCGGAATTGATCTCCTTGCAAGACTTCTGGATGAGGTTCTGCTCACAGGTCCTCTCAGCAGTTTCCGTGCCGACTTTTCGAGGTCGCTCGAAGCCTTGACCCAATGGCTTTCTGTCGATGAGGACGTTGAGGGTGGTAAAGAAATCATTGCTAAAATGCAGGTCAGAGATGAGACCTTGCCGACCCCTCCCAGTACTGCGAGCAAGGATCAGGTGGAGTACGTCTTCGAGGAATGGATCCACCTTCAGCGTTACGGCCACCGCCAAGGCCCATCAACGAAGACTATCGCTGCTTTCGTGAGCCAGCTGCATGCTAGGGGTTTCCTGAAGGCACGAGACGACGCGGCCTACTTCATTCGCGTCTGCATTGAAGCTTCTGTGGCCGCTTATGAGCAAGAGGAAATGGTCCTCTACCCCAGCCTGGATAGCGCATACATCCAAGTGGACGCGTTGGCCAAGCTGATTGTAGGATTGGTGGTCTACCACGGTGGAGCTGATGGCGTTTCGACGCCCCAAAAGGTTGTATATCTGGAGAACATCCTAAGCTTGATCGTTCTTGTGCTGGCGAATCACCAGCGTACGCGCGTTGAACGCTTCAACCAGAAGGTGTTCTTCCGGCTTTTCTCGTCTTTGCTTTGCGAGCTGCATGAAGCCAGAGACCTCCTCGGCGGCCTCGATGGAGAACGTGATCTCATGATGGTCATGGGTCGGGCGTTCTTGGTCCTTCAACCCAAGCACTTCCCGAGCTTCTCGTTCTCATGGTTGGCATTGGTATCTCAGCGCATGTTTATGCCTGCAATGTTGAGGCCTACGGCCGATGAGTCCGTGAGTAGTCGCAAATTGGGTTCATATAGCTTGATGTACCATCTGCTAACAGTCTCACAGGCATGGAATCTCTACGCCAAGTTGATGGAACTACTGCTAGCATATGCTGGACATCTCGTTAAGCCGAGTGATCCATCTGAACAGGCTCGTGCCTTCTACCGCGGCATCCTCAGAGTCCTTCTGGTCGTTCATCACGACTTCCCAGAGTTCCTTGCAGAGAACCATTTCGCTTTGTGTAACGCCATTCCGATGCACTGCACGCAGCTTCGTAACTTGGTCGTTAGCGCGTACCCATCGTCGTTCCCAGAGCTTCCGGATCCATTCACCAACGGCTTCAAGGTTGACCGTCTGGAAGAGGTCAGGAAGGCGCCTGAACTGCGCGGCGACATCAAGGCACCTCTTCAGCAGCACGGTATCAATGATCTGATAGAAAACCTTCTCAAGACCTCGGACCAGAGTGCCGAGGACATCAACCGGATTTGCGAAGCCATCTACAACCCAAAGCGCGAAGATACTGGCTTTGCCTTCGCTCCTGTCACTGTTGACACCGTGTTGCTGCACTCCATCGTCCTTTATGTGGGCGATAATGCCATTTCGACTGCCGGCAAGGGCCCCGCGTTCACCGCTAGCTCTCCTCAAGCCAAACTTCTTGAAACCTTGGCCAGAGAGCTCAGGCCTGAAGGTTGCTATCATTTCATCAGCGCAATGGCGAACCAGCTTCGTTGGCCTAACAGCCACACGCACTATTTCAGCTACGCCATTCTCCATCTCTTTGGCTTGCCGCGCGGCGAGCAGGCGAACCTGGATGTGCAGCAAATCATCACGCGCGTGCTCCTTGAGCGCCTTCTCGTGCACCGTCCTCACCCATGGGGTCTGATCATCACCCTACTGGAGATTCTCAAGAACTCCAACTACGAGTTCTGGAATCTGCCGTTTGTCAAGGTGGCGCCTGAGGTAAGATTTCCCCAATACAACCTAATCAAAGACGCATCAGCTAACACGAAGCTCTTCCAGGTCGAGCGCTTGTTCGGTGCACTCTTCCAGCACATCAACCAAAGTCCTAGGGCCATTTCCTAGGCAATACAACATCCCACGACCGACATGTCACGCCATGATTGCATCATCCAGCAATGATTTGGAATTGGCGCCAGGTCTTTCGAATACATCCTATGACCACCTAGACGGAAGACCTGTCATGCCCTTAAACCGACAAATCACTACACTATTGTCTGCATTCTCTTTCTCCTTTCGATGCATTTCCGTGCGCGGGGTTTGGGTATCGGAGGCATTTGCGAGGCGAACAAAAAGAAGTACGGGCAGGGGTTGAAAGGAAGGAAGGCTGGGGTTACTACTCGGTGTTTTTTTTATTTTCCAGGTCTCCACTTTTCAGTTGATCCCCAGGCTTTCTACATATGTGTGTTTTTTTCTCCATTTTCCTCCCTCTACTTCTTCTCTTCTCGGCAGCCCCTGCTATATGGGCCTAGAAGACTATAGAAGGGGGGAGTTGCAGGAGATGAATTTTTTGCTCTGCCTCATCGAAGGCCGGTTTTTTCGGGAATGGGAATGAATGGTGGAGGGGAGGAGAAAGCGGTCTTTTTGAGGGGAAGCGGCTTCTTTTTCTTTCTTCCTTAGTCTTCCCCTCGGGTTTTCTGCCTTCCAAAAAGTGAGATGACTGGCGTGGACTGGACTGGTGGGGATTCTTCTTTTTTGCACTTCTTTCAATTTGAGGACCTTTTTTCGATTTCACATCTTATTCTCTTCTCCTTCTCTTTTTTGCTCTTTGCTTCCAGCTATAGCTGTTCTGGGACAACGAACAAGGGGAAGGAACGATTCGGGAGGGAGAGGTGTGGAGTGGCATCTTTGCTCTACACTCTTCTGTTGCTTCTTTACTCTTTCTTCTGCTTCTTGCTTTTCTCTTCTGCTTTTGCTTCTGACGAATGTAGTATATCTTCGAAATCCAGGGCGCCTCTGAGTCACGATGAACACACGAACGAACGAAAGAACGGAAGGGACGAACGAATGGTTCGGCTTGATAATGGGGGAGTTGTTGGTTGGCATTGCCGTTGCTCCTAATATTTTGCTTCTTGTCGTTGTGTTATTGTTGCTAATGAAGGAAGCTTAAACAAATTGAGGATAATGATGATGCTAACAGCTCTTTACTTTCTCTTTGCTGACCTTTGTCCTTGCGATTTGGTGTAAGTTATTACAGTGCATCCTCCTCCGTTTATAGGCCCTTTGCTTCCTATGGTGCTTATCTGAAAACGACTTCAGTGGTTATCTAGCTCTTGGAGGTTTTGTATCTTGATAACCCTTCCTGTGAAGAACCTATCAAAGCTGGCTACGACACTCCGACCATTAAAAGTGTTTATCGATATACACGGCTACATTGTGCTTACATGTTCGGACACATTTACAAGCGAGGACAGTCATAACCAGCCAACGTTAAAAAGAGAGAGGGCTGTAGAGAACCATTCAGTAGATGCTATACATACCTACTGCTTGCCGAAACGGAATATCGACTTTCAGTTATAACCATAGTGTAATAGATGATGAATTGCCCGAATTAACCTTTCAATTTTCCATCATTTCGTACTGACTGTCCTGCATCGATAAAGGCAATAAAGGCAGTGTCATGTTCATTATTATCTGGGCTGTATCACCGAGCGGAACGTCTTGATGTGGCTCAGAAATCTCGAATTAATACCGCGCGTCCATGTCCTCCAGGTCATCTTCTTCCTCTTCGATCTCCGTCGTCTCCTCATCCTTTGGGTGTTGCTGTAAAGTACCTCCATCCGTTCTGCCCAAACTCTTTGCTTGCTCCGGAGTCAACTCAACCACCATTGGCGCATACTCTCCGCTTTCATCATCTTCTTCGTAGCCTGCTACATCCATCTCCACGCGCTCGCCATCCTCTAGCTCCAACATGCCGTGCCGCACAAACGAGTTGTCAAACTGCCAGCCATACTCGGACCTGAGATGGTCCTCCAGCTCTTCCAATTCATCAACAACATCTTCCTTGCCCAAGCCTTCCACCTCCTCTAACCCCTTCTTGAACCTCCTCAGCAAGCTCCCCAACAAGGTGCCGCCCTCATCACTGAGATCGAACAGCCCCCCCTCCGCATCCTGACAATGCTGCAGCTGCAACCTCAGCAGCCCCAAGAACTTCGTATACAGCTCCGGGCGCTGCACAACTGCCTTTTTGCACGTCAACAGCAAGCTCAGCAGCCGCTTCCACTGCTCCAAACACGAGTTGTTATTCAGCGTCAGCACCATGAGGAAGCAGAACTGCAGCTCGCCGAGAATTTCATCTGCGTCGCCGTCAGCGCAGTGCCGCTCAATGAGGTCGCCGAGCGCCCACGTGCGGTCCTGGGCCGCGTGGGTGCGCTCGCGGCCGGTTGCGCCCTCGCGCCACGTCTGCTTGAGGTCGATGGGGAGGAACCGCAGCTCTTTCTCGGGCTGGAAGGCGCTTTGCTCGGCCGAGATGCCGGGGATGTCATCCATGTCGCGCGCGGCCGAGCTGGCGGACGTGAGGGACCAGTGGTCGGGCGCGCTGCCCGTGATGCGGGTTAACATGGCGGACGTGATGCTATCGGTCAGCGCGACCCAGTCATGCATCTCTTCCTGGATCTCGTCTTTGTCTTTGCTGGCAGACTGCCGGTATGGCGTTAGACCCTCGCGCCAGATCGAGCTGAGGTTGCCCCGCCACTTTAGGATCTCCGCTTCGTTCGTCTCTTGCACGAATTCTTCAGCTGCGGGCTCCCATTTCTTGATGAATAGCTCGGGCGGACCCGATGGCTCGCCTTGGACGTGGAACCAGGCTCCGTGTCGGACGGAGAGCGAGCTGGTCGAGCTGGTGAAGACGAAATGCCAGCCTTGTGGTAGCTCTTTGATGCCTTTGAAGCGGTCTGTGGTGGTGAAGGAGAGGAGGTTGATGCCGCCGAGTGCAGAGGGTGGGAGGTTGAGCATCAGCACGCATGCTTTGCCCGAAATATCCATGGCTGGAATCGCTAAAGAGGAAAGCTTGGGGCGAGCGGATTCTTAGTTAAGTATGAATTCGGGCTGAAAAATCAAAGAATATTGGCGGACGTTTAAATCATTTGTAGGGTCACGGGTATCGTAAGCGGTGGCGCAAGTTGGAGAATTCCGTAAAAGGCAGTTGGGACCTTATAATGAAGTTTCAGATGTGAATTAGCTGCTCGTCTGGTTTTATGGAATAGCTGTAGAAGCGGTTTGAAGGTTGCCGAAGTACGTTAGGGTAAATAGGACTAGCCTGATTTGCGAGTACATTTATACATCTTATCACTCAGATCACGGAGCACGCTCATTGGTCCATGGTTTTGATGTGGCCTTAAAGCCCAGGAATGACAACTTCATTCATATATTCCCATTTTTGGTATCTACTGAACGGGCAGCTGGCGAGTGCACGTCTCAATTGATCATGGTATCAAAAGATAAATGTGACAAGCCGTAAGGGTGAGGACCAGGCAAAAGCGAAAGCCGTTCCTCGCGTAGTTGTCATCAGTCCCATTGACCTCGAACGAACACCCATGACAACCAGCACCAGTTTACAGACGACGACCACGGCGACCACCCTTTCTGCGGGTAGAGTCGGAGGGAGTGGGGGTAACGTCCTCGATACGGCCGATCTTCATGCCAGCACGGGCAAGGGCACGGAGAGCGGACTGAGCGCCGGGACCGGGGGTCTTGGTGCCGTTACCTGGGATGGCCGTTAGCATCGCGCGCATGCGATTCGGAGCACAAAGTGCTACATACCACCAGTGGCCCTGATCTTGACGTGGAGGGCAGTGATGCCGAGCTCCTTGCAGCGGGCAGCAACGTCCTGGGCAGCCAACATGGCAGCGTAGGGGGAGGACTCGTCACGGTCGGCCTTGACCTTCATACCACCGGTGACACGGCTGATGGTTTCGCGGCCGCTGGAATCACCCAGAAGTTAGCCTAACCATCCGCTTTCTGGTTTCCTGATGCCTCCGCCATTCGGAGGCATTTATTCATTGGGCGACTAGACGAACCTCAGATCGGTGACGTGGACGAAGGTGTCGTTGAAGGAGGCGAAGATGCGGGCAACGCCGAAGACGAGCTCGCCTAGTACAATGTCAGGACTGGTGTTGCGCGCGCAAACGGGCGTGTTCGTGGGTTACTCACCCTCGCGGGCGTTGGGGCCGAGGCTGACATTCTCGGTGCGCTGAACCGGGGCTTTCTTGGGAGGCATGTTGACGGTAGGGTGGTGATCGAGGTCCTTGGGTTGTCGTGTCGCGGGTTGGGTGAGCGCTGTTGCAAATGCTCGTTGGATTTTGCTGTGCGCGCCAAGAGTTTTCGCGCCGACGTCCGAGCGTCGGCAGGACCTCGCTTAAGCAGATTTCTCCTCATCTCGCGCCTTTTCTTTCCTGCTTCCCTTCTCCCACTCACAACTACAATGTTTTTTGTGACCTGAGATCAAAGTTCACAGGCTCAAAAGAAGAGCCTTCGACACAGTATCACCAGCTCAACCACCACCAAATAACACCGCAGCACAATGGCCGATCAGAAGACCGCAGCCGTGGGGATCATCGGCATGGGCGACATGGGGAAGCTCTACGCCCGGAGGATCAGCGAGGCAGGCTGGAGGTAAGTCATGTTTGCGACTCCAGCCGGGTTGCCGCTTGTTCAAGGTAAGCACTTCTGTCTCCTCACCTTATTCCCTTTCCCCTCTACTCTGATGACTTGAGTGCATTTGGCTCGAGTATGGCCTTTGTGACTGCAGTTGCCATTTTGGTTTCTGTGGAAGCAGGGGTACATCGATGATGTAAATTCTCAGCTACCTTAATTTTCTTTGTCTGAAAGTTACAACCTATCATACGATTCTCAGCAGACCATTTTGCAGAGGAACTTATGCTAACAATCTCAAAGCGTTCTAGATTTTCTTGCATAGCATGCTCCATCGTTTTTTGTCTGATTGTTCATCCTGGCTAGAGTCAACGCTTGCGATGCGCCACAGAAGTACGATGAGCTGAAAGAAGCGTACAATGGACACGTACGATTGCTTGTCCACACCATATAGCATGAGCAGCAGCTGAGGCTCTTGATAGAATAACATTCACATTTACCCCGACGGCCATCTTGTCTCCAGGTGCAGTGACTACATCATCTACAGTGTACCCGCCGAGGCTATTGACTCCGTTGTTGCCAAGTACGGCCCATGTATGAATTGCGCTGCCATCATCCGACTGCCTCTGAAGAAAACACTGACCTTAACGTCTCAGCTACCAAGCTCGGCGCCGTCGTTGGAGGTCAGACATCATGCAAAGCTCCCGAGATCGACGCATTTGAGAAGCACCTGCCGCCGGACGTCGACATCGTGCCATGCCACTCGCTGCACGGTCCCGGCGTGGACCCCAAAGGCCAGCCACTGGTCCTGATCAAGCACCGCGCGTCGGACGCGTCCTTTGCGCTCGTCGAAAAGATCCTCTCCTGCCTGGAATCCAAGCACGTATACCTCACCGCGGCAGAGCATGACCGTATCACCGCCGACACGCAAGCCGTGACGCACGCGGCCTTCCTGTCCATGGGCGCCGCGTGGGCCGCGAACCGCCAGTTCCCGTGGGAGATCCCGCGCTACCTGGGCGGCATCGAGAACGTCAAGATCAACGTGACGCTGCGCATTTACTCGAACAAGTGGCACGTGTACGCGGGCCTGGCGATCCTGAACCCGTATGCCCGCCAGCAGATCCACCAGTACGCCCAGAGCGTCACGGAGCTGTTTAAGCTGATGCTGGGCGGCCACCGCGAGGAGCTGCGCAACCGCATCATGACTGCTGGCGCGGCTGTGTTTAGCGGTGATGGCGATGGAGACCTGTTGCTTAAGGATGAGGTGCTCGACCAGTTTAGTCTGGGCGAGCTGCCTCCTGAGAAGGTCAGGAACAACCATCTGAGCTTGCTCGCTATGGTGGATAGTTGGTGGAAGTTGGGTATCGTGCCTTACGACCACATGATCTGTTCTACACCCGTAAGTCTTCGTGGTACACGCAGTCATGTTAGGGACCCCTGGCTGATTTAAATCATAGCTCTTCCGTCTCTGGCTTGGTGCTACTGAATATCTTTTCCGCAAGCCTGACTTGCTGGAAGAGGTCATTGAGACCGCGATTGAAGACGACACCTTCCGCGCTGATGACCTCGAGTTCACCTTCGCCGCCAGGGTAAGTCACATATATTTTTAATCACTAGCCACCACTTAGCATAGCTGACTAACTTTCCCAGGACTGGAGCGACCGCGTGAGTCTCGGGCACATGGATGCCTACCGTGAGAAGTTTGAAGGCATTCAGGCCTACTTTGAGCCCCGATTCCCTCAGGCAAAGACGGTGGGCAACGAGATGATCAGGACCATCTTGGCGAAGACCTCGAAACCATAGGATCAGAAGTGGATTGAGCATGTTTGATACACCAGTGTTGCAACCAGACATTCTAGCTAAGTCCATAATGCTAAGGTGCACTGCTCAATCAACTGCGATCATGCAACAATGTACAAAATCGGGGTATTCAAGTGAATTTTCTTCGACTGTGCATCCAATAAAGCCGGTTCTGATGGCTTTCTTTTTTCAACATCCACAATTTGCAAATCACCCTGACATACTCAAGAGTGTAATGTGCGCCCCCTGGGCTGCAGCCTATCCTGGTGTGGGGGGTGTCATAAGGCACCTCCGATCAACGACGGTAGCCACGACCCTGGCGTATCAAGTCGTCGGAATACATTCCGCGGTCTCTCCTGTCATCGTAGCGGTCATTCCGCCGGTAATCGTCACGGTTGGACGTATCACGGAAACCATATCTTCCATCCTGGTAGTCCACATCGGCGCGTCTGGGCACATCTCTACGGTCGTTCGACTCATCATCAACCTCCATGATATCACGTTCCGGCTCGGGCCTGGGAGGTTGGTAGTTTTGGCGAGTTGGCACCGCCGGACTTGGGCCACCCTCCTTCATGAAGACGTAGAGAAGTCTACCGTCCGCCTGTTCCCACAAAATTAGCATTATAAAATTCAGATCAGTTTCCAGGTTCCTACCTTGCGGTTGTTGAACATGGTAATGACATTGTCCGCGCCGTTCTTATCCACAAACTGCATCTCCGCGATGACAGTTGGATGTGCGCTGGTGAGCTTGCAGTAGAGCATATCTCCTCCGACCGGAGCCATGACAGCCTCAATGTCGGCCGCGGTCGTGCCTGGGGCAAAGTTGCTTGCAACGACAGTGTAACCGGTCTTGCTCATTCCGCGGATGCTGATGCCGCTGGCGCCCTTCGTGTTGCTGACAGAGCCATTCGACGGCTGGTTGTACGCCTCCTGGTACGGTTGAGCACCACGTTCGATGCGAGAAGCAGATTGAGTGCGGGGCAGTTTCGCTGCCCGGGCAATGCGAGGATTGTTCACATGGTGCAGGTCGTGGCCCCAGCGGGTGTTGTTGATGTTCGGCTTCGGAGCGGCGGAGGCAGAGCGCTGGAGACAGAAAGACACGTCAGTATAAGAGGATCTTGGTAGGGGTGTAGCGGAGGGTGCTACTGCCTGCAGACCTTCTGGACACCCATGCGGCTGGCTAAGCTTCCTCCGGCAGCGGCAGCGCCCTTGTTCTTGTTCGATGCAGCAGGACCAGGCGCGCTCTTTCTACGCCCTGAGCCGAGGATCTGATTCGCCAGGGTTTCATTCTTGCGCTGTTCGCGGTCTACATCAGGAGTGAGCGTGGCGGCACCGAGCATTACAAACGCGCCGACGTACCTCGTTTAATAATTGCATCGAAGGAAACGGTTCCTTTGGTAGGAGCCATTGTGTAGAGAGTACGGGACGGTGTGTAAAGATTTGGGGGCAAAGACTGAACGCGTTGAAGGCTAAAAGGAGATGTTGTCGGGGCAGAAGGTGGAGCAGTGAAAGTGATGTTATGGATGCGCGCGGTGATGCTCCTAGCAGCGGGTAGCTTTTTTGGACTATCCGCGCACAGACCGCTGCTTATTGCTCGTCGCTCGCCTTTCCCTTAACACCCTTCCTATTTTCGGCACATCAATCACTATCTATGTATTCATGTGAAGACTGCTTGCTGTTGGGCGGCCCATTCGGTATCCATAGTTCACTAAAAGTAACCGCTGACCGGCAGCATCATGAGTTCCTTCCTCATTGGCAGCCCTTTTCATGGAAGGCGCTTCCACCGCGGCCTCCTGTTTACAGTTTCCTTTGCTCTTCTCTGCTCTCACGCCATCGAGTCTTCCAGTCCATCAAAATTTTCCGTCATCTCCTTTTTCATTCAACTTCGGGCTGCCTTGGCCAACTACCGTGCCAGGCAGTCCATCCGATCGCCCTTTGCAGGCCAACATGACCTCCCCATCCAGTCCACGCAAAACCGGAAATATCCTGACCAAGTTTGTGGGATCAGTACGCAGGAAGACTCCCAAAACAGAGCCAAACGTTTCTGAGCTCGAGAGTAGCCCGGATGATCAGGACGCGTATGTGAGATGGTCGATGGTGCAACACCTATTAATGCTCTGTCCAGAAAACCGTCCACAGAAGTACAGCTATTAGAATGTCCCAAAGAACAGGTCTACAATGGAAGCTCTCAGTCAGGCTCACGGAAACTTCGGCGTGCATACTCGTACATTGAGATCCCAAAGAAGAACCAAGAGTCGCCAATTTCATTTGGCTCAATCAGGTCCATGGGTCGTAAAGTCAGATATGGCATGTCTTCTGTTGGTCGTAAAGAAGACTTAGGTGCATCCAAGGCGGATGTTCCCCATTCTTCGCCATTGAACGTTCCTGCACCCACCGTGGATACCAAAATCCCCGACTCGGACATTGGTGATCTTGTCCCCTGTAGCCCCGGCTCAGAAAACAGTGAGCGCCGCGATCACGGGTTTCAAGCTCATATGGAAGAAGATGCTCCTTTGTCGTTGAACAGGGCAATGTTGACGGCCAAACGTTCTCGGCTACCGGTTCTGAACATTACCAAGGACGGTTCACCAAAACGTTTCGCAGCCGACCCTAATCCGACGCCACTGCCCGGTACGACGTTTAACACATTGGATGGAGTGAACGACGTTTCTATTGACACCTGTAATCCTGGAGAGATTGAAGGCTACCGTCTAATGTCAACGCTACTGGAGGACAAGAACGCTGCCGTCACTGGATCCGGGGGCGAGACCAATAAGCCTTCGGTTTCTCCTGTGTTGTCTCAATCTATGCAGCGAAGTACAGGGGCTCCTCACAAGTTGCGGGTCCCGTTTAGGCGCCTTGGTGCGGCGACGAAACCAGAGGCTATACCTACACCTCCTTATTCAGTAGCAGCACAAGATCCCGCTCCTGCTGGACATGAGGTCTGGGCGGACCCTAATGTAGGCGTTTTCAGTCCAGCAATCTACAGTCGGGGACCGTCTGTTTCTGGGATCCCTGCTATTTCTGGCGAATTCAATCCTGTGGCAGGTCAGATTGGAAGCGATTTTTCTGAACCCAACACCACGGTTGCTTCCTCAGAATCTCCAGCTCCGAGTATGGGGCCTATAGATGAATTCTATCAAAAGAGAGCAGAGCGCAAGAAGCGCCATGATGAAATTATAGGAACGAGCCCTCATGAATCAAGCGGTACGTCCCAGGATATCCGATCAAGCCGAGATGTCTCAAGAGGCAGCGAATCATCCGGAGAGGCGACACAGATTGTCCAAATACACAGCAGGTCTGAAGAATGTGGTGATGGTTTCCACCGCAAGCAGCTTTTAACACAACCAGACGACAATAGCAGTGAGACCAACACGAATGGAGAGGATCTTGGTAGGAACTCCAAGATGATCAACGTACCTAAGACGAGAAGTCGTCTTCCAGATGAACTGTATTACCACGGATGGAATTTGGCTACTGGTCAGCTGGAAACCCAATTGCCTAAAGCGCAAGAATCGCTAGCTGCTTGCCGTAGAAGACTAAAGCATATGCTGTTGCATCAGCACCCTTTCTATCAGGAAGACAAACTCGGTCTTGATCAAAGCCTCGACTCACTTGAAAGGTACCACAGCTGTGTTGAGATCGAGCAGCAAGCTACTTTGTGGAACGCCTTAGATATCATCAAGGTGTTCAGACTATCCCAGTTACGCAAGCAGCAACTCACACAGCGGAACCAACTGGACCAGACGTATGGCGGCCTCCTAGAGGGTGATTTTGCCGATATGTCGCTGCGGCTACTAATGGAAACCAAAGAACCCTCGGAGGAGACCATTGCTCGCACCAGGTCATTGCTTAAAGAGGCCACGTACCATGCTATCCAGTGGACAGGAGCCGAAATCCGTTCTCTGGCAATGTTGCCACAGACAACCCTGGATGAGCTCCTTGGTCTGGCAAAATCTCCATGTGGTGACGTTGCTCCACATGCAAGTTCCAGTGGACCTCCACAGCAATTTCTTAAAAGGTCACCGACACCTTGGCCAATATTTGTACAGAAATCCAGCACACCTCAAATCGTTCGGCCTTCTGTATTCGATCCATCGACCGACAGTGCACAGGCTCAACCTCTATACGATTCCATCAACCCAGAGAACATTAAAATGACAAAGGACAGTGAGGGAATCCGAAGTGCTCCCTACAGAAACAACAATCCACATGAACATCCACTCAGTCGCGAACAAGGACCGAAACAAGATACCTACCCAACCACTTCATTCGAAGAATGGCAGGAGCAGGGATTCAATCATCTCTCATTAGCTGCCAAGGAGCTGACAGACCCAAACCTTTATGAGAAAGCATCCATGACCTTGGAACAATATCTCGATCTTACGGACTACTGCTCTCCGAGGCCCAGACCTTACAAGCCCCTCTGGGCATCCCTGAAGGATGAGGAAGTAAGCGAAGAAGAGCGCGGCATGAAGCGCAGGACGTTGCGCTGCACCTATGTTGCACGTCTGCAGGGCGAGGCTATGCGCGCCAAGCTTGACCCAACTACACCAGAAGGCTACGTCGTCCCGGAGTTCTATGTCGGTGGGAATGGGCGCGTTGAGCGTGCTTGGACGGTCAAGAAGGGCGGAGCGTGGGTCACGGTGAAGGAGCGCCCGGAAAAGGTGGTTTCCGATGAAGCCGCGGACGAGACTGAGACGGAGAACTGAGTGAATGCGGAGACGGAGTGCTATTGGGGTTAGGGGTCTAGTGAGCGTAACACGAAGGTATGCGTAGTGAGCTATAACATTGTGGGCTTGCGGAAGCAGGCGCTTTGGGTTGGGTTAGAAGGTGGGTTATGCGGTATTCATGGGATGGGTTCAGCATGAAATAATGGAGCATCACTCTAAGACTGGGTCCCTCAGGCTGCACGTGGGATGATGAAGGGATGATGAAAAGCGAGAGGTGAGATTACCGATACCATGGACCGTAGAGTAGTACCCGGCGCTGCACCGGGGATCAGCCGGCCCCGCGCGGGCTGGAGCTCGACCAAAATGTGCCAGACGCGCATCGGCCGCATCTCTCAATGTCACTCCTCGTGAAAGAAGCCCTGCAATGCCTAGCTAACCAGGCCACCCACAAGGCCCTCAATGCCTTTATCGTCTGCGCCGACCCGGCCGACGTCGTCAGCAAGATCGAGCATGCCGAGACGCTGCCCGCCAGCGCCCAAGGTAGTAGCTTTCCCACCTGCCCATTGCCTCTTTCTAGGTACCAATGCTAACCCGCTGCCCAGGCCCTCTAAGCGGCAAGCTCATCGCCGTCAAAGACAACATCTGCACCACCGACCTGCCCACGACGTGCGCCTCGGGCATCCTCCAGGCCTTCACCAGCCCCTACGACGCGACCGTGGTGCAGAAGCTGCGCGAGGCGGGCGGCGTCGTGGCCGGCAAGACGAACCTCGACGAGTTCGGCATGGGCTCGCACAACGTGAACTCGTTCTTCGGGCGCGCGCAGCAGGTGGACCGCGCGGGCAATGCCGTGTCCGCGGGCGGCAGCTCGGGCGGCAGCGCCGTGGCCGTGGCGACGCAGCAGTGCTGGGCGGCGCTGGGGACGGACACGGGGGGCTCGGTGCGCCTGCCGGCCGCGTACACGGGCATCGTCGGCTTCAAGCCGTCGTACGGGCTGGTGTCGCGGTGGGGCGTGGTGGCGTATGCAAACTCGCTGGACACGGTGGGCGTGCTGGCGCGCGACACGGCGGCTGCCCGCCGCGTCTACGACGCCATCCGCAGGCACGACGCCCGCGACCCCACGAGTCTGCCGCTCCGCTCGCGCCGCCGCATCCTCGAGGCCCTGGCCGCCTTGCCCCGCCATCGCCGCCTGCGCATCGGCGTCCCCGCCGACTACAACATCGCGGAGCTCGCGCCGGCGGTGCGGGGCGCGTGGGCGCGCGCGCTCGCCCGCCTCGCCCAAGCCGGCCACGCCGTCCGCCCCGTCGCCCTGCCCTCGACCCACCACGCCCTGTCCGCCTACTACGTGCTCGCGCCGGCCGAGGCCTCGTCCAACCTCGCGCGCTACGACGGCGTGCGCTTTGGCTCGCGGGCCGCGGGGCCCGACGGCGCGCCCGACGGGGCCCTCTTCAGCCGGACGCGCGGTGCCGGCTTCGGCGCAGAGGTCCAGCGCCGCGTCCTGCTGGGCGCGTACTCGCTCAGCGCGGCGGCCATGGACAATTACTTCATCCAGGCGCAGCGCGTGCGGCGCCTCGTGCAGCGCGACTTTGACGCCGTGTTCGCGGCGCCGAACCCGCTGCTGGAGCCGGAGGAGGCAGCACAACGTCAGTCCGTGGCAACGACGACGACGATAGAGGGCGGCGACGAGGACGCTGCGGGTGTGGATGTCTTGGTGTGCCCGACTGCGCCGTCGCTGCCGCCTAATATTGCGGAGCTCGAGAAGCAGCAGAGCCCCGTCGACGCGTACATGAACGACGTCTTCACGGTGCCGGCGAGCCTGGCGGGCCTCCCGGCCATGAGCGTGCCCGTGCGGGCCGAGGGCGAGGAGCACAAGGCCGGCATCCAGGTCATTTCACAGTACGGGCACGACGACGTCGTGTTTGAGGTGGCGCGCATGATTGAAGAAGGAGAAGAAGAGGCGGCTTCGTGGGGCTGTTGATTGTCCATTGTAGGAGTATCTTCGTAGTACTATATGTATCATATCAAAAGACCATTCATCCGACCAATAAACCAAAGCAATCAACCGTCGAGTCATTCAAGGAAAAAGACATGTAGTATTTGTTTAAGGGATATCATCATAAAAATCGTCGGCGTTTCTTAGCTTCCAGCCCCACCATCAACCACCCACCGCAAGCCGCCTCGAACACTTCGAGGCAGGGATGGGCAGCCATAGAGTATCTAGGCAGGTAGCTTTACATGACGCCATTCTGCCCCCAGGATTCAAGGGCTTGCTTCATGGAATAAAAAAGCCAGTTTATTGCTTGGCGCTCAGGTCGCGGGTGCCGGTCTGGCCGGTGGAGGCGCCGCCGCTGCCGCCGAGCCCCTCGATCGCGAAGCCCTTTTCGCCGGGCGGGGGCGTGGCCGTCTTGTCTGCGCGAGCGACCTTGGCGGACTGTTTGTTGAGTTGATGTTAATTGATGCTCTCATCAGAGTAGGATGGATGGATGTGGATGTGGATGTGGATGGATGTGTGTGTGTGTGTGTGTGTGTGTGTGTGTGTAGGGTGGGGTTGGTTTGGAGGGGTGATGGAGAGGAATGAGGTGTGGTGTGGAGGTGGATGATGGATGATGGATGATGGATGATGGATGGGGGTTTAGAGTTGCGTGGCGTAGGTAACCTTACCTCGTCGGCGCCGACGCCGTGCGTAATGTTCTGCTTGACGGCGGGATCGAATTCCATCGAGTTGTCGCCGTGGCCGGATCCGTCGCGAGGCATATGGTGTGGTGGGGAAGGATTTGGCTTTACAGTAGGTAGGTAGGTTTGTTGAGTACTCTAGGTGTCCGGAGACGTGAGGAAGAGTTGTTGATTGATGGTTTGAGAGAGATGTGTGTGTGTAGAGTAAAGACGAGAGACAGCATCAGCGACCGTTCTCTCCCCCCCCTATATACCCCTTCTCGCGCAATCACCTCGCTGCAAACTGCTGTCTTCCCGTCGTTACCAGGCTATGACATCGCCGTGTGGGGATGCGTTGATGAGACCTTGACGTCATTGCTTCTAGACGGCGTGATGGAAGTGGGAAGAGACGCGGGAGGACGGAATGATGAACCCAGAGGGGGGGAGGGCCCGCAAAAGGTCCGACAGCCCGCGCGATCCGGCTCGCGTCAGGAATGCCCAGGAACGCGCGCGGCGCGCCCGCCTGCGCCCATCGAACCTCGAGAGCCCCCGTCCGTCCGTAGGCTGTTTCTTGTTTTCCCGCCGTGTAAGTAGCGCGCGCCGAAAGCATTTCTCGAGCTGCTGCTTGCAGATGCAATGCAGTATGCGTGCCTGCCGTGTAACTAGGTACGGCAACAACAACAAGATTGTCGACTATGGCGCCCGAGCCAGAGCCTGGCACTTGAGTTACTCGATAACCTTAGCTGCATGCCTTCGGCGTAGATCACGATTGCAGAATCTCAATGGAAAAGACACACCAAAAATGACGTGAATAGCTTTTTAATTCATTTGCTGAGGACGTGCCTCAATTGCTCATGCTCATGACTGTTCCCTTTGTTCCCAAGTGTCGCTAAAAGTCTGTCACACAAGCAATATCCCAGTTGTCCGTTTTCAAAAAAACACCCTGTAAACGCCGGCCAACCCTACGCCCTGACTTGGTTGTGTCGGAGCTGCCTAGTTCCCATGGTGGTTACACTCGCCGGTGCTCCCATGTGATGATTCTTCTTCCATCCTCGTCTCGATCGTAAACCAAACTCGCGTGAAAATGACCGGAGGGCCTTTCTCCAAACCCTTTCTCGGTTGATCGCATGGGGGGACCTCGAGATCTTACCGGCCACTCTGAAGCTTGGCTTACGCAGCAATTCCTGACCCGTCGCTAACAGAAGAAGTTGCGCCTGAGTCGGTTTGCAGGTCATAAGACTTGCCAGAGGGCTCATAAGAGCCGAGGGTTCCCATGTTGTCATTAGAGAAAGCAGCCTGGAAGAAATTGTCCTCCTGAGGGTCGGCGATAAGGTCGTTGATGCCGAAGCCGAAAGAAATGTCATCATAGACATGAGGCTGGTTAGGAACAGCAAGAAAGTCGCTAAAGTTGAAGTCGAGCGACTTGCCGGCGCCCTCGAGGCCGAACTGCTGGAACCCGACTGACACTGCAGGTCAAACCAACACAACATTGCTGCAGAATGTTGTGCCAAGTCGGGTTCGGCAACAGTCGACTCACGTTCGTCGCGCGGCGTCGCCGGTTGTGAGGCGGTGTTGATGGGGGAGTCGTAGGACCCGTCATCGAGAGACGTGGGGCTGGCGTAGGAGCCCTCGCGGCAGTTGGTGCCAAACGGGTCGAGGGAGTCGAGGGAGGACATGGCGAACGAGTCCATCGAGTTGACCGCGGGGCTGGAGAAAGAAGCCTCGCGCGGGTTCATGGTGGTGCTAGAGACAGACGTCTCACGCTTGATGCTCGAAGTGTCCTCGACATAGGCCGGTGTGGAGGTGGGGCCGGGAGTGGGAGCTGAGAAGGGGAGCTCGGGGGCCGGGGTGCCGTTGATTGCCGACAACAGGAAGTTGTCCTTTTCGATGTTGGCCGACATGTTGGGGAGCTCGGGGAGCTTCTCGGTTGCGCGGGCGCGATACCACTCGTTCTGACTCTCGAGCTGCTTGAGCTGCGAGAAGACGCGGCGGAAGGTGTCACGGAAGTGGTCACGTTCCGCAGTCAGCCTGTCCATTTCCTCGCGCTTACGCTCGCGCGAGTTGTGGGCGGCGAGACGGTTACGCTTGACGCGCTCGATGCGGCGCTGCTCTTTCTCATCGGCCGTCTTTGCACGCTTGCGAGGCGGCAGGTTGGTCTTGGGCTCGGGGAGGACTTGGCCCCATGACTTGCGCTTCTTGGGCTCCTTCTTGTTGTTGGAGTGAGAAGCGGCGGGAGCGGGGGACGACGACGACGAGAGGGCATCGTCGTCGGGTAAAGGAGTGGAGCGCTGAAGATCTTGCATGTTGATGGTGGCGGGCGCGTCGGCGACGGACTGTGGGGAAAGGAAGGGCGACGACGGGCTGGCCGTCATAGTGGGGTTTTTGAAAGCTAGTGAAGAAGTGTAGGCGTCCATGTGGGAAGATACATCTGGCCAGGAAGTCGAGGGACGTGCCCTATGTACTAAACTGGAGCCTAGAATGGGGTGGTGGGAGATGATGGGTTCATGGGAAAGAGGACAGGTGGCTTTACTTATAGACGGGGAGCTTTGTAAGGGGTAAGCGAGCTACGAAGGGGCGCGCGGGCAAGGCTTGGCTCGTGTTAGCACAGGGGAACTCGGGCCAGGGCCCCAAAATAAATCGGGAACCCCCACAACGTTTCACCATACAGAGGCCAACACCACCAAGGGAGAGTGACGCTTTAGGATCATGTCTGCCTGGGGCCGGTCTCTTTAGCACCTCGTGTCCCGTACTCTAGTCTTGTTCCCTGCATGTACTCGAGTCCTGTACAAAGAGTCATCGCATCATTCAGCCAAAACACCTTCCTTCTCGAAGCTTCACGGCACCTCATCTCCGGCCAGCGTGAAACCCGTCGACCCGCTAAACCGCGCAATCAATCCGCGATACACCCACGGCCCCTAGATTGCCCGCGCCCGCTCCCCTTGCCGGTCTGGCGATCAATAGGGGGAACGAGAGCTTCCAGAAACCCCGGAGCGCTGACTGATGATGGGCTGATCGCGATCCGCATGTTCGCTTGCTTTTTGTCCTCGCACTCCCCTCTCTCGTAACTGACCGCTCGTGATTCTCGCTCCCACGACTCCTCACCACTGCTGCTGCTGCGCTGGCAGGCCCACATGCATTTCCCTCTCGTGAGCGTTCGAGCCCTCTCCCCGCCCCGTTTTGTCCACAATTGTTGCACTCGCGATGCGGCGCGAGCTCCGCATTCCGGCCTGTCCTGCGCCCCCTTGTCGCGGGCGCTCGGTCCGGACGGTCGTCCCCCCGGGGGGCCTACGAGGCGGCTTACCGCCATCCGGACTCGGAGGGGCGAGACTTCATGCGCGCGTGCTCGGTGATTGCTTGTTGCGGCCATGCATGGCGCTGGTCTCATCATCATCACTCGGCTGAGTTGTCTTGCCAGGGTAGCCAAGTAGGTGGTGGCAACGGGCCTTCCAACTCCAAGACGGCTACATTTGTTGCCAACGAGGATGGCGCCCCCATCGGCCCCCGCCTTGCGCCTCAACCGTTGGCCATAGTAGGAGCAATAGCGTTAGGCCAACAACAACCAACACATTCCACCCGCCAGGGACGGGCCGTGGGAGGAACATGCGGAGTGCGTTTTTAGGGCCAGGCTAAAGGCAGCCAGCTGGCTAGATATGTAGGCAGGTAACTCATTAACTAAACAGGAAACGCGTTTAGCAAACATCAACGCCGAGCTGAAAGCAGCTCTCTAGCCCTTCCCCCACCCCAGCCTCGCTCGCGTGCTATTCTTGTGCCACCACCACCACCACCGCAGCACCTCTCTTCACAGCACGCGTCGACAGGAGCTTGGCTATGCTTCTTCCCCCGCGCCCAGCCTCTGGGCAGCGGCATCTAGCAAGCATGTAGCAGCAGCAGGAGCAGCGGTAGCCCTGCAACCCTGCCATCATCCCCAACGTACCTCCCCTGTCGTCCCGAGAACGCGTGCCAGCCTGCCTGCGCGTACGCCACCAAGCAGTCGCGCGTCGCCGATCTCGCGCAGCACGCAAGACCTGCGATCTGGGAGCGCGTCCTTCGCGCACGATAGGCGAAGGCGATCGCGGCAGTCAGAGCAGGCAGGCCCCTGGCCGGGGTGGCTAGGGGGGGATCATAGCAGGACTCGTAAACCGGCCATGGTCTGCGCAGGTCTCAGTCGTCGTCGTCCCAGGAGCCTGAAACATTCCGAGGGGTATTGCAGGGAGGCACGGTGATTCAGGGCGATACTGTGTTTCTTGTTCTCTGCTTCAGCTTTATTTTCTACCTCGGGAAAGGGTTGGCCGCCGTTGATTTAGGGTAGACCCTCAATATCCTATAAAATTAGGCTTTGGTCAACGCCATCCATGCGACCTCGTATCGAGCTCACGGTCTCCTGTGCATCCCGGCTGTCTATCCCGCTTCGACAGTGCGTCGGTACTTTCTGCCATCCTTCTCCGACCTCCCTGCGTCCAAGACCCTTCCTCTAGGCACCAGCGTCTTGCCCTGCCTTTGCCAGTGCCTCGAATACACGTGGCGGCAACTTGTACCTGACCAGACCCGCAAAGATCATCATGTCCTTGGCGGTAACGATCAGTTGCTCGACGACATGCTTGTTCGCAACCGCTTCGTAATTGCTGGCCCGAAGTTCATCGCGGCGACGGCCGCAGCAGATAATCGTCCACATGAGCAAACTGCTGACGTTGCGTGCAACGACCGGCTGCAGCCCGTTGAAGTTCTGCGCCGTCTGGCGGATCTCTGCCATGTTGGACTTGGCACCCATCGGCAGGAGGTTCATGTCCGTGATCGCCTAACACGGGTTGTTAGTATCGTAAATCTAATGTGTCACGTGATCCTGATATGACTTACATCAAGAGCGCCAGCCCAGTTGCCGGCTTCGACCATCTTCTTGGCATCCGACATTTGGAGGAGCGAGTTCAGTGCTTGACGGTTGTGTGGCTTAACCTTGTTATACTGCAGTGCGTTCGCACTGTACAAGGCGGCCATGTTCCTGGCAAGCTGCGCCGGGTCCTCAACAGCTGTCAGACTTAAACTGCTTCCAGCTTGCGGCTTCTGCCCCACTGCGCGAGGCTTCAACGGCTCGAGCTTGTGTGGTGATTGCCCAAGGTCCACAGCAATCGCATCTGAGAGTGCCCGGTTGATAATCGCAATAACAGTGTCGTAATCTTCCGCGAGGTGGTAAAGCAAAACGGCATCGGTTGTCCGGCCAGCCTCGTCAGCGACAGCGGCGGATTGCAAGGTAATGTTCTTGAGGAACTCCTGTTGGTCCGTCAAGCCGATGAGTCTCAGACGATACTCGATAGCACCGGTGATCCTCGTGCCGTCGGAGCGGATGTCGCCAAGAAGCTGAGCAAACTCGCGGGTCTCGAGAACAAGCTCGCGTAATGCCTCGTGGCAAGTGGCTGCCTGTGACTGACCAAGCTGCCCATCGAGATCAGAATTCAAGCAAAGCAAAACAAGGTAATCAGCGGCTGCCTCAGCCTTTGCCGCACGGAAGTCCCGAGTGTAATGGCCAATGATGCGGCAGAAGTTGATCTGAGGCTTCTGGCGGGTCGTAAACGTGAGGATATCCGCGCCAGCAGTAAAGAAGTCGGATACTCTGAGCAAACCGTAGTAAGTCAACGCGATGGCGAAGTGCACCGCGGCCGTGTAGCTGTGCTGGTACAGGAAGTTGATGCCCTCCTCAAACATGCCAACGAGGACGTGCAGGAGGAAGCATACACCGAATTGTCCGTTCGCCTCCGCGCCCTGGAAGTGCCGTTGAGTGATGTCGGCAACAGTGCTCCGGATGTTTTCCAGCGTGAATGTCTCGCCAGCAGTCTCTTCCACTCGGTTGACCTCCCGAGCAAGTGCAAATTGTAGCCAAGCCCAATCTTCCATGCCCTTGCCAATTCCCTCGAGGCTTGTCCGACTAAGCTCACAACGGCCAACTATTTTGTAGCATGCCATGCGGTAGGGATCAAGCGAGTTCTCTGGCGCAATGCGTGTCCTCTGCTGGTACTCGTTATTAATACGGTTTTGGAGGTCATCGCCCAACCTTCTGTCATCGCTATTCGCAAAAGCCATGAGGTAGGACGGGAAGTTCCGATCCATGCTCTTGATGGCGCGCTCGTTGTCGATGACATATTCGAGGGCATCCTGGACAAGACCGGCGCGCAGGAGGTAAAAAATGAGCACCCAGCAATGGTCGTCCCCAAGAGTCTGCAGCTCAACGTTGTCGGCTCCGAGCTCTCTTCTAATAGAAAGCACTCTTATGTATCCCCGAACTTGCCCTATGTTAGTAGGTTCGCCTCCGACCTTGGCTTCCAGAGGGTTTTTGGCCGTAGTCTCCTTGATATCAGCGAGAAACTTCTTCTCAAGGTACCTCCTTGATCCGTCGAGAATCCTCTTCCGCATTGCCACGCTCTTTCCTGAGTGCGGTGACTCGTCCAGGTACTCTTGAGCAAACTGCCGCTCCTTGACGTTCCCACTGTCCTCACCAATGATCTCACTTAGAGCCTGGTACGCGCCTTCCAGGTACCCAGAAGTCTATGATTGTTGTCAGCAAAATAGCAGATCGGGGTATGGCTAGTTTACTTACGTCTGTGCCTGCCTCCACCCCAGCGAACTCCGCGAGCACGGGGTATGAGTTCTCTTCTAGGCGGGCAATGTTCAATTGCTTAACCTTATCAGTGTACTTCTCCTGTTTGTCCCTCATGACGCGGCTCTCGGGGATGGGTTGTAGGCCGGTGCCGCTGGTGGGATCAGCAAACCCATTCAAACGTCCGCTACCTGCCGTAGGAGTGCCAATGACTGATCTGTTCATTGCAGAGGCAGCAAAAGACATTCCATTACCACCAACAGTCGAAGCACCGAGGCCACGACCTCTCCTCTTCGAGCGTCCGAACGCTCCTCGTGCGATAGGCCCTGAAGACGGGGCGGCGCTCGCTTCCAGGTTTTCCACCTGCCGGCCCAGACCAAAATGCTCGTAAATGCGCCTACGCTGCGCATCCCATTCCATCTGAATATTATCTTCCAAGAAAGTATCGAAGTCTTTCTTGGATTGCTCTAGGCCTTCCGCAATCATGGCCAGGGTAGACTGGGAGTGTAGGTTCGAAATATACGCTCCGATATCTGTGTCAACCGAGCTTGGGATGTTTGTCGTAGCGCTGACGCCTGCCGAGGCGCTGAATTGGTTAAGGTCCCGAAGCGCGGAACCAGTGTTCACTCCCGACGCGGCGAGCAAATAGTGCCTAAATGAAATAGTTAGGTTCTATAGCTGGTAATTATTGCGAGCTTACTCACGCTCTACTGTCGCGAACCTGCGGCGCAGAAGGTCCTCCGGTGCCCAGGTTTCTGACTTTCCGCGCAATATCCCCCAATCCAAGCTGCAGAGTCGGCAGGTCGCCAAAGGGTGTGGCTCCATTTTCTTGAACAGCCCTTTTCCTTCCTCTCTCGAGAAGATGGTCGAAGTAGGCTGACTGAGAGCCAGGCGCCTGCGATTGCGAAAGCGGGTTGGGTTGGGACTGCGGCTGGCCAGGTTGCTGGGCATTTGCTTGCTGGCCAGGTTGCTGAGCGGCCGCCCCTCCAAGTCCACCAAAAAGCCCACCGCCGGAAGGTTGTTGTGTTTGTGTCGTGGAAGCACCCAAGCCTCCAAACAGGCCACCGCCGGTTCCGCTCGCTGGTTGCTGCGAGGTGTTCGTGCTGGACCCTAGGCCGCCGCCGAGAGCTGATGAAAAGAGACCACCAGAAGCCGGCGCAGTCGTCTTCTGGGCGCCAGCATTCCCGAAGAGGCTCGGGGTGGTTCCAGTCTGGGGAGTGTTCGTGGCGCCGCCGAACAGCGAGCTTGGTTGTCCGGTAGCTCCTCCAGTGTTGCCAAAAAGCGATGAGCCGGTGTTGGTCGGCGGCTTGTTTCCGCCAAGATTACCGAATAGCGACATGATGGGAGGATCCGGGATGCAATGAGCCACGAGCGCGGCGTTGGAGAGGCGCAATGTCGTTGCGCGCAAGTTGGAGCTGCAAAGTTGACGCGGGAATGTTTTGGGATGAACCTTGGCTTTCTGGAGCTAGCGCGCTAGGCTGAAAACCGCAAAGAGGTACGGTACCACGCATGCACAAATACATCGACTTGATCATTCATTCAATCTACATTTATTTATGCTTTCGCTCGTGTTGCGATCAAACAATTTCTCTGCGTCATTGAAATGTTGTCATCCGAGTGAGCACCTACGTTGCTTCCTAGCCCGCTCTTATCTCCGAGGCAACCATATGCCAATGGCTGCATCTACCAATCCAAGCTCTGAATTTCTACGGTTAAAAAGGTAGATATTGTTATTCGCATCCCCACAGTGAGTGGCACTCCGATAGAAGTGTAGCTCGTAGTCGCATGTAAACTATAAAAACATGGATCTATCCTCGACACCTCTTGTTTATTACGAACAAGAAAGTTAAGGAGTACATACGAGGGCGAGAAAGTGTGCAGGTACTTATCGGCTGCTACTCTATAATTGTTTTCGAAAGCCCATAAACATACAATGAAATGAAACAAGACATAGCTGAAAGTTTGCGCTGGAAGCGTGCAATAACAGGCCGCATTAAATGATCTATATATTAGGAGTAATAGGACGTGATAGAAGTCCCACTCAAGGCATCGCAAGCTATCATTAGTTTTAATATCCCCAACTCTATTCGTCAACTCTCCATTAGGATTCCCGACTTGTGCATATCTACTGTGTTGGAGTTTACTTCCTGATATCAGGTAAGTAACCGGTGGAGAAGGTAACCGAGATGCGTCTTCATATACGGTCCGCGTCGTTATCGTGAAAAGTTTGACCGAGTCCGCCATCGGCCAGAGGTACATTCTCGAGGCTGAGACAATGCGGACAAACCTTGAGGGTTTGGAGAGTTGCCATGCCGCAACTCTAGCCCAGGGAGCATTGTAAATAGAACAGGGCGCCTGGTTGGCATTGTCCATTGGTGTTATCCATGGGTTACCGGACGCAGAACAGGCAGCGAAAGTTCGCAAACTTACTACTGGACATGATCCATGTTAATTAGTCCATTCTCGGTCCCTGCAGCAATCAATTGCTACGACAATAAGCTCCCGTGGCAACATACGTCAAGGCCACATACCTATTTGTCTGCTGGACCATTGTTTGCATTCTTTGAAGCCTCATTGTCCTGGGGAGCGCTTTGCACCTTATTCTCCTTTACCGCATCGTTCAACCATCCATAGCGCAATACATCACGCCCTTGGTCGAGGTCTGGATCCGCTTTCTGCCTCTGTCTGGCATACGCCAGTATTGACTGGGTCTCTTGCGCTTTCCAAGTGCGGTCGAAATTCTGCATGCGCTTGGAGACGCCGATGGCGGTTTGCTTGAAATCCAGAAACAGCTCGCGGGGTGTGTCGCGTGGGACCTTCAGCGGTTCTACGAGGGCCGGGATGACAAGGCGGACTTCGTCAAGCTAAGACAGGTGTCAGCCTCGAATGTTGGTGGTGGCATTCGCGCAAACTCACTTGATCCTGCAGCCTCTCGAGCGCTGCAAGCGCTGCCACACATTGCGCCTCGTCCCAAGGCTGATCCTCCTGGACCGCATTCGTCGCAGCAGCCATGTCGGGGGCGTAAGCAAGATGCGAGGGAGGTGTAAGCGAAAGGCGTGGTGTGAGAGCAGCGCAGAGGGGTGCGATGAGAGGACGTTGTTTGGGACTGGCGGGCTTGGTCCTTGGTACCCGAGCAAGTCCCTTGTCTGCAAGCGTGCTGACGCGAGCACACGGTCAAGTCGAGGACCTATAGAATTCTGCATGAATAACAGCCACATGCATGCATCGCGTCTCTCTGTTTATTGGTTGTGTTTCCTAAGCTTAACTGCGTTTCGGGGCGAAAGTGTAGGCAGCAAAACGCATGCGCAACCAACCCCTGCATTTGACATAGAAACATTCCCTTTGACAACTCGGCGCGCTGCAAGAATCAAGCCGAGTAGCTATTCCTGTCTCCGATATCTGATGGCACTGCCACTTTGCTCCGTACAAGGAGCACTTCGTGTCTGTTCCCACGCGACCCAAGACTATTTCGGTCGGACATTTGATGGCACAGTCCGGAGTTTAGGATGGCACCGGAGTTAGCGCAAAAGTGACACCTCGAGGCAGGTGGCAGGCTTTCAGCCGTCGAATAAGAAGTCGCTTTTCTTCCCCCAGGATCGTTAGTAATTAGCGTATCTCTATCGGCGTCGGGGGAAATCTGCGACCGCCCGGCCGCCGGCGCAGCGCGGCAGATCTGCCTGGAGTCGTCATGGTTCTCATGATTATTTTCCTCCATTGACCTTTGTCTATTTATCGCCCATCCCCCACGCTCTTTAGCCCAGATGTCACGGCCTTTACGTTCCTTCTCCCGAATACCCAGACAGCATTGGCAGTCGTGTAGACGCAGATACTACCATAGCTCCATCAAAATGTCCTCGGCATCAACCAGCGCTGCTCTTTACGCAACGACTGTGTCAACATCGCAACTTACCGGCGCTGTGCCCGAGGATGCCAAAAACAAACCTCACCATGTAAAAGGCGGTAAAGGTTTTATGAATCCATGGGACTCTTACAATGAAATGGGCGTCTTCCAGATTCTGTCAAAACTCATATGGTACGCAACAACGCCAGCGTCAAACACCTCACCGGCTAATTGGTAGATCAAGGCGAAAATTGAGCGGCAACGCTAAGCAACCCGATACTACACCACCCACCGTAACTGTACGCAAGCCGTCTTTCTTGGCCTCCCGCGACACTACAGCTCTCCGCGCGACTTGGCTTGGCCATGCTTGTTACTTCGTCGAGTTTCCTGGCGGCCTGCGCGTGCTCTTTGACCCAGTCTTTGAGTCGAGATGCTCGCCATTCTCCTTCATGGGGCCCAAGAGATACACAGAAATGCCGTGCAAGATTGAGGACATCCCCACAATCGATGTCGTCGTAATCTCTCATGCGCACTACGACCACCTCTCCCACCCTACGGTCACGAAGATCAAGGAATTGCACCCCAATGTGCATTTCTTCGTTCCTTTGGAAAACAAGAAATGGTTTATAAACTGCGGCATCCATAACGTTACGGAGTTGGATTGGTGGGAGAGTCGGGACATTCATCTCTCCCCAGTGGAGTCAAAGAGCAAGGCGCAAGATACCAGCGTTGAGGTTGTTGAGCATGGCAGTCGGGAGAGGAACCCGAAGGACATGCTGGCAACTATAGAGTGTCTGCCTTGCCAACATACGGCAGCCAGGACTCCCTTTGATAAGAACCACACGCTGTGGTCATCGTGGAGTGTAACAAGCGGAGGAAAGAAGGTGTGGTTCGGAGGGTAAGCCCATCCTCTGCAGGCATTGCATGCCTCCAGGTTGCTAACAGAAGCAGTGACACCGGTTACCGTGCCGTTGCTGACCTCCCCGCTGGCGAAGACGACTACGACGCGAAATACAGCTTTCCTCATTGCCCTGCCTTCAAGCAGATCGGCGATCTGCGTGGACCCTTCGACCTTGGTCTGATACCCATTGGCGCGTACGAGCCAAGATTCATAATGTCTCCCATGCACGCAAACCCTTTTGACAGTGTTAACATCTTTGTTGACACTAAGTGTAAACGGGCAATGGGTATCCATTGGGGTACTTGGGTGTTGACTGAGGAAGATGTGCTTGAGCCGCCCAGACTCCTCAAGCAGGCATTGGCAGGCAAAAGCATACCGGAGGAGGGCGTTTTCGACGTCTGCGAAATCGGAGAGAGCAGAGAGTTCTGATCCCAGTGGGTGATGGGCATGGTCGGCGTTAGGAGTCAAGCTCGTATGATGTAGTGGTTTCGTGGAGCATCCTCCTTTAGAGCTTGTTTCCTGGACACTTTCTTTGTATATCAAGCATTCACACACCACTGTACAGTTTGGAAGCAAAAAAGATAACTATTACAATTATCCAAATAGTTTTTGGAGGACGCAAAAAGATGTGCTTCCACTGAGATTTGAACTCAGGACCTCGGCATGATCTAGAAAGTACTAGTGCCGCGCTCTACCAACTGAGCCATAGAAGCCGGTAATTGATAAAATCGTTGTTGCAATTTATATTAATATTCATAGCCGTAATGTATATAAAGATAATGTTATATCAAACCATCTGCTAAGTGCCTACACTCGCTCGGTTTCTATTGATTTACTGATCAAGATGGACATATTGTTAAGGATCATATTGGAGATTCAAAACTTGCCCAAAAGTATAGATCAACCATGCAATAGGATCAAGTTACAATTGCTGTCGTAATCATAGTCGTGAAGCTATTTGATATCTGACAGTTCGCTGCTATGACAAGCATAGCCTTCCTCAAGGTTTCTGATAATTTTGTTTTTCACCCACCAAGTTGCAACCCCTTACTGCGCCTTCTTCGACTCCCCGCTCGCCGCACGTTCAATGAATCCCTTGCCGACATGGACAGTCTCCCTCCAGCCACGCTGTCTAGCCCAGAACTTGTCCTCCAACTTGCTTTCCCTCAGACTACTCTGCCTAGCCTCTTCTTCAAGGGTTGCGCGGTCAACATCACCGCCTTCCTCAGCCATCTTCGGCAGCTTCTCAACCTCACTAAGGCTTTCCGAAAAGTAGCGTCTGCGAAGGGTGAAACGCTCTCTACGCTCCTTCTGGCGACCGGGGGAGTCCATCTTAGAAATGACTACTCTGACGGCCTTGCGCACAACCAAGAAGAGATGTTCAGAAAAGAAAACAGTAAGAAGCAAGGCCCATCCCTTGATGTCGGCTGGGGTTCCGTCAGGACCAATGCCGTCGTTCCAGAATAGGTAGACCAAGGCAGAAGTGGTGATACTACCAATCCATGTCAAGAAGCTTAGGCTGTCAAGCCAAGGACCAATGGTGTCGGCGCGGGAGGGCGTCGGTCGCTGCATCTCAACACAGATTTTGAGCGCATCAGCGCGCAGCTCAACCCAGTCGTTGAGCAGGAATGAAACAGCAGTCAGCGGCCAAATCACACTGAAAAGTGACAAGTATCCGTATTGCAAGACCATCTCTCGCAGATCGGATGTCACGTCATAAACGTCGAGTTCTGCCTCCTTGCGCACGCGCGTGAGGAAAGTAGCCTCCTCTGGCGGGTCGTTTTCAGCTACGTTGAGGACAGCACCACCGCGCTTTGCAGCGCGTTCGCTTTGAATTTCCTTGTACTTGGAGAAACCCTGGCGCTTGAGGTAAGGAACAATCACCTCCATGGCGAGGTTGACGACTTGAGCAGTGACCGTGAAGTAAATGACCTGCTTCCTCAGCCTATCCGGGTTGATGCTGAATGTGGCTGGCATCTGGAGCTGCTTCTCGTGCTCGGCAAATGGCTTCACCGTGACGCTGAAGACGTCCAGGTATGGCACAACAAGGCTACCAAATGGAACATAAACGAAGGCGGTCAAGATGATAGGAAGGTAGGAGGTGATGCAGTTAAGGACGAAGATCTTTTGGGTCAAGGCCGTCTCGTATGAGCCGTGAGTCTCATAGTTCTCGAGTTCGTTGAGACGTGTCGCAAACTGTGTCAAAATACTTTGAAGGACTGGCATGACAGTTGTCAAGATTCCCGTAGGCAAAAACACCTGTGCTCTTATTAGTACAGGTGCCACAAAAAGAACACATCGCCTACTTACCAGGATAGACTTCAGGGGGCCATTGTAGACTTCCGAGATGAAGACCTCAATGGCGAAGCACACGGCGATGAGGCTGCCAAGAACAAGAATCGAGGCCAGCGCGAAAGGGATTTGCAGAAGTTGCCACTGAAGCCTTTTCGTCGCCGGAAACACCTTGACGGTCTCTCCGGTAACAGGGTCCGAAACTTCTTTCTCATGTTTGAAGTCCTTACGTGTAGACTCAATCTGGGATACTCCACGCACGCCCCATCTGACAGCCAGGTCAAATTCTTGATGTTTCCACCATTCTGTAAAGACGGTGCACCAAAGAGCATTGACAATAGCATATACAGGTGAGAAATGGCCGAGTATAACCCATGCTGAGAAGCCGAAGGCGGCCGGGAATATCAGGAAGGTGAAGTACGACTGGGTGAAAGCGAAGTAGAACGCAATCTGATGCTGTTAGTCATATGTGTTTTCTATGGTGCAGAGCATTGACTTACCTTCTCGCCCAAGCGGTTACGGATCTCGTCCAAGTCCTCTGCGTTCAGAAGGTACTGAGTGCTCCATTTCTTGATCCATCTATGATTGTACGCGTGGTCATGTAAGGCAAAAACAGCCTCTACATTCTTCCACTCGCCCTCCTTGGGAGTGATCCCGGCACCACCCTCCGATTCTGGATTGGTTATGAGCTGATATATGATGCGTAGTCTTTCGGCCTCGGAAAGGGGATCGACTTCGAGAGCTTTACGGGTCTCCTTTGGGGGTTCTGACGAGCGGATGCCGTGAATCCAATCTCTTACTCTGTAGGCGTGTCAGCCAGGTATCATGAGATATCACCTTTGGAGCTATGGGTTCACGAACCTTGACCTGTACACCTCACCGAAGAGATGCTCCTCCGAAGCAACCCTGCAGAATATGAGGACCGAATGGTTTTCGCCATTGCGGACTTCTGTGGCCAGGCCGACAGAGGATAGAGCTTGGATGAGGCGTTCGAATTTGACGATAGCCTCTTCTTGATCTGGAGGGGCGTTCGGTCAACGACTGACAGGTCCCTTTCTGACAGCAGCGCTTACTTGTGTTGGCAAAGCGGTACGTGACAACATAGTCGACGTCCATGTTTGTCTGCAGAGCCGGGCTCTTCGGGCCAGGGGAGGCCATGATCGCGTTAAGGTCTTTCGCGGCTGCCAGGAGGGTGAGCTGCGAAGTCAGGACGGTTTGGCAGGACTAAGGGAGGAAATACGCTGGGAAATGTGAGAGGTGAGGAAACGAAAAAGAAGGCTGGTTTCGGCTGGCATTCTTGATTCTCGTCGATGCAATTGCGCTTGCCTGCAGCTAGGTTGAACCAAACAGCTCATGGAACTCAACAGATACGTCACCGTGCGCACCGCGCAAGATTGACCACGCATCCCCGCGGCCATCACGATCGACCCGCCCACCCTCGCCGCACAACATGGCTTGACTGTGACACCTCCGCAGGATGCTCGGCTTTCTGTTCTTGAACCCTTCTCCCTTTGAGCCCTCGTGCATCATCGCCCTCTTCTTGCGGACTCCGCTGAAATGCGCCGTCTACTTTCTCTATCGCTTTCTCACAGCTCTCCGCAGCCCTCCAAGCCCCTACACTCATCCCGTACGTGTCGTCTGCCTCTCCGACACGCACACCCTCACGCAGCCTATCCCTGACGGGGACGTCCTCGTCCACGCTGGAGACCTCGCAAATGCCGGAGATTTATCTGAGCTCCAGGCTCAGATCGACTGGCTAAACTCCCTGCCGCATCCTCACAAGGTCGTGATAGCTGGCAATCACGACACTTACCTTGACCCACGCTCGAGGCGCACTCTTTCGGACGAGCAACGCCACCGCGAGCTGCGGTGGGGCAACATTCATTACTTGCAACACAGCTCCGTCATCCTGAGAATTCCCAATCCCGTGGGGCCTTCAAAATACCGCTCTCTCAAGGTGCATGGTGCACCGCAGATTCCACAATGCGGCGGACCCGAATTTGCATTTCAATACCCGCGTGGTCGGGATGCATGGACCGAGACGATCCCGAAAGACGTCGATGTTCTTGTCACTCACACGCCTCCTAGATACCATCTGGATCTGCCTTTGCCCACTGGTCTGGGCGATGAGTATCTTATGCGAGAGGTATGGCGCGTTCGGCCTCAGCTTCATGTATTCGGTCACGTGCATGTTGCTGCCGGCAGAGAGGTAAACTGGTGGGACGACGGTCAAGCAGCATATGAAAGAGCGCTCTCGAGGCCAGTTGGGTGTTTAACAAGAGGATTGCTAGACATCGCAATGTGGATTGACTTGGCTATGGTGTTGTTTTGGGGTGTGCGGAATGTAATCTGGGACAGAGTTTGGGGTGGCGAAGGAAGAAGTACTATCTTGGTGAACGCTGGACTGATGAGGGGGAACTCTGGACGACTTGGAAACAAGGTCCAGGTAGTTGAGATCTGAGTTAGTGAGTAAGCTGGGTGGTCTTTCCCTTCTTCAGCCATCCATCATACCTATCATCGAGAAAGGAGCCAATTTGCGGATTTCCTTATCACAGATCAGTCGCTTGACCAAGTCTCAATTAGTTAAAGGCGAGGACTCAATGCCGCTGCACCAATGTTAATGTAGTCGTCCACATACTGAGCTCAGTGGACTGTAGTCACTGCGCAACCCTCTTTTCATTGACAGATCAAGCTGGTATTGAAAAACTCATATACAGCTGGCAAGCATACGTTCGTCGATATCGAATACCGGCCCCTCTCTTCCAAATCTAACCATATTAACAGCGTATCAAGTCATCCCAAGCCCAAAATTTGGACAGCACTACAATTTTGCCAAATATTCCCACCAAAGACACATGATCCTTATAATAAGCTTGTTATCCAACTATGAGCTAAGACCTTAGATTACTGAGTTACTCATGATAATTATAACTTTTCTAACCCCCTTTACCCAGTTTCATTTCCGCGTAACGTCTGTCACCGCAAACCGAGTTCTACCGTTTAGTAAGACGGGGGGCGATATAAGTGGCCCCTATAAAGTCCTCCTTGTCTAGCTATATGCCTAGGCCCTAAATAGAAACGAGGGGATCTTAGATTATATACGCCCGTTATCTAATATCTCTTACCGTTTACCGTTAAGCGAGATAGGAACAATATGAGCGGTCTCTACAGATTATTACTCCTTGCCTAGCTCCTAGCCCGAGTCCTAGGTATAGGTAAAAAGATCTTAGAGTATACACAGACTCTATATACCTTCACTAGGCAGGCCTCTTCTTCTACTCCGTACAAGTATTACTATCTCGCTTTATAGTAAATCTCACTTTATGGTGACGGACGTTAGTATACATAAAGAACCATACGAAGGATTTTAAAACCAAACTTCGATTTACCCACATTCTGTTATATCAACACAAAGCTTCTACGTTCATGGTAAGTACTTCTAGAGACCCAAAAACTCCACGTAAAGTATGAGGTTCTCAATCAAGCAGTGTCTCTTCTCTCAATAGCCTCAACAAAACACATGCCATTCCGGGAAAGCACATCCCTCCGCTTTCGACACATATCACACGCCTCGCAATCGCACCTCAGTCTCATTATTGCATGTTTCATAGTTTCTTCAGGACCATTAGCAACATCGAAGATGCCTCGTATAATCTGAGGTTGAGGTTTTCGGGAGAGATTCTCTCCGTCTGTGCTGTTGCGTTGTAGTTTTTGGGGTATATGCATATTATCTGCATGAAAGACTGTTGGAGAAGGTTTGTTTGTAGACTGCGAAAGACGATTTGAGGCGATATGGTCTAGGTCTTGGTGTTGCTGGTGATCGAGAGGGATGCTTGCCGCTGCAAGCTGAGCCCTGGTATGTTCATGCATAGTGCTTATGCGAGGGGCCGTGTTAGCTGGATAGTCATGTACTACGAAACGCGATAATGGCTCTATACCGACTGTAGACCACATGGTCCGTGAAATATATTCTGGACATCTTGCACGATTCTTCGTCGTGAGGGTGGGAATTCCGATTAGCTGATGGTGTTGTATTAGAGATTGGTTAGTTATTCTGTTTTGGTAGCTTGATTTATGGGGCCTGAGCACCGTCGACTGCCAGACTGCAAAGTATTCGCAATTAGTAGAAAGGCGACTGTCTATATGTTTATCGCTATGACATGTGATGCCTGAACCCTGATTGCTCGCCTGACCAATATGCCAGCAGTCAACAGCTTTGTCTCCATGGCCCTCTGTCGCACCAAGTGTAACATCCAGGTACGCAGAGACGGAATGGGATAACCAGGAATGCGGGGTTTATGCGGGGAGGCGCGGTTGACGTCGTCGTAAGCCTTCTGTAACATGTGTTCTTTGTTTCCCTAGCCGGTTGCGGTCACCACCACGATAACAATGACGCTGGTAACAGATAGTCACCATCTCGAGTCAATGGCTCTGTTTAGCGCTTGCGGTAGACCATAATTCCGTTTTTCTTAAGTGTCGGCAATCTCATTGTCTGGGACGAGGTGTAGGTCGGGTGCGGTTACGACTTTTAGGGAGAAAGACTTGCTTTGAGCTATAAAGTTGCGGCTCTGGGCTGAATCAAGATACTCAACTTTTAAGACTTGTTGGAACATCTTGTGGAATCGTTACAAACTCGAATGTCTACTGCTTGCTCGGACAGTCAAAATGATGTCTGTCGCCCCCTTCGTTCTCCTTGCCTTCGCGTTCGCCGCTACGGCACTCGCCCAATTTGACATATCAAAGATTCCGAAGTGCGCGGTAAGAACATGTCCACTTGATTTATGTCAGATGAGCGATGTGTTAATGCAAAATAGCAAGGGCCTATCTTGACCAGTATAGGCACCGGCAAATGCGACCCCGCAAATGTCCAGTGCATATGCAATGACGCCCACTTTTTGGACACTCTCAAGGATATCATCTACAAGGTGTGCAGCGGTGATGATGCCAAAAGTAAGCGTTCTTTGGTTTTGTTGTTTTTCCAGGGCTGACATGAACGAAGACGCATACTCATTTGGCATGTCCATCTGCCCCAATCTCGTCGACTTTCCGCTGCCTGGCACTTTGGGAGTGACTACGAGTACGTCAGCTGCGGCCGCCTCATCTTCATCTGTTTCAACATCGAGTTCGATTACTACACCACCAGCTGAGACTCCTTCGAGCTCTACTGCCATTGAGACCCATTCGAGTTCCACTGCAGTCGAGCCAAGTATCACTACTCCTACTACCGCGGCAGAAGATAGTGTGACAACGTCAACTCATACAGAGCTCCCTACTGCTGAGGCGACGCCACCTAATTCTTCCAATGCGACTGCAAACGGAACGTCTCCGGAGCAGTATACTGGCGAAGCTCCTGGATTCGGTACTTTCAGATTGTGGGGATTGGCTTTGGGGATTGGCACCATGGGCGTAATCTTTGCTGAGCTTTGATTTGATGAGGTTGTCTCAATACCCTGTAGCGGAATCATGGCTTTAAAGTAACACCAGTATGGCGTTGAGAGGATTGACAAAACTAATACGAAATGTACTTGGATATCTAAGATGAAAACCCTGATTGATATTTTTCGCTTAATGTTATTCCACGGGATCAGCCTGATGAGTGTGAAGCTCAAAAACAGATCGTGGCAACTCCAAGAGAAGCATCATTAATGAAAGTTTTGGTCAGACATAGTTATGGTGTCTGGTGGGATGGGGTTGTACAAATCTGCCAGGAAAACGAAAAACTCAACTATGTATAGACATGAAGATTATAAGCTGAATAATGATATAATAGTATATATACGTCACACACGAATTGCGAATCATCAAGCAAGCACAAGCTAGCTTGGCAACAACAACAACAGCTTCTATGGCTCAGTTGGTAGAGCGCGGCACTAGTACTCTCTAGGTCATGCCGAGGTCCTGAGTTCAAATCTCAGTGGAAGCACGTCTTTTTTGCATTTTCTTTTTCCTGAAAGAAGTATGAGTAGGTACGAGTAGGTAAGAGCTTCGGAGCTTTTACTCTGCATTAAAATAGTCCATAGTGAGTGAGCGCCTGATTTGTTTGCGAGGCGTGAGGCTGCGATCGAGACGCAAATATTTTGGCATGTGCTATTCTATTATTGCCAATGAATTGCTTCTACCTAGGCGCCCTATTAAAAGCCATGATATGTAGACAGTCCAGTAAGCGCTTTACGCGCAGGAGAGTGGAGCAATAGTTGACCGTACCGAGCGTCCAGGCCGCTTGTCATGCACAATAGCCTGCAGATGACAGGCGCCGAGGTGGCGAGCGCACTTATGCGCAGTCTCTGCTAAATCACAGGTTGATGAAGAGCGTTAACGGAGTGGGGCATAAACTTGCTCAATCAGACGCAGAAAGGCCGGGCGCCTGCGTCTCGCCACGAACTGACTGCAGTATCACGGAAGGCGTTCGAAAAGCGCATCTGTGGACGATTGGTAGAAAAGGTGAGAGGAATGGTGGCAGGTAGCGCGAGCGGGAGTGCAGGGCGTTCAAGCGGCGGGGTTTTCGTCAAGCAAACGTCCGAGCGGTCGGCAGGTTCGGGCAGGTGTCAGCCAGCAGGAGGGCAGGGTCCAGGGAAGGGCTCGGCCGCCGGTCAGCGTCGGCGGTCAAGCCTCCGCAGGTGGGGGATCTGGTGACGGTTGATAAGGAGGCCTCCACCCTCCCCCAAACAACAAAAAACTTCCAACCGCAAACGAACAAACAAACCCACACACCACTTTTTCCAACCCTTCTCACGAAGCACTTCTCTCAATCAAAATGGCTGGCGACGACCACACTTGCTCTTGCGGCAGCAGCTGCTCCTGCGGCACCTCCTGCACCTGCGGCGTACGTTCAGAACCAAACTTCACCATCCCTGCAGTCCGGCTTTACTGACATGGCGCGCGCGCATAGAAATAAGCCGGCAGTCTCCATGCGTCACTTCAACCAGCATGATCTCTCACTCTTCCGTCAAATTACGAGAACCGCTTGAAACGGCAACATGTTCCTTTTCTACTCTCACCACGGTTCGCCGGTCATTATGTTCCTTGCGCTCTCTTTCGGCAATGCATACACGCGATTCGGACGGCTAGTTTCGCCTATCGGAACGGAGGATGTGTCGCGCAGAATGGGAGAGGGTGGCAGATTGGCTGGTTAGGGAAGTGATGCAGCAGACATATGACGTATCCTCCACACGAGCAATGGATTGATCAACACGACTGTTTCTCAAATGCTGGTGATTGTTTCAGCTAGACAGCCTTCGCGCTTAACGTCTGTCACCGCGAACCGATATTTACCGTATAGTGAGACAGAGTCCTACAGAGTACTCCTTGCCTAGCTCCCGGCCCGAGTCCTGGGTATGGGTGAAAAGGTCTTAAAGTGCACAGAGCCTCCATATCTTAACTGGGTATCTTCTTTTACTCTGTACAAGCATCGCCATCTCGCGAGACGGTGACGAACGTTACCTAGTCTAAGCCTCACTCACGGCCTGGTGAAGAACGCGATTTCATGGAAACTGCAGCCTTGTCCCGGTCACAAGACAAAGAACTGCGCAACCATCATCCTGGAAACTTCTGTACGCTTTGGTAGCAATGACGTCCACAGATTCACTCATGTTCCAATGCCAGTCTCGTATCAAGTATTGTATTGAATGCTAACGGAGCCTCGGTGATTTCTACCAACGTTCTCGAGGAACCTTACAGCCTAGCTTGACTGATGTAAAGGTGTAAGGCCCATGCTGGAGATATGACGTCGAGGGTCGTGGTAGGCGAGCTTAGTGCTACAGGAAGAAACGTCAGCCAAGTAGCTCAGGACCAGGTACCAAGCTTTGAAATGCGATTGCTTACGCCGCAGGAGCTGCAGGAGCAGTTGTTGCACTGGCCGCCGGTGCAGGAGCAAGAGTTGCAGTCGCTGTCCAACCAAGTCAATATAAGCCCATATAGGGTTCAGGGACAAGGCTGACTGACCAGGGAGACATGGTGACGGGTTTGGAACTGGTGGTTGAAGTGTTCGGTTTGAAGTGAGCTTGACTGAAGTAGTGAAGAGAAGTAGGCTTTGTTGACGAGGAAAGAGATCATATTCAGGGCGTCTTGCTCGATATATATATGCTTCGCGCTGCTGCTACTGCCGAGTTTCCTGATACGCGCTCGACTAAAGCCATCCAGCCACGGGCACATGCATAGATGCGGGGCTACAGGCCTGTCGCTACACGCGGATAAGCGTGTCCGCGGCCTGCATCGAAAGTCATTCGACAATCCTACATGCGCGTTCGATGCATGCTCTCCGAATGGTGGGGTGGCGTCTCATGGAATTGGCTGATCTCAGCCGCGGCGCGGATCGCAATGCATCCTTCAGTGGTCTCCTCGTTGACGATATCGTTCGACGTTGCCGTGGCTGGTCGCCCCGGTTTTACGTTTCATGTCCAACTTGCTCTCGGGTGTTGAGCATCGAGAACAATCTGCGTGACTTCTGCGACATGTTGCCTTGTTGGGTTAAGTTCTTTACGTACATCCGAGTGGTAGCGAGTCTGCAGAGTCGATCGTCATGCTTCGTAGGCTGCAATGGTCATTTCGTGGCCTACGTTGACTCGGCCATTGATCATAGAGCAACAGCCTGTGACCTTTCCAGCCTCGGTACCGTCTAGGATGCAATGCGTGAATAATGCGGGCACGCCCGGAACATGAACCTTGCCGGATGCGTATGTATAAGGAAGTCGCATCCGACCATCCAACATTCATGGCGCTTTTAGCGAGCAGATAATGAGGCCATATGTAAGCCCCGATACTCGTTACAATCCTGGAGCCATCAAGGGATACGTGGGGGTGCGGCGGTGCACATGAGACTTCGACCACTAAGAGAATAAGACGAGTGGGCGTGTTGACACAAGTGAAGCCTCGTGACAGTGTTGAAAGTCGCCGAGAAAGCTCCAACCAACACCATTCGAGAAGTGTTGTTCACCAATCGAAGATAACGATTTTGGGGGGAAGTGCCGAAGAAATGAGCCACGCAAATGTAACGGTAACTGCTAACAGCACTCGATCAGCATGCAATTTCCGACTGCTTCGACAATGATGTTAACATGAATGGTGCCATGATATACCTACCTACGTTGTGGATTTTTTCTTGGTTGCCAGTTGAAACCCGATTGCTAGAACCATTTCGACGACTGAAACCGGTGCCAGTGCCAATACCTTGCACACTGTGCATTTTAGGACCGACAGGGACCACGGCATTACTCCAGACCCATCCTGGCTTCATCGCCCAATCCCCACTCGCCCTCCCTCTGATGATAGCGAAGCGGCGTATGTACGTCCTCTTCATCGCTCCGAAGTTCCAAGTCTCCGCTTTCGAAGCTGTCGACGTTGCTCTTCTCACTCGCTGCCCTGCTTGGCCTGCGTCCGAACCAACGCCTCTTCCTGATTTTGCTATCATCGTCTTTCATGGAGATGGAATATTCCGAAGGGGGTCTCTCTTGAGCTGTGTCTGCTTCGGAGAATGTGGGTTCTTCTGGCTCGACCTTGGGGGTGGGCATTGGTGTGATCTCCGTCGAAGGGGTAACCTCGACTAGCTCTGCGTTGCGGCACCACTTGCGCCGCCGAGTATATCGACCCCATCCATCTTGCCCGCGACGACCGTCACGCCACTGTGTTTATATCAGACATGCAAATGGAAAGAATCTACCGTGAGACATACCTTGTTGTCATAATATACCCATTCACGACCGGAATCATACTTTCCCTCCTCTCCGTCATCGTTGTTTTCTGCTCCTTCGACGGTCCATTCACTACCTTCCACCCACCTCCATCGTGTGTTGCCGCCTTCGACTTCCGGAAGATCGAAGTGGTCCTTGTCCGGTGCCGGATTCAAGTGCTCGTCAGTCCAAGGCTGCCTCTCGTAGGCAAGCAAAGATGACGTCCATCCAATACCCAGCCAACGCCGCTGGTTCTCATAAACCGCAAATGTGAAGCGCACTCCAGTGGAATCTGCCCGGCGCTTTGCAACAAGACTCGCAGCTATTGCGTTTGCATTTTGAGTCCGAGGCGGTAACGGCGGGGGTTTTCCAATCCCGACCGGTCGGACAGCGGGCTCTGCAAAGTGAAGCCCCGTTATTGTTGCAGCGGTCCTGCGAACTAGCCTTGAGCGCCAAAGTATTATGCGAGAGACACGGGCGGGTCGAGAATGCCAGCTAAGGATCATCGTGCCAAACGTTAGGACAACTCGTTTTGTCGTCATGATGCGCAAGGGAGGAAGAGTAAGAAGAAGCCAGAAGGGAGTGAGAAGAAGAATCCGGATGAACAGTGTTGTAAGTGCAGGCCGAGTAGTCGCAGATGTGGCGGTCCGCTGCGTGGAGAGGAAGTCTGTCATCCGGATCAGAGGGTCCAACAAAATGTTACACCTGGAGGTGAACAGCTTCAAGGATTCCACGATATCCTCTAGGCTCTTCTGATGCATCGTGTTGATTTCCGACTCCCCTCTCTTATGCCCCGCCGTTCCCTTTTCTCCGGTCCATCCCGTCGAAGAGAGCGGCGAATACCTACGCGAATACATGCCAAGTATGATGCCAGCCACTCCTACTAGTGGTCCGGCCAACCTTAGCACCGTACCGCCATAGAGTACCAAAGCCCAGAAGGCAGCTAGGAAAAGAAAGCTTTCCCATGGATCGCCCGTTGTCCATGACAGCAAGCCGGCGAGCTTGTTCAGCGGCAGCAGGAAGGGATGCGAGTAGGCGAGTGCGCGGGTAACTTGCGGGGGCGTCGCAACCAGTAGAGGCGATTTTTGATGTACTAGGATCGTGGAGCGTTGTTTGGTGACGGCCGGATAGTGGCCCAGAGTACTCGGAGAAAAGGCAGCGAAGGTGGGCGGGTTTGGATCTCCGGTTGCCTGAGGAGACCCCTCCTTGGGATTTGAAGATTGGGACATCTGAGTTGTCCAGGGAGTATCTGCAGGTTACATTAGAAGGCTGGCGCCATCAAGGTGTTCATGTTGGGGGAATACTTGCCAAGTGCGGCCATTCATGTGGAGGTTCACGGCGTCATAACCGCCGAGGCAATTGCTGCTGCGCGGGTTTCTTGCTTGCGATGAGACAGCAGCTGCCGCGTGCAAAGCTGCCAACGGGGCAGGTCTTAAACAAAAAAGCACGAGGTCTACACCGCGGTATATGCTGTCTTTGAGCGCGCTCGTGATTGGGCTGAGTGATGACAGCCCATGTGATTGAGAGATTCTGGCTGTCGGTGAAGGTGAAGGTGACTTCAACGGTCCAGGTACTGCGAGGAGCAATGCTCCAACGCATATTGAATGGCAGACCTGCTCATCGCTGAATTAAACAGCAGTGAGTGCACTGTCTTCAATTCTTCACCTTTCGTCGTGTACCCCGGCTGGGATCCGGCTCGCGTCACGTGCTGTCTCGGAAGTCTCGATCCATCACCGTCAACCGAGATTCACCGTGAAGCGATACTTATGCGGAGTAGAAGAAGAGACCCAGCTAAGATATATAGAGTCTATATATACTCTAAGACTTTTTTATCTAGAGCTAGAACTCGGGCTAGGAGCTGGACAAGAAGTACTCTAGTAGGGACTACTTATATCGTCTTTTATCTCGCTGTATGGTGGATCTTGGTTCACGATGACGGACGTTACTTTTGGCCCGAAAGACGAGAGGCCAGTCATGAGTTATGTGCAACACCTATATATTGATTGAGAGTAAAACCATTGTTCGGAGCATTTACTTGGATTGGAAAGTCGAGCTTGCTGCGGGTCAAACCTACTCAAGCCTACTAGCAGTCTCCTCAGGCCTGCCTATTGCTCTGTATTCAAACCGGTCCAAGGACCGTCCCATTCCCCCCGCCTGCCGGTTCGCTGCAAGCATGATGGTTGCACGTGCCTGCCGAAAGTGACATAATCGAGGATTTGCACGCGGCAACTTTATTTTCCTGCTGCAACATCGCGACACCGCCGCACCGCAATCTCCCCCCACCTCCAGCGGGCCTACGAGCGGCCACAATCGCGCCGAACAGCACGCACGCATCAACGTAACTTTCGTGCTTTGCTCACCAAGTTTGCGCGCGTCGCAGTCATGTCAAGCTATCGCCCCAGTTACAGTAACACTCGCGACGATGCTCGCGCGTCGCGAAGGCCTCGCAGGTCTCCACCCCGTCGCTCACCCGACGTGTACCGCTTCGGGGGAGATAACTACCGTCCTGGATCTTACAATGATCGGGATGCTGATCGCGGCGGACGTGACAGCGATCGTCGGGGCGACTTCACCTTCCGCGCAGAGAACGAAGGGCCGCGATTCCCTCCTGCGGACATGCGCCGTATAGGGCCGCAGAATCGTGCCGACCAGAGGAGGCCACGACAACAAGCACGCCGCGGTGGTCGGCCGGGCCCTTGGAAGCCTCTTGCAGCCAACGCGCGACCGATCTTGCGAACCAACCGAGAACCTACACCCGAGCAGCTGGAGGGCATGAACGACGGGCACAAAAGATTCATATCTCTTGATGACGTCTCTGACTCGGAAGCCGAAATGGACCTTGGCTCTGAGGCCGAGGAAGAGCAGGCTGCCCCTGAGGGCCAACCGCCAACGAAAAAGTCTCGAGCAGACGCGTCCGATAAAGCTGACGGCGATGCTGCCCCTCGCTGGTCAAATCCTGACCCTTATACTGTTCTCCCTCCTCCAGATGAATCGCAGACGAAGAAGCGCGATGTTGTGAAGATGATTCGAAAGGCAAAAGTAGCTGCTGAACAGGAGGCCCCTCCTAAGAGCCCTGTCGCCCAGAATGCTGATTTCATCTCACTCAACTTCGATGATGAGCCGCAAGATGAAGAAAATGACCGATCGAGCGAAGGTTCCGATAACGAGGACAGTTCCAAGGATGTGCGAGGCACAAGCGGGACATCCTTCAGCCATCTTGACCATCTTCACCCCAACCGCTCGACGCTACCCCCGAAGCCTGCATCGTCGGAAAACACGGTTCCTCAGGATTCTTCAACATCGTTCAATGCAGCATCTCTTGGACCTCCGCCGTCGCTCCCACAATTGCCTCCTTTGCCGTATTCCGTGGCCGGACTAGACGTGTGGCCACCGCCGCCTCCACCGCCGCCTGCGCCTATGAATGCAAAGGGACAAAAGAAAGATTTATATCTCGAAGACCTCGATGACCTGAAGCCGTTGCCACCACTGCCTCCTCAAGGAAGAAAACGTAAGCGTGGTGAAGTCATAGATGGTGGCATTGTTGAGAGTTGGATCCCGCGTGATCGTGCTTCGTCGACACCGTGGTGTACGATAGATCATTCAGGAACGGAGAACATGGGGTACTGGTAAGTTGCGCCGCGCCATACTAAAGGCGCTTAGCAAGCTAATATTGTGAGCAGGTTACACAAAGAGATTGCCGACTTCTATGACTTTGTCAGGCCTCACGCTTTTGAAGACGCTATGCGCGATGATCTTGTTCGACGTATCTCTGATGCTCTCACGCAGAAGTTTTACAACGGACGCCTACATTGTTTTGGATCCTTTGCCGCAGGCCTGTATCTCCCAACCGCTGACATGGACCTTGTTTTTATATCGGATGATTTTCGTCGATCTGGTCGTTCTTCATTCGCCAACAAGGGTATGCTCTACAAAGTGTCTAGTATCTTGGAGAAGACAGGGATCTCCCAACCAGGAGCTACTGAGGTTGTTTCGGGCGCTCGTGTTCCGATCATCAAGCTGGTAGACCGCATAACAGGCTTGAAAGTTGACATCTCATTCGAAAACACCAGTGGCATTGTCGCAAATGAGACATTCCAGCAGTGGAAGGTACAATATCCTGCGATGCCTATTCTTGCAACTCTTATCAAGCAATTTCTGGCTATGAGAGGATTGAACGAAGTTTTCACTGGTGGTTTAGGAGGCTTCTCCGTCATCTGCATGGCTGTCAGCCTCATTCACCACTTACCCGCTCGTCAGAGCGGCAACATGTTGCCTGAACACAACCTTGGCGAACTCTTGTTGGAGTTTCTGGACCTTTATGGCAACAAGTTCAACATCCACAACACGAGGATCTGTCTCAGGCCGCACAGATATGAAGTGAAGGTTAGTATTGCAAATCTTATCAGAGATGGCTACGACCAACACTGGTCACCCAAGCGATCCTTGAGAGAATTCGTCATAACCGAGCTTTGACGCTTGCCCCCTTGTTAAACTCAAGCCCTTACCCAACCCAACAAGACCTTTATTCTAGAAGGATATTTACTGACAGGTGACATTGCAGGGTGCGGTGGCCTTGAATGGCAAGCCCGAAAGACTGGATCGATTGTCAATCATTGACCCCAATACACCTCACAACGACATATCAGCGGGCTCCCACAACATCGTACTGATTCGTCGTTGTTTCTCCGAGGCTTACACGTCTCTCCAGAAGCGGATCGCTGTGCTTCAAAACAGCGAGCGTTCGGAACGCCAATCCAGCAGTATCCTTGGTGCAATCTTTGCTGGCGATTACTCCAGCTTTGACGTGCAACGCCGCCGTCTAAGGCGGATTTATGAAGACCGGCAAAGGTGAGAGCCGGACGATGGCACAAGCACTACCAGTTATCTGTTCTGGTTAATCAAGCTTTAGACAAGCAAACTTAGCTCTTCCCAGAGCAAACATTCAACAATCGACAACGATTACGTAAAGCGGATCCATGCAGCAACAGCTTTAAGACTTAGCACCATACCAGTTGTGGCCTCGTTCCATAACTTTGTAACGTGTCATATGATAAGAATGGCTTGAGAACACAGAGAGCTAGAATTCCCATTATTTACGCGGGTTGCTGAGACCAAGACGCACCCTACGAGAAGCCTGGATCCGCTCTACTTCAGCGATGTCTGGCGTTGACTAAACAGCATGCGCAGTCCGACGACTGATATTAAGGGTTATGATGGTATGCAGCATGCTCATCCAGCTTTCTTTTGCACTGATGGGGAGGAATAGCGTTCACAGCAGTTCTACGAACGCCTTTGCTCGTGAATCACACCAGCATGGTGGGTGGTATCTACTTAAGGCTTTCTATGGCGGCGGGGCACAGAGGTGAAGGAGTTGCCTTGACCTCTGAGTAATTATTAAAGCTATAACGATACTGTATTAGGACATACACGGTCATTAAGCTCGCCGGGACGAGCACACCGATTACGCGTATAACGCAGCGGCTCTCCAACAGGACTCGTCCCGGATCTTGCTCTCATAAAAATCGAGTTTTCTTTGGTCCCCTGTTTCCTTGCACTAGTTCATGTAGTCTTTAGGCGAATTTGCCTCTGCGGCTGACCAAGGCGGCGATATAGGACTTTCGCCCAAGATTTTCCGGCAACTGCTGGACCTTTTCTCATCGCTGCACGCGCTATAAGCGGGTCTTTGAAGAGGGAAGAGCGACTGAGTCGCTGGATGCGGGAGTCGTCACTACGCTCCGGTCCTGTTGCCTGGATGCAAGGAATGTCGACGTGCGCACCCGAAATATCGTTTCAGTCTCGGATTCCAGTCATTTCTCAGGCCCGTTTCCGTCAATCCATTGCCCAGTCAGGTGCTCACGCGTCGGATGGCGCGTCGCAAGATTGCGCGCCCGTGGGCGGACCCCTGTCCCCTGCCACACGCGTCCAATAGCAGCGTGCCCAGCCATGCCTTTTGCAACCCAATTGCAGCTCTGCGTCACAGTGTCCACACAAGCCAACATGGGTCGAGCGCTTGGCATATTGGCTGCCAGCGCCTACTTAACCAAGCTTGCCAGCCCACTCGCCATGCGCTCCTCACGCTTTCCCGTCGCAAGTCTCAGAGCCGGCCGAATCCAGCGCCAGGATCACCCGATTCTAGCAAAGAACTTCAGATCCGCCTTTCCTCTGGAGGGGAGTTCTGATGCTCTTCCGAAGCTCCTGATGCCCAAGCCAGCGTCAAACTAACCCTTACGCTCATTACCATACCTTCTTCTGTCGCTCGCGTTAAACGGTCTCTTTCCGCCGTCGCAAACATGTTCAAACGATCGTTCGCCTCGAAGGATCGCGCGGGCAAGACAACTAAACCGCAGAAGAGATCGTTTCGCGAGGAAACCAAGCAGAAGATGCTCGACAAGCTGGACAGTCCGGCGTCTGTGGGAGGGTCCGTTTGTCCAATGCCTCGCAAGGCTGCCTGCTTCATTCCGTTGCATATGACCTTCAGCTGACACGTGAAATCCATAGAACCTCTCCCAGCCTCACCAGTGCCATCATCACTCTGGCGATTGGACCAGACCAACGACTGTTCGCTGCCCACGAAGACGTACTGTGCCACTCGCCGTTCTTTTCGGCGGCGCTGCGGGGCCAGTTCTTCGAGACAAACAACTCTCGACGCATCAACCTGCCAGACGAAGAACCGGAGATCTTCTCTTGCGTCCTCGAGTACCTCTACAAGGGCGACTACTACCCTCGCCTCATCATCGACAAGAGGCGCCATGCCTGGAAACTCGAGGGCGCGGTCGAGACTCCGGACCCCCAGAACCCTAACAAAACCGGTGGTCGCGGCAGCAGCCAGCCGACAATCTTTCACGCTGGCGTGGGCGACGTCATTCTCCGTGACACGGCCGTGTACTGTGCCGGAGAGCGGTACGGCCTCGAGGAGCTCAAGAAGCTGGCACTGCGCAAGCAGGGCCTGCAGACGGGTATCGAGGTCAGCACCATTCTGCGCAGTGCGCGATACGCCTACGAGAACACGCCTGACAGTGACTCGCGGCTCCGCGCTCACTACTTGGCTCTGATCATCCGCAGTCGGCGCACGTTCAAGCGCAGCGGTACGATGCAGACAGAGATGGAAATTGGCGGCAAAATGTTCTTTGATCTCTTCGTGGCCATGTGCAACCACATTGATGACATTGTGGAGATGAGGTTAGTCGTTATTATTTTCTTTCTCAACCCCTCCTCCTTTCTGTCTCTACTAATGATCCTGTCTCCTGCATCCGCTCAAGGAGCGTTACTGATAAATGCTATTCTGCAGTAACGGCAAATCTTCCAAGGCAGTCTAACTGGTTCACATGTCACCACGAAATAGATATCGGCAACGCTCGGGATGAACAAGATTGAGGAAAACAACACCCCACTCAAAAGCTCGCATCGACAAACCAAATTGCTCACCGAATCCACGATGCAGTGCACCGGACAGGAAAGGAGTTCTAGGTCGACATTTTTATGCACCCTCTCCTTCTCTGGTAACACCAATCGACCAAAAAAAAAAAAAAATCCCCCCAACTCAGTTAATCACCAACCCCACTCGAACGCTGCCCTTAGGAGTTTTTGCTTTTCAACGCTCCTTCCTCCCTCCACTATCAACCCGTAGTGCTGCTCCCTGAGCCACTCATGGTTGATGTCGGCGGGGACGAAGGGAAACAATTCGAATCGCACAGCCTCGACGGCTCGATTTCCTTTGTTTCAGTTGACCGACGCCGCTGCTACCCGCCTTCCTTTAATGGTTCGGCAAACAGAGCAACAACCGCCGGGAAAATTTCCCAATTCTCCTCTTTCCCCTTTATCTGTCTTTATCGTGTCGTTGCAGACGCGCACCACCTGCGTCGCTTTCCCCCGCGGATAAGTGCGTGAAGGGCATGGACTTAGTAACGTGCTGGCCCGGGGTCGGCGCGGCTGCGGTGGAAACGCGCGTGTCCTGCTTGGGCCTTGGGCGTGCTTTGATGATGCCTGGATCTGTATTGGTAGTCGGAGCCGGTAATGAGAGATTCGGCCACCGCTAAAGCTTGTGCCTTGTGAATATATGCGTGTATATGTTTGAGACTGAATGATCCCATTACGGGTTGTGAATTCACGACCCCCCTCCCCCGCTAGCGCCGTTAGAGCCTATGCTTACTTGTAATATTGGTATGGAATAGAAGAAGAGAATCAGTTATGATACATAGAATCTATGTGTGCTCTAAAACTATTTCATCCATATCCGAGACTAAGGCTAGGAGCTAGGCAAGGTATACTCTGTAGAGACTGCTTGTATCGTCCTCTGTCTTAGCAAGGTGCACTCCATAGGGACTGCTTGTATCGTCACCTGTCTTGCTAAGCTGTGGATCTCAGTTCCCGGTGAAAGACGTTATGTAACCAGAAAAGGCGTCTTGGCAGCCTGTAAGATAGTGGCCGGCGACATGCGAAGGGATAGGCCAGATATCTCAGGCATACCCTAACAGACATGCACTCACGTTCATGAGTAGGTCCGTACGAGAAGCAAGCAGAGGGACGATGCTGCTTGTCCTTCCGGACGAGACGAAGCAGAAACAAACAATCACCCAACATGCGCCACACCCGCCGCTACGCGCACAAGCACAAGCACGGGCAGGCACCGGCACAGACGACGGCTTTTTCTTTCTCCTTCCCCGCGCGGGGCAGCAGCAGCAACGAAGGGGCAGTCAGACAGACGGTAGGTAAACCTCAAGCAAGCCAAAATAAAAAAGAAACCCTGATTACTATGCACGCACGTGTGATGATGACCCAACGCCCGTGAAAGTCCCGTAACTCCTCGCACGCCTTGAGCGCCTCGGCCTTGCTCTCGAGGAGGAGGGACGAGAGAGAGGATAAAGTACCTAGGTAGATCGACACGCGAGCACGTGAGCGCGCGGGCGCGGGGAGAGCTCTGTCCCCGAAAGAGCAGGCGCGCGGGCGCGCTTGCTTCCTGCCTGCCTCTTACGAAATCCTCTGTCTCCCTCCCCCTCTCCCTTCGCTCTCCCTTCTTCCCCCCCTCTCTCTTTCTCTCTCTCCATTTCCCCTACTTCCCCACTTCTGCGATCTCCTCTTTCCTGTATGAATGAGTATTGGGCCGTTATATCTTTCTGCACAAAAAAATCCCTTGGCATCGCGTCTTCCTTTCAATAAAGACGTCTCAAGCCAACCCTAATCACCATAGCCATAACCACCGCAACCGCCGTTGCCAAGGTGCCGCTCTGTCGTGGGTGCTCTGGCCATGCAAGAATGCTAAAGAATGATGATGATGATGTTGATGATGATGATGCCGCCGCCCTCCGTGAATGCCTTCTTCGCTTCTTTTGCGATGGTATGGTCGGTTCGAAACCAGAAAAAAATGATGTGGTATAATCTTGGATGTGGAGAAAAATGTGTGTTGAATTGGCAATAATGCAAGTCTTCCGAAAGATTCGAAGTAGAGAAGATCCAAAGACGTCAAAATGTGGTCGGACCTGTCGAGCACCGGCGGATGTGCCTCGACAAGCTCCGGGATATCGGATCGAAGATATATGATACCGGGAGAGAATGCGGAACATTCTACAGCAGCCGTTTTCTCTTCAGGTTTTCTGGCTGTTCGTCCTCCTCCGCCCGTTCCGCTGTGTCTGCCGGGTTCAGCAAAGAATGCACATTCGACGCCATGCTAGAACGACGCGTCGGCGGAGCTGATGTGTCAATGCCACGGAAAGGAAACCGAGCACCGGGAAGCGTCCAGCCGGCATCAGGGCTCAGGTGCGGGCCCGGATCACCACCAGGAGGCGTGCCTTGTCGAGACCCACCCGCGCGAGGGCCGCGACTGATCTCGTACTGGGCAAGGGCGTTTCGTAGCTCCTGGTCGCCACCAAGGGGTGCTCGGTGCGGGGATGAGGGCCACTGCGTCGAGTTTTGACCGGATGCATAAGGCGAGTGTGCCTGAGGCGCGCCTTGCCAGCCGTGCAACCGTATGTCGGCGGAGGTGTGCCGCCTTGAGAGGTTAGGCGGTTGCGGAGGCGAATGAACTGTCGCAAGTGGGTGTTGTATTTGAGGAGGTGGCGGCGGAGGCGCTTGAGTCTGTACAGGTGGGCGAATTGATGAGGGCGAATAGCCTCCTTGGCTAATGGAGCCGTACGGACGCCGCGGCGAGACGACCGATAAGTGCGATGGTACAGCCCTGTAGGATGGCGGCCGGCCAGCATCAGCCAATGACGGCCGCCGTGAATCGTTTTGTGCCAGTTGGCGAGGAGAAGCAGGAGCCATGCTGTCGGTTTGGAGGTTCGAAAAATAGGGCTGAGGCCGCGCCGCCGGCATAGGTTCTTGCTGCTCTTCCATAGTTCTCAACATGTCTGACTGTCTGGCGATGTCACTTTGCATGGTGTGTACTGTTGTTGTTGTCAGCATGTTTCATGTAGCCTCTGGCCCGAAAACGTGTCTTACCTTCTTTGTGGAGCGGGTGGTCCGGGTCGGGTACCATGGTCTTGATGCAATTGGAGAGTTCATAATTCCACTGAGACAGTTAGCGTTGGACTCGACACCTTTGGCGAAATTAACGTACCTGGTGACAGCGCATAAGACTTTCCAACAGGACATGACACTTTTGATTTACATATGCGTTACTGTCTTCTGTGCGCGCGAGCCGGTTATGAACGTCATAAAGACTGTGCTCGAGGATGTTGAGACGTGTCTCAACTGGATCCGGCATTGGCTCTACTGGTGCACCCGGTGGAGGCGCATTGACCTTGGGGCCTGTTGAGAAGGAGTCGCGGTGGATGAGCGCGTGTCTCGAGGCTCTTCGCTTGATTTCCCTCAGACCAACGAGGTCTCCGCGTTTAAAGTTCCCGTTGCCGTGCTTAAACTCCCACAAAGGAGAGTCTGGTGAGCCAGTATGAAACACATCGCTCACTGTATAAAAGTGAGCGGTGGAAATGCAGTGCTGGTTTCAAACGGCCTACCTTTATGGAAACCATACATGTTGAGTTGCCTTACAAACGACGAAATATTTGTGTGCTTGAAATAGGAACTTGAAAAAAACGTCAGATTCGGCGCTATTGATTTTTTCTTTCTTTCTAAGTGTTCGTTGTACACTTACGACAGGACTTTTGAGAATTCGTTAGAGGGGGACATTACAAAGCTCTCGTTTGTGCTCGACCAAGAAATCAAATGTTGGATAGATTGGTCCTCCAACATGCTAGAAGCTAGTCAGCTCATGTCTTGCATCCGGGGCGCTGCGTCTGGCGTACTTGTAAAGCTTGTGAATGAAAGCCGTCTGCACGACCTTTGGCTGCTGCGCTGCAGCTGCCGCGCCAATTCCAGGCCCACTGTTCCCATTAGTGGCAGTGTTGTTGTTGTTGTTGTTGTTGTTGTTGTTGTTGTTGTTGTTGGTGTTGGCGGCGTTGGCGTTGGCGTTGGTATTGCTCTTGTGCTCGGACTCGACGCTCGACTGTTGGTTTGCAGCGCCGCGGTCGGCCGACGGGCTATTCTGCGATGGCGGGCCCATGGTGTGGTGGCCCGAAGGCGTGACGTCCATAGGGTCGCCTTGTTGTGCGGGCGGAGTCAACGAAGACGAGGCGGACGAAGATGGTAGGATGGGTATGGACTTGTGCATACCCGACGTGATGATGGAATCGGTGAAAGGGCTGCGCCGGATGGATTCGGTGCTCGAGGCCATGGTTTCGCGCACAGCAAAGCGGCGCCGGATTCAGACGTCTCTCTCAGATATCATCCGGCTCTTTTTGGACCTAAGAATATGCAGGCGGGTCTCGGGCGCCGGGGCTCAGAGCATTGTAGGGCGGCGGTAATGCGCGCGACGGGGCGGGAGTGGACAGGAGGGTTTTTCGACGGGTGGAGGTGGAGGTCCGAGTGAATCTAGGGTCCCAGGGATAATAAGGGTCAATTGGATTTTTGCGGGGACGGCAAGCTCAAGGCAAGAGGGGAGGAGTCGAGGGCGCCGGCGGAGGGAGCGGCAAAGGGCTGCGGATCTAGGAGAGCATGGCACGCAACCGCGGAGCACAAGAGGCAAGTCAAGGCGCGCGAAAAAGGTGGTGATGGAGGGTTGCGATGGAAAGCAACCGAGGCCTTAAGGTGGAGCTCTAAGCTCCCTCCAGGCAGGCCAGGGGCCACTATACTGGGTACGTACAACCGCCTTCCAGTCTCCTCGCTCGGCTGTCGCTGGCCGTTCCCCGGCTGCCGATCGCCTAGGTATGCGACATTTCAACGGCCGCTGCTAAAGTACGACAGAGTTCCAGAAAGCCCGCCGCCGATCAGCCATGGCCAGCCTGGCCCAAACCTTCGACCAACTATGCGCGCCCGCCCGCCGCGTAGCGTAAGCCCCCTCCGACTCCTCCCCTGCCCGCTCTCTCTCCATCCCACCGCTAACCTTCCCGGCCCCCAGCCTGACCGGTATTGTGGAGAGGCTGACCGCCGCGGAATGGAGACAGCTGGCCCTCGCTGTGCATACCCACGACTTCCGCTTCGACCTGATCGCCCGCCTACCCGTCGAGCTGGTCGCCGCCGTCTTCGTCCACCTCCCCGTGCACGCCATGTTCCTGTATGCGCGCGTGTCCCGCCGCTGGAGAGTCCTGTTGTCATCTGAGCATGTGCGCCACTGTTGCCTGGCGCAGTGGTATTCCGATCGCGACCCGATGCTGCATTGCCAGTCTGCCAACATCCATGACCGAGACGCTCTCAAGGCCAAACATGTCAAGTGTTTCGAAGAAGCCCGGCCCTACTCACTGCGAAGGTACAATGCGCCTTGGAGCGAACGTCGTTTCGACGACCATATGCCTTTCGAATTCTGCCGCGAGACAATTGCCTGGCTCGAGGACGCGCATGACCCTCGCTCTATCATGATATACAGCTTGCGAACAGCTGCCACTACCAAGGTAGCCGGTGACGCTCGGGAGCGGATCACCCGGCTCAAACTGACTGACAGGCTTCTCGCTTTTCTTACTGCCTCTGGGTAAGTCTGTGTCCATACATGCAGGCTCTACCTGTTGTGCCAACGTGTTGGCAGAAGCAAGTTCGAATGCGGCTCGACGTGCTTCCCGCGTGACTTTGTTCATTCCAGACCACACAAGAGACTCCGCAAAGGCCCTTACCTATGACTACCAGAAGCGCAAGATGGTTCGAACTGGAACGTCTGGATGCATGCTGATTGACACCTCACTGTAGAGTCTGCTATGTTTACGACCTCGATTCCAAACTAAAAACGCACTTCCGATGTCACAACGCTAGCATAGAAGAAATTACAGGAAGTGGTAGAACCATCGCTATCAGAATGCGCGGCATAGATAGCACCGCAGGAGCTGTTTACACATGGAACGCCATCGAACGATTCACTCGATGTTGGGAACCCCAGCCTGAAAGAAGGTAAGCTTCATTCTATACTTGCGGAAGTTGCGCAGCCCGACTTCATACAGTCAAACCTGGTTACAATTGTTTTGAGCCTGTCAGCGACTTTCAACTCTTAACAGTGTTCATCGGGTAACGTCCGTCACCGTGAAGCGAGATGGTGATACGCGTACGGAGTAGGAGAAGAGACCCAGTTAAGGTATGTAGAGTCTGTGCATGGTCTAAGAGCTTTTCACCTATAACCAGAACTCGAGCTGGGAGCTGGGCAAGGAGTACTCTGTAGGGATTGCTTGTATCGTTCCCTGTCTCGCTATACGGTGGACTCCGTTCGCGGTGAATCTCGCTTCACGGCGACGGACGTTACCTTCGCCGTTATAACGAGGGAAACGTCGTGAATAGTCAACGCTAGCCTTAAGAGTTGGAAGCTACTGACCAGCTGTTGTTGTAACCAGGTTTGACTGTCACGGTAAACCCTGCTAACATTCGATATGAAGGAATCAATGTATGATAGTCGACGAACAAACAAAGTCGATTGTTATCCTCGCCGTAAGTGAAACTCTGAAATCTAGCCGCTTCACAGCCAAGCGCTACACACTCGACGGGGCGCTCTTATCCGAGCACTTTTCCGACGTGTGCGTCAACGCCGACTTTAAATTCACCGACTCCCTGGTTGCAGAGCCCATGGACTACAACAGTCGACTGTATCATTTAAGAGACCGCAATCTTTCGGGATCGGACAGATGGAGCACCTCTGGTGTAAAGATGTGTTCAGTCGTGTTTGACAATCAAGCCAACAAATTCATCTTGTCGGCTGAGCCGTCCATGTGGCTTGAAGGAAAACCGGCGAAGACATTCAGATGGAAGACGGTAGTCTATTTCATCTCACGGCAATATGGGCTGGCAACGTACGAAAGTTGGAGAAAGAATGAGTCTAGGAGTAATGGCGGGGAATCTTTCCCTGATGATAAAGGGCGGCGGCTTTTGTTTACGACTGCGCCCGCTACATACCCGGGTTACAAGGTTCTCAGAGGGAACGAGCAGTTTGTTGTGGAGTTCGCGCGGAAGTCTTTAATGGTTTGGTGCTTTGACCGAGGCGTTGAATTGCCCGCGAGCAGTTTCGAGTAGTGCAGTCACGTGGGCGACGTGGCACTGATTCGTCGGAATCCCCCGAATGGCCGAGCCTGAGGCTGACGAACGACAGTTGTGGGGGATTTGACTGCCCGCCGATAAGCTGAATTTATTTTGCGACACAAGAATTTTGCCCTCAGGACTCTGCACTTCCGCTTGCCCGCATACAATCACCCGCCAAAATGGTCGAGAAGGTCTACGTTACCTACAACAAGGTCAGCCGCCTCTGGTCACGCAGCTGCGACATGCTGGCAGGGTTTTGGAGCAAGTAATTGGCTCGTTCCTGCCTCGCGCCGCCGTCACACCATGCCTTTGCGCCTCGCACTGAACTGACTGGTGTTGTTTGTCGCAGGTCCACAAGCTGTGCCAGCAGTCGGCCGACCAGATCCTCAATGAATTCAAGCCCAACCTCATGATCGCCATCGGTGGCGGCGGCTACGTGCCTGCCCGCATCCTGCGCTCCTTCCTCAAGAAGCCCGGCAACCCCAACATCCCCATCCAGGCCATCGGTCTGTCGCTCTACGAGTCGCTCGGCACCGATGGCGACGTCGAGGCCCCCGGCACCAAGGTGACGCGCACCCAATGGCTGGACCTGTCGAGCCTGGAGATGGCCAACCTGATCGGCAAGAACGTGCTGATCGTCGACGAGGTCGACGACACGCGCACCACGCTTGAGTACGCCGTCAAGGAGCTGGAGAAGGACGTCGAGGAGGCCACCAAGAAACTCGGCCGTAGCGGCGAGAAGACGACGTTCAGCATCTTCGTCCTGCACAACAAAGACAAGGCCAAGAAGGGCACGCTCCCCGCGGACCTGATGGACAGCGGCAAGTACATCGCCGCTGAGACCGTTGGCGACATCTGGATATGCTATCCTTGGGAGGCCATGTAAGTTCCCCGCAACAGCCAAACCTGGACTATTTTTTTTTTGGAGGGTGACAATTAGCTAACTGGTTGCACGCAGGGACATCGACGAGCATGACCGTCTGGCCGCTGAGGCGGACAAGAAGGCTTAAGCTTCGTAAAGAACAGCAAGCCAAAATGTGTCATAATTTCCGGCGTTGGGGACACGATTTAATGGGTGGGCATGGATGATGCATAGAGATATCAGGTTTACGGCCATAGAGCTGCAGACTAGAGTTGAGGGTACCGTTTACACGTTTTCTATGCCACTGTTCCTGGATGGAGGTCGGTACGCCTAGGCGATGTGTCTGGAAATCTTTTTTGAGAATGCGCTTGCGCGAGAAGGGTTTGGAGAGTATGGAAGACAGGTAGACAGGTTGGGAGTCGAGACCATTTCCTTGTCCTAGATCTCAAAAGTACATACCATTTCCCTGCTTTGGCGTCTCAAGGGGTATCGAATGTAAAACACAATCGTACTTGTAGAGTGCCATCGAGGCAAAGCGAGAACGGCCGTTCAAACTCCCCTCAGCAATATCCACCACCAGACGACACGATCATGCTTGTACGGAGTGTAATCGAAACCTAGTCAAGATATATGTCATGCGTGCATTCTAAGACCCTTTCACTCCTATCCAAAACCCAGGCCTGTAGCTAGACAAGGAGTATTCCATAGGGACTGCCCATATCATTCTTATGTCGCTGGGCGGTGAATCTTCTTCGACGATGAGGGACGTTACGAGCAACGGACGCTCTTAGCCTTCTCGTACCACCGAACCATCTGGTCCATTACCCCCGCAAATGCAGCCTCCCCTCTCTCAAGACCCAAAGAGCCATGTCTTCGTCAAAGAAACGACTGACGTTCCAACAGACTCCAACCATCCTCAAGCTTCCCCAAGCTCCCACTCAAAAACGTACTGCTCCGCAAACTCGCCCCTATACCAATCCATCAGCGCCGCAAACTCGTTCTTCAGTTCCGCCTCACCGCGATCCTGCACCATCGCCAGACCCGTGTCCAGTCCATCCCACTGTTTTTCCAGTAACATACCACTCGCACACACCTCGTCCCCCTCATCAATCACCTCCGCCTCCGCCTCCGCGTCCTTCTCCACCTCCACAACCTCTCCCACCTCCGTCTCCACACCCGCAACCATTCTCTCTTCCACTTTCCTTTCCACACCCACAACATCACTCCTTCCCCACCTCCCACACCTCCTCACCCGCTTGTCTTCCTGCCTCCCACCACCGCAACCCCGTCCGCACGCCCGCCCCGGCACATACTCGTACTCGTTCACGCCGGCCGCGCACGGGTTCGGCGGCTCCCATGCCTGCCGCGCAACGGCGTCGCAGTAGCGCGTGCGCAGCGCGGCCATGTGGCCGCAGTGCGGGCAGAGGCCGACGAGGACGAAGCACATGTTTGCGGGGGCTGCGGGGTCGTTTGTTTGTTTTTGGTTGGTTGGTTGGTTGAGGAGGGAAGGAAGGACCCAGGGAGCGAGACTGGGTTGGCGGCTGAAGATGCTGTGAGGCCGGATGTCGAGTCTGGGCGCGTTGCATTCGGGACTGGATGGATGTCTCTTCGTTCGGAGCCCGTGTCTTGGTTGGGCTGTGCTGTCAGTTAGAAACCAGCTGCGATGTGGACTTCTCTTAGCATTATGTAGGACGGACGGGTATGTTTGATTGTCTTTTGGATTTTCGAAAACGCTTGGGCTGTGACGTGGACTCAAGCGCAGCTACCTCACCTCGTTTGCTCGCAGCGTAGGTTGCTTGTCTTCCACGTATCGTATCATCACTCCAAGTTTGTGGCAAGCGTGGGGATTGCCGTTGCTTTCGTCTTCTCGTAGCTACACCTACGGCTTCTGCATCCGGGACTTGCTGGAAAATAGAACGCATGAAGCCAATCTCGCGAACGCTCGTCACAGAATAAAGGCGACCAAGGTTCATCGTACGCCACAGATGATTCAGTAGGTATCCTAAGTACAGTGTGAGAGGGTTATGATGGTCGGAGTTTCGGAGTAATTGGGAGGTAGGCGGATCAGCCGCAACGCTAGAAATACAATTTTTCCCGCGCCGCAATAAAGTCAATGAATCGAGATTCTAGATTTAACGTTTGAAAGGAAAAAGACGCGCAGAAGAGTAAAAAGAACACCCGTCAACCATGATTTGGTTTTCTTACACACGCAGCAGCTTGGCGGCGTAGTCGACAACCAGCTGCTCAGTAGGGAAGGCCATCTCCTCCAGCTTCTGCGCATAGGGAGTGGGCACCTCAGCACCAGTGACACGGACGGGAGGAGCGTGGAGGTAGTCGAAGGCGTACTCGCAGGTCAGAGCAAGGATCTCAGAGCTGACACCGTACGAGGGGAAACCGGACTCGAGAGCCATCAAGTGGCCAGTCTTCTTCACGGACTTTACGATGGCCTCAACGTCCAGGGGCTTGACGGAACGGAGGTTAATAACCTCGGCCTCGACGCCGTACTTCTGCTTCAGCTGCTCAGCGGCAACCAGAGCCTGGCCAACGCAGCGGGAGAGGGTGACAATGGTAAGGTCCTTGCCGGGGCGCTCAATCTTAGCCTTGCCGAACTGTAAAGGCATTAGTTTGGACGTCTATTGATACAAATGACAAGACTTACGGGAATGACAAAGTCATCCTTCTGGGCCTCCTCGCTCATGGGGAAGGACAGACCGTACAGCAGCCTAACTTGAGGTCAGCAAAACCGCATTGCGTCCTTAGACCGGAAACACGTACTCGTTCTCCAGGACAACGACCGGGTTGGGGTCGCGGATGGCAGCCTTCATCAGACCCTTCGCATCCTCGGCGCTGTAGGGCGAAACGACCTTGAGGCCGGGAATGCTGCCGTACCAGGCGGAGTAGTCCTGGGAGTGCTGAGCAGCGACACCGGCGGCGAAGCCGTTGGGACCGCGGAAGGTAATGTTGCAGGGCTGGATACCACCGGACATGTAGTGGGTCTTGGCGGCGGAGTTGATGATTTGGTCAATGGCCTGCATGGCGAAGTTGAAGGTCATGAACTCGCACTATATCGAATTATCGTAAGCGGCTATACATGACGGAGGAGGGCGACGGCGCCTTACGACAGGGTGAAGGCCAGCGAGCGCGGCGCCAACGGTGAGACCACAGAAACCGGACTCGGTGATGGGAGTGTCAATGACACGCTTCTCGCCGAAGCGGTCGAGCAGACCCTTGGTGACCTTGTACCTGCACAGGAACAAGCTCCTGTTAGCATTGCTCATGTACTGCATCCAAGAAGGTCGCGAATCCACCACCCGCTGATCCATTTGCCGTCGCATCAGCACGGTGCAAGGGTACTTACGCTCCGTTGTACTGCGCAACCTCCTCGCCCATGACGAAGACCTTCTCGTTCCTCTCCATCTCCTCTACCATGGCCTCATTGAGGGCCTCGCGCACCGTCATCTCCTTGGTGCCGGTGGACTGGGCGTAGGTGCGCAGCGCCGCAGCAGGGCGGAAGGCGGAACGAGACACTGGGGCAGGGCGCGATGCCGCCATCAGGCGGGTGGCCGGACGGAATAGCCTGGAGGCGGACATGCTGGATCGCTTCGGTGGTGAGAGGGACGGGAGGTCGGAGAGAAATCTGATAGGGAGTGGTGGGCGGCTGCGGAGGAGAGACGAGCTCAGCTGTGTGGTGTTGAAGGATTATCGCGGCGGAAATTCTCCACTCGGAGTCCGGCGGTTGTTGGGAGCTGTTCCGCGACAAAACCGCCGCTACAGCCGTGTTGAGCTCCGCCGCAACGCTGCTGCGGATAATCGCGACACGCCGGCTTACCATCTAATTAATCTACGCCCCCAAACTCACGCCCTCATGTCTCTCTTTATACTTTAGCATCGCACGCTCTTAATCCGGCGTGCGCAGATACCCCGCCGGGGGTGCTCATCGGATTTGGCCAGACTAGCCGCTCCGATCTTGCAGCATCACCATCATCATCACCATCATCCATTCATGTGTAAGCAGAACAACCTCGTTGCTGACATCCATGCCAAGTTTTATTAGGAGCTGTATGTCAAATATATAACAAGGCCCAGCCCGAGCCGTACAGAAGAAAGGCATCTCATCTATGCGTACACAAGAAGTGATAAGAACATTTGCAGCGTGCAGACGATCGGTGGATACCCAAATCCCCTCCGATCAGTAACATCTCCCTTGATTCCTCAACACTTACGCGGCGGGCTTGCGGCCAACCATCAAGTACATGGGCGTGAACAACTTCTCCTGGCCACCGGCAACAAGGCAGTCGCCGGCAACGGCCAGCGAATCCGCCGTCTTCTGGGTGCCCTTGGGAGCCAGACCAATGTACTCCAGGGCACCGCAGAACCTGTGGGCAAGACCACGGCCAATCTTGGTCATCCTGAAAATGGTGGGGAACTCCCAGAGACTACCCATGTTCGAGTAGTCACCAGCCAGAGGCCAGTACCACGGCCTAGCATCGGGGCGGTCCGCCAGATCCTCGTTCAGCTCCAGCTCGAAACCGGCCGCCTTCATGGCCTGCAGGGCAACCTCGATCTTCTCCATGTTGGAGATACCATCACCAAGCTCAATGCCCAGACGAATCTCACGGTGGCGGGGGTTTTCGTTGTCGTACTTGTCGGTCATGAGCCACTCGTAGACACCGAAAACACCACCGGGCTTGAGAACACGGAAGATCTCAGAGTAGATGCCCTCTAGAGAAGGAGCGTGGACAGTCGCCTCGATAGCATAGACGGCATCGAAAGAGTTGTCAGGGAAGGTCATTTGCTACGAATTCGGTGGTTAGCAGGTGGGTTCATTGAGTTGCATTGGATTGTCTGACATACCATGAAGTCACCCTTGACGAAGCTCAGCTTATGCGACAGACCCTCCTTCTGGGCGTAGTGCGTTGCCCGGTCGATCTGGTAATCGTTGTTGTTGAGACCAACAATGTTGGCACCGGAGAACTTGGAGATCTCGCGGGCAGGACCACCGACACCACAGCCAACGTCCAGCACCCTCATGTTGTCACGAAGACCCATGACGTGGGCAAGGTAGTGCTCATGGCGGGCCAGGGCCTGCTTGAAAGGCTCATTCACAGCAAAACGACAGAAATGGAAGGACTGAGCCCATCCCATCTCATAGAGGTCGGTGGCCAGGTTGTAGTAGCTAGTGATGGTCAGCGAGAGGATGGAGTGATGTTGAGTGGTGTGACTTACTGTCTGGTGAGAGTGGCATACTCCTTCCGACGCGCCTCGCGAATCTCGGGCGTCTCGTCGACGGCGGCCTTGTTGTCCCAGTGCTTGAAGTACTCGTCGACAGCAGCTTCCTGGGCGCTGGAGTTCTTGTTCATCATGGCCCAAGTGCCTCCGCGCATCTGGCCGGACTTGCCATGGAGGGCCTCCTTGTACGCGAGATCGCGGTCCTTGTCTTCCTTCTCAAGAGCCATGGGTGCCATTTTGAAAGACGGGGGATGGACAGGTACTTATAGCACTGTAGAGCGGATAGGTGGTTCCGAGGAAAATTGACACGAAGCAGAGAGACAATCGGCTCGGATGTTAACGTGGAGAGAAGTGCGGAGTCTCGGAGAGAAAGGGTAGATAGGAGACCCGCTCTAGCTCTATAGAAATTCACTAGCAACCTAGTGGTCCCTGCCAAGAGAACTGCACGGGAGCCCCAGGCAAACTTGCCGAAGATCGCCACCTCTGCGCCACGACTTGTGGCTAATGCCCGGATGACAAAACCCCGTGTGGTGCGTGCATCCTATTCCATCCAACTCCAAGTCGTCGCAACTTATCCGAGCACCCGACACCCGCCACGCCCATATACACGCCGTCGCCCACCATGCCGCCGCAAATCAAGCAGGACCTCAACCGGTCCGGATGGGAGACCACCGACTTTCCCTCGGTCTGCGAACGATGCCTTCCCGACAACCCATACGTGCAGATGCTCAAGGAAGACCACGGTGCCGAGTGCAAGATCTGCACGCGACCCTTCACCATCTTCAGGTGGAAGGCTGACCGGACGTCGCGCCAGAAGCGCACAAGCATCTGCCTGACGTGTGCGCGCCTGAAGAACTGCTGCCAGTGCTGCATGCTGGACCTGTCATTCGGCCTGCCCATTACCATCAGAGATGCCGCCCTCAAAATGGTCGCCCCGGGTCCCAACAGCAGCATAAACCGGGAGTACTATGCACAGGAGCATGAGAAGGAGATTGAGGAGGGCAGAGGCGCGGTTGAGGAGTACGAGAAGACGGACGAGAAGGCCAGGGAGCTGTTGCGTCGCCTTGCCACCAGCGAACCCTACTACAAGAAACAGCGGAGGCTCGAGTTGGAAGGTGGAGAGAGTGGACAAAAAGCGCTGCCTGCACCGGAAGGAGCCAAGCATACACCTGGACCTGTTCGGACTCGGGATACGAGAGTTGCGCCCGCAGGCGCAAAACTTGCGGCTGGACGAGGCCCTGCCGGCCGCGGCAGAGGTGGACGAGGATTTGCGCAGCTCCCACCGCAGCCCCAAGACATCCTGCCTCCTGCCGACAAGAACATCACCTCTCTTTTTGTCACTGGCGTTGAGGATGACCTCCCCGAACACGAACTGCGGAGCTTCTTCTCGAAACATGGCCAGCTCCGATCTCTTATCTGCTCGCATAGATCTCACTGTGCATTTGTCAACTACGCCAAGAGGACGGATGCCGAGGCCGCCGCGGAAGCCTGCCAGGGCAAGGCGGTGGTTAAGGGTGTACCGCTCAGAGTACAATGGGGACGACCGAAGCCGCTGGACACTATGGATCGCGAGGAGCGCATTGCACACGCAAAGGCGGGGAGGCAGACAAGGGATGCTATTGCAACTTCTCATGGTGGAAAGGGTGCTATCAGTGCAGGACCCTCATCGGCAGCTGCAGCTGGTACGGATGACCTCGAAGACCTGAGTGCCATCGCACCACCGCCGGGTTCGGAGGATGTCAACTATGCTAGTCTGGCTGGTAACTAATGGCTATGAAAGGATAGCTGGAAGTGTTTTCTAGGAGGGCACGTATGTTCCGAGGCGGTCTCTCGGGCCGCGGGTGGGCCCTGGATTTCCATGAGGTATAGCGGAGCTATGGCTAGGAAACCGCTCATAGGTTGGAGTTTCGGCGTTAGGTGGCGAGGTCTGAACATAACCTGCACGTAGCAGCAGGGTATCACAAGCATTTGCCGGGTTTGACAAATTATCATGCTGAACAGCATTTCACGCCAGCCAAAGTGTTCTTGCCAGCAAACTTGATCGACTCATTGTCGCCACGCTCGGTGTGCTCGTGGATTTTGAGCTCTGCAAGTGTGCGTGTTAGCCAGTGACGCATTCCATGCCGTCCAAAGTGCTTCGTACTGTAGTTGTTCTCGTCCTGTGCTTGACCTTGAACAACGTTCTCCCTCAGAATCGTGGCCACGGCGTTTGCATGCTCGATGGAGGCTTGTTGCTCCTTGCTGCCGGTGGCAAGTGCGCGGTTGGCATCAAACTTGTCGCGAATCTCGAAGCGGGCGGCGTTCAGGACCTGGAGATCGCCTAGAAGCAGCAATGTTAGAGTCGAAAGCTGCGGCTGCGCCGGAAGAGATTGTACCTTGAAAGGCGATCCGGGCGGAGCGCAGGAGGCCGCGGTAGGCTTGGAGGGCCATTTTTTGCAGCAAGTGAACCTTCCGAGAGGGGTCAGGGAAGGATGCCGTGGTTCCGGGGGTGATCTGGGGATCGAGAGGCGATGCGGCTCGGAAGTCTTGTCGGGCGGGCCGGGGCAAAACCGTCGAGAGCGGAGGCCGGCGAAAAGTTCGACCTAGCGCGGCAATCGCGGGTGACCGATCATCCCTGTACGGCAGGTTAGCCCCGTTGACGTAAACCAGGTAAAGAAGCCACGCGCGCGCGCCCGGAGAAGCTGCTCTACCTACCTACACACTCCCGTCCGCATTCGTGCACTGGAAGCTGAAGACATTACACCACCATCATGGTGTCTCTCTGGCCCTGGAAGGTAAGCTCCCCTTCTCCCCCTACAACCCCTTTCGCTCTAGAAACGAGCCGCGCTAATCCAGGCTTCAGGATGATACCTCCGCCGCCGGCTTCGAGAAGGCCCTCTCCGCCCTGTCCACCAAGATAGCAAGGACAAGCGCGACAAATGACGGCCTGCGACAGAGATCGAGGAGGGTCAAGGTCATGTGGACCTTGTACACTGGCTTCGCCTATATACTGGCCGCCCTCATCTTGGTCTTGGTTACCGGCTGGCCACAATGGGGCCCTGTTGAATACACTGTCATCGCTGGAGGTCCAGTTATGTAGGCGCATGCTCTATCTAAACTTGCGCGTACTGTTGCTAACCACTCGCAAAGCATCTATGGCGTGAGGACGGGCCTTGCCTCTTACTACAGCTACCGCATCCAGAACACCCAGACGTATCTGGACAACCTCTACAAGCAGCGCGATGCAACCATTGACAAGCTTAAGGAAGCTACTAAATACAACTCGACGCAGGAACTTCTCCAGAAGTATGGCTCTCCCAGGCCCTCGCCGCAGAAGGCACCCTCCTCCGCCAGCAAGCGCAAGACTTCAGGGGCCGCAAAGCAGCAGGCCGAAGGGGCTCCACAAGGCCGGACCAATTTCGCTCCACCCCCTACCGCAAACATTGCGCGCAACCAATTGGCTCCGGGAACTCCTCCGCCGCCACGCCCAATGTCCGCCGGCGACGTGGCCACCGGGCCATTCCCTCCTCCCCCACCACAGGACCAGCCTGGTTTCCCGCCTCAGCCACCTCAGCTATCTCAACTCCAGCTCGAGCCCCAGCCCAGCGCCGATTTCGCTCCCAATGCTTTCGCCTCACAGTATGCGGCCGGCGCGCAGCAGTCGAACTGGTACGACCGTATTCTTGACGTCCTGCTGGGTGAGGACGAGACTCAGCCGAAGAACCGCCTCGCGCTCATCTGTTCACACTGCCGCCTTGTCAACGGCCAGGCACCGCCGGGCGTGAAGTCGCTCGAGGAAGTCGGCCAATGGAAGTGCATGGGCTGCCAGGAACTGAACGGCCAGGAGAGCGAGGCGCAGAAGCTTGTGGAGCAGGTCAAGGAGTCGCAGAAGGCGTGGCTGTACCCGGTTAGCGGTTCGGCTGCTGACGGACGGCCTACGACTGCGACCACCGATGGCGGAATGACGGAGGTTAGCGAGATCAGTAGGGATGAGAGGGAGGCTGGTGAGCCTGTTGAAGAAGGAGCTGCGGAGGGCGAAGACTCGCCTCCGTCGCACTCGACCCGGAGCAGGACGAAGGGCAAGAACTGAAGAGGCAGAGTAAAAAACATGCATATCTGCGGAGTTATGTTATTGGGCCTCATATTTTCTACTTCTATCTTTCTTTTGTAGCACTTTTCTCCTTTTCCTTTCCCCTTTCCTTGCCTCTTGGTATCACAGACTACTAGAGCGTGCTAAAACAACGCAATATTCAAAAAGATAGAGATGTTTTGCCTACCTACGTGATGACGTACCTGTAAAGCTGTGTTATATACTTTCTACTCTTAGATTGTAACGTCCATCACCGTTAACCGAGATTCACCGTAAAGCGAGATGGTGATACTTATACGGAGTAGAAGAAGAGACCTACTCAAGGTATATAAAGTCTATATATACTCTAAGACCTTTTTATCTGTGCCTAGAACTCGGGCTAGGAGCTGGGTAAGAAGTACTCTATAGGGACTGCTTATATCGTCCACTGTCTTAGTAAGGTGCACTCTATAGGGACTGATTGTATCGTCCCCTATCTCACTATACGGTGGATCTCGGTTCGCGGTGACGGACGTTAGTTGAGGGGTGGACCGGGCCTAGGGATAAAAGGAGAGATGATACTACAAAGCCACGATACAAAAGTAACAAACTCTGTATCAACTTGCATCTATCAACAAGCCCAACCCTGCCTATTGATCCTTGCTCTCATGCATATCTTCATCCCTTTGTTCCGCACCCGCCTCCGTCTCTTCCGCATTCATCACCGTCTCCTCAGCATCGTCCTCCCGAATCTGCTGCCTCCGAAAACTCTCAGCCAGCGAATCCACCTGCCGCGCCTGCTCCCGCTCCCAACTTACACCCGCTGTTTCCCTCATCAAATGCCTTCTTGTCGCAGCAGCGACCCGGGAAGACCACGTGTGTGACGTGGACGAAAACGACGGCCATGTCCATCTCCGGCATTCGCAGTCCGGCTCGGGTTCCCCGCTCATAATGTCCTGGATGAGAAAATCCGGGGCATTGCGGCTGCACTGCAGGCTGCCGGGCGCGCGGGTGCGGTGCTCGCCGTGCCTGCGCTGCCGCCTGGGGCGCGTGCCGCTGGTGTTGTCGCGTTTGTGCACGCCGTGGCGGACGCTAAGGCTTGGTCTGAAGTTGGGAGGAGGTGCGGGGTAGTAAGGGTAGTTTTGGCGAGTTGTGGAAATGGGGGTGCTGAGGGGGCTGTAGGAGTCGTGTGCGGGCGAGTTGGCGTTGTGTGAGTTCGTGTAGTTGAAGTCAAACTCGTGGAAGGGTCCGAAGGGGCTGTTGGGGTAGATGGAGTAAGGGGATAGGCTTGGACTTAGGGGTAGGTTTGGGCTCGAGGGTCGCTCCTCGGGGGTTCCGGGAGGGCTCGAGGATTGGGGGCTGGGGGGTGGGTTTCGAGGACGCTGCTGGGGGAGTGGTGTCAGCTTGTGGGGAAGTGTGTGTGCGGGGGGGGGTTTTGTATGCATGTGCTGTACGTACACTATCCACTTCAACGTTACAATTGTACATTGGTGAAACTGATTCGATTGGCATCGCCCCGTGCTGGCGAAGAGATAGAACTGCCGATGGAAAGGGGGGCGTTGCTGTAGATCTGAAGTGGGTTTCCAGTTCCTCGTCGGTGTATTGGGTGCCACGGGATGTGTACAGCTGGCTGGTGGAGGGCCCAGAGATGGCGTTACGTCTGGGTCTTTGAGATGGCATCCTGCTTGCTTGTCTTTAAAGGCGGAAGTTGAGTCTGCCTGCTAGACTGGTTTCTGAAGATGCAGAAGTGGTGTGTCACAGTGGAATTACAGTGCGTGTATATTGGTATTTGTGTTTTCGCCAAGTGGTTGCTTTGTAGGAAGTTGGCTGCCGTTATGGAAGCTGCCTTGCGAGGTGTTTGGTTGTGTTTGGTGGACAGTGGACAGTTGCTTCTTTTCAAAAGGAATTGGGGAGAGCAAATCAATAGGAAGCAATCGAACCTCCTGACCATGTACCCTCTGGTAATATCGTCATCGATCCCGATCATAACATACCAGGGAGTCATACTCTTCCCATGACCCCAGAGGCTGGATACCGAGAAAACGTGCGACGGGATCTTGGCAACTTCCCATTTCCACTTGACATACCTTGCTGCTTTCAAAGCTACCATCTACCCGGTATCAGGCATCAGTTGTGGCTCTCTTGTAAAAGGTACCTCCGTGTTGCAGAGTGCAACATTTCAAGATGGCAAAGCTTAACGCTGTGTGTTGTGGAACCAAGGGGTATGTGGGATAACTTTGCTTTCTTCACCCTTCTCAGGTGCAGATCCAAACGTGCTGGTACGAGGGTTAAGCCGGGAGTCAAACGGGGAGGGACAACATCCACGTGTGAATACTTCGTCAGTCTAAGCCCAGCAGCGCGGCCAATGACGCTGTGACGAAATGTGGTCAGTCCCAAAACAACAGCGACAGGCAGAAGCGAACCGTTTTTGGTAAGACCAGGCAACCACGAGTTAGTGGCTATTTGTGGATGAATAAAAAGATAATGACTGCGAATTATATCTAATAACATTAGTAAATGTTGGGAAGTAACTAAATGCATTAGTTTGAAAGTCCTGGAAGTAGCGGAAATTTGCTGAAATGTCACCGTTAACCGTGGTTCACCGTGAAGTGAGATGGTGATACTTATACGGAGTAGAAGACGATACTCAGCCAAGATATATAGAGTGTATATATACTCTAAGACCTTTCTATCTATACCTAGAACTCAGGCTAGGAGCTCGGCAAGAAGTGCTCTGAAGGGACTGCTTGTATCGTCCGCTGTCTCGCTACACGGTGGATCTCGGTTCGCGATGACGGACGTTAGAGATATCAAATAGCGTCTGTATTTGCTTAACGGCTATGTACTCGTCCCTAGTGGTGGTGCTTGGAGACGAGTAAGAAGAGTCAGCGAAAAAGCTTATTACTTGGATAGATCACTTCACAAGGAACCAGCTTTCAAGTCTTTCAACTTCGTATTAGCATCGACCTAAGGGATAACGTACGCACGCCGAATCGATGCCACCTGTCAGATGCCAATTAAGCCATGCAATTTTCAGTAGTCGTCTAATAGTACACAGGCGCCGTCGTCGAATCCTCGTTCCCCATGACCTTCAGAAAGGCCATCTCGCTGGATTCCCAGTGGTCATAAACTCATGTCGCGTGATCACTCCCGGATTCCATCCGAATCCAGGCATCCTTTCTCACTGATCCTGAAGTTGTCCTACGGATCTTTTTGTTCCTCGAGGTTGTCGAGTTAAATTGCTTACAACTCCTCCTTCACAGCATCCGTAGCCCGCTGAGCAGCCTCGCTGGCACGGTGCTTGGCAGAGGAGAGGCTCTCAGTGGCAGCATCACCAGCAGCGCCACTGGACTTCGAAGCGGCAGACTTGACGCTAGAGGCAGAGCTCTTCGCATCCTTGGAGGCCTGGGAAGCGGCGCTCTTAGCGCTCTTAGAAGCAGCAGAAGAAGCACTGCTAGCGCTGGCACCGCCAACACTTCCGAGAGAGCTAGCAGATGCGCCAGCAGCATCGGTAGCGCTAGTAGCGCTGACAGAGGCCTGGGAAGCAGCGAGACCAAGCTTGGACTTGATCCAGTCAACGTAGTAACCAGCGGCGCCAGCAGCCTGGTCCTTCTTCAAAGCAGCATCATCGGTAGCCTTAGCGTACTGGTTGCCAGCAGAAGAAGTGGCAGCACCGAAGACGGAGGAAGCGGAAGAGTCGAGGCGGTCACCAGTGAGCTGGGCGCGGTGCTTGCGGGCAAGAGCGATGAGCTCGTTGCGCTTGGAGCCCTGGGGAACCTTGATGTTGTTCTTGTCGCACCACTCCTTGATCTGGGTGTCAGACCAGGCGTCGAGAAGCGAGTCAGTGAGGCTCTGCTGAGCACCGGAGGCAGAAGCGGAAGCAGAAGATGCAGCGGCCCTCATGTGCTCGCTGGCAAGGCGAGAGTTGCGACGAACAGAGGCGATGAGCTTGTCACGGGTGCTGGGCTGAGGAGCCGGGTAGCCACGCTCATCAAGCCAAGCCTTCAAGTCAGACTCAGACCAAGACTCGTAGAGCCAGTTGCCAGGGTAAGCAGCAGTCTCGCCAACCTTGCTCGCGGCGGACTGGTAGTTCTCGCGGGCAGACTTGAGGAGGGTATCACGAGTGCGGGGCTGAGGGCTAGGGATTCCATGGCGATCAAGGAAAGCCTTCAACTGAGAGTCGGTCCAGCTGCAATAAGTTAGCACTTGAGCCCGTTAAGATATCGCTTTTGGCTTCAACATACCTGTCGAAGACCCAGTCCTTGACGCTGTTGTAGGAATCGCTGGCCTGTTCCTCAGTCTCGTACCAGTAGGACTTGACCTGAGAGAGCAAGCTGTCCTTGTTCTCCTCGGCACCCTTCTTGGCCTGAACGCCCTTGGTGCTCAAGTACGACTGGAGCTGATTCGTGTCCCAGCTGTTGTAGGGCTGTGCGACCTTGGAGTTCCAGTTCTCCTTGACCAAGTTCTCAAGGTCCTTGCGATCTGCAGGAGTGGGGTAGGGGACGTCGTGGTCAGAGAGCCATCTCTCGAGCTCGGTCTCGTGCCACTTGTTGTATGCTATTGCAATGCGTCAACAAGAGACGTTCCGAAACGTGTCTAAAACTCCGTTCGGTGACTTTGTAGGGTTGTGCGACTTACCAGCCTTGCCAAACCAGGTGCTGGCGACGGCAGACTCCGCGGCCAGAGCCACCACAAGGGCAGAAGCGAAAGAAAACCTCATGCTTTCAGATATCGACTGGTTATTCGAACCGAGGATGGAATTGTTGCAAGAAACTGTTGATGAGGATGCTTGATGATGGGAGAGAGAGGAGGAGGGGGAGAAGCGTTGAGTTTAGGTGTTGTGTGAGGAGCTCCTTTGTACGAGAGTAGAGCAGGAGCGCGCTGAGTCTGACGCAATTATGTCGCGCGAAACCCTGTGGTCCAATCGTCGATCGCGTCGCCGGAACAAGCTGGCCAGATTTACGGCGCACGACAATGATTCTCCCATCCTTCTCTCTAGGGTTGGTTTGATTCCCTGTTTGTCCGCTACCTACTCGTACCACTAGAGATCGGCCACCGACGTCATTGGATGAATGATTGATCTCCATCCCCGCCCATCACACTAACTAAATCTCCCTTTTCCTTCAGTGCAATAGCTCTCCCCACAGTTCACGGTCTTCGCATTGAAATGCGATAATGGTCTTCTTCAATCATGTTGTCTCAAGCAGCGGAGGATATCGCTAGCTAGAGTAATGTGGTACAATTACATGGGCCGGTCCAGACTGGAGCCCGCCATTCGTCATACATTGATTCGTCGTCATAGCCACATGGCAGCTTGTGAAAGTCATCGTCAGAGCGAATTGCGCCACCACGCCACTGACATTTACGGGTCCCTGTCGGCTCCACCTTGGCCTACGCCTGTGTTAGTTTTTCGACACTCGCGCAGAGGGGAGAGAGCTTGCATACCGGACCAGAACTTAGGCGATACCTTGTCCTTCTTCGTGTCCGCATTATCAATCTTTACCTCGGCTCTTTCAGCACGGTTCTCCATCTCACGGTTGTGTTGCTTGACTTCCTCGCTCGGTTCTGCAGGCGGGTTGTCGTTAAGGATCTTAGGCCGCGCACCTTTTACTGAAGAGTCGCTGCTGCTTCCCGATGATCCCTTGGAGGAAGAGCTAGATGATTTGGAGGAGCCTTGCGAGCTCTCGCCGGCATTGTGTCCTTTGTTTCCAGCCTTTGTTGGCGTAGTGCCGCTACCTTTGCCAACATCGGGAGGAGGGGGACCAGGGTGCTCGAGGTCTGACGACTTGGAAGGTCCCTGCTCTTGTGGCTTCTCGCCAGCTGGGTTGCCTTCACCGCTGCCGTAGTCCTGAGTAGCGAAGAAGCGCTGCGACGTGACGGAGAGGGCAGACCGGGTGGCTGGACGGAAGGCGGGGCGCACGATAGCAGTGCGGAGCGCGGTAGATGATCGGAAAAAAGACATTGTGATATATGGAGAGCTTGAATTGAGGTGGGAGGAAGCGTCAAGAAGGATTGAATAGAGATAGCTAGCCGGGGCGGGCTTATGGGTTTTGTAGGTAAAAGACGCTAGGTAGGGTAGCTCTTGCCCGATGACGGCTGGGGGGAAGCTGCGGGCAAGCCGTCGCATGACGTCATTCTTAGGTTACGCGCTCTCAGATTGGCAAGTGAGATCCTTTAGTCGCTCTTGCGCAATCGAGGGGGCTTAAGCGAGCTGTTCCCCAGACAGTTATCTTTTGCGCTGCGCGCGTGGTCACATTATACATACGGGGAAGTTGATCAGTGCTTTGCTGTGCCTGACCGTGCACCTACAAATGACAGTGGATCCCTGTCCAAAATCTAGGTACGCTTTCCAATATTTCCAACGGCGCTGCGGAACATTTACACTGCCGCATCGTCCGACATCCTGTATACCCATTCCGGATCCATTGTCGGCTGCACTGCTCTCCTGGTGTATTCTGTAGCCGTCCTGACGACTGTCCTTCGGGCCCCCTCCGAGTCCCGGAACGCAGTAAAAACCGCGTGATAGACGCCTTTTAAAGTCCAAGATAAGAATGATAAAAATGTCAGAACAAATGGCTTCAGCCAATTGAAAGGGGGTATCCAAGATAGCACGGTCAATGTAACATAAGGCGGCTCCGGCGCGTTGGGATCGACCCCATAGCCTTCCATCCTGTGGGCGTAAACCTTATTGCAATAGACGTTGCTGGGACTTGTTAGCATGTATCCTCCTAGAACTGCATCGGGTTGCTCAGGACGAACCATAACGCTGTTTCGGTCCAAAACCATGACCACAGCAACAAAGAAATAACCCCAAACCAAGTCAATTTTGTAAAATTTCCCTTCCCCTTTTTGTCGTAGTACAGTCCCTTGATCCATTCCCAGAACCAGCGCGGGGGTGACATTGACGGCTGACCGGTGGCGCATGGGCAGTTTTGGTGCAAACCTCTCGGTTCTTCCGCTACAGATGGTCTCCGCTCTGTCGTATCAACTTGTTGCTCCAGACGCCGCATGTTACGATTAGCATCCTTTACGCTGCTACGAACACCCCGCAGCAGCACATTCATGTTCTGGAGCTGGAGTGATTCTTGTTGCTTTTCCCGATCGGTCAGGGTTTTTGGTCTGCCTCCAGGGGCCTCGAGCACCTCGAGAGTATCCTCATCGATCTCGAGCTCGGTTGTGTTTTCTGTTGGTGATGAAACCATGTCTGCAAGCGAGTCGATCGTGGAATCGCCGTATGCGTCATCTGCTTGCCCTCCTTTTCGTTGCGACCTGGCGTTTTTGACGACTGCAGAGAGGGCTGATTTCGGTAATGATGGCGCCTTACCCTTTCCCTTGGACTCATTCTGTGAAATCGTTGACTTTTTGGCTTCCTGCTTGGACGAGCCGGACTCAGAGGCGCTGGTTCGGGGCGCGGGTCTAGATCTAGATGTAGAACTTGAACGGGCTGAAATTTCTGACCCCCTTCTAGAGCCACTTGTTGAACGAGGAGCTTCGGTCGCAGGCGTGTCGGGCCAAGCACCAGCCACGACTGGGGTTTTAGTTGGTGGGGGAAGTTCATCACGATGTGTCTGGCTAGCCCGCGTGTCCGCAGCGGCCCCAGAAGATTTAGGAGCGCTATTGTTCGCGTTTACATCCCTAGTTTTTGATGCTTTTGAGGGATCGAGTTCTACCGCGCCGTTATCTGCGTCAGGTGGTGGTGTAAGTATCCCCTGTGCGGATGTTGTTGCTGTCTCTCCTGGTGCCAGCCTTGAGTTCCTGCGGCCTTTCTTCTGCGAAGGTTCGTTTCCCTGTTCCTCTGCCAGAGGCGAGCTCTTCCGAACACCCGAATCCCTACGGATTACGGGTTTGTCTTCCGGACTCCTGCTGGGACTGGGACTGTTGCTGGTAGCCCGGGCTAGTCGCCGAAGTAGATCATGCGAATCATTTGATCTGCTACCGAACCTTTTCGGAGGGCTGGTCTGGCCCCGATCACCTTCCCCCTTCCCTGGAGGGCTCCTATAGACAACGACTGGTGATCCTGGGATTGTCTCCCCAGTATCTGCAGCAACTGGAGCATTCATAACTCTTTTGCTCCTTAACCTGTCCAGTCGTGTTGGCAGGTTGACTTCAGATTCCGGGCGTTCGCGTAAACCTGACCCATCCGCCTTGGTCTGATTGTATTTGTATGCGCTTGATGGTCTTGTCGGTGATCCTTCTGGTGACGTCCCGCGACTCCGGCCTTGTCCGTTTGTCTCCACAACATTCTGATTCATGCTTTCCCGCTCTCGTTGCCTTATATCGTCAAGTCGCGTATTCCTTGGCATCGCAGGTGTAGAAGCTAGAAATGAGCCCGAGGTAAGGTCGTCTGACAAATCCCACTCTTGCAGAGACGCATCGTATCTCTTTGTAGAAGACGGCGTCCCTTCCACAAGCTTGCGCAAAATCGCCGGACTATCTTCGACAGACGGCAATGGCACGTCTGCAGCCCGAGGTGTCCTTTCACCAACCGCGACTCTTTGCTGATATGATGCATCCGACTCTTCCCCCGACTGTTCTTGCATTGGGTCCGCCGCGTTGATCCTCCGCAACCAGCTGTTGTCATGCCGCGCCTTGCTCCCCCATTGCCTTGGTGGTCGCACTGGTGGATCTGACCTGTCGCTGCCGTTGAAGCTCTCTGGACTGTCGCGTTGTTGTCGCGCGGGCGATGGCTGCTGCCGATTGTTTCGTTCAAGATTCTCAAGTGTCAATCCTACGCGCGGGTGCGTTCTCGCCTTGCGAAAGGGCTGGACGCTTCCGCGCAGCGCGCCCTGCTTGTGTTGCTCATCTCGCGCTTGCTGGATGAGCATGCGCCCGAACTCGTCCGTGTCGTCGGAAAGGGAGCTAAGGCCCGACATGACAGAGCCTGGCCTTTGTGAAGCGTTCCCGTCCATTGGGTCAAACCACTCCAACGAGCGAGCTGTGTGTATATCCGACGGCGGACGTGATGATGGGATGGATTTGTGCGGATTCCGGAATGCAGATGTGCGCGCGTGTTGAATAAAGTCTGGTATTACCTGTACATGATAGGTATGCTTTTGCTTTGGACCACGAGCGTTGTGGCGGGAAGACCCCGATTGCTGTTGCGCGTTGTTTCGCGATGCGATTCGTTAGCCAGACGCGGTTGCTCTCCTAGCAACGGCGAACGGCCCAAGCGGGACCCACTCACACGACAGTAACCCGGAGCATCGTGTTAATAACAATAAACACGCATCTGCGCGTCTTCTCATCCTCTTACAGTGATAACATTCCTACGAGTACATCTTCAGATAACCACAGAACAGACCCCCATTTAGCTAGTAAGATACTCCTTGACAGCGTCGCCCCAAACCACGCCGCGTTTGTAAGTTGCCATGTGCGGAACGTTCCCTTCGCTCAACCCATCAATTGCCTTGGCCAATTGTTCTCCATTTCCTTCCTCTTTGATCTGTCTCATCGAGTATTGATATGTCTTGAAAGTAAACACCAACACATCGTCGTTCTCGGGCAGCCTGTGTAAAGTCTGCCTCTCGCATCTCATCACTGTCTGGTCCGGATCAAAATCTTCCCGCCTCAACTTCTCAATCTGTTCTCCCTCATACAAGTGGTTACCACTTCGTGAGTAGAGTTTCGTATTTGTCGTAATGCTCCAGTTATGCCGCTTGACAACTCTTCCCAGAGCCAAATTAGCAAAGAAACGGTCCATGGATTTTTCCAGTTTGGCCGCATAACCCGGCACGGGAGTATGAATGTCAGCGAGCTTCAGGTTCAGCTTCGCATACGTGTCGAACCCAGACGGAAAGCAAGTGACGTAGCCTTCCAGCCTGTATTTTTGCTCGTCCGCTGGATCGCTGGATCGACGAAGGAAGAGAAACTCATCATCCACATGCCCGCCGAGGATGTTGAGTGCCTCCACAGTATCCGCTGGTGGCTGGACAGGGATTTCCTCGCCAGTTGCAAGATTGCAAAGAACTTCTCTCCCCTTTTCAGATGACAGAAGCTTGTAGATTGTCGGAAAGCGCCGCGGCAAGTAGACACCCATGATCCAGGAATAGAACTCATGAACTCCTGGATTGATGACTGCATTTGCAGCAACCACGTACTTTCCCTGTTCCTTGATGAGGCTACGGCGTAAGGAGATCCGATCAAGGTATGTCTTGTCCATGATGATGAGGTCAGACAAGGTTGTGTTCTCCAACGCTGTCAATGCTTAACTAGTGATCCGAGACACAGAGGGGGAACTCTTACCCATGGTCAGATGATAAGTAGGCTTAAAAGGCCGTAGTTGCAAAGGTTCTTCAACTTTCCAGTTAAAGTTTGAGAGCGGCTCAATAGAATAATAAGCATCCTTGGTATTGAATTGCTTAAGACTGTCCCCTTTAGAACACCTCTTCCGGGCGCTTATCTGACGCTTCTGTTAGCAAGTCAATTAGCCATAATTACCAATGCCTGTCTTCCTTGCAAAAGCAATGATAAAAGGGTATTAGAGAGTTGGAAAGATGGGTGAGCTACCCATGATCGACTTGACTTTGACAACAACACTACGCATGCGCAAAGTATGACGGCAAAGCAGAAGCAGATAGCAGTCGCCAAAACCGGCGTATTTGTGAGCTCAAGCATGACTGCACCTATGTTTGTAGAATATTGATAACGCACTGAAGCAAGCAGGTCGCCTTAAGAAAAGATGGAAAAAAGGGATGTTTGATCGGAAATATTTTGAAAACACAGTATTACCCACCACTAAATATACCCCTCGTTGAAATCAGTCTTCTCGTTAGCTAGCCGCTATTGACGCCGACAGAGATAGAAAGATTGTAAGTGGTGGAGAGCTGACGCAGTATCGGGATCGCCTTGCCCGTTTAGGAAAAGCGGGGGCATCTGAAAGCGGCAGAGTTGCTGCAATTCTCTAGGCCAAGGATATATCGAGATACAGCTTTGGAAGGTGAGAGTCACAGGTAGATTGGTATGGGACTTGAAAGCATCAGTTTGTGGACTTTAGCGCTCTAGGCTTGGATGATCTCTAAAAGGGACCCACATATTCAACCATCACTTTCCATATAACTTAGCATAAAGGGGGTAGCACTGGAGAAATTGGGCAAGCTACGTAGTATGTACATGGTATCGACTCCTGTGAGACTTAATACACGCTTTATCTCACTTAATTGGACAGAAAAGGTCCAAAATAAAGCGGGTACAGGAGGCGCCTTCAGTCGAAAAACGAAAGTTGACATATTCAGTGGACGACAAAGTTTGTTGACAAGCTAAACAATCTTATAGTCTTCTTATGTTGAGAACTGTACAAACATTTGCAAACCTGGAAATTTGGCTGTGATCTAGTCAAGAATTAAGAAAAGTAGTCAAGCACAAGTTAGTCAATACCAAACCAAAAAATTCCTTTGGTCGTGAAAGGAAGGTCTACTTGGACAAGCGTCTATGATCAAACATTATTGCTTCGGCCTTAATAAAACGAACATCTACTAAATTGCGATGTTTCGCAGAAGTGTAGCGGAGGGAGAAAATTTAGATGGAAGAAACACAAAGTGGTTTAATTCTAGTGACTCGGTTGGCTAGGATGGTAGTGGTGACGAGTTTTGTTCCTTGTAGAGAAATATGTGTTCGAACGGATATCTGCAGGTGCCCGCTGCATAGGTCCCTTCGGCACGGTGACGTCAGAAGATAGCTATCAGCAATCCTTGAGCCTCAGAACAGGCTGTCTTATGGCCTGTCCATCAAGCGCAATATCAAGACTGGTAGATTCTGCCCGAAAACAGTTCTCGCGTTTTCGTAGTGGCTTGATACTGGTAGACTCGGCTCTTTGCTTTTTTGCAAATTTTAAGGTATATTTCGAGCAATGATAGCCCGGCTTCCTCTGAACGGCCTAATTTTCTTTCTCAGTGTTGCGATTCTGTACATTGGAGCCCTCGGCAATGCCGTGATGTGAGGACCCAGTGGCTATCGCCGAACCGTCACCCCCCTGGGAAACTGGCCTGACGATGCTGAACCGCCGGCGATTTCCGTTTGGCCTTTCCGAGAGGCTTGGAGCGCGCGGGCGTCTTTTCCCCTGTGCTCTCCCCCCAATAAAAGGTATCTCGTACGTGACTGAGCGGAAAACGTAGAGGATGATGTCGTAGACGATCAAGGCGGCCCAAGGGCCGATGGTGAAGATACCAAGGAGGATCTAGGCACAGTCAAGTCAGTTGGCTTGATGCTTCGCAACGCAAACGGGACTTACAAAGACGCGAGCCAGCCAAGTCTCGAACTGGCTCAGATGGTCGGGGAGAATGGAAAACCAGGCCATTGTCGGGCAGTGGCAAGTACGAGCAAGTGCTCGAGCACTTTTATGCGTCGCACGACGATGATTGCGGATGCAGTGATAGTGGAGAGATGCACCGACAAGGGTCGGATAGCCTCGGGACGGATCCCTGACGCAGCTCACAGACCAGCCAGCACGAGCGCGTCCTCCACGATCATCAACGCCCGCTCGTCACAACCGCTCTCTCGTGGAATGCTCGGCCAGCATCATGTGCCGGCTGACTTGAGGCAGCAGCTAACGCTGATGCACGCTGCTGCCTCGTCGACCGGTTAGCCAATAAGGCGCAAAACAAGCCCAGGCACACACGGCACACAGCAAGGCAAGCCCAGACCGAGCCATGGGATTGGTTGCAGCCATGATCGACGATGATACGTAGGTATACAGTAGGTGTCAGGGTGTCAGACATGTGCTCCCCGCAGCTCTCGGAAGTTAGCCTCAGCTCCATGGCTAGGCTGCATCTGCAGTGCTCCTTCTCAATTTTAACCTTGACTCTCACGTTGTTCACTTTGACCTACCTAACAACAACGCTTTCACTGCTCTTTCCTTGAGCCTGCACCCGTATGACGGGGTGGCTATAAAGCTCCCTGAGCCGCACCGTCCAAACCCTTCTAGGCACCAGCGCGCAACATGGACAACCTCACCTTCCTTAAGTGGAGCCCTGCCGGGACCGCATCTCTGTTCATACTCACCCCAGATGGATCTGCCTCCACTCTGCACGGCTTGGACGTGGCTATCATCAGAGATCGATGCCCTGTCTTGGCCTTCTCCTTTGAAGCAGGCGCGAAAGGTTTGATGAAGTCCAGTATTGAAGCAAGCTCATACCGCGCCGCCATCTGCTTCCTCCGCTACATCTACACCGGGGACTACGCTTGGAGCCCTGACTTCCTCGCCCATGACCCCTCTCTTCTCATTCACGCCGAAGTATGCCACCTTGCCGACATCTTTGAGTGCCCGGAGCTTCAGGTAGCCGCCCACATGAACATCATAGGGGCCACCGAAGTGGCTTGCAGCTTGCCGTCCCCTCCCCCGGATCTTTGCGAAGCCATCCCGTTCTTCTACCAATATTTATCCGCTCAGAGGCCGCTCATTGATACGATCTTGCACTACTGCGTCTCATGCTTCACCTACCACAAACTTAGCGAGGACCCGGACTTTCGGAAACTTGCAGACGAGCACACACAATTCCATATGGATCTTTCCAGGACGAACGCCGAAAGGAACTTTGGTACGTCGCGCGTTTCATTTCTCTTTCTTCCTGTCAGAGTCCTTGACAAAGTTTCCCCGCATTCAAGCAAGGCTGCGGGCATAATTAACAAGCTGCTAACAATGCTACAGAGGACCCGCAGATCTTCCAGCTCCCTGGCCCGAAGCGAGATGTCGAAGACCTGGGCGACTTCTTTTACCACATGTGGTCCGATACTCCGGACGAAGGAAGGCAGGAGCGTCTACGTGGACTAGCGCACCGTCCGAAGAGACGCAGAACCCCCATGCCGACATCTGAAACGGAAGAGTCAGCATCGGAAGTCGATGGCTTCACCTTGGTCCACCGGCCAAGGCGTGGGGACATCAATGACACTGTAGCAGTTGCTACCTCCTCGGAGACCTCTGCAAACTCTACCGAAGAATCTGGACCGGAAGACGAACACAATTTGGCAGGTTCTTACCTTACCATCAAACCGAATTCTTCACAGCCGGCGGGCCAAATTCCGAAGCTGGAGATTGAAAATGCCATCCCTGACGGAGAAGTCTTCGTCCTGGAGCTGGATCAGCCTGCAGTTGCATCTAGTAGCTCATCGCAGCCAACTGACCAAGAACCCTACAGCTCCGAGTCCGAATGGTCTCTCGTTGATGTTGGAGATACAGATTGAGTTCTCTACAGCATTGACTGGCTGAGAACTGCGTTTTCAAGCCACAATTAGCTGCGAGACTCTGGGACTCCTTCACAAAATGCCCCTCTCTGGATTTGAGACCTTGGGCATTTTCTCCAAGCTAGCAAAGCTGCCCTCATGAGATGGCCTTTGGGTATCGAGGGCCTTCTTGCTATTCGCTATGTCGTGTTTGGGGCTTGAATCAGGAAACAAGATTAAGGAAATCAAGCATTGGCAACGATTCGGTGAATGACGAATTGATGGAAACGACTCGGGAAAGACATAAGTTTGGTGCTTTACGGAAAGCAATGAATTGGCACAGAAATGAAATTGGGACATGAAATCCAATCACGCTTGACGAGACTTTTGAGCGAGAGCCATTCGGCAGTACTGCAGATGCTTTTGGTGTTTATATCTCACAACGGTTTAAGGGGGTAGATATTGCTATAACATACATGCCCCTCGTGGATCACTAGAGCCACTGTAAGCATACGTGCATGTTTCTGTAAGTGAGATAATATTGAAGCTCGGAGCGCTTCGAAGAAAGTATCAATATTTCCCTATACTCCAACACGCAGCAGCGGAAGCCCAAGGTCAAATACCCCGGAATGGAAGCCACGGTGCTCGGCAATCCCTGCCGCGAGCCGCATGCATAAACGACATGGGGAAACCCCCACGACGAGCTGATCATGGATCAACATCCCCGCACCCACCAGCAGGATGACGGATCCACGCAGCGCGTCGGCTAGCGCAAGGGAATCACGCCGATAAACAAGGGGAGCTCTCAGAGCACAGCGGCATCGGCTTTAGGACTTAGGCCTACTTGCACAGAGTTGAGGGGAGCCGAAGCACTCTCGCTAGGTCGTCACTCGTTCGCTGGCTGTTCGCATCATCATCTAAACTCCGGCGTCCTACCTACCTACTTTTCTTCTACCCGCGTTCTGTTATTTTCGCTTCTTCTTCTCTTTATTCTTCTCGCAAACTTTCTTCTTGTAAAACGCCCGCCTGCTTGCAGCCTGCCTGCACCTCTCTCACTAGCGGCCCTCCAACTGCGTCACCAGCTGCTGCACAGCGCAATGCGAGCACAATAGCTACGCTGTGCGCCCTGCTCACTCGCTCGCTCACTTGCTCGCCTCATGCCCACGCCGGCCGAGACACTCGCTGCTGGAGCGAGGGCGCCGACGCCGCCGAGTCCGTCGTCAGGCCCCATGCCCGTACCGAACCCGCCGCCGCATCCTCCTCCTTCTCCTCCTTCTCCTCTTCCGCTGTGTAGGCGCGCCATCCACGCCCTGGCTTGGGTGCCGCCGAACTGTCGCTGGGATGAGCGCAACCCGCCGCGCTTCTCCATGTCGCTGAACGTGCTGTTTGCGTTTGCGGGCGGCTTCACTGTTGCCAATCTCTGTGTGTGCCAGCCATCCTCATTCTCTTCCTCTTCTTTCCAAAACCCTTTCCCTACTTATCGTCTTTCCACCGTTGTGTCCATCCTCCTAACAACCACGCAGACTACAATCATCCCATCTTGAACGTGCTAGCGCGCGACTTTAATGTCAACTACGAGCAAGTCTCGCAGATCCCGACGGTCATGCAGGCCGGCTACGCAGCGGGGCTGCTGTTCTTGTGTCCGCTGGCCGACATGGTCAAGCGGAGGGTGTTTGTGACGAGTCTAATGTTCTTTACGGCGGCGATGTGGTGAGTACTGTGTGTGCGTTTGTCCCATTGTTATGAAAGGGAGCGATGGTGGAGAGAAGCGGAAGATGAAGAAGACGAAGAAAGAGAAGGAAAGACAGCTTCCAGCCTTCCCTCGCCACTTATTCCATGACGAGCAGATTGTATCCTTCCATGGAAGAAGCTGACATCACCAGGGTCGGCCTCTGCGTGACGAACTCCCTCGCCGTCTTCACAGCCATCTCCTTCATCACGGCCATCACAACCGTAACGCCGCAGCTCATGCTGCCTCTGGTCGGGGAGCTCGCGCCGCCCAACCGCAAAGGCATCTGCCTCTCGATCGTAACCTCTGGTCTGATGCTCGGCCTCCTCGTCGCGCGCGTCATCTCGGGCACCATCACCAACTACGTCTCCTGGCGATACGTGTACTGGCTAGCCCTAGGGCTACAATCAACCGTAACGCTACTCGTCTGGCTCTTCATGCCCGACTACCCGCGCAGCAACCCGGCAGGCGCAATCAGCTACCCACGCCTGCTATGGAGCATCATCGCGCTGCTGGGCCAGCACCCCGTCCTCGTGCAAAGCTGCCTCATCTCCTTCTGCAGCGCCGCGTGCTTCACCAGCTTCTGGACGACGCTGACATTCCTGCTCGCCGACCCACCCTACAGCTACCCGCCGCTGGTCATCGGCCTCTTCGCCCTCATCGGCATCGGCGCCATGCTCGCCGGCCCCGTCTACGCCCGCCTCGTCACCGACCGCCACGTGCCCTGGTTCAGCGTCGTCGTGGGCGAGGCCATCGCCCTCGTCGGCATCGTCGTCGGCACGTACGCTGGGATGCACACGCTCGCGGCGCCCGTCCTGCAGGCCTTCCTCCTGGACTGGGGGTTTCAGTCCGCGCAGACGGCCAACAGGGCCGCCATCTACGCCATTGCGCCCCGCGCCCGCAATCGCGTCAACACGGCGTTTATGGTCATTACCTTCTGTGGCCAGCTGCTGGGCACCGCGGCCGGGAACCATATCTTTGCGAGGGCGGGGTGGGTGGGCAGCGGGAGCGCGAGCGTCGGCTTCGTGGCTTTGGCGCTGCTGCTGTGTTTTGTGCGGGGGCCGTGGGAGAAGGGCTGGGTGGGGTGGCGCGGCGGGTGGGGCATTAAGCCGGTGCCGGAAGAGGAGGAGGTGGTGGTGGTGGAGGGTTTGGGTGGAGAGCGGGCGCCGGCGAGCGAGGGCGATGCGGAAAAGGGCGGGGCGAGGGGGGCGGTGGAGGTGCCGGTGCCGGTGCCGCTGCGCAATATCGAGGAGAGTGATGCTGAGAAGCGGACGCCGACGGAGAAGGATGCGTCGGCCTCGAGTCTTGAGCGGGAGGACGAGACGGGGCCTGCGGCGGGGGGAGCAAGGCGCAGCAGCGAACGGCATTAGTAGACAGCAATGAAGCCCGTCTAGCTCTCATCGCCCATGAACTTTGCGTGGCGGAAATACTTCATGCCGACCCACGCGACGACGACCCACACCCACGCCATGACGGCCGTCAGCACCATGAGGGCGGGGTAGTAGCCGACAATGGGCAGCGTGGGGTCGTCCTCGAGCTCGGGCGGCGCGTACGGCGTCTCGCCCACGTCCCACGCCCAGCTCCACACGTCCAGGCAGCTGCCCATGCCCACGACGAAGACGACCCACGTCACGACGAGCACGACCCACCCCCACCACTCCGTCTCGCCGTAGTCCCACTCGTCCAGGTCCAGCGTCGCGGGCGGCAGCGCCAGCGGCGACGAGTGTCGTGTTGTTGCGCCCGACAGCGCGCCGCCCGCTGCTGCTCCGATGGTGACGGCGCTCTTGGCGCTGCGCCGCCGCTGCAGCGCCGCGAAGTGCGCGGGCCCAAGAGTGCTTCCGCCGCTGCCGTTGCTGCGTCCCTGCTGCTGCTGCTGCTCGTCGTCGTCGGTCGTCGAGGCGTACGTCTGCTGCTGCTGTTGCTGGGCCGTAGGGCGCGGGGTCGGCCAGCCGCTGTCGGAGGAGGAGGAGGCAGCAGCAGCAGCGGTAGAGGAATGGCTGTAGGAGCGGTCGCGGCCGCGCGGGGGACGGTCGTCGTGCTCGCTGGTCGTCAGCGACGAGGCGGGGCGCGGGGCCAAGGCCGAGGCTTGCAGCAGGTCGGAGGTGCGCTGGCGGCCGGGGCCCAGCAGCGCCGTCTTGCGCAGCGAGCCTCTGCGGCGGCGGCCCCCCCCTCCGCTCGTGGTGGTGTTTTTGTGCCGGCGGGGCAGTAGGGCGTCGGTTTCGTCGGCGGGTGAGGGCGCGGGCGAGAGATCGGGGTCGGGGTCTGGGTCGGAGTGGCGGAGGAAGGGGAGGGTGGCAAGGAGGCGGCCGGAGAGGGAGCGTCTGTGGCCCGGCTTGGCGTGGGGTTCGTCGTCGTTGTCGGCATCCATAACTATTTGTTTGTTTGTTGGTCACGGTGGTGTTGCGGGAAGACGGCGAAAGATGACGCGCGCGAGTCAGGGGCTGCTTCTCTCCACAATCCACATCAACCTAGTCTATCACGCCCGGTTCGCCAGCTGCACCAGCGCGCTCCTCTTGTTGCTCCACATCGAATACGTAGATAAAAAAGCCATGGCCGCCTCCGAACTGCCGCTGCCCGTGCCCCCGCGCACTCCTACTCCTCAATCGCCCGCGTCGCCTCCCTCGCCCCTCTCCGCTCCCGTCGGCCTGGGCTTCGACGACGACGACTCCTTTGCCCCCGACCCGCTCGCCCTGTCGCCGCTGTCGGTGACGTTTGCCCACTCCACGCTCGACAGCCCGCGCAGCCCCGCCTCGGCCTCGTTCTACAGCCCCATGACGGACAACGCCGATGCCAACCCCTTCAACTTCCAGCCCCAGGCCTACGTCGTAGGGAAGCCCGCGGGGGGGAAGCCGGTATGTGGAGAGAGAGGAGAAAGCGGAGAGATCCAAACAAAGACTGACAAAAAAAACCACACAGGAAGCGCTGGGCCGCCGGCGCGGCCACAAGTACAAGCACAGCAGCGTCTCGCACCAGATCTTCCTGGAGCCGGCCCCCCGCGCGCCGCTGCAGGTGCCGGCCAGCCTGCCGGTGCCGACGTTCAAGGAGCTGCGCGCCAGCCTGACGATGGAGCAAAAGTGGCGCTTTGCGTGGTGCGCGTGCCACCTGGCCGTGGGCGCGTACGTCAAGTCGAGCGCGCAGGGCTCGGCCGCCATGACGGCCCTGTCGCACCTCGTCTTCTACGACTTTGTCGGCGCCACCGTGTGCTGCCTGGCCGACGTGGGCGGCAACTTTGAGTTCTGGCGCCGCACGAGCCTGAAGCGCCCGTTTGGCTTCGAGCGCTTCGAGGTCCTCGCCGGCCTCGCCATGGCCGTCACCCTCCTCTTCACCGGCTTCGACCTCGTCAGCCACAACATCCAGCACGCGCTCGAGAACCGCGGCGGCCACACGCCGCACCGCGCGCACGGGCACGAGCGCGTCTCAGCCGGGAGCGTGGACACGGCCGCGCTGGCCGCCATCACCGCCACGCTCATCTCGGCCATGGTGCTGCAGAACCACGCGCGCATCCGCAAAGTGATGCGCGTCGCGGCGCTGGAGTCGCTGCCCTCGGTCCTCAGCAACCCGTCGCACCTGCTCACGCTCTCGTGCTCCACCCTCCTGCTGCTGCTGCCCCTCCTCTCGGTGCGCATGTACATCTGGCTCGACCGCGCCATCACCGCCGTCGTCGCCCTGAGCATGACGACGCTGGGCTGGAAGCTGGCCTGGGCCCTCGGCCGCCTGCTCATGATGTCGTATGCGGGCCCGGGGCTGGAGGCGCTGCTGCGCGGGCTCGAGGCCGACCCGGCCGTCGCGCGCGTCGACGAGGCCGCCGTCTGGCACGTCCATTACGGCCTCTGTCAGGCGAACATCAAGCTCAAGGTGTGGTCGCTCGAGGACGCACCCAGGCTGCGCGACCGCATCCAGAGCTTGGTGAGGAATCGGCTGGCTGGTGGCTATGGCAGTGGCGATAAGACCAAGTTTGAGATTTCGACCCAGTTGTCGCTGATGGCGGATTGATGTGGTGGGTGGGTGGTGGGTCATGTATCATGGCTTGTTGTGTATATTGTACTTTTTGGATACGTGTGTATGTATGTTTGGATGGGTATATATGATTTTGGATAGGCGACGGCTTGATCAATGCCGGCCTGTATGTCTGTCTGTCTCTCTGTCTGCCTGCCTTCACTCCGCGCGACCACCACGTCTACGAAACCTAGCGATGATGGATTGCCAAGCATCCACGCGTACATGTCACAGACGCGCGCAAAGCACCTCAGCCCCCCAAACCGCTAATAGAAAAAACAAAGCAAAGTCGACCTTCAAACACACGCCCTCACTCACGCACCCAACTCCCCATCAATGGCCAGCACCTCGCCCGTCAGCGCCTGCACCTCCTCCCGCGCCAGCATCTCCACCCCGCCCTCGAGATCGCCCACCACGGCCTCGAGCCCGCGCAGCAGCGCGTCCATCTCGGCCCGCTGCGCCGCGATATCGCTCACCAGCGCCTTGTTCTCGGCGTGCAGCGTCGCGAGCTGGGCGTCGAGGCGGTCCGTGTGCGAGGAGAGGAAGGGGAGCAGGTGCGCTTGGAGGAGGGTGGGGGGCGGGAGCGTGTGTGGTCTGTGTGTGGGGTGTTAGCGGTTGTGTTTTGTGTGTTTTGGGTGGTTATTGGAGGGGAGACGTACGGCGTGGGCGTTGGTGGTGAGACGGGCCCGCCTGTGCTTGTGGATGCGGATGCTGCTGCTGCTGCTGCCGTGGCCTGCTCTTTGCGCTTCTTGGCCGCGGCGACGAGGGCGTCGAGCTCGTTGAGGGCGGGCACGACGTTGCGCTCTTTGAGGATCTGGTCGAAGTTTGTCTGTCACCACCCCAAGGAATCAACATTAGCCATTGCCCAAACCCCACTACCCACACAGCGCAAAAGCAAAAACAATAGCAAAAACACAAACACACAAAACACAAACAAACAAAACTCACCCGCGCAGCGCCCCCCAACTTGCCGACAAAATCCCGCCAGAACGCATCCAGGTTCTCGGGCACGTAGCGCGCGGGCGTCGGGAAGCACGCCGCAAAGTTGGCGTGCGACACGCGCTTCAGCGTCGCGTCCAGCGCGTTGCCGAAGACGGCTTGCAGCGCTGTTGCGCGCGGGCCTGGCGCCGTGGGCAGCGGGGGCGGCGCGGCGGGCGAGGGGGAGCGCGAGGTTGTGGATGTGGGCGCGGGCGCGGGCGCGGGGGTGGGTGTGGGCTCGTGGTGCCCGTCTGTGGGCTCGTGGTTTTGTTGTTGCTGCTGCTCAGGCGGCATTGTGGCGGAGGAAGAGGAGGTAGTGGTGGTTGTGGCGGTAGTGCTGCTGTGGTCGAGGCATGGTTAGGTGGGTGTTGGTGCTGCGGCTGCGGGGGTTTGGCGGCGGCGGCGGCGGCGGCGGCGGCGGTGGGCGGAGGTTCAATGTTTGTTTTGTTTTGTTTTGGTTGCGGCGATCTCGCGCGGGCGCTATGTAGGTAACGTCACTATCAAATAACACCACAGGGCTACATACATATATATATATATATATTTGATACTCAACATTAGCATTGCATAATACCTACTATAACCACCCTAGAAGTATAATCATCATCATCATTGTCAACTACTTATGACTACCACACATAGCCCTCTTCGCTGTTGTATACCAGCCAGCCTTACCGCCGTAATAAGTTTGTAAGATTGTCGGAGAACGTTATTCGGAGTAAGCACGGAAATGAACCCCATTCGGTTCTTTGTGTTCGGTTGAGGATTCATCCTACTAGCGTCAGTGAGGATTGTCTGTGGATGCAGGAAAGACGGAGGGCCTGCGACGACGGATGGCTTAAATACTCGGTGTCGTAGCACATGGGCAGGACCGATGGAGAGGTGCCCACTGCATGGATAGGTAGGTATGTAAGAATCGTGAAGTCGCCGAGCAAAGCTCGCGCGCATGGATAACTACTTACTCCTACTTTACGGAGTATCCCACGGCACCAAGAAAGACCAATCGTCCATCCATCCAGCAACACCGCTACTCCCATCAACCATCGCCCTAACCAAACCCAAAAACGCCGCGCCAACACCCCCTCTCCCCAAAACCCCAAGTCCTCCTACAACTCCATCGCCGCAATATGCCCGCCCACATCCCCACCCCTCCCCCACGCGCCCTCGGCCTCTCGTCCCCTCAGCAGCTCCACCACGCCCCTTGCGCCCGGCGCCGCGCTCCCGCCGCTAATCTCCCGCTCCAGCTCCCGCTTCAGCAAGCGCAGCACCTCGAACTTGCGGGCCGCAATGCGCGCGTGCGCCGCCTCGCTGTCGCGACCGGCCAGATGCGCCGCCGTCGGCGCCGGACGCAGCAAGTACGGGAGGAGCGGGTTCCCGGGACGGGTCAGCAGGCAGGGACCCGAGGGCGGGAAGGCCGCGTCGTCGGATGCAGAGTCCGGGGCTGGCGTGTTGGTTGAAGGAGTGGGTGAGGGCGAGGCGGACGCCGAGGTAGAGGGCCAATGCGCCATTACTAACGCAGCGACGAGGTCCAGCGCCGCGAGCGCGTTATCCTTGAGCGCGAGCGTCTCGGCGACGGTGACGAGGTCGGCGAAGAAGGCGGAGTTGTGCTCGAGAAAGCTGGCCGCCAGGGAGCGGGCGGCGGCGCGCTCGGCTGCGAGGCGGGCAGGCGCCTCTGCCTCGCTGGTATGCGCTGATGCTTCGTCGTCGGCCTGTGGCGGCTGCTGCGGTGGAGGGGGGAACGTCAAGGACTCGGCGTAGTCTGCGCCGTCCGAAGGGCCGTGGAAGATGGTGGCGAGCGTGCGCAACACGTCCGGGTTGGTGCTCCGGCCGGCGGGCAGCAGCGCGAGGGGGCTGGCGTCCCACGTGGGGCTGGGCAGGAGTGAGGTGCGTGGCAGCGAGGCTAGGACGTGCAGGTCGTGCTGGGGCGCGTGGCCGTGGACCCAGTGCGCGAGCTTGGTGTCACTGAAGACGTTGACGAGCCGGCGCAGCGTGGCGGCGCGTATCTCGGCGCTGGCCTCAAAGTCATCAGGATAGGTGCTAGCGTACGTGGCGAGGTAATGCGCCGCAGGCCTGTAGAGATACGATGTCTCAAACGACTCGTGTGCCGCAGGGTTGAGGAAGTAGCTCAGTGTGCGTTCGTGCACCTTTGTGGCCTTGAGGTACTCAAGTGACTTCGACTGTCCAGTACTCCTTGACGGCCGGCTGCACGTCTTCAGCAGGGCCGAGTAGAACTCAATCAGGCTGATGTGCATAAGGATGTCGTCCTTGTAGTCAACGACATGCAGGGCTGCGAAGTTTAGCAGGCCGGGCGTTGCCAGACCAAACCTCTGCTCCACCTCTGCGTGCTGCGAGAGCGTGATGGCCTCCCAGCTCAGCTCGCCGACCCGCGGCAACCAAGCCATCAACCGGGCCTGGGCAACCGTCTTGCGCGACCGATTGAGGACGTCCCCGCCGCAGAGGCGGAAGAAGAGGCTGTAGATGTCGCGGTCGCCAAAGACACGCTTCCACATGAAGCCAACACCATAGCCGACAGGGCCCTCGGTGGCCGTGGGATTCGCCGGGTCCCGGTCGACGTGGAGCAGGTCGTAGAGGACGTTGGTGGCCCGATCAGCGATGCCAATGTCCTCAGTGGACAGCCACAGCTGAACCAGGTTCGAGACGATGCTCGGGCTGCTAGCGATGAACTCGGCATGGCGGCCGTTGAGCGAAGCCTTCTCGAGCAGGGCCAGCGCCAGCGGATGATACGGCACGGCGGCCAGATCGAGCCCTGCGGCAAAGTCGACGGGTGGTTGGATGGATCGGATGGCGTCGAAGTCGTAGGGCTCGATGAGCTTGACCAAGAGCTGGATGGCCGGGGTAGGGTCCTGCTGGAGCGTGGGGAGCAGACGGGCCAGCTGCGCCGTCAGCGCCTGCGAGGTGCTGGCGTCCACGACATCCGGAGCGGAGACGAACGGCTGCACCAAATCGATGAGGTCGACATCGAGCGGTGTCGAGGGGTCTTGCTCCACTTCGGCAAAGTGAATGGGCAGTTGCTGGACAGCGGCCGTGACGAGTTCCCGGCTAGTAGACATGGCGGCGGGGTGGCGGGGTATATTTTTGGAGAGGGAGACCGGGTGTGTAAGAGTGTCAAGAAGGCCGGCCCATCAAGCACATTCGACTGTCCAACAGAACCAGCCCCAGCTCTTTCAGCAAGTTTGTTGTTTTTTTGTTGTTGTTATGATTGTAAGAGTAGTGCCGGGTAGGCTGCAGTCGATAGCTTCCGGCATACGTACCTGGCTAAGCTTCGGGCGGACCCCACCATTTCCGCAAAAAAGTCATTTGGCTAAGCTCCCCTCCCCTCCTCCACACCCACCCCTACCATGCACCCCACTGCATTCCCTTTGCTCCGGTAGCACATCCACGCCCAGTCGCCCACATAATCCCCAACAATCATGGGCAGCAGATGGGGAGGAGGAGGCGGTGGTGGCCGCGGCGGCGTCGGCAAGATCGGCGGCGCAGACGTGCCATGGGAGTACGATCCGGACTTGAAGATAGAGACAAAGCCCTCGGAGTTATTCCCAGTGAGTCGCGCGCATGCTCTGTCTCTTCTCCCCAATCGCCAGCATGCTCACCGTTCTGCAGCCCAAACCACCACCCATTGCGCCTCCGCCGCGCCGCCCCGAGCGCTCCGCCGTCGCCCGCTACCGCGCCCTGCGTGAGCGCATCCACGAGGGCCCGCTCTACACGGTCCTGGGCGACACGGCGCGCGTGTCCAAGTCGCGCCCTGGCGCCACCGCAGTCGTGGATCCTTTCGAGGGCATGCCCACCTATTCGCAAAAGTACAAGAAGCAACGGCGCAAGATCCCGCGCCTCGACACCCGGCCCTACAGTGAGTAGCAGCAGCAGCAGAAAAAGACAAATGAGTCACCAGAAGGCTGACCATCCCACCCCCGCAGTACTCAAGTTCTTCCCCGCCGAGCTCTGGACCACGCTCGACCCCACGCTCAAAGATGGCGGCGGCAACGCCGGCGGCGCCCTGAAGCGCAAGCGCAAAACGCTGCAAATCGCGAAGAGCAACCGGCTCAGCCGGCTGGAAGAGCTGGAAGAAGACGGCGACCTGGACCGCGACGACGACGACGACGACGGCGACCTCGACAAGGACGACCCCGACGCCCAGCAGGAGGAGCAGGATGACGACTTCGAGGAGGACGAGAGCGACCTCGACGACTACAATGCCGAAAACTACTTTGACAACGGCGAGGACGACGACTTTGGCGACGAGGGCGGCGGAGGTGGCGGCGATGGCTACGACGAGTGGTAGGGATAGTCCCGTCCCGCCCGCCTGCTCGCCCCTCGGGAGGGCGTTTAGTGCGTTTGGTGTTTCGGCATGGTCTTTTGGCTTGCTTGCATGGATTTGGCGTTTAAAAGCGGGAAGAGCCGTGCCCTGGCGCTGCTACTGCTACTACTACTTTTTTGCTACTTCTACCGCTTCTAGGAGTACTTCAGCTCTGTTTCGATATACCTCCAGATCCGATAATCACATCATATGAAACGCTCCTCTGCTACGGTTGCAAAACACGCATATCATCCAGGCGTTTAGAAGTGAGCACAATGCGGCCCCCAATACTCAGCAGCCACTTCAAACATGCCGCGTTCCGAATGTGTCTTGGAACCCTTGTCTCCAGTAAGACACGGAGAAACACTTATCAAAACGCTCATCGTCACCGGTCACGCGAGGAGAAGGGGCACAGCACCGATGTTTCGCAAGCAAGATCGCATCCTTTAGTTGATTCGACTAAATAATACATAGAAAGACACGACAGCCTTTGCCTCATTTGTAAGTTTCACACCAATCCTTTCCAAGCACCAAAAAGAAGCCCATCTAGTCTAGCCGGTTCATCAATAATAAACACCCCGTAATCTAGCCAAGATGGAGAAGAAATCCACCCATTAAACCTGTCCTAAGCCGAGCATGTTCGCAATGAAGCGCTTAGCGGCGCTCGGGGGCGACGTCACGGGCGTGGAGGTTGTTTCCCTGGAACATGCCGTTGAGGTAGTAGGCAACCCACTCCATGAGGTCCTGGACGGTGGTGCCCTCGGGGAGGTCAGTGGAGGGGGCCTCAGCAGAGACGGAGCCGGTAGGCTTGCTCAGGACCGAGGTCAGGACCGAGGAGGGGACGAGCGACTCGAGCTGAGCAACGCGGTCGTCGGTGGAGGAGGCGGCGGTGGTGGCGGCGGTGGCGGGGGTGGCGACGGTGGCCAGGGTGCTGGAGGCAGCAGAGCTGACAGCGGCCTCGGCGACCTTGGCGTTGGTGCCGGTGGAGCTGGAGGAGGAGCCGGAGCCGGAGCCAGACATGGTGAAGTCGACGCAAGACTCGTAGGTCTGGTCGATGGACTCGGCGAACCAGTACCACTGGAGAACGCAGTCACCGGCCGTGGAGCACTTGGAGCCGAGGTCGCTGGGCATGGTGACCTCGAAGTTGGTGTCGGTCTTCTTGACACCAGACTCAGTGGTGGCGTACTTGTCCCAGCTGATCAGGGGCTCGCCGATAGGGCTGTGGGAAGCGGTGTCGATGACGGAGACGTTGGCGACACCGGTGTGGGGAGCGCGGACATCGACCTCGAAGGTGACCTTCTGGCCAGCAGTGTAGCTCTGGACGTTGTCCTTGTTGTCGGCGAGCTTGTAACCCTTGCAGAGCCAGATGTCGCACTTGGCGGCATCGTAGTCGCTCTGGGAGGAGGCGACCTGGAGCTCGCCCTGGATGTTGCCGTAGTTGTCGGACTTCTGGTTGTTGTAGACCTGCTGACCGCAAGCGGCAGCCATGGCATCACCGGGCATACGGGCGGTGGGCTTGGTGACGAAACCGTGGCCGAGGACGGTGGTGGCCAGGGCCGGGAGGGAGGCAATAGCATAGGAGTACTTCATTTTGATGGAGTTTGATTTGGAAGGATTGATGCTGCGAGCGAGGAAGAGTGTCCTGGTACCTGTACCGGAAGAAGGAATGTGTAGTGTAGAATGAATGTGGTGGTCACAGACCGGAAAAGAGAGCGATTCGAATGCAAAGGATGGCGAGCCTTGTGAGGATGTCGAAGGAAAGCTGAGAGGGACGGCGAGAAGAGATAGATATACCTACGAGGCGAGAGGGGCGATGTTTCGCTCGGGGCCGCAAATAGCAACGGCGCCGAATTGTCAGTTGAGGCCATCCCCACAGCAGCGCTCTAGAAAGCCGCCCATGGCCAGGGCGTGGCACCGTCGCCGAAGCTCGCTTGGTGTTTTCAAACAGCTACGCTATCGCCCTGGTCATCTCCGGGGCACGAGGAGGATCGCTAACGTCTCACGTTGACTATGCGGGCCGGGGGGTTAGCGCACTAATGGTGGAGCAGATGTCGCGATGCGGCTGAAGGGCGGGCGTCATTGCGGCGCTTGCAGATTCGAAGATGCAGGAGAGATGAGGAGGGGGCTGTCGGGGATCATGCAAATCGTTGCCCGCTTCGGCCGCACCTGCTGCCAAGCGTCGCCTTTCCAAACCAACACCAGGCGCCCGGCATAGCGATAGCCATAGCAGCCCAGCAATAATTCTCCGACCGCCTCGCTGTGCTGTGCTGTGCTGTGTTGTCCGTCCGGCCGCAATTCCCGCTCTGCATCAATGGCCGCCCTATCCAACCCCCTTGCTACCCCCGAGCAGCTCGCCTCCTCCGGCTCGCGCCTGGACGGCATCCCGTCCGACCTCGACGACTCGATTCGCTTCGCCGCCGCCCGCCTGACCCAACTGGCCGGCGTCCTGCTCCGCCTTCCGCAGGACATCATCGCCCAGGCCATCGTTCTCTTCACCAGATTTTGGGTCGGCGCCGAGGGCGGCAGTCTCGCCGATTGTGCGGCAAAAGCATGTCCCCAATCATATTGCACGTGACCTTCTATCTAACTGCTCCTTCAGGATGTCTCCGCTGCAGCGCTATACCTCGCCGCCAAGCTGTCAGCCTACCCCCGCCCCCCGCGTAGCGTTCTCAACGTTTACGCCTACCTCGACGCCTTCCCGGCCACGTTGGCCGACGCGGCGCAGTACAGCACCAAGCTCGATCCAACGACGTACTACCTCAGCGAAGGCGACTACCATGCGCTACGCAGCCTCCTAATGCGGAACGAGGCACGCCTGCTGCGCACGCTCGGCTTCCAGACGCACGTCGCGCTGCCGCACGCCCTGTGCGTCAGCTATCTGCAAGCGCTGGGCGCGGTGCCAGGCGGCACGGCCGGGCAGGCCCTCGCCGCGCGTGCCCTCGCCCACCTCAACGCCGCCTTACTGAGTCCCCAGCTGTTGTATCTTACACACCAGCCACCCGCCCTTGCTACCGCTGCTATCTACCTCGCCGCCAGGGAGGTCGGCGTAAAGCTGCCTGCTGACGAGTGGTGGGAAGTCTTCGACACGGACCGCGAGGAGCTTGGATTCCTTGTCGTCGCCTTCATGAGCTTGCCTGATTTCGCGCGAGAGGAGAAGGCCAAGTGGGGGGCTGGCAAGGTCCCCTTGACGCTCCCTGAGGTCGAGGCCGAACTTGAGAAGCGGCGCATCCTTGCGCGCGAAGAGTGATAGGATCGCCCGCTCCACTTCCCTATTTGGGTACATAATACCCGACGTGCCGACTTACGGTCACCCCTGCGTCACCAGCTGCAAACATGTTTCGAAGCTTGACGATTCTAAAAGGCTTGATCGTCGGTTCTCCTGTTAAAAGCTGCCCCGGCACATCGGCAGGCTCGACAATGCACAAGGCTGCGTTGGCTCCAGTTCATGCGGGTCATGCCAAGCTTGATAAGTAAGCTTATGGGGGATTGAAAGCGCTTAGGAGTATTGGCTCCCTGTTCCGGCCGTTACTTGCCATCATGTGACTAATTTCAACGAGAAGTGATATACATGTGAAGGAATCCTCTGCTCGCGCAGCCGCTGTAAGGGGGGCAGCACCCGGATTACCCAGTAAGGCAAGCCAGGGCGAACCGTGGTGGGTTTAACTGCTTCTCCTCCGTTACCGTTAACGGTGCCTTGACGGATGGAAGTCAGTAAGCACATCCCCCGTTTACGTTGTTCTTGTGTCGGCGGCATTCCAAAAGACAGGTCCTAGGTACTCGTAGAGTAGGACAACCCTATATGATAGGTAGGCGACAAAGTGGAATAAAACATCGCGTCTTCAATCGTTGGTGAAATGTAATATTATGTTGCCGGTCGCTTCAGCAAAGTCCGTTACCATGAAGCGGGATTCACCATTCAGCGAGATAGTAACCGATACAAGCAGTCCCTACGGAATACTCCGTCTAGCTACAAGCCTGAGTACTAGATATGAATGAAATGGTTTTAGAGAATACACATACTATTATCTAGATTCTTTTTCTACTCTGTACAAGCAGCACTATCTCGCAAGATTATTAATCTCGCTTCATAGTGACGGGCGTTAGCTTTGGACGAAGTGTAAGTTCGAGATACAGTCCAGCCTGCTTACAACGATTGAACTGGTCAGCAACTTCCGACTGTTAAAAGATGTTTGTCACTAAGTCTTGCGGAACCAATCGACAATTATAAGAAGGTAAACGATGAAAAGAAAATAAACGCTTAAAGAGGATCGGACTACGTTTGTTGGGTGCAGAGTGGGCGGTGTTTTCTTGTTTGAGAGCAGACGAGTCAGACAGACTTTGGTGATGGAGCGTTTTTGACTCAACGTCAAGAAACTTCACACGAAGCGACAGCTCTAGACATGCTCACGATTCTCTGATCATCGAGTATGTTAACATTTATTTTTTCAGTAAAAATATAATATAGTCCTAAAGAACTAGTCACCTTTTCACGATTAAATAAAAAGGGTTGCTGCATTTTTTAGAAAAAGTTTTCAACATCAACGCCCGTTTGCTTGCTTGGCGCGATCGGCGCCGGAAAAACACCTCGGCGCGTCTGGAAATTCTTCTGAAAACCTTCCCGCACAGCGAGAACACGGCCGGCGACGCGACTTGCTGCGAGGACCATTGAATACCTTTCCCCCCCCGGCGCGGGTTGTCCTCACTACTTAGAATTTTCAAAAGCAACAACTCTCACCATGTCCGTCGAGTATCTGTTGCACGAGTCCCCGGTCGGCTATGCCGTGCGTTTTCCTCGCGTCCAGACATGTCAAGCTTCACCACTCACAATGCGCGCAGGTCTTCAAGGTCAAGCTCCAGGCTGACACGGTCGGCAACCGCCTGAAGGAGGTCCAGCAGAAGGCCCAGGAGCTTCAGACTTTCGGCAAGATGGTCGAGGTCCAGGGCTTCTCGCCATTCCAAGGTGCCGCGCAAGCGCTCGAGAACCAGAACGACATCTCGGAGGGCATTTGCTCCAACTACCTCAAGTCCGTCATCGAGCTCTACGTCCCGAACCCCGGCAAGAAGAACAAGGTCGTTCTGGGTGTCCAAGAGAAGAACCTGGCTGGTAGCATCAAGGCCAACTTCCCCTTCATCGAGTGCGACACGGCCGAAGTCAGCGAGGTTGTCGCTGATCTGCTCCGTGGTCTCCGTCTCCATGCCCCCAAGCTCCTCAAGCAGCTCCAGGAAGGCGATGTCGACCGTGCCCAGCTTGGTCTTGGCCACGCCTACTCTCGCGCCAAGGTCAAGTTCAGCGTCCAGAAGAACGACAACCACATTATCCAGGCCATTGCGACCCTCGACCAGCTCGACAAGGCCGTCAACACCTTCTGCATGCGCGTTCGTGAGTGGTACAGCTGGCACTTCCCTGAACTCATCAAGATTGTTTCGGACAACCAGAAGTACGTCCAGCTGGCCATCTTTATTGGCGACAAGACCACTCTGAGCGACGAGAAGCTGCACGACCTGGCTGCGATCGTGGACGACGATGAGGGCACTGCGCAGGGAATCATTGATGCCGCGAGGGTTAGCATGGGTCGCGATATCTCGGAAACCGACATGGAGAACGTTATGATGTTCGCCGAGCGCGCTCTCAGCCTGTCGAAGTACCGCAAGTCTCTTCATAACTACCTGATCAGCAAGATGGGCGTTGTTGCGCCTAACCTTGCTGCTCTCATTGGCGAGACTGTCGCTGCCCGCCTGATCTCCAAGGCTGGTTCGCTCACCAACCTGTCCAAGTACGCCGCTTCCACGGTCCAGATTCTTGGTGCCGAGAAGGCGCTTTTCCGCGCCCTCAAGACCAAGGGCAACACCCCCAAGTATGGTCTGATCTATCACTCTTCGTTCATCGGTAAGGCTGGCCCCAAGAACAAGGGCCGCATTTCGCGCTTCTTGGCCAACAAGTGCACGATCGCCTCGAGAATCGACAACTTCTCCGAGGTTCCCACCACCAAGTTTGGTGAGGCTCTGAGGAGGCAGGTTGAGGAGAGGCTCGAGTTCTTCCAGACTGGTTCCGCGCCGACGAAGAACGAGGTCGCCATGGTCAGTAATTCCGAAGTTAATCCCTGATACATTTTTACAGATACTAATATCATTACAGAAGAATGCTATGGACCAGGTCCTTGCCGATATCAACATTGACGACCCGACGGCCGCCGGCGCCGAGGACGAGGAGAAGGCCGATGGCGTGACGTCGCAGGCCACGGAGCAGAAGCTTCGCGCCAAGAAGGACAAGAAGGAGAAGAAGAAGGACAAGAAGAGCAAGACGGATGAGGAGGGCGATGTGGCGATGGCCGATGCGACGCCCAAGAAGGAGAAGAAGGAGAAGAAGTCCAAGGACGAGGACAAGGAGGAGAAGAAGAAGAGGAGGCACAGCGAGGTCGTCGGCGACGGCGAGGAGAAGAAGAAGAAGAAGAAGAGCAGAAAGTCGGAGTAAGCCTTATCTATGGAATAGGGCAGAGAGGGAGGCTGGAAAAAAAGGGCGATATTTCTGCATGACACGGAGGGAGTGATCTTTGACTGACGGGTACAACGTTGCCACTGTAACCGATATGGCGGCGTATACGGCGCTTTGCGAATACCGGGCTTTTTCATTTGAGTTGGGACGGGTTCTGTTGTTAATGTTTTTGAGCGCCGCTGAGGTCGCGCATTTGGCTGCATGACTGGCATTCGAAAAAAAAATATATATGAGATTAAAATCATTGTATGTACGTGAGCTCTACCGGCTATTTCCACTGCGGTTCCTTCGTTCGGACAAATTCGGGCGGATGTTCTGCCCATTTTTATATTTTGAATGACAGGATGCATCGGTCACTTAGTATAAAGTCACGTGGTCATCGGAGTTTTGAGTTTCGGTCGCCGATTCTGCCACAATTGGTTTCTGACCGCCCTAGAAATTCACGGCGCTCTCTATCAAATAGTTACTCATTCACACCTGCACTCTGCAACACTTGCAAAATCTGCTCGCCTCCCAACACCTCTGCAGCCTTGCTGTCGCATTCCCGACTGCCGCTTGACTGCCCGCGACACCTGACATCGTTCCTCGACTGCCTGCAACCCTTGCTGTCATTCACCCGGACAGCCGCCCGCCGACTCTTCGAGCAACCTTGCTATCGCTTCGCCCTCTCCTCTACTCTCCTCCTCGATACTTCTGCGGCAGTAGCTGTCGGCATCAGAAAACATGGCGCCCGCCACCGCGTCTAAGAAGGACCAGCTGTACGACAAATGCGCCGAGCGTGAACCAGGCACTATATTCTACCAGGAAGACCTCAGCCTGTTCAACGTCGCCAAAGATGTGGAAGAGCTAGTGCGGCTCTGCCAGGAGCTGGTGGACGCACACCTTTTCGAGCTGTTAGAATCGGGGCAGAACGCGTGGGACAGGGCGCTATGCTGGCGGCTACGGACGCGGGAAGACGCGGCGAAGCTGCGGTCGATGGACCCGAACGAGCGCGTCGTGTACTCGCACATATCGTCGACGAGCGACCAGGGCATGTGGACGCGCACGATAAAAGCCAAGACCAACTTCCACCAGACGGTCATCAACAAGGCGCTCAAGTCGCTCGAGGGCAAGCGCCTCGTCAAGTCGATCACGAGCGTCAAGCACCCGGGCCGCAAGATCTACATGCTGGCGCACCTGACGCCGAGCGAGGAGATCAGCGGCGGTCCGTGGCACCAGGACGGCGAGCTGGACGTCGAGCTGATCGAGACCATTGCCGGCGTCATCGTGCAGTACGTCGAGGGCGAGAGCTGGGCCGAGCAGCGCGGCCCCTCCAAAGCAGACATCCGCCGCAAGAAAGAACTCGTCCAGCAGCAGCGCAACAACAACAACAACAACTCCAACCTCCCGGCCGACCCTCCCAAGTTCGAGCCGCCCCTCGGCCGCAACGGCCGCCTCCTCGTGCCCCACGCCCCGGGCTACCGCAACTACCCCACCGCGACCTCCATTCTCGACTTCATCGTCAAGTCGGGCGTCATCGAGGGCGTCGTGATCCGCGAGTCGGACCTGCGCTCGCTGCTCGACAACCTAGTCTTCGACGGCCGCCTCGAGCGCATGGGCGCCATGGGCTACCGCACCGTGCGCGGCGTCATGAACGAGACCGAGGAGGGCTACGGCAACGGCCTCACCCAGGCCCCCTGCGGCCGCTGCCCCGTCTTCAATCTTTGCGAGGAGGGCGGCCCCGTCAGCGCTACCAACTGCGTCTACTTTGAGGAGTGGCTGAAGCTGTGACCTGCGCGTGCTTGCTCCTACTACCACTACTGCTGCTGCTGCTGCTTTTGTGTGGTAGGCTTTTTCCAGCGATTCTAATAGTAATAGTCTGGTCGATGATGTGGAACAGCACAATCACCTAGACCGTGCGTGATGGCGCAAGTTTTGATGGCGCAAAAAAAGAGGGCCACGGAAGAGCGGCGTTTTCAGTTGAAAGATCTTTTTTTTGATTGGGCACGTCGATGTCTACTCGTCGCCATGAGTCGTGTCCGACAGGTACGACGATGACGACCAAAGATGAAGAAAAAGATATCATCAAAGCGATGTTTTTGTCGAGAGAAAAACAAACTTGTTGACGCGACTCGTCACGAAAAAAGAATTCAACAACAGCATGCGGGAAACAGAGGGGTAATCTTTGCACATTAAACTGTATCCCTTCATCATCGTCATCCTACACCGTGGTATGCTGCACCGCTCGTCCCTTCACCCTCGCTCCGCTCCGCTCTGCTCCGCTCCGAAAGAGGACCACCGTCCTGCCTCCGCCTACTTCGGCGCCGTGACAACGCCCTCGTAATCCCTCGACGCTATGTAGTCCAGCGTGCGCTGGAAGTGCTTGCGCGGGTTCTCCAGGCTCGACGTTGCCTCGTTGGTGTTGAGGTTGGAGTGGATAAGCTCAATCAGGCCATTCAAGTACTTGGTCGTCACCTGTTGCGCGTTAGAATTTTAGGGCAACGAGGGCTCGCGGAGAGAAAAGGGGTAGCTTACAGCCTCGTTTTCCTGGTCAAAGTAGTAGACGTATCTGTTCAGGATCTCGACAAACAGCTCGACGCTGACCGCCGTGTCCATGCATGCGTCGGCGACTCTCAGCGCGCGCTGCAGACACTCGAGCACGCGCTTGCCGTCGCGGTAGAGCTGTTGGTTTTTGTCAACGATCCGCCGCATCTTAAAAGACCGGATATACTTACATCTTGAGCATCTTCCTCACCCTTGGCCCGGATGTCCGTAGCCCACCACAGGTGACTCGCAAGGTAGACGGCGCGGCACTGGTCAGGCTTCTTGAGGAGCTTGCTTCCGTGCAGCGCGCACTTGGTGATCAAGGTATCGTAGTTGTCTCTGCTGAAGTTCCTCGTCGTGTGCAAACCCGCCGCAATGATGCAGACCGCCTGGAACTGCGCGCGGCTGTCGCTGATCGCCTCCTCGTAGATGGTGAAGGCCTGCGCGAAATATTCGTAGGCAATCTCTTCGTGGTCAGTCTGGTCCGCGACCTGGCCACAGGCGACAAACAGGCGTAGGCTGATGTCAGCGGCACCGTTGACGCGCGCGTACAGGGTGCTGAGCAGCGAGTGGGCGAATTTGTAGAGGGCCGATGATTGCGAGGACCAGTTGTCGTCAAAGTGCTCACGGGCCTTGAACTTACGCGCCAGTTTGAGGGAGGCCGTAATAAGGGCGGGGGTAGTGAACTTGACCCGCTCGTTGCCTTCGCTGAAGGCTTTGCGGGCAGCTTGGAGGAGCTTGCAGGATGTTAATCAGCGAATATATAAACCGTAATTGCAAACTTACCTTGAATTGAGTGTCATTGTCCGGCCCGTTGATGAGATGCACTATCCTTGCCAGCCAACCCTGCTCTTCAATGGTCTCCTCTGTCTCCATGCCCTTCCTTTGGATTGGACCCCCAGGGTATCCGGTGGGCTGTTGCGCGCCCTCCTTGATTATGACCTTGACAATCTCCAATACACTGTCCAGGTTCTCTTGCGAAGCGATCCTCGTTTGGTTCCTAAGAAGACTCCGAGCAACCTCACCGGCTACTGCCCGCCTGGTAGGGTACGGTTGCGAGTGCAAAAGAGGCACAAAGCTCGGAAGAGCAAGTGCCGTGAATAAAGACAAGTAAGCCTTGATGGGAGCAAGCAAGAGGCTAAGGATGTTGGATTGTGATGCTTGTGAGTGAAGGTCGGCGCTGTTGGCATACTGTGCAACCTTTTCGTTTGCGAAAGCCAGCACACGGTCAACGTAATCAAGACGTTCGGGGTAAATGTTCCTGGTCAAGTCAGCTTGCGGACCCATCCTCGACGCTGGAGTACTCACAAAGCAAGATTCGTCAAGGAAACAAGAAGGGCAATGGTATCTTGAATAGGCAGACGCTGCATCTTGACCAGGCTTGCGACCTGCTCGTGGAAGATCTCGAAGAGCTTGACATGTTCAGGGATGCCACGCTTCTTTTTGCTCTCGCCGTCCGTATCTACAGCCGTAGTTTCTGTCGTTTCGGAGGGCGCAACCGCAGTGGCCTCCGTATTGGCTGAAGCTGTATCGCCCTCCGGCGCTGCTTCAGCGGTCTCTCCGTTTGCGCCAGCACCGCCAGTTTCGCCGGCTTCGCCAGCTTCACCAACTTCGCCAATTTCGCCAGCTTCACCACTCTCGCCACTCACTCCAGTCTCTCCGTTTGGTTTTTTGGGCGCGTCCTCTGCTGGAACATCTTGTACTATCCGTAAGCTCTCAAGAAGTTTGGCGACAGCTTCCTCCTCGTTCTTCTTTCGATCTTCGGGCGACTCGGCCTCGGATTCCCTGGCAGCATATGCGGACAGCCTGTCCATCATGCCAATGACAATGCCCTTGACATTGACGTGGGGGTTCAGCCTGGAGGTAGCAGAGAGGAATTGGTCAAGGGTATGGAGATGAAATTCGTCCGGGAACACTTGGGTTATGACTGTTCCTCCATCAGCAAAGAATCCAGCGGCCGTGCATTGTAACCATCTTACCTTCAAGAAGATACTCCTGCGCTAGAACATCGCGACATTGCACAACTTGTTCCAAGAGTGGACCCAAAATCTTCTTGTAATTTTCCATGTCGACCAACTGGCTCAGTCGCACAAGGTTGCTGCCAACGAGCAGTTGCAATTCTTGTCGTTCCTTTGTCCTCTGCTCCCTTTCGCGCGAGTGTCCTTGATGTTGTAGCCTCACCCAGAGTTTGTTCATCTCCACGAAGTTGGTCAGGATGAAGCTGATCGAGTCCTGAAGGTTGCCTTCTGGTCCTTCACCATCGCCAGTCGGCAGGCAATCCCGGGCTTGTCCAGAAAGATAATACCGTAGAAACAGGCCACGGATAGGGTGCTGCACACCGCGACTCATTTCCATCATATCTTTCATGATCTCCTTAACGGGCGCGTCCTCGATAGCCATGTACACCGTACCGACCGTGATCATAAGGTACAGACGGGGGATAATGTTGCCTGCATACTGCACAAGCTCATATAGATCCGCTAGGTGGTTCACTGGGTGGTTGTCGCGGAGATAAACAGACAGGTACCGCAACGCGTCGAAGACGGACATGTAGAGCTCGTAGTATTGCTTCGGACCCAGGCTGCTCGTTCGCAATTCCGAAACTAGGGTTGAACTATGCGCCCGGATCGTCAGCATCATGTTTGAAGGGACACGTGGGAGAACGCATAGGAAAAAGTCGGTTTTACCAGCATTTGAGCGCATCCATGAGCTTCCCCGGGGTCTCCAGGCACCGCCGCATGAGCATTGTCTGCTGGCGCACCACACCCAGGGCGTCCTCCAGCAGGCGCGATTGATCTTCCACGGGCGGTGGCGACGCCATTGCTGCTAATGGGCTTGAATGATGTCTTGTGACGGGTGGGTGTTGGTGCGGAGATGGCCGGTGATGTCGCTGATGCCGCGTGGGCGATGTCCCCTCGACGAGCTGTGGCTGGAGCGGCCGAGCGTCGTAGGCGTGGTGGCACGGACGGTTGATCATCGCTGGAGGACTCGGGGGCACAAACCCAACACCGCGGAAGTGCGCTCGAACTGACCACATAGCAACGATAATGGGAATGTATTATTGCAAGGTACCTGCAGTTGCCTAAAATTTCTGGATGAATCCTCTGTATACTAACTCCTTCCCCATGCGTTGCTGCTGGTAAGTACAGTCTACTGCGTCCCTTCCGTCCAGAAAAATTACAAACGCCTAAACAACAATGGCCAAGGTGGTATATCATTCATGCTCGTCCAGGCGTGGCTCGTCAATGTTTGATAAAGAAAAATAAAAAAATAAAAATCAACATGTGCAAAGAAGCGAAGCATCCGGACACCGCTGCATCTCCCGGGACCTGTGCCAAACGTCACAGCAGATACAGAGCGTGACCTCTAATCCATCGTTCGTTAGGCAGTACTCGAGGGAATAGCTTAAGCAGTGGAGGTCGCAGTTGCGGACGAGGTTCCGAAGTCGGTTACCGTGACCGTGGCCGCCCCGGTAGCCAGTGCCGGGAAAGTCTTGATCGCGTAGGATGTGTGCCATTGGCCGTCGTCGTAGTACTCAGTGGTGCTCGGTGATTCCGTGACGGTAACGACACTAACCAATGTCGAAGACGACGAAGTAGAACTCTCCGAACTAGTTGTTTGTGTGCTCTGACTGCTAGGGTCCGCGCGCAGTGTCGTGGTGTAAATCAGGGTCTCGGTGACAGAAGCCTGGGGCTGAACTTCGGTCTTGGTGACGACAATCGTCTCATCCGTGGAGATTGTTTCGGTGGTCGTGGTCGGCTCTTCGGCAGCGGTCTGAGTTGTGACAACTACGGGTGTGGCGGTAGCTGTCACGGTCTCCGTAACGGGCGGGGTCGAGGATGTCGGGCCACCATCGACGTTGACTACAGAATACGTCTTCGCGGGCTGTCGGGCTTTGATATCGACATGGTTGTCGCGTGCGTCTAGTGGTGATGATAGAGAGCCCGATGCGCCATCTACATTGACCACTGCATATGTATGCTTGGCGCGTTTCGCCTCGAGCGGCATTGCAGTTACGAGGCCAGACGTGAGCAAGGAAAAGACGATGCCGCTAGAGAACCTCATGCTTCCGTCGTTTGGGTTTTCTTGGATTTGAGTCGTTGATGGGTTCTGCTAAAGCTCAAGTGGAGCGCAGCTAGAGCAGACGGACGATGTAGAGTATTTTTAGTTTGGACGATCGTGGGCGCTCGTACTAAATGTGGAGATGAGTGCAGAGTGAAGAAGGGATTGGGGAAAATCGTCGCTCGTGCTCCAGGTAGGATGCCCGCCATCCTGCGTGACTGCGTGACTGCGTGACTGCGTTGGCAAAATCGTGGAGGCTGGTCGAGGGCTGGGCGGGGGCTGGGAAATAGCCCGAGCGGCCACAGTATTAATCCCTGCTTACTCCCGGCCACGCTAAGCCCTACCCACGGTATCCTTGCTATCGTCTTCTTGATGTTTTGATTCTGCAGACAAAAGAAGATATCTTAATAGGGGAGAAGCTGAACCCATGCAGGAGGAAGGCTACCTAGGTAACTACATTATCACAGTGCCATGGGGATGGCGGTTTGGTTTGACTTAGGAACAAAATCGAGCTGCGAGAGGAATGCGTCCTTAAAAAGCCGTCTTATCAATGGATTCTTTCCTGAACTGATAGCCATATTTGCTGGCAGGGAAGCACGTACTCCTATGACGGTCGGGGAGTAGATGTTGTTCCAGTTTACATGCCTCTCGTGAGTGCCAACCCAACTATGAGCGCAGACTCTCGATACATCCACGGAGTAACCTGTAGAGAGCATTTCCAAGATATCACAAGCATACTTACTTGTTCCTTGCTTAATATTTTCTAAATTCGGAAAAACTTGACATGCTTTCTTTTCTACGGAGCACCACTTACTGTGGGGATTGAACAATAATATCCTCCCTTCGACCGTTGTATGTGTGGCGAACAAATCAATAATCGTAGAATCCCTTCCCGCTCTTCTTTCCAAGCCAACCAGCATCGACCATCTTTCGCAACAGTACAGCCGGTCGATACTTGCTGTCTCCTGTTTCTTCATGGAGAACTTTCATGATTGCCAGGCAGGTGTCAATGCCGATGAAATCTGCCAACTGCAGAGGCCCCATCGGCACGTTTGTACCATTCTTCATGATGCTGTCAATATCCTCCTTGTTGCCTACACCTGTTTCCAAGCAGATAATAGCTTCATTGATGTATGGCATCAGGATACGGTTTGCCAGGAAGCCGGGAGAGTCTGCAGACTTGGAAGGGATCTTGCCCATCTTTTTGCATAACTCTATCGCAGTGTCAATGGTATTTTGGGAGGTTTGGAGCCCTGTTATGATTTCCACTCCTTTTTGAACTGGCACTGGGTTCATGAAGTGCGTGCTAATGACACGGGAAGGAGCCGAGAGGTCGGTCGGGTCCGTGGTTGTGGCCGCAGCTATACGGGTGATGGAAATAGACGATGTGTTAGTGGCTAGAATTGCATGTGACGGACAGATTTGAGCAATTTGGGAGAAAATCTTGGTCTTGAGGTCTGGTATTTCCTGTAACACCGTCAGAAATATTCATCAAATATCCTCGACCGAGTTGGCATACGGGGACAGCTTCGATAACGAAGTCAACATCAGACAAATCGTCTATGTTTGTACTCGTGCTCAGTCGTTCTCTCGCAGCCGTGGCATCATCTTGTGAGATTCTTTGCTTGCCGACATCTTTCTCCAGTAGTTTATCTAGCTAAGTATTAACAATGTATATCGGCGCAACTGTGGTGCATGTCAAGGCATACTGGCGAACTTCAACCCCTTGTCGATGGAAGCTTGAGAAGTATCCACGAGCTTGATGGGTAACTGGGCCTTCTGCGCGGCTACGAGTGCGATGCCGAGGCCCTGAGCTTAACGTGTCAACGGACTGATGCTAGGAGATGACAGCAACCTTGCCTAACCATTTGCCCCGCGCCGATTACACCGAGCTTCTTCACTTCAGCTGCCGCTGAAGTCTTGGGCGTGGAACTGAAGCATCGCAGTTGTGCAAAACGGGCATATCGAGCTCCTTGACGAGTCACTGCTGCGAACGACATAGCGGATCAAATAACAGACGGAGAGTGCGGAGAAGTGGGAGATGGACAGCTCCGCAACGCATGTGTCTGGGGAAGGTTGCGGACCGATGGCAGCTGCCCGTTGTTCCTCGGCTCAGACAGTCCAACCCTAAATTGTCTTGGCACGGGCGCGACGCGGGTTACGCGCAGAGCGCGTCGCGTTCTCCCGCCGCCTTATGCAATATCAATTTTGAGACGACTGTCGATGTCATAACAACCGCAACGATGAACCTCGACGACTGGGTCACAATCGAGACAGTCGATCCCGAGGTTCGGGCGCACATATACAGCTTGGCATCTGCTGTAAGTATATGCGCCTTTAACATGCTCTTCCGACAACTGATGGTGTTATAGCTTGGCGGTTCCAGCATTGAAAGCGACGGCCACTATGTGCTGGGAGACGACGCCCTTGCGGTTCTGAAAGATATCCGCAAATGGCTCAGGCTTTACGACCAGAAGCTAAACCGACATGACGTCGCAAGATGCCTCGCGGAAGCGAATATTGTGAAGGGTGACCTACTGGAGATACTGGCCTTGTGGACGGAGGACAAGACCAACGATAGACTCAAGTCGAAAGCCGCCCTGGGATGCTGTATGTTTAGAAGAAACGCATGGATGTGACAGGACAGCGCTGACTTGCGACAGTGGAACTTTTGGTGCCTTTGACATGGCCGCTAGAACTTGACACAACCGAAGCGACGGTCAACCACCACCGGCACATACCCTATCTTCAACTAGCACACACCAAGTACAAAAGAGCTGTCTTGCAACATGATGCGAAAATTCTCCGAACAGTTGTACGGATAGCCCTTCCTTCAATGGCCGAGTCGAGACGAGAAAGGGCTTCAAGAGATGAGGGTATCATCAATATCGTGTTATACTTTCTTCGCAACGTTGCGTTGATCAGCCGCCCCCCAAATCTTCCCGATGATGGAGACGACTCGGATATTTCTCGTTCTGCCACCATCGACGCCTTTCACAGACAAGACGTCTTTCAACTGCTTCTCACTATCGCATCGAGTATCGGCGATGAATTTGTAGAGCAAGATGCTGTAGTGCTGGAAGTTTTGTTCCACCTCCTCAAAGGTATTGATGTGGATAAACTCTTTATGGAAGAGGAAAAGTTGGCTAGCTCTAATACCAACGATCTGAAGGCCCTTATTCAAAAAGAAAAGGCGATGCTGGCGGGTTACGCGAAGAATGCCCCTACAAGGCATAATCGCTTTGGCACAATGATCTGGGTCAAAAGGGACGACGAGAAAGTGTCAACGGTGTCAGGACAGGACGTACTTGGCAATGGCCAACGCAGTCTACAAAAGATGGACAAAACCAAGAAGTGGAACAAGCCAAGATATCGCGGCACGAAAGGGAACAAATCAGTCAACGTAAGTCATATGATTGCGTTTTTCTTCCTGTCAACTAATGCCTTTTAGGACGAATTCGACAAGAAAGTACCTCTCACGAGCACAGCACGTAAACACCTCCGGACCTTTGTGGAAGAATTCCTTGATTCGTCGTTCAATCCCCTTTTTACGCACCTTCGAAAGGCGATTGCAAATGAAGTACCCCGTATTCTGGAAAAGACTCATCCTCGCCAATATTTTTATCTGGTTTCGTGGTTCCTTCGCGCCGAATGCATACGTCGAGCGAGAGTTAGACAAAAGTCTACCAAAGAAGGCAACAATGCTTCTATTGACTCCGAGGACGAAGGGTTCGCTCTGATTGCAGGCGTCATGAACCAAGAAACCTTCATCCTTTTGAATCGGTTCATGCAAGCAAGCTTTGACGACAAGTCATGGCATGATCTCAACGCCGGGATGAAGTGCTTTACCCAAATTGTGAGTATTACGCTTGTTTCATTCGGACAGATGAGTACTAACCAAGGAAAAGCTCTATACTGTCCAAGACATGACGGAATCTCCCGTTGAAGATGACCAAGAGATTTCCGAAAACATTCAAAACCGTATCTTCTATGAAGAAACGACTCACGATCGCATTATCGCTATTCTACGAACGTACAATGGTCAAGATTTCGGCTACCTTGACGCATGTACTGAGTTGGCGCACGTCTTCATGCGCATGCTTGAAAGATACTCAAAACAAAACGTCGACCTTCAAGTACGTTCTCGCCGGCGGGCGCGAAGGAAAGCAAAAGCTGTTGCACAAGCCAATGGGGAGGACGACGGAGTTGAACACCAAACTGCTGACGCAGATGATGTTGCTGATGCTCACCGTACAACTTCCGAAAGGAAATTCGACTTCATGCGCTTCGCAGCGCGGTTTATGACCCAAGGTTCCATTGATACATTCGTCGCCTTCACACGTTTCTACAACGATCTAGATGCGGAACAACTCAAACGCGCGCATCGATTCTTCTACCGTGTTGCATTCAAAATGGAGCTAGGCATCATGTTGTATCGCGTGGATATACTGCAGCTCTTCCACAAGATGATCAAAGGTCCAGATGGTCTCGACAAGGACTTACCTACTTACAAAGATTGGGAAGAGTTTGCTAAACAGCTATTCCGTCGTGCCATCAAGAAAATCGAGGAAAGGCCCGAGCTTGTGGTGGAAATGCTTTTCAGCAAGATCCCTGCCACAACGTACTATCTTGAGCATGGTTATGAGAAAGAAGTCATCACGAGGGCTCCCAGACCACCGGCTGAGTTGGAGATGAAGGGCAATCTGGACAAGCACGGGCAACTCCAAGTGGCGGCATCACTACTGATCAACCAGAATAAGACTGATCATCTTGCTTGGGTCAAGAGCTTCTTATCTTCTGCCGCGGAAGAACGTAGAGCATGGGAGCAGGAAAATGAGGCTAGGAGAGCTATGGCTCAGGCCCAGCTTTCCGAATCCACCGAGCAACCTACGGCTGAGCCTGAAGATGATCGGTCAAATGCGCCCTCCATTCTAGCACGGCCTGACAGCGATGAACGCCGCATTGCTTTGTTTAAAGACCGAAATTTACGGCTCCTGCTAAACATTATCGGTCTCCAGCGAATTGGTGCCGACGATGACACCGAAGCCAACTGGATCATTCCATCGTCTTTGACTTCTACAAGCTTGGCCGAAAACGAGCGTACTATTCAGCAGACGGAGTGGGAACCACCCTCTTTTGGCGAGGATAACGACAAGTCTGCGGAAGACATGGTGCGTAGTAAGAGACACAAAGCTGCGTACGATGACGATGAAGATAATGAGGCGCCGGACGCACTAGACGACGAAGAATTATACCCTGCTGGTGGCCCGACCGCTCGGAAGTCGGACGCACCTAAGAAGAAGTTAAAGAGGAGGATGCGGAAGAGACAAGACAGCGACGAGTCAAATGACGATGAAAAGAAGAACAGAAGGGCTGAAGCTCGGCGTCTGAAAGACCTCGAAAAAAGACGTAAAATAAAAAGTGACATCCTTGTTCATTCTTCAGATGAAGACACCGATGAAGAACGGGATAAAGATTTCTTCGCTCGCGAAGAAGAGACAAGGAACAGGACTGGCCGCAACATCCTCAATGCTCTCACCCACGCCAAAATTAACGAACTTAGTGCAGGCAGAGACAAGAAGCGCAAGTCGACAAACGAGGGCCGGAAAAATAGAAAGAAGAGGAAAGGATCAGTTTCTCATAGCGAGGACAATAGCGATGAGGATCTGCTCAATCTCAGCAGCCGCTCATCGTCTTTGGAACCTGCCAACCCTTTGAGCATCGACAGTGATGGAGAAGAGGAAGAAGCTGACGATACGCCGTTGTCTTCGCAGCCGGCGGCGCCTATCAGAGATGCTGAAAGATCGGTCACGTCTCCAATGAAAGATACAAACACAGACGTGATCATGGGCGAAGATGACGAGGACGATGACGAGGAGGATCTCCCAATCCGCAAGCCAGTAAGAAGAAGCAATATGCGTGCTGGATTCTTGATCGACGATAGCGATTCCGAGTAGCGGAGTGTCTTCGGGTTCTCATGGACGGCGTTCGGGATGCTTTTGCAGTACGTGTGCAACCACACACATGGAGTCTGGGGATATATCTGGGTCCGAGTATACCATCATTGGCCGTTTCTCACGTTTCAGGCTTTAATCGCACAGCTCAGCTGACGTGTACGTCGACGAGAAGCTAGAATTCCTTCTGTGACATTGTCCGACAGTGGCGTCACGTTGGGGACTGGCCTTTTCTTCCGTGACTTGTGACGACGCGTTTTCTGGCTCCCCGTTGCAGGACCCACTTAACAGATGGCAATCCATCACGAGGTGACGAGGTTCTAGAATTTCCATCATAGGGCTAAATGCGCATCGCGAGCTGCAACAGTTCCCAAGGCCGCCGATTGATCCGAGCCTTACGCCATTCCACACTCATCCTGCATGAGCCTTGCTTTATGGGTCTGGAAAATCCTGTTATCCCTGGCTCAAATCCCGCTTGACGTGCGTAACACAAGCGACAATCGCTGCCCAGACCTAGTGCGGAGGGTGTTGCGCGCGCGGAGGAATGACGTCACGCTAAACGAAGTCAAGCCACGCCAGACCCCTGGTCCTTCCTGCTTTGGTATATTGTGGCGCAGTTACCCTTTTGTCTAGGTTGCAACCTTGGAAGTTACGCCCCTCTTCACAACTTAACCAACACTGACGTCAGGAGCGACCAGCTACCATATATACACCTTCCGGTTGTGCCTCTACAGTATCTTCACTTTACAACACACATCAATCTCGCACCACTTTCAATCATCCACCTTCCACCACTCCAAAACTCACATTTCCTCTCCAACCACTTTTTTTTAATACCCACATCCATCATGTCTCACAGCGGCCAAGCTGCCGGTCAAGGCGTCAAGAACGCCTTCGGTACCGTTCACGGAGCTGGTGAGGCTATCCGTGGCCAAGTCAACACCTTCGCCGACAGTGCCGTCGGCACCAACGAGGGTATCCCTAAGAATCAGGCTATCACCGACCGCGGCATCGACGAGATGCAAACTGGCCGCCACCACGGCACCACCGGTGCTGGTGTCACTCCCCATGCCACCTCCGCTGAGCACACCCACCATGCTGCTCAGAGCGGATACCCCAGCACTACTGGCACTACCGGCACGACTGGCCACAGCCACGACCACACGACCGGTAAGCATTGGTTTCATAAATTTACTTGAGATAGGCTCCTGACATTATATTCTTAGGCCACGGTGTCCCCGGAACCACGACTGGCTTGACTGGCACTAGCGCAGGATATGGTACGGGTGCCACGGGCGCTACGGGAACTACGGGAACTACCGGTTACGGTTCAACAACTGGCTCAACTGGCTCAAACCTTGGCCCTCACCATACCGACACGGCTGTAAGTGTTCGCGTACCTTTGCTTTTGAAATCAAGTCTAACGTCGAGGAAAGAACAAGCTTGACCCTCGTGTCGACTCTGACCTAGACAACCGTGCCCGCACTGGCACTTCTACTGGCGCTGCCGTCGGTCCTCACTCTTCAGGTCTGGCTAACAAGGCTGACCCGAGAGTGGACTCTGATCTCGACAACCGTGGCACTCACAGCACCACTCACGGAACGACTGGCGGTTACGGCTCTGGTACTACCACTGGCGGCTACGGCTCCGGTACTACTGGCAGTCACGGCTCTACCAACGCGGGCCCCCACAACAGCAACTTGCTGAACAAGGCTGACCCTCGCGTTGATTCGGACGCGGACAACCGTGCCCGCACTGGTACCTCCACCGGCGCTGCCACTGGCCCGCACTCGTCGGGACTTGCCAACAAGGCTGACCCGCGTGTTGACTCCGATCTCGACAACCGTGGTACTCACGGTACCACCACCCACGGCACCACTGGTACCCACGGTACCACTGGTACTACTGGCGGCTACGGTTCCAGCACTGGCTCTACCAACGCTGGTCCCCACGGCTCGAACGTCGCGAACAAGGCCGACCCGCGTGTGGACTCGGATGTAGACAACCGTGCTCGTACGGGTACTTCCTCTGGTGCCGCTGCCGGCCCGCACTCCTCGGGCCTCGCCAACAAGGCTGACCCGCGTGTTGACTCCGATCTTGACAACCGTGGCACTCACGGTACCACCACCCACGGAACCACTGGTACCCACGGCACTACCGGTACTCACGGCACCACTACTGGTACCCACGGTACCCATGACACCACCACCGGTACTCATGACACTCACGACACCCATGAGTCCACTGGCAAGCACCCGCCTCACAAGAGCAAGATCCTCAACAAGCTTGACCCCCGTGTCTAAGCAATTGACAATTTTCGCCCATAGGAAAATATGGATGAGATATTGTCATCGAATTGAGATGACTGAGCGAGTTTGACGATTGACGATGGACATGGCCTGCAACTTGATACCAGACTGGATTGGTCCAACCAGTCAGTTATTAGAGCATCCAATACCCTAGGTAGCTTGAGTAGCTTGAATTTCATTGCTGGTTTCCTTACAACATATAATCGCTGCTGCCACCTGTGACGCTTCTTCAACTCTCCTTAGACTAATTCTTTGTTCTTGACTTTATGCGCAAAAGAGGTATGTAGTTTGCTGCAGTCGATATGAATGTTTATTACTATATTCTTACCTGGTTGGGTAGTCACATCCCTAATTAGGTATGCGGTAGAGAGTTGGGGAATATTTAGTCAATGCCTACGGCATTTGTGAGCATAGTTAAATTTATTGAGAAAAAGATCTTGTCTGTTATGGCCTATATTTTCATGAAATGGTTTGAACGCGAAAGTCTGCCCGCTTGCGTAGCAATCTTATGCTACGGCTGTAAGGCTGAGTGCCCAGGTAGTGGCGAACTAGGCAGGTACCTAGATACATACAAGGGTGGTCAGAGCCAATTCTGTTCCGTGGCGGGGATGGTGCGGAGGAACCTCTTTCCGGGGCCATTGCGAGGTGACAGCCGTTCTCATGGAGATGAGCAGCAGAAACGTTACTTCCAGTAAAGTTATATTCGCAGCGTGCTCCCATCACCTAGGAAAGTCTGGCATCGAATTCCTGGTCATGTTTTAGACTACTGTGATTTTACCTCCTCTTTATGGCTTTCCGCAAAACCTGCTGAGTTGATATTGAGGCTATCGAGGCACATAGCTCCCGTTCGATGTGCATTTGCTGGCCATCGTCCTATTACTCCCGATATTATCATCAAGCAGGTTTTCCCATCTTTGTTTTCCTCGGTGGACTCCTCTCAAGGACTTAGCTTCTTGTTGAACTTTATGGTGATAGAGAGAGCTACCTGATACGGATTTCATAAAAGTAAGTGCACGTAATTTCTTCTTTCTATCTCTCTATCTTTCTTTCTTTCTTTTGTTTTCCTCATTAGGAGTTTATATCTTCATCTTCTCCTTATGCTTTCTTGGAACTGTCCGAAGGAGAGTTTGTTGAGCATTTATGTCAACGCTTAGCTGACATCAATGATCAGGCGCTTAAGAGCTAGGGGTATGCCATAGGTTTGATTTAGTCGTGCCGTCACTGAAAACAATCCATTGTGTCGATCCTGTTGTTTAACCTCACAAAGTATAGAATCTGTATTCGCGCCGCTCCTTTCTATAGTAACTTAGCCCAAGGAAGGGTTGGTACAGCAAATTGCTAATGATACCAAAAAATTGCTGTATAATTGTGGAGGCTAACTACGTTAGCCGTAACAAGCGACAAGATGTCATGCGCAGAGCGCTAACAGGGGATATAAGAGAAAACGTTCATGCAGCAAGGACAAACAAGAGAGCTCTTTATAGTAGTAAAGTGAAAGCAACTAACTTGTCTTTAGGGAAGCCCATGGTCTTGTAGACAGATCTGGTATCCATCATTCCTTTACAATTCGATCATCCCTTAGCGGTATCTTTACCCAGCCTGGAAACTATCAGCTGTTGCGTTCCCCAGTCATAACAGTAAGTCTAACCATAGGCTTCTGGTACTGCTGATTTCGGTCCCAATCTACCATAGAGTGAATTGTTAGCTGTAGCTCTGACTGGCACCTGGGACTCTTGATTTCCGATCCAGTAAGCACACGAGAACGCGCGCAAGATTTGCTCACTATCGAGCACCCCACTGATGGCTACGTTTTGAAGCCTCTGACAATTCAAACTTGAGGATGCTGGCGTTCGGTGGTCGAAGCTCGTTGGTGGATACAGTAGGGCTTTGTCGAGAAGGAGTTGAAAGCCTGATGGTGGCCTTGTGTGGGCCTTCATGGCGAGTCCTGTTCTTTTGCGTCCATTCACTTCTGATTGTTAGTGTGTTTTGATTTTCCAGCATCCGCTAGGGGCATCACCTGTACTGCGTCGTGCCTTTCCACTCTTCCACGGAACCAAGCGCGCGCCCAGCTTATATTGTTCTTTCTGCTTTGCACCGACACCCTTCTCAGTCTGTATTTCGCAAGTCACACATTCAGCTGGAGACTCTGCGACGAAACGGCGTTGTCGCACTAACAACAACCATCGCCTGCTTGTCCGTCGACCTGCTTCGCCCATCTGCCAGGTTGAGACGAACCAACACAACGCAACATACCCCACAGAAGGAAAATGGGCGAGCCAAAGGGGTCCTGCAACCTATACCTTAATGGATACTGTCGCCATGGCGATCGTTGCCCTTACCGGCACGCGGAGGACATTGAGCTACCGTCAGTGGATCGTAACTCGAGGACGTCTCAGGTTTCTAACTGATTGTATAGGATCCCCGATGCCCAGATAAGTCTTAACCATGGTGCAGCTGAGATTAAATACGGAGATGGCACTACTGTCATCGGAGTCCACACTGCGCGCCATCCTTCCGAAACGCGGCATAAACACCTCGGCGCTGCTTCCCGGGATTTTGAGCTAACAACAGTAAAGATTCACTGGACCGAACCCTATGGGGGTGTAACCTACAGCTTGGGCACGGGCGAGCTTAGCCCAGTAGACCCCATACTTGAAGCTGTCGAAAGGTGGTGCCGTTCCACCGATCACGACATTGAAACCCTACCGAGCTCATCGCCGAACGGTGCTCAATCCATTACAATCAAAATATTCGGCCGGATGTTCCAGGAGAGCGATATCCGCACACAGATCCCCGCGGACTCTCTGTCTAGAATAACCAAAATCCCCACACCCTTCCCTCAGAAGGATGCTCTCTCCGCAGCCTGCACCGTACTGGGAAATATCACGTACACGGAACACGTTCAGACAAACTTACAACGGCGCGAAAATGCGTACAGCTTCGAGTTCAAGTGCTCCGAGGATACTCGCCGGGCCTTCGCGCTACTTAGCACTTCCTGGCTCCCAGAGTCAGACAACTATCTCGCGGTAGATTACGTATATACGTACACATTCCGTGTTCCCGGCAACATCTTCGCAAGAACTGCTCAGTTGTTCCACAACATTGAGTTACAAGCCGGCCCACGTATCCACTTCGATGCTACGGAAGCCAACAACATGATTAAGGCTAATTACGTGACCATCAAGGTTTCTAGCGAGTGGCAACAGGATCTGACCAGGACGAGGGCTTCCCTTGAGAAGATATTCTCCGGAACAACTGCGCTCTATCTGGGCCAACCTATCTGGTCAGAACTACTATCGACAAAGGTAGCGTTAAACCGTGATCTAAGGATGCTCGCAAAAGACCATGGTGTATTATTTTACCAGCACCAAAAGGCTCAGGAGCTCAAGATCATCGGAGTCGAACAGGTATCTGATCGGCTTATTGAAGACTTACGGAAGCTGTCAACCATCACCACCATAACTACATTATCTCGCTTAGCACGAACCCTGTTATCACTTTGCTTTTTCAGCATCATGCCATTCTCTCCTATTAGTGGAACGATAGTCACCTTTCTACCCAGGGAAGTCGTGTATTTAAGCAGACAGTTTCACTCAATTTAATGCGACAGCAGTGTCCAGCTTTCTCGCACTGTTCAACAGTTATAAGCCCGGCAACGCGCCACACAGTCCCGCAGTCGATGCATACCTTCTAATATCTTTTAAAGAAGTATTGTATCATTATTCAATCAGTTTACCCTTGCACAATAGTCTCAGTACCTTATTATTTGCATCCCTTGTTGTCGCATTTATACAGTCCATCTACTAACCCACCTGTAATCATGTCAGGTGATCAAGAGCTCTTTAAAGAGCTACCCATACGGCTCGCTAAGCCATCAGACTAGGATACTTAGATTATCATAATCTCAGGAATTACTCAGTCCAAACAAATCTAGGAATTTATTAATCTAGACGTAAAGGAAGAAGACAGACCAGAACTTCTTACCAAACCAAACAGCCCAGACCTTCCAGAAAATCCAACACAAATCAACATCTCTCTCTTCAATACACAAAGAGCCATCTACTCTAAGGAACTTACAGACTACTAGAAACAACAGAGGGCCTTAGAATCTATCTACCTCCTTATCATAAAGATAGTTTCCAGCAGCAACTACATTTACCTTAAAGGAATCAGCAGCACGGCTAAGGAAACTCTTACAACACTTAAGAAGTACCTTGCACCAACTAATCAACACAGGAAAATTACACTTAGAGCAACATACTTAAAGCTTTACAAAACTCCCAGAAACCAAGATATTAAACAATAGCTAAAGGATTAGAACTCCTTCTATCAGGAAGGTAGAGCTCTTAATATTCTAGAAGTATAAGATAGTAACTATATCTATAACTTCCTCAAAACTATAGAACCTATTAATTCTAACTTCTCAGGATTCCTCCTTATATAGGACCTTAAGGAACTAGGATTATTAATACTTCTAGATATTATAGAACTTTTCCGTAACTAGATCAGGCGCGATCTACTAAACTAAGGTAAAACTTATAGATCTTATTCAGCCTTCTCAGCTAACTTCCGAGGCAGGAAAGCACTTACCTCTCCTCCTATATATACCTATAGAGATAAACACTAGTTTACAGAATACCCCTATCTTAACTAAGAAGCACGTAAATTAGGATTTAAACCAGACCGCAATAAATAATAGTAAGTTAATAAGAAACTTAAGAATCTAAGCTTCAAGGAGTAAGTTAATAAGTCTCTCGAGAAAAATAGGAAAATCTAAGAAGTAAATAAAGAAAGAGATATAGAAGAGAAAGATAAGAAACTTACTATATTTATTACCAAATATTCTTCTTTCTCAATCTAATATTCTCTTAGTAAATTATAGATCCTTAACTCTAGATCTAACATCTATATCTATAACTAGACTATAGCAATACGCTTCTAGGAACAAAGAAAAGCTAAAGCAGGAGAAAATCTCAATACAGGAAATAGACTAACACCTATTAAAGTATAGGAAACTATTAAAATCAAGGTTTAAACTAATATAGGAATAGGAATTATTACTCTTATAAACGTCGCCTTTATTCTATCCTATCTTACTAATCTTATCTCTTTATAAGCAGCTCTTAATAAAGGGGTTTACTAGAATACTAAATATATAGAGCTTTAGCTATAAGGCAAACACCTTTATAAAGTTATTCCTACTTCAGGATACTTTCTTCTTAAAGGAACTTAAGTATAAGAAACGCATTCAGCCTTCTTTATTCGCAAGAATATAGCTCAGAAATAGTACCAGACTCTTAGCTATACTAGTCTAGAAGTAATTAACTACCTTACTTAGAACACAAAAGGTATAGAAGTCACACAAGAATAGGTAGCAGGGACGACTACAGAATATAAAACCTACGCTATCTTAAAAGTATACCGAATAATTTCTAGATCCTTAGCAAAAGAACTTAATTTATCCCAGCTATTCTTTAGAATTACTCTCGATTTAATAAATCTTAGAATAGTATATAATCACGATAAATAGATCTCTTATTTCGCTTATATAAAGAGCGGATTCACCTTTACCTTTATATATCTATAGAAATCTTAATTACCTAACCTTATTAAATTCACTATTCTTATAATTAAGAAACGCTTTAATAAAGAAGTTATAATCCTTAGAATAGACGGAGAAAGAACTATTAGTATAGTAATTACTTAGTAGCTCGCAGACTAAGGAATTACCCTAGAAACTTTAGCTCTAGATATACCTAAATAGAACGGATATTTAGAAAGATCAGGAGGCATCCTTACTACTAAAGCTCGCTATATAAGAATTAGTATAAATCTACCTTATAACCTATAGCTAGAAACAATTAAGGCAGCTAGATACCTCTATAACAGAACTCCTTAAAGGAAACTCAACTAGAAAACTCCCTTTAAATTTATCACGGGAGAAAAACTAGACCTATCATATACAAGAATATATAGATATAAAGTATTTACTCTTATTAAATATATTCCTAGGTTATAGAAGCTTACAGAACGCGCCCACATTAGACACTTAGTTAGCTATAACTTAAGCAATATTTTCCGCATCTAGATCCCCTCTCAAAAGAAAGTTATTAGAACTAGAGATATTACTTTTAATAAAGATAAATTCTATCATCTAGAGGACTTAGATCTTATACGTATCTTAATAAAAGAAGCCCTAGATATTCTACAATAGATTACTTAGCTAGACTAATCAGAAACAGAAGAAGCTCGCTTAGAGCAACAGGAAATCCTAGATATACAAATCACGCAGGTTCGAGCGGAAAATTTAGTAATAGACAAGGATTAAGAATAGTATATATATCTCCTAACCCTAGATCCGTTAGTTATAGATCTATAAACAGAAACCGTATCAGAAACTACTACAGAGCTATTAAGACTTAGAAAACTTCTACCAGTCTAATATAATACTCCAGCTCAGCCAGGAGCTACATCAGAAAATAGAGTACTAAGAGCAACACAGATTTCAGGTAGTATTTCTTAAGAGAATATACTCCCTAAGGGGGTAAGAACCAGAAGATAACTAAGAAGAGATATATACGTAGCAGCACTTTAAGAAAGCGTTCAAGATCTAGAAGAAAAACATCTCGCATTTTATACAGCATTTACTATAGTACGTGCCATATCTATACTAAACAAGTTAAATAAGAATTATAGAGATAATCTTCCACCTAAACCATTAAACTTTTAGCAGATACTTAAGTACCTAGAGGCAGAAGGATTCGAAGCAGTAGTCAAACTCGAACTCTAGACTCTTCTTAAGAAATAAACTTTTAAACTAGTTCCAAGAGAGCATACAGCGAACCAGCAAAAGAAGGTTATCCCTCTTATATAGATCTTCAAGTATAAGTTTAGTATAGAAGGATACCTTATTAAGTATAAGGCTCGCCTTTATATTAGAGGAGATCTTTAGTCTATAGAACAAGACACGTATACTACAATATTAGCTACTAAAATATTTAGAGCAATCATAGCTATTATAGCTACATTTAACCTAGAATCTAGATAATTTAATATAGTTAGTACATTTATTAACAGCCCTATTAATAAAGAAACATTCTATAAACTTCTAGAAGGAATAAACCTCCTTCTAGAATTCTAGAGACAAGATTAATCTCAGGTTCTTTAACTACTAAAAGCGCTTTATAGACTAAAGCAATTACCTATACTTTAGCATAACTACCTAGCTAGTACACTTAAAAAACTCGGTCTTCTATAGACTCTAGGAGTTAACTACCTCTTTACTAACTAACACTTAATTCTCTTCTTCTTTATAGATGATATTGTAGTTATTTTTTACAAAGAATCATCTAGCAAAATAGAAGAACTTCAGTAGAAACTTATACAAACATTTAAACTCAGATATATAGGAGAAATAGAATAGTTTCTTATAATTAGAATCATTCGCAACAGAGAAGAAAGGAAACTCTAGCTCTATCAAGATTCCTACATTAGTAAGATTACTACAAAATTCAACATACCAGATAATCACAAGCCACCACCAACTCCAATTCAAATAGAGGAGCTTATTCCATCAATAGAGCAAGCGTCTACCTAGGAAATTTATACATATTAATAGAAGGTTAGATTAATTAACTATACAGCAACATTCACTAGGCCAGATATTGTATATGCAACTTCAAAGCTCTTAGGATTCCTTAGAAACCCGTCACCACTTCACTCTCAAGCAGCAACCAGAGTTATTCAGTATTTATCCGATACTAAATACCTTACACTAGAATACTCGGGAATCTATAACATCTAACAGAATATCTTCCTTACCTCTAGTAACGCTTCTTACGCCCCAGACACAGAAACAAGGAGATCACATTAAGGCTTTCTTTTCCAGCTCTTCTCAGGACCAATTCACTAGAAAGCAAACAAGCAAAGAACGATCACCACTTCTAGCACAGAAGCGGAATTCCTTACTCTCTCAGATACAGCGAAGGAACTTCTTTAGTAGGAAAGATTTTTCCAAGAAATCTAGTTTAGTCCAGAACATCTCGTTCACATATAGTATAATAACACTACTACTATCAGACTTCTCAGCGAATCATCCATCAAGCTTATCACTAAGCTGCGCCATATAGACATTCACAGACATTAGCTAAGACAAGAAATCCAGCAAGGATATATCAGACTCAGATAGACTCCCTCAGCTAAAATAATAGCAGACGGACTCACTAAACCTCTTCCTCCTCAGAGATTCAAACACTTCATTTCTCAGCTAAACCTCAGAAACATCAAATCTCTTACTGAAAAATATTAAGGAACTACCAGCCAACCGCTCTTAGCCTCCTAAATTGCCAACACTCAGTCCCTCCTTTCAAAGTTTAATTCCCAAGTACAGTTACTTCAATTTCGTTTATCAGAATGATCACCAGACTGCTCATCCTAAAGGGGGTGTGTCAACCATCACCACCATAACTA